ACTTTTCCTTCTTTCCCTCCTCAGTTTAGAATCTTCGTCGATAGCACCCAATGGACTGAGTTCACCTCAATGCCTTGCCCTGGTCGTGACAGACTGGTCGAGTGGCTGGGTCTTGTGAGAAGTGTGTGAAGGCAAGAATAGTAGGTGTACGCGGTTTCTTTTAGCTAGAAGCATAAAGTCTTCGTCGATATGAGTGGCGTGTTCGTCGAGGACCAATAGGCGCCAATCGTCCTTCCTTTGGGGCTTTGTTTGAGGAAGATATACTTCCTTGAGCCACATAAGAGCTATTTTGCTATTGCTCCAGCCTGTGGGCGTACAGTCGTATTTCCAGGTCTTGAGGACTGGTAGTTCCTTGAAGTTATCCGGGAAGTGTTGGCCTTGTAGATTTTCACCCGTAAAGATCACTACGGGCGTCAATCGCTTGCCCTCAGCGGTACCACACTCGATAACACTGACCTAGGTCGTTGGATCAGGGCTAGTTAGGACTGCCCGAGACGTGAGGGCATCGCCAATCACCTTCCCAACCGTAGTTTCCGTCTCTTGCATGCCATGTTCGTCCATATTGGCGATATTCGCAGGTACCAGCTTCTTGTCCTTGATTACAGCTTCCAAACGATCAAAAAAAATCATGGAATCGCTCACGGGTAGATCCTTTGACTCGAGACCGTTCTAATAGGGTACCTAACTTGGTCTTTACCCGTGGGTTACGGGTAAAAAACCGATCTACCCAGCGCTCACCAACTCGCCCAGGGGGCCCGGCTTCGTTCAGGATTGCTTGTGCGAATCGTCTTAGCCGTGCACGACATGGGGCACGCCCTGCAGCTTCCTCCTCAAGAGCCCACTCAGCGACGAAGGCTTCCTGGTTGTCAGTTAACTTCTGGGTGTTTTTTTGGGCTTGTCGTGGATCCTGTTGTCCACGGCGTCGTCTGCTGAGGGTGGATTCAGGGATCCTACATAGGCGCGCTACTTCCTTCTGCTGCGCGCCCTGATCAATAGCCTCAATAGCCTCGGCTATTAGCCGCTCTCGTACGCGTCGAACCATCGTATTTTGAGCCTATTCCGACCAGTATTGAGGAAGTTGTTGGTGGTGGAAGGTAGAGGGTAGGAAGTTGGCGGTGTGGGGGAAAAATTGCAAAGTGGGGCAATTGCAAAGGTGGGTCACCCTGTCTATATGTTGTTACAGCACGGCCGAACTATAGTTCGTAGTGCCGCAACCATGCCCTAGCTGCAGGACGCAGGACGCCATCGATAGGCTCGAGTGCGCCCTTCAGGTCGTTGTGGGCGCCGTCGATGGCCAGGGTGCTAGGGGGAGGGGACGTGTCGTCGCTACGTAAATGACGTCCTCTGTGGTGCTGCTGCGGCTGGTGGTGCCGCCATGGCAATCACACTCTCTCGTTTGTTTCTTCTTCTTCTTCTTTCTTTTTCTTGTTCTTCTTCTTGTTCTTCCTCTTCTTCTCCTTCTTCTTTGTGCTAGTAATAGTAATAACGACGACTCGTCAGGGGAGGGGACGTGTCGTGCAACCCTCGTACCGATAACCTATTAGCTATGCATTCAAAAGGGTGCTGATCTCTACCTTTCAGATGGGGTCTGATACCTGCTCTACATTACAATGAATCACCAAATCTATCTTCTCACTGAACTAACTCGTATTTCTCGTTGTGGGCCTGAAATACCCCCTCTTGCACTGCTCACTTAGATGAGCTTCCACTGCTCCTTTTTCACAACACCCTACGAGGGCCTTATTTCGGCGTTGTACTGGGATAAATGCTTTGTTGGCTCGGGCCTACAGATGACTATAGCGCCACGAGTATGCATCTCATCAAGGCTCTAGGCCAGGATCTCGCTGAGTCCCCCGAGATGCCGGCGCCCGTCGATAGTCTGCAGCTGACGTCGTTGGAGGACAAGGCGTACACAGACCTGGTGCGCAGACTAGATGGCACATTGAGCTTGCTGAATCTCAGCCCCTTTAGCGATAGATCGTATTGGTCACGGGTGTGGACCTTGCAAGAGATGGTCCTGGTGAGATGCTGCAAATTCATGTGTAGGGACCAGTCTCGCTATTTGCAACACATAGAAGACCTTGTCGGTTGGGTGCACCATCTCCCCATCTAGTCCGCGATCTTGGCCTGGAAGTAGCCGGCGAATCTAGGTTCCGAAGTCTAGGGCCTTCTCACCTACCTATACAGAAACGCGGGGCACTGCAACTTAGTAATCGAGGTCCTAAGTATACGTAAAATAGTCTTAGACTTGCTCGGCGGTGGGAACGAGGACCCCTCTCAATCCCTAAGGTACTAAGGTATTGACCTTCACGGTGAGGAGGAGAGCCACGGATACTGAGACAAGGTTTACGAGTTCTCGGAATATGCGACATCGGTGTCGAGATTAACTGCGCTATAGAGTCAAGGGAGCTCTTCACGAGGTTCGCCAGATACCTTGTGGCTCATCTCGCAACTAGCCAACACCCGGACCTCTTAGGGATACTCAGATACGCCGGATTTCAACTATATCCCAAGTTTCAAATCTCCCAAGCTAGATCCCCGACTAGACAGATTCCGAAGCTGCAGTTGAGGGGTAGCCCGCGGCACATGACAGCGCGCTGCTGGAGTCAAGGTTGATCAACACGGATGGAAACTTACTAATTGTTCATGGGGTTTACCTAGATGTTGTCGAGGAAATCCTCCCGTACTATGAAATCGAAAGCTCGAGTTGGAGCTCCAGGAGAAAGCGAGAACTGCCAAGTTTCTCTTCAAGAAAGACGTGAGGGAGATCCTGGAAGTTATAATATCTGGACTGCCTAGAGACTTCCTCTACAAGGCCTGAATCCCGCTTTTGGAAGTTGTGCTCTGGCTCTTCCTCGCCGACATCGATATACGCACGAGCAAACGATTCGATTGGAATTCCCCTAGCCTCGAGCCGCGACTGCCTCTCATCTGGGGCCTCCTATCGGATGATTCGGCACTTGACACCAGGAAGATGTGGATGGTCGTCGACTGCAAATTAGAAGCCGAAGCATGGGACTGGTTGGCGAAGGTGCTCGATCAGGGCAGGCTGCAGAAGGCCCCGCTCAGGAACATCCTAGGCGACGCATGCAGGGTTTTCGATGACGAGCTGTATGACAAATTCATACTCGCAATGAAACTTACAAGCAGAATACGCCCGTTTCGTACAGCAACCGGGTATATCGGGGCGTCATCTAGTGCGGTTAATGCGGTTAAGAAGGGAGACATAGTGTGCGTGCTTGGGTCGTGCTCTAGGCTGGTAGTGCTACTAGGTGGTTAGGGCTAATGAATACAGGTTCATGGCGGTTGCTAATGTTATAGGGGTTTCATGGCGGTTGCTAATGTTATAGGGGTTTCATCTGGGGAGGTTTGGGATACAAAGCAGGACGCTGTAGAGTTTACATTAGTTTAAGGGATATTAAGATGCCAGAATAAATGTTTATCGTTACCGTACCATATGCCCCCCCCCCTCGTACATACCTAGGTAAATTTCAGAGTGGATAGAAACGTTCTCCATATATTTTCGTGGCCCTGCTCCAGGTCCCCTCCTTCCACTTTCTCGCACATGATATTTGCAAGTGCCTTCCCACATCCGCAAAGTTCTCATTTAAATTATAAGATTTTGTTTACGCTGCGGCTTCTATCCTCTCCCACTCATAGAGAAAGAGATAAGATACTCCTCTTCATTGTCATAGCCAGCCACACATATTTCGTTCACCCAGGAAGCCACCCGTATCTGGAGCCACCCGCATCTGGAGCCATGCTCGTCGCCCGCCATAAGGCGAGTTCACACACTGGCAGTCCCTGTCAAGTACCAGCCACCCCACCCCAGTCAAGCACCGGCTACCTGCGATCAAGTACCAGACGCTGTCGATCAATCACCTTGCCACCTTTCCATTCATATATCCCATCCCATCCCATCCCGCCTACAAGAGTGACAGCTAAAACTTCACAGAACGGGCTGTTGTGCCGTGGCCCAGCGTGCCAAGCAACGATCCCTAACCCCAAACCATCTTCGCATTGTCTGAAAGGAGCTCAAACGTCGCCATGTCTGATCTAGGTATGTTGCGATCCGATCTCCCATATTATGTTCCCAATGATTGTTCAATGTGCGGACCATACTCGGGCAATGAGATCCAGGCTATAATCCAGGAGGTTAACGATCAAGCAGGCCACAAGATTGCCCAGCTCCTCACTTCCATGTTCGATCGCCTCGACCGGGTAGAGGAACCTGCGTTCTCAAATGAAGACGTCGCTCGCGCAATGTAGGAAAATGACGCGGCGATAAACCAGATTCAGGAGATGTTGCTCGAAGAGGTGATACGAGAGTTTGGGGTTTTCGCGGACGACTCACCGCGCGGAGAGGCTGCAACTCGCCGAGCTCAAGTGATGGCTCGATACTTTAGGGGATATGCCGCTCCCGCATCAGCCGGCCGGTAACCGGCGAAAAAAAGAGAGGATGGCGATTATGGCTGAATTTTCTCAGCTGGACGACAATACCTGGGCAGGAAAACAGCGGCTGAGTTGCTTTGCCAGAAGAAATGTTGCCGTCTGATTCGGCCACGGCAGAATATGAATGGGTTATGGTCTAGGCTGGGGATCGCAGCATAGAGGTGCGCCAGGGGCAGTGTTAGTCCCGAAGGACCTCGCACCGACTACCTCTCGGCTATGCATTCAAAGGGGTGCCCACCTCTACCTTAGAGATGGGGTGTGCCTATTCTACATAGTAATGAAATACTAGGTCGAGTCTCTCACTGAACCAAGCGTCGACTCGGACTGTGGGCAAAGTCTTTTAGAAGCTATCGCGCCAAGCCACCAGTCTAGCGAAAAATTGGATTTTTACACGTAAAAAGGCCTGGTTCAATGGCTTCATCCCAGGGGTTAACCTCTTGTTTTGGTGGAGGAAGTGGAGTTTTAGTGGCTTGGCGCCAGGGCCCGATATACATGCAGTCCAGAAGACGTTGTCTACAGTCCGAGTGGACAGTGACGCTTCCGACGACAAGTTTAGTGCTGGTGGGGTCGTTTGAACTATTACATCTCCGCGCCGGAATGGAATCATGCCTGATTACCTGGACTGCTTGAAAACATTGACATCGAATTAGTACGCACGCGTATGTGCGATGAGCCTAGATTGCCGAAGCGATGTGTGGTGTAATATTGTTGGATTTCTCATTCCCTTGTCCAGATAATTACTTCAGTCTCCACTGCCTTGCCGCCGCTTCGTTCTCTTACTTTCTTTTCCTTCACGGGCCCCTTTCCTCTCCTTAACTTCCCAAGCAACACGCCATTCCAAACCTCAGGCGCCATTAGCCTCTGCCTTCGCCGGTGCATCATCAAAGTGCTGCGTAAAATCATAGCGCACATCCATAAACCGCAGCAGCGTGTCCTTGAGCAGGGCCTCGTCCTGCTCGCCGCGGTGGAGGAGCTGCATGAAATCGTCCCTCGCAAAGCGCGTCGCGGGATCGCTATCCGACACGCGGCGAAAGTTCTCCTGCGAGATGGGGTTGATGATGTCGCGCCACTTCTCGATGCGCTTCTCGGAGTACAAATCCAACAGCGCGTCCGGGTCCCTTACCCGCCCGTCCCAGATGCCCGCGAGACAGTCGAACAGGCCGCCGACGTCGACGAACCCGCCTGTGATCCCCAGCCCGCCCCACGGGTTGCACAGGTGCGCGGCATCGGCGGCTAGCAGCGCCCGCCCCACGCGGAACCGCGGCGCGCAGCGCTGGTGCATCTTGTACGGCGAGAAGTTGACGATCGTGTACTCGCCCGCCTTGGGGTGGCCCGGCAGCATGGCCTCGAACTTGCCCGGCTGCCGCTCAAGGTACTCTTCGCGCGTGAGCCCGGGCGTCTCGCCGTATGTGATCCGGAAGAGGTTGTCTTTGGTGATGCGCGCCGCCATCTGGTTGTTCAGGGGGTGTGATTAGTTTGTGCTTCCGTCTCGCTCTTGGTAGGCGGGGGACGCAGGGGGGATCTCGCGGGCAACGCACGTAGAAGTTTTCAGGGTGGACGATGAAGTTGGCGTCGTGCCACCCGAACTTGTCAAAGTCGTAGTAAGTCTACGCGTTGGCTGGTCAGTCGTCCGTCGGCTCTCTCGCGTCTCGAGGAAAGGGGCAGCTGGAGAGAGAAAGTCTCACATTCGTCGCGATGATCTGGGCGTCCCAGGTGAAGCCGGGGAACTCGTCGCCGAACAAGCTGCGGCGGATCTGGCTGTTTGCGCCGTCGCAGCCGACGATGTAGTCGGCCTCGACGCGCGTGCTGCCGGCAGGGGTCTCGACGTCGACCCAGGCCTTGTCGGCGTCCTGGCCGAGGCCGACGACCTTGTGCTCCCAGCTGATGGTGGCGCCGTGCTTCTGGGTGGCCTCGTCGAGCATGAGCTGGTCGAGGTCCTGCATGACGAAGCAGTGGGTGCGCAGGTCCTGGCCGTCGATGTCGGAGAGGCACGTCGAGTTGAAGCCGGCCATGTAGGCGTGGTCGTCGGGGCTGCGCCAGCACATGGTGGTCAGGATCAGGCCGCGCGCGCGCATCTCGTCGACGATGCCCGCGCGCACGAACTCGGGGATGGCCGGCGTGCCGTAGTGCGCCGCCCGTGGCTGCTGGTCGAGGTGGTCCGACGCCTCGAGGATGTGCACCGGGATGCCGTGCTTGCCCAGCAGCAGCGCGAGCAGCAGCCCCGAAGGGCCCGCGCCGACGATGACGACCTAGCTTGCAGTCAGAGAGGCCATTAGGGGTCGAGTGCCGAAGTCAGGGCGGGAAATTCACCTTCTTGAAGGGCCGTTCCACCATGTTTGAGGCTAATTTGGCTGGAGCGTTGCTTTCTTCGCGTGCAGCAAGAAGTGTCTTTTGTTCGATAATCGCCGGAGCGTTGAAGACTGCGGAACACTAGGGTTGGGGTGACGAGGGTGACGACTGAAAAGGGCTGGGGTGACGAGGGTGACGACTGAAAAGGGCGATAAGAGACGGCAGTTCCCTCATAAACGACCAGACGGCAAGACCCGCCCCCGCACCCAGCAAGTGGACAATACCACCTAGCTCTGGTCTTGGCTTAAACTCTTGGAGCGAGTGCCCCGTCTCCCCCGCCCAAAACCAAAAAAGTGGCCATGTTGCAGGGAGGGCGGCGGATGGTTGCAGGAGGGCGGCGGATGGTTGCAGGAGGGCGGCGGATGAGGTCATGCGGTTCGTTCGTGCATTTTGCCTATGCAGTGGACCCGGTAGTCCACGTCAGGACTGGCCATCACACCTCGGGCGGCTTACTCTTTTATTGCCGTGCGGGCCTGCAAACCGCGAGCCTCGGGCCGATGGCGGGGTTGGACGCCAAGTCTTGGTGCGGGGATTTGGGGTCGTCATGCCACGGCAGGCTGGAACTAGTGCCATGTCGGGTGAGGAGAACGGCAGGCTGGGAACTAGTGCCATGTCGGGTGAGGAGAACGGCAGAGGAAGCGAGCATTACAAGGAGAATGAGCCGCAGAACCCACCCAGATGACCCCTCTGCTTCCGGGTTCATTATTCTAGACTGCCTGAGTGGGTGGCCAAGCGTGCCAAGAGGAGATCGGTATTCCCTCTAGCCACAATGTCACCTAGCAATATATCCAGGGCTCTTGTCGTGTCTTTGAGGGCTTGGCGTCCGAGAGTTTGAGAGTACTAATTGCCCAAAACTTCATGTTTAAACCACGTGCAGATTGTCTAATTCAGTGATCTGGCAACAAGCTGTCCCCAGCCCTTTCTTGCCCCAGCCCTTTCTTACCCCAGCCCTTTCTTGCCTAGCCCTTTTTTGCCCTAGCCCTTTCTTGCTAATATGTCATAGTACCTCGGTCATCAAGTTCAATTTTAATCTTGGTAGACTGAATTAATCCAAATGCATCTTTGATGGTCTTCTATACCGAAGTCCCTTTCAAAAGTTTTGCGCAATGCCAAGCCAGCCACGCCCCTTTAATTGAATGTTCAACATCACAACAATCTGGCCACGTAATCTCACCCCTCCCCCGCATCTTGACACCAGCAACACAATCGCCACACCACAATAGCACCAAACACCAATCTCTCGACACGTGCTCTTATTATTACTCTCAAATCCCCTATTGTAGGCCTATCTTCGGCTGAAATATTTGCAGAAACTAGGATTTCTATCAGCACAATCAATCGCATCTATGGGCGGGCGATCGAGCGGGGGTTTGAGTCTAATATACGGCCTTTTGTTCTGAAAGACGAGCGGTTAGAAGGTGCCCCTCGCTCTGGCCGCCCACGAAAACAAACCCTTGAAATGACTGGGAAAGTAGTCACAAAGGTGCGCAAAGATCGATACGGCCGCGAAAAATCCTGTACTGATCTGGCCGGTGAGCTCAGCAACGAGGGTATCGATATCTCAGCTATTACAATCTGGAGGTTTCTCAAACAAGCAGAAAACGAAACCGACGAGGAAGCCTGGGTTGACGAAGAAGATGGAGGAGGATCGCCTTAAATGGTGTATCGCTCATAAAGATTGGACGTTATAAGATTGGAAACGTATTATTTGGTCTATGAAATATCTGTTATTTTACTTTATCGCCGGGGTGGATATCGTATTTGGAGGAAATTTAATAAATGTCACGGCAAGTGCTGAGGCAGCTGGCTGGCAAGTGCCAAGACAACTGGCTGGTAATTGGGGGTGCGGGATGGGGTACTGGCCTGTGCGGCGTCCCAACACGTGACCCACAGACCAACCCACTTCTTCGAGCCCCGTATAGAATTTGGAACTGCTTTCCTTTTTCTTTTTCTTAGCTTTAGATTCTACGAATACAGCGACCTTAATGCAGCCTTGTCTCATCTAGTTGACTGTGCGGTGACAATGAACGTTTTTTAAGGAGTTATATTCGTAAACGATAGAAAGGGTATTCTGAGTTTATATTTGGGGTTGTTTTTCTTGTGATCGGAAAGGGCCTTGTCATTATTAGGTTCCAGAAGTAAAAGCTGAAAAGCAGCAGGCTATTAAGGATCTTGAGGAATGGCACCAAGAGCTCGAGCCGATTATAAACGAAGCCTGGGAGCTTGAATCGAAGATGGCAAGACTTTTATTAATCACGAAGCCTGGACGAAAACCACAATGGCGATGGAACAAAAAAAACGGCAAACTTGAACGTGGATCCAAAGGAGGCTTCGATTGGTATCGGTACCAGACGAAGATCATATTACCAAAGCTTATCCCTTCCGCCAAAAGCTGTGGCCCGGATATACTTGTCCAGGAAGATAAGGCTACCCCCCACGCTCATCACGCTCAGCAACGTGTCTACGATATACATCAGGTTTCTCGCCTTTTATGGCTAGGTAATTCACCTGACCTCAATATGATTGAGTCTTGTTGGCCATGGATGAAGCGGGAAACTACTGAAAAGGGAGCTCCAAAGAGCAGGGCCGAGGCTATACGAGTGTGGGAGGAGCGTTGGAATAAAACACTTACGCAAGAGCGTATCTAAACCTGGGTTGAAAGAATAGTAGAGCATATACAGCAAGTAATAAAGTGAAGGAGGGAATCAGTACAAAGAAGGCCGGAAGAAGAGGGGCCAGGAGGGTTAGGATGGTATGTAATTAAAGGGGTGTGGCTGGCTTCGCATTGCGCAGAACTTTTGAAAGGGACATCCGTATAGAAGACCATCATTATTACAACGACACCACGCAATGCCTTGTCATAAGCTCTTCGTGGTATAGATCTAAAAAGAACACATCAGATGTCTACGAGCCCTTTCCCTTTCTTTTCCCGGGTCCGGCTACACCATCCCCCTCGGTGCATCCGGGTTCCGTCTCATGACGGCCGGCCCACCGCTCTCTGTCATCTGCGGCTTGCCGTAGAGTTGTTGATCTACGTCCTGCTCTATAAGTAGTTCTTTCTTGATCTGCCTCATTTTCACGTAGATGTGCACCCCCGATATGATTGTAGCGAGCGTGGCAATCCCAAGCGCCAAGTTCTTGACATTGCTGTCCTCGGCGCCGGCCGATGCTGACCCGTGCGGCTCTGCTGTGCTAGTCGTATTCGCCGTCCCGAATAGATCCCCCGTGTCGAACAAACTCGACGTGCTGCTCGGACTCGCCGTGCTGCTCAGACTTGCTGCGCCGGTTGGACTCGCAGAGCTCGACTTGGTCGGTTTGTCTGAGCTACCGCCCGGAACGAGGAGTACACCGAGGTACACGATGAGCGCCTGCTTTGGTAGCGTCAGGAAAGTTGCGAGAGCATACTTGCCGAAGCCCACGCTGCCACAAGTTGCGAACACGGCGGTTGAGAAATGGGAGGGGATTGCCGATAGACGGATAAGCACTATGATCTGTGAAACGGCGTATTAGTTAGTTACCTAGTCAGCAGTGGCGTGACATGCCAACAACAGTCGTGCCCCGTTGTCTCCTGTCAAGTCGGGGCGTGTCTCATAATTACCCAGAAGCCTCCGTCCCTGCACATGCGCACAATCCCTGCCCAGTTCAGGTTTGTCCGCCTCAACTTGGCTGCCTTTTCGGCGCCGAACTTCTTGAAAAAGAACCACGTTGCAACTGTAAATGGTAGAAGACGTAGGGTAGTTAGCAGCAATCCGGTTGCCATTCTCAGTCATCGGGTCGTTACGCACCTTCACCGAGGAACGTCCCTGTGGCAACGACGAGGAACCCCATATAGAGACCGTACACGACACCGCACAAGAGCCCGACCACCTCGTGGCCGAACAGCGGCGGGAACGATATGATGAAGAGAATGGCGATGAAGATCAGATAGCCACCGCGCAAGTCGCGGATCTTTTCGGCGTGGGGGCGGAGGAACTGGGGTGGCGTCGTCAGTAAGTTGATCTTCCCGCGCGGAGAAACAAACCAAGACGCAGCAAACTAACCGTGACTACTTGGTCATGGTACACCGTCAACAAGATGGTCAGAACCGTGACAATGATTCCTATGATTATGAATGCTGTAGGGTGGTACAGGTAGTCAGCGAGCCGGCCTGTCAGCCTCGAGGATGTCGCGACGGGAGCCGCTGACCAATATATTTTGGCGAGGTCAACAACGCCTTCCAGTCGACGGATTGGAAGTCGGTGACCTCCTTCTCTTCCTGAGTTGGCTGCAGCGGTGTCCTCAGCCAGGCGAAGCATCTCCGGTCTGGGGGATTGTCCTTCGACATGAATCAGCCGACGGACTGAGCAGTTGGACGTCTGCCGTCGAGTGTGCTGTCGACAATGCTGGTGTTAATATGTTAAATTCTGGACTGCGTCTGATGCAGTGATGGGCAGGCAGATTCCTGCGATGGCCATGGGCAGGGCTCTCTGGTGAAGCAAACGAATGACTGGCCACGACTGTTGGGCAAGAAACGCGAAATTCAAACAAGCCAACAGGCCAACAAGCCAACAAGCCAACAAGCCAGCAAGCCAACAAGCCAACAAGCCAAGAGTAAGCCAAGAGGAATGGGAGGATGGCAATCCGGGTGAAACTAAGAGCTGGGAAACAAACAAAAGAAAACAGCCAAGCAGCCTGTACACGGGTCGGTGGTTCGAGGAAGATCAGTCAGAGGAGAGGAAACAGAGGCCGACCTCCCAAGATATGGAAAGAAAAAAGGGACGAACGCCAAAAGGTGAGCCCAGAGCTAATGAGTTTGAAACCTTTGGCGGGTGGCTGCGGCACTTGCGGGTGTGCCGCAGGGCCAGTGGGCCGGGGGGGCCTACAGGCGCGGCCAAGTCAGAGGGAGACCCCTGCGCGAGTGATGAGCTGAAGGTTACTGAATGGAGTGTAGATGTGGCGCATTGCCACGCCGCCGGGAAGCCCACAATGCGCCAAAACACGGGAGACGATCCACACTTTGGGGGGGCCTAGTGGGCTGACTAGCCTCATTGGGGGGGAAAGCTTGTCTGTTGCACAGGCGCCAAAGAGAAAACGTCAGGCCCGAACGGCGGCCGTCATCGTCCCTTCTTTCCCCCCAAAAACCACGGCCGGCCTGCATCAGGCCTGCCTCACAACCCACATGCAAAAACATTGCAAACACCTCGAGAGATTTGGCGGATTTGGACAGCGCGCCCCGGTTTTAATTGGACGGCCGCATTTGCAGCCCGCAACCCCCAGCCCAACCCCGCTTTGATCTGCTGCCAAGTGTCAATCCTCCGCAAGATCCTGTGGTCGATTGGGCGCCCAGATGAAGCATTTCACGACTGTTCACTCTTGGCGACCGTGGCCGCATCTTTTCAAAACGAAACACACTGCAGTCGTTGTGCAAGGGTTCTTGTCGAACCCCAATTGGTCTACGTGAGCTGCGTGCGACAAGGCTTTTTGTCCGGGCGCCCCTCAACGGCCCATGACAACCACAAAAGGAGACCGTTGACGTGGTGGAGCAAAATAAAGAGAAACATGGTGCACAAGGCAACTAGGAATCGAATAAGCCCAAAGCAGAGAGGGATAATTTAAAAAAAAAAAAGAAAAAAAACGCCAAAAAAAAAAACGAAATAAATTCGAACGATTGTGGCAATTCAAACAACGTCATTAGCACAACTCAAGTCGACAAAAATAACAACCATCGTGAGAATGTGCCCAAGGGGGCCAGCAATCAATAAAAGACATGTTTCATCAAGGGTGAAAAAATGTCCAATGCATTTGCAAAACAAGAGGAAAGTAACAGTGTTCCCATACACTGAGCCTTTATTCTGAGGGAGAAGGGTGCACAGTTGCAGGTGGAAAGGAAAAGATGATGTGTGAATGCCCTCGCGCCGTGCATGTACGAGGAGGACATCACGAGGCCAGGAAGAAAAGAATAAGCATCAGGATACAAAAAGAAAAGGCAACAAGAAACAGGCATGGTGGCAGTGACCCTCAGGGCGTGCTGCAGTTGGGCGCGGGTGTCGGGACAATGAAATAAAATGAGAGAACAAAAAAACAAAAAAAAACAAAAAAATAAACAGCTCAACTCGACGGACCCTAATTCGAACGGGGGATCTTTCAATGGGAGGGGAGGGGGAGGACTCACCAATTCACCATTCGCTCACCGTCTCAGACTCGGGTTCTTCCTCGGATTTCTCCAAGGTACATCACAGGAGCGCGGACATCATACCCATTGTACGCGGTTAGCGGGGGGGAGGGAGGGGGGGAGCCCGTACCGGACACAAACCTCTTCCGTCGACACCAGGATGCGAGACTTCAGTTGCAGGTGCCTAGAAAGTCGTGATGTAAGCTTTTCTGAGACTGACACGTTGCGCCGTTGAGCCATGGGTCCATGCGAGTTGAGCTGTGTGCTGTTTGTTGAATACACTGTCCCGCAAACGGAGCTATATGCCTCCCGTTGATGTGACGCTCGTAGCAGACGCGTGGAAGGTCGTGGAACGCGCTCGAGATCCTCTGGATGCGGTGGTGAGCCGCGGCGGGGACTATGACGCGGCGTGAGGCTCTACAGACCGTGCCCGCGATGCCTTGACGGCATTCCCGCGAAGGTTTCTTGTTTTCATCACCACCGAGACTGCTGCACAGCTTTAGGGGGCCACTAGAGGCTTTATTCTGCACGTATACTGCACTATCTTCTGTGTTTACCGCGGTTGAGGCGCGTGTTGCTGCGGCCGGGCTTGATATTGCATCACCGAGCACCCCCACGCGAGGATTAGGGACACAGTACACACCCTACGGCCCGATTTATTCCCCTCTGAGACCATCACCACCCCCACCCACACCTCTCTTGTCTTTCTTCTTGGTGTTTTCCTCTTGCAGCACGCCCGCACACACCTTGAATACCACCTCCCTAAGCTACGCCGCAATTGTTTGTTTTTGTACGCACGGCATATTCCCTACCTCTCCCAGTTTTCAAACCACTTTCACAGACGCACACATCTCTCGAGCACACACCCTCCGAGGCACCAAAATGAAGCCCTATTGCACCACTCTCGAGATACCTATCCATACCCAGACCCGCAGCACGCCTACCTACACCACCACGTCATTTTGTCACTCCCATCCCCTCCTTGAAGCTATTCATACTGCAAACTTGCCAATCCGCTCCATGGACTCCCTCTCATTGAACTTCGTTGCACGCACCAACTGCTCTGAATCGCCCTCTTCAGGCACATGTTGTTTCTTGTTTCCCTTCGCCGGTCTCCTCTACCTTTTTCCTAACACTCCCTGTGAGATAGCTGCAGAACTCTACGACTGCCGGCTTGCACGTTTCCAGCCGTGCCTCCCTTTTCCTTATACGCACTCGCCGAACCACCGTCCGGACGCGTCGACTTCCCTCTTGTCACCGCGGCAGCACCACTTGCCAGACTCTAGATCAGCGACAACGGTCGTCGTGACCGTGAGTCGAAGACATGTTGCCGCTTATGGCACATCAACAGGCTGGCGAGAACATCCCCACCTCTCCTGAAGTGTTTGTATCCTACGTTGACAAGCACCGCGACAGGCCCCCATGAAAGATCGCAAATCTACCCGGATAGATCGATTGTGCCGATAGACGGATCGCCAGGTTAAAAACCACGCAAAGCCTTGGTCGGCTTAGCAGGCTGTCAGAAAGAAGGCCATTTCGGTGACCATCGACGGCCGCCTCGGTGACCATTACGGCCACCTTGGTGATACTAAACAACAAGTATAAGAATAAGGTGTCTGGCATGCCACAAAAGATAGAACATCAATCAATCTACATCTTTTTCTCCCCATATCACATTCAATGCAGTACTTCTGACACAGGCTGCTCGTGCTGCGATGGGAAACAGAACAGACCCCTTAAAGCTCTTATGAGATGGAAGAATGAACAGCTAACCCCTTTCCCAGACGCCTGACGCCTGACGCTGCCGAACTACCCTCTCTCGTTGAGCGACAGAATCCTCGAACAAAAGTCATAAGAAGGGGCACGGTACGCTCCAGCCACTGCCGGGCCCCAACACGAGCTCAGTCGACGTGTCGAGTGTGGTGTCGGAGGTTGCTTGGTGTTTTGCTCTAAACAAGGGGCTGACAAGAGCTGAGATTGCCACACAGTCCACCCAAGTATCTTTCCGCCGACGCCTTGCTGACAAGCTCTGGGTAATTAGATGTCTACTCGGCGTCGCGGGCATTGCATAAGCAAGCACATTGCATAAGCAAGCACATTGCATAAGCAGGCGCCATGTTAAACCGGAGCGAAGACGGCAGGAACATCAAAAGGAATCCCAGATGACGAGCGAGGAACCGTGCGATCAACACGCGAGATAAAAACAAGGTCAAAGTCCATACACGCAAGGCCCACGGAGAGCAAGATGGCCGTCACACATAAATAAATAGAAGAGGGGATAGGGGAAGTCAGAGGAAGGCAACAAACGCCGCGACACGAGCAGAGGAAAGGGATGCTTGCTGCCTGCTCAGGCTACCGGTTGATAGGCATCGACATGCCCTGCCACAAGAGGATCGGGATTCCAGGGTTCGTGGACTGGTCTCACGAGGGCTGGATGAGAAGGACACAGCGTTCGAGATGGTCTCATCATTAGAAGGGAGAGGGAAGAATTTCGGCAACGACGTGGAGATAAATACTGTGAGAGAAACAACAGCATTTGTGTAGTATATGTAGTATACGGGCCAACCTCGCATTTTCCATCAGGGGGACTTCCCATATAAACAGAGACTCAGCATTTTTTTCTAGCCTGTCTGAAAAGCTTTCTAGAAAGGAGGCGACGGCTCCTGAGACTCAGATATGACTTTCTCGTGACTTACCAGTCTTCTCGACATGCCTACCAAGATAACACTTTTTCTCGCCGTTTGTCCACCAAAGTAGCTAACCTTATTCCTCCTAAGTGCCACGTCACGGATTTTCACAGACTGGACTGTACCAACGCCCTGGACAGCCGTGTTGCGAGCTTGGATCTATTACGTGGCATCTATCTCAACCCAAGGCAAGACTGCTGCATCTGCAGTATATCCAAAGCTTGTGTGTTGTCCCTTTGTGTTCGATAACCTTGAAGATCTTTTAGAGAGCCGTTTCGAAGTTTCCATGCCCGCCATATGATCAATTAGTAGTCGATGTGTCAATGTAGCGTGTGTGGTAAGCTGTGTTGCAAACGCCATGGAATTTGCACAGAATTAGCAGACACGCAACGTTAAGTCACGCCTTGGGCCGCCCGTTCCAAACCGGTCTAGGAGCAAGAATGTTTCTCATATAAAGTCTAGCACCTGCTACGCCAAAAGGCGGCGACCACCAGCTGCTATTCCATACAGAAAGAAATCAGGGAACGAGCAAACCCCATGCTTCCTACACATCACACAACCTACTCCTGCTTCCATTCCAATTTAATATATCTTCTCCTTCGAAAATGGCCCGAGATCCCGTCTCCAGAAGTGAAGGAACAAGAAATATGCTGCCGATGTAAAGTCCAACTCTTGTCAAAACCCTGCCAAAGAACGCCGCAGGGTGGGAGTGCCGGTCTGGAAACGAAAGAGAATGAAGGGCTGTTGACGGTGCTGAAGTTAAGAATGTTATCCAATGCATAGATTGGCCCCCCTCGATCATCGACGCTTCATAATCGAGGAGGGCCGATCTACGCATTAGATGGCGTCGTCGTCCTCTGTTATATTGCCGCCGAAGAGCGAGTGCGCGCTTTGGCCGGTGACATTTATACCAGTAAAGCGGGTTTTATCGCTCAGGTACGGGGCAATCTTGCCTACTGACGGCTAATTGGCTTCTTTCTCAAGTTTAGCCGTCGCTCGTTGACGGCGGACACGGGGGGGGACGGAGGACACCGGGGGGGGAGGGTGGGCGGTGGTGACGCTGCTGCTGGAACTCGGCAACCTGTTCAAGAGTCAGGATTTCAATGTCAGAGAGTCTTCGAGGGGAGCAGTGAGATGTGATAAAGTACCTCTTGGAAGCTTCCGGCCAAGAGAACGCGGGGGGCGCAGCCAGAGCGCTTGCGTTGAGGGAGGAAGTCGCACGGGCCTGCCGGAAAGTTGTGTGGTTTGATTGAAAAGGCAGCACAAATTCAGGTTGGAGGAACTTATTGGGAAAGACTGCTAGCAGCTGGCGGTGGTGGGGTCCTCGAGGAATTAGGGCATAGGGCTTTTTGGAAAGGGAAACCGTCTGATGTTGAACTCGGAACCAGGTTAAATTTCTGCACCCCTAGGATCCTTGTGCGTTTCTTTCCCTTTTTTTCCCCCCTCTTTCAACCTCAATCACGCTTGACAAGTCATCACGCCCGGTATAGACCGGAGATGGTTTCCCTTCAAGCTGCCTTCGTCGGGGCCCTAGCCGCCCTCGCCCTCGCTCTCACTCTCGCCTTTGCCCCTGCCCCCACCACGCTCATCGTCGACGCTGTACGTCTACCCTGCACCCAGATTTGAAAGTCGGGGCCCTTCCATGCTGACGCGGTGCCTCTAGCTCTCGGTCTACATCGCGACCACAGGCGTTTACCGCCTCTTCTTCCACCCGCTGGCCAAATTCCCCGGCCCTCACCTCGCCGCCGTCTCCCCATCTGGCGCTACTATCATTGGTGAGTACTCTTCTAGTCCTCGTTCATTTGATTTAATCAGACACAAGCTGACCTGATTGCCCCCCTAGTCTTTCTGGCCGCTACGCGTTCACAGTTGAGGATGCCTTGCGCAAGTATGGCAACGTGGTGCGCATCGCGCCCAACGAGCTTGTCTTCATGAACCACCAGGCCTTTATCGGTATGTGTTAGAGCTTTTCACATCACTAATCCCAAGTATCGGGCCTGCAGGCTAGTCTTGCGGGTGCTTTTCCAGCCTACCCAGTGCCTCAGAAATTTACGATATTTAGCATTCCACCTTCTTTTCACACCCCTATCTACCAACGGCACCCCTTGTTTGGCATCGTGGCTGGCGGCTGGTTTGATCAAAGACAGTTGCTGACGAGACGCACATGGTAATTAGACATCTACGGCGCGCAGCATAACGGTCGCGGAAGATTCCTCAAGACTACCACAGTCTGGGGCACAGATCTTCTCGGGCATGCTTCTGTTGCCGATAAGCTCTTGTTCAAGTTTCGCGGTGCCTTGACCAATTACGAGCTCATAGTCTGGACACAGGCCGATGCCATCTTCGACTATATTTATGCTCGGTCTAGATATGAAGAGCCTGAGACTGTCTTACCCCTTCTCGAGTTCATCAACTGGTTTGCCATGGACGTGGCGGTGAAACTGACATGTCACGATAACCACGCCTTCATGACATCGGTAAGCACTGATTGATTTATTGGTCTTTATCGATTCTGTCCACGCCCTGTACATACATGTCACTAACCTATGTGAAATACAGCCCATCTATCTCCAAAGTTCGACCTTGCCCATGCTTGGAACGCGTTGGCCCCGATTTTCCAGTTGTTCGGGTGCATCCCTCTCCTGCGGTCCCTTCTGTCCCTCGTGCCGGCGCTTCTGGAAAAGTTAGGCTCATTCGGGTTCTTCGTGGGTGAGGCATCGGCAGGAAGCTTGCAGTGGCTTGCGCGGCGGCCCAAGCTGTTTCGTTTGGTCCAGACCATAATGGCTAAGGGGAACTGGAGCAGCTTTGTGCTGGTGCCCGGTATCGATATCGAGGGGGAGCGCCGGGTGCCTGGAGTGGAGCGGTAGATCACGACGGATCGGGTCGCTTCGGCGGGCGCGCAGCTGGTGCTGGCGTCCTTCAGCCCAATGGCCGACTGGCTCTACTTCACCATCGTCCACCTTCTTCAGAACCCCGTCTGGTGCACTCTTCTAGAAGAAGAGATAAGACCCGCCTTCCCCCCCAAATTGAGCATGGAGTTCGGTGCCCAGCTCGAGGGTCTGCCCATTCTTGACGCCCGTCTCCTGGAGTCGCTTCGTCTAATGGCCAGATATATCAATGGCATGCCTCGCATCAGCCCGGGTACCGTGATTGATGGTTGCTTTGTGCCGAAAGGAGTCAGTATCCCCCTTCCGCCTCCCTCCCCTCAAACAAGCTGTGCAGGATACGGAGCGAGGAAAATGACCACACCGCTAACCTGCCGCTTTCCAGGTCATCGTGCAAACCAGTGTCTTCGCCCTGGCCCGCAACCTGCGCTACTTCAACGAGCCGCTGCAGTACCGGCCCGAGAGATGGCTCGGGCCGTACGACGTCGTGTCTGGTAGCTTGCCATTTAGCAGCGGCGGTGACATTGGCTGCCAAACTTCAGCACGGCCTGCGCAACTGCATGGGCGAGGACGTCGCCTGGATGCAGGCTAAGTTTTTTGTGGCTAACATGATGCGGTGGATGAATATCTCTCTGCCTGAGGGCCAGGCCACTCCTGACTTGGAGCGTCTCTCGCAGTATGGATCCTGGGAAAAGCCAGAGATCATGGTGAAATTTGATCGTGTCCCGCAGGATGGCGATTCCGAAAGATGGGGATTCCGAAGGATAGTGATTGAGGCGGGAAGGTGGGAAGAGTTTGGGTGGAGGACTTAGCATGCAGAGGTGGGTTTCTGTAAGAGAAGGCAGGTACGCCTGATCAAGGTGGTCACAATAGGAGCAACAAGCAGGGCGAGCAATGACTGGTATTGGCGTAAGACTTCAACCTGGCCTGAGCCACAGAGGTGTGCGAAGGCCATGGTCTATATACACGTGAAAGGGGTTACGAGTCATCCTTGTGTGGCCAGGGTGGTAGTGGCGATAGTGCGTGGCCCTGTTAGCGGTGGCGATAGTGGCGATGGTGGCGAGGGTGGCCCTGGTGGCGGTGGCCATGGTGGTTACGAGGGTGGTTTCCTTACAGTTTCGTAGAAGACCTTGCCTTGCGCATGTGGGAAATACAATATCACCGCGCGCAATAGATGATTACATAAGCGGATGTTTCCAGCAAACGACTTCGTGCCAATATAATATGTGGTGCAACAAGGGAAGCTATGAAGAAAACTGTAATGAAGCATGCCTTGCTGGAGGCGAACTCCATACTGCTAGAGCCGCAACAACCTCTTGAAACACTCTGCGGCGGGAAGAGAGTTTATCTAGAGAGCTCACTTTCGTTAATTAGGAAACCGCAGTTATTAAGGGATGAAGACTCTATTACAAGAACATAGGGTTGGCACTTCTTTATAGTAAACTAAAAAAAAGTAACTTGGTAGTAATTTTCCCGCCGACAAGTCTCTGGCCCTGATCTACCACCTAAACTATGTTGTTCTACGACACCCCTATCACTGCATGGTATCGGGCGCGGAGAGTACTTGGTTGTCTCGTGGATACATCTATTCGATTCTATTTCATACGGGGACAAGCGATTCCCCCTTCTCTACTCCGTAGTGCCGGATATTTAGCCAAGTGTCTACCTGATCTTACCTTGTTATCCTGCTTTCCACTCATGTCACGTAACTATGACATTATGAGTACATTGGAATAGGGGGTTGTAAGAGAGGGCAGGTACGCCTGATCAAGGTGGTCACAATGAAGACAACAGAAGGTGAGCAATGACTGGTATTGGCGTAAGACTTCAGCCTGGCCCTCGCAAAGGAGAGGTCGAGGGCCATTGTTTATATACATGCTCAGGAGCTCGGTCCCGAATATGCACGTGACACAAGGCGCCCGGTATGGGCTTAGTGGCTCATGCCAGCCGGCAGTGATCTGGCCCGTTAGTGCCAGACGGTCAACGCGTGTAAGGAGTGCGCGTTGACAGGTGGTTGGCAAGGTGAGTGTCCTTTTCCTTACAACTATCCCCCCCGTACGCTCTGTCCGGTGTGTCCATGCCAGTGAAGCGCTTGTTGTCACCCAGGTGCAGTTCTTGTCACCCAGGTGCAGTTGTTGTCACCCAGGTACGGGGCGATCTTGTTCATCGAGGGCTGGTGGGCTTCTTTCTTCAGCTTTGACGTGGCCTCGTGGACAGCGGACACGGGGGCGATTGTGCCCAACCCCGGGCCCTATCTCTCACTTGATTTGTGTCGTTTTCCTTCGCCCGTTTTCTAACCAGGAGAAACTCCAAGATCCCCAGCGAGCCCCTGACCAGACGCAACACAACGGCTTCCCCCGCTTGCGCGGTCCGCCATCATGCACGCCTGATCAGACGCATCGCTTAGGATCTCGGGGTTTCTCTTGGTTAGACCCCTTGAACATTTCCGAGGCCACCACTCCCAAACTCCCGGAAAGCAAGAGTCAAATCCCTGAATGTTTGTTGGCGGGGCCGCCCCCTGATATAAAGGTTAGCAAAGGAAAAACTTAGTTGCAAGGGGAACACATACTATTCTCTGACGGTGATATCTTCACCGTCGGCCACCGGGAATCGGAAGAATCGCGTGCCTCTAGACGTCGCGAAGGCGGTGCCTTAAAGCCGGCGGACTAAGGGAGCGAATAGACCAGGGTCTGTGGTGGGCATCCGGAGTTCGTTGCGGCCCGGAGTAGCGTTGCCCCGGCTAGTCAGTCAACCTGTCAATTGCAAGCCAGTTGCCCTGGCCAGCCAGCGAACCCCACGAGAGGAGAGCGTGGTTTGAACAACAGCGAGAGGATGGAGCCTAGAGCAGAACCCGCTAGCAGTGCTGGCGAGGCGCTCGTCATCGACACCATCACTGCTCAGAGTCGGTTTGTTACGTCGTCAGCGGTAAGTGACGCTAACGCAACGACTTAATCAATTGCCAGGTAGCCAGCTAGCTTCCCTTCAATTCATCATCATCCTCTTCTTATTTTGGCAGACTATCCCATCACAAGTTGGGCCGACTTCTGTGTGGCAGGAGATGGGCCGACTTCTGTGTGGGAGATGGGTTGATGCGGTCATTTCTTTTCTGTAGAGATCCAACAACGTCACCGCTAGCCAGCTTCCGACCTCGAAGGTGGTGAGGGAACCGACGAGCTGTCTTGGATGTGATTTCGAATCGCTTGTTCTGAATGTGCTTCGTGCTAGTGTCAATCTTGCCGGAGTTCTTGAGTTCGCCGGGGCTGGATACTGCGTGCTTTTTCCTTGAGACATCTTAAAAACACTCTCGTGTGGGCAGAGACGAGCGGCTCTCAGGGGAGACATGTCGCGTGGGAGGTAGTAGAGGGTGAAAGTATAGCGTTTTATTAGAAGCCAGTACTTCTCTGCCTGGTAGGGCTCAAAACTAACTTGGTTAGTATAATGTCTACGCGGAGTAGAATATGAAGGAAAGGACCTTACCTCTTCTCGGCTCCGGTAGCCATTTTTTATCGTCTAAGGGAAAGAAAAAGAGCCCGTTTCTCTTCGCTCTGGCAGCCGAAGGCAGCGACCACAGTCCCGACGGACTTCGCCCTCGAGAGTCTTGATCCACTCATCACCCTCGGAGCAGAGGACTCCGAGGGGACTCGTGGGTTGGCGGTAAAGTTCGTGAGTCGGCCAGTATGACTCTGTCGGTGCCGTTCAATTGTTTGACTTTTGGCTGTACCGCGGCGAATTCTTGGCTGTCTTCCTTTTAGCGTGTGCGTGGTGATGGGGATATGCTCGCAACATCCACGGCGTGGGAGTAGACGACCATATCTGCGCTCGGTAGTGACATTTGGAGGGAGAAGGAAGGAGGAGGAGGAAGAGGAGGAAGATGAGCAAGACGAGGAAGACGAAGAAGACGAGGAGGACGAGGAAGACGAGGAGGACGAGGAAGACGAGGAGGAGGAAGACGAGGAAGAGGAGCAAGACGATCAAGACGAGCAGACGAGCAGACGAGGAGGACGAGGAAGATGAGGAAGACGAGGAAGACGAAGACGAGGAAGAGGAGCAAGACGATCAAGACGAGCAGACGAGCAGACGAGCAGACGAGGAAGACGAGCAAGAGGAGGAAGACGAGGAAGACGAGGAAGGAGGCAATAGCTATAGGCTCATGCAAAGCAGCTTAGAACGTGAGTTCGGGGCGGGGATCTTCTGCTTAAAGGGAAAAAAGGACTCGCAAGCGCTGCACGGAAAACTGGAAGATGGTGGTGGGGTAACATACCTATCATTCTGTTCGAAAACGTGCGGAGTTTGGCGTGGCCGTGCTCGAAGACGAGAAATAATGGCCGGAAGAGCCCGGCGTCGGAAGGAGCCGCATCTAAGCCACATATGGGCGCAGGTGGCGCACATGCTAGACCGTTTACAGCCTAGACTGTGTCAGCCGAATGCCGCTTAACTATGGTATTCAGGTTATGCCCACCTTTCTGAACCTTCCGAATACAAGTACTTTTTGGCCCTCAATTGATGCAGCGTTGTATGTGACACCCGACACTCCAGCCAAAGTGGAAGGCGGCAAGGTACGCGAGGAAAGGCGACGGGAGAAAAAAATGGGTTTCCGGGCTGTGGGTAGAAAAGCAAGACCCGGTAACGCTCGGGCCACGACTTCGAGGTGAGTGGAAGGGAAAGAATCAGAAGGAAGAGAAATGACGTGCCGCAAAGCGGGCTTCTCTCACTGGCTTCCAATTTGCTGGATATGGAACACGGGGATTGTGCGCAGACATGAAAAAAAAGGTCTTGGGCGTACATAAGTAGCGGGTCTACGTTGAGGAGGACTCCGGACGAATCTGATGTGTGTCGAGTGAGAAACGGCAGGGCTAGGGAAGAGGAAAATAAATTCAAATGCGTGGCCCCAATCCTGTGGTGTGGCCGTTGCTAGCGGCCAGTGACGGGTGAGAAAAGAACGCTTAGGGCAGGACCCACCAGTGACTGGAAGGCACAAGAGATAATCATACCACAGTGGGGCAAGAGATAGTCATACCACAGTGGGCAGGGCAAGCAACCTGAGGTGTGGGCAAGATACCAGGGCTCGAAGAAGCAACAGAAGCGCCTGGCCTAACATCGACCCGCAGTCGGATGACGCAGCGTAGGGAGTGTATCTAGTCCGAACCTGCACGGGGGACCGAGGTGTCCTAGCTCGATGCTGGTGGGCACATGGCCCAGGCCGTGTTGAGGCACCGAGGAGCCTTTATGTACCACTATACCGGTCCAGTCTCCCAGCGAAGTAGCTCAAACCCCACAGGCCCACGGAGGTACGGTAGGTCATGGTAAGGACTCCGTGTTGGCTCTTGTGGTATACCCTTCGCTTTTGCCTCTTCTTTTAACGTCGCACGTTCGAGCCACGGCTGCGGGCGTGCCTTTTCTTTTTTCTTTTGTATTTTTTGTCCTTTCATCCCTCACTCTCACCCCAAGTAATTGCATTCTTTTCAAGACTCGCCGTCATGTTCACCAGCACACAAATAAGTACCTGTGGACGACACCTCCGCCGGGGCCATGGCATTGCTTGACTAGCAGGTTAATCAGGACTTTGATCTAGCATCATTAGTTACTCTGCACTTCCCCCGACAACTGTGAACTTGCACGTGTGCATCACAACCAACCTCCCAACCTCCCAGCCAGGCCACCTTTCCACCGAACCTGCAACATATTTCTTTCGGTTATCTCGACGCCCGAGACAAGGCATACGGTTTCGTCCCGCATCCCCGGCCAACACCCACTCAGCACTTCACAGGCAGCGCCTTAGCCGTCGTAGCCGTCTTGGCGAGCGCTACCTCTGCATCGCGGCGGCGGACCAGCCCTGGGAGCACCTCACCACCGCCGTGCACCCACTTTGGCAGCTCGTCGGTAATGAGCGCGTTGGGGTTCTCGCCCTTGTTGAGACGCTTGATAAGCGACGAGTCCTCGGCCGCGCCGCAGCCCATGTTGAACGCCCAGCTGACAAGGGCGCCGTACTGGTTGAGGTTCAGCGTGACTTCGTCGCTGGTCATCTTTGTGATGCAATCTTCCTTGGGCTGATGCTCTCCGTCAGATACTATCTCCGACTGGTCTGGCTTGGGGTTGGACTGATCTTACCCTCATGTCGTCGGCCAGAAGCTTCTTGCCGTCCGTCTTCGACAGCGGGATCGAGTACTTCACGTCGGAGCACTTGGAGTTGCTGCACAAGTGGCCGTACCCGACGGTAGGGTTGCCCGTTGGATCCGTGTCTGGCGTCCGGGTTGGTAAAACATGTCCCCGACGACAGTAGGCAAACGAGAACACTTACAGACGCTGGCCCTGAAGCCCTCAAACTCGGAAATCAGATCGACAGTCGCCTGGTTGGACCGCGGAGCCGCGCACGACCCCGAACTGCTGCCGCACTTGGAGGCGACATAGTCACTGGTGCCTGTCTTGACGTAATAGTCTGAGACATAGCAGCCGTCGGTCGTCTTGTCCCATAGCTTGACGCCGTTGATGACTTCGCCGGGCGTCTGGCACGTGAGCTTCACGTCCTGGCCCTCTTTATACGTTCTTTTCACGTCATAGCTGGTGCCCGGTCCGGATCTGCAGTTGACCACGTCGCCTATGATCGGGTAGGCGCCTCCCAAGACAACGAACGGGGCGAGACCGGCGAGCACAGTCAGCTTCATAGTCGACAAAGAAAAGAGCATACCGCAGATGGTGTGGGATTTAACGTGAAGGCACGCCTGAGGCTCAAAGAGGCTGGAAGATCTGATGTCGAAGCGGATAGCAAGTCGAAACAGAGAAGTCGAAACAGAGAAGTCGAAACAGAGAAGTCGAAACAGGCGCAAGCCATGAAAGACCCTTTATGATGAGTTATTTAGCAACATGCAAAACCTGGTCCGTGGATTTGCATATCGCCAAGCTCGTCTATAATCGCCATTTCCAACCCTCGGTGAGACGGAGTGATGGTGCGCCGTCTTATTGGTCTGCCACCGCACACCTAGGTCTTTGACTATGGTTGTCTACGGAGCTGGCACGGCGATTGGAGACTTTCTTTTTGCCGCGATCATGGTTGATTAACTTCCCATTGGTGCTAATCATGACTTGCACCGACAAAGATGATTGGTTTCCAGCTTGCCCACCCGAACATTTTCACTCTAGACACCTAGCTGAGCACTATCGGACCCATTTTTACTGGCCCTACGCTGCAAGAGGGTGTAAGCGAACTAGGGCCTCGAGGCCGACGGTAGACTCCGAGGAGAAGCGGTCAAAACTTGGGAGAACGAGACATGTGTTCAACCGGGTTGACTAAATCAGCTTGCCCGGCTATGTGCGAAGGGAACAGCTTCAGGTTCTAGACCAAGCTTGGACTGGTCGCCAGCGGGCGCAAAGTGCACCGGGCGCAAAGTGCATCGGGCTGTGGTCTGCAAGTTAAGGATTTTGATTGCTAATAACGCACGAGGCAGCAGTAGCCGAATTAGCCCTAACTGACGTGCTTAACCGGATATACTAGCACACCATTACTTGCCTCCCCGCTCTTCAGCTGGCTGCCCGAAAGCTCCGGGAATGCACATATTTCTCCGTGGTTGGCGACTTTATCGTTTGAACCAATCAGCCATCGGCACTCTTGCCCCTCAAAGTACCGGATCCGATTACCATGAACGGAATGTCATCGCTTGTGTGTCCTTGTCTCCTGTTTCACTTGCAGTGATTGACCGACCGCCGATGGGCTCAGCTGAAAGGTGCATATTCCGGGCCGCAATTCATATTCAGGAACAAGCTTGGTCCCGTTTCATGTGCCGTATGGCCGCCGATCCCTTTCCCACAGAATTCTGCTGCACCATGCTTCTCCCTCCTCGGGATATTCCCCGAACGGCTTACCCTATACCGCAACCTCGTTGTTCCCATACCACAACCTCGTTGTTCCCATACCACAACCTCGTTGTGGTCCCTGAGCCAGCCCACGTGGTACTGGGCCGCCATTGGGGTTACACTGCCCCTTTCCGAGTCGCCAATCAGGCTAGATCTATGTAACGTCGGAGGAGCACAGCCCAAAAATCAGTGCCACATCGCTCTGCTGAAACATGCAGTATTACTCTTGCAGGGCTTCAAGTTGGGCCGACTCGGTGTCGCGATGTGGACGACGAGGCTGCATGCAGACTGCCTACAGACTAGAAAAACCAGGACTAAATTGAACGGCCTCGGCAAGTAAGTCCACCAGTCTTGGAAGATTACCATCATCATGAGCTTCCTGATTCCTGACCGAACCTCCGGATAACCAAACAAAATATCACGCCCTCCATTTTTGCAACTACCATGAAGCTTCTCACCATCGCCAGCCTCCTCCAGGCAGCAGCCTTCACCACCACGGCGGCATACCCCATCACGGGCGACGGCGTCAACTGCCGCTCGGGGCCGGGCACCAGCTACGCAGTCAAGAAGTCCTACGCCAGAGGCACCGACGTCGCGGTGACGTGCCAGACGGCCGGCGAGTCGATCAACGGCAACGCCATCTGGGACAAGACGTCGGACGGGTGCTTCGTGACCGACTACTACGTCAAGACGGGCAGCGACGGCTACGTGGCGACCAAGTGCTCTTCCTCCGGAAGCTCAACGATTCCAGGCCCCGTGGCCAACGACTACCCGTACAAGTCGTCGTGCGGCGGCGTCGACCCGTGGCGCTACTACAAGTGCCAGTGCACCAGCTTCGTAGCCTTCCGCATCAACAGGCGGCTGGGCATCGACTTCACCAACACGTACAAGGGCCACGCCTGGGGAAACGCCGACTCGTGGGACGACGCCGCCCGCGCCTCGGGCGTCACCGTCAACAGCACCCCCAAGCCCGGATCCATCGCCCACACTAATGCAGGCTCCGCCGGCCACGTCGCCTGGGTCGCTGCCGTCGGCGACGACACCGTCACCGTCGAGGAGTACAACTGGGCCACCGCCAAGGGCTACGGTAAGCGCACTGTGTCCAAGGGCACCTTTAGCTACATCCATATCAAGGTCTAGTCAAATGCTGCGCTAGTCTGGCTGGAAATACGGTGTGTGTCTTTGCTATTTAATCTTTTCCACGTTCTGTATTAAGCACGGTCTTCTTTCCCTCTGCATGTTGAAGAAGAGGAGGGCCAGGGTGGTGGTTGAAGGAGGAAACTGTAGTGAAAGTAAATGCATAATTAGGCTAGTTGGGAAAATTCCCCCAACCTCCTTGCCCGATCTCCCTGCTCTCCCTGCTCTCCCTGCTCTCCTTGCTCTCCCTGCTCTCCCTGCTCTGCACTCTGCCGTGGGGTATAATATGCCTCACTTTCTGACCTTCTCTCATTATTCCTTGTCTCTAGAAGATAAGACGGGGGAAAAAAACACCCCCGCCTAAGACGCTGAAGCCCAAACGATCTGGCCAGAGTAAGGTGATTCTTCCTTGCTTCCATTAGAGAACAGATCCTCGAAAAGGAGTGAAAACCACACCAAGTGCAACCCAAACAAGCTAACATCAATAGGGGAGGAAATGTCAGCCTGGGCACCAGTAGCTGACTGGCTTGTAGGCGCATGCGTCATATGCCCGCGCACGAGATTTCGCTCACACATTTAGTATGGGGCTCTACCCCTCCACAAGTTAGCTAGCCAGTGCACATCACACATTGCCTCCCCAACAAGGGGCATATACCCTTTTGCTTCTGTGTAAACAAGCCCCTTTTCCTAGGCCACTTATCCCCGCGTCACTACATGCCTTTTTCAACGCAATTCCCCAGCTCTACTTTACCTATGACAAACCCGCTACCGATGGCCCGCAAAAACGCTAGAGGCCCGACGTAGGGGCGAGTCACGATAATTGGGTGGTGTTGGATTCAGTCAGTTGCACGGTTGGATAGGTTCGATTGTGTGTATTCTTGTGTGTTCCTTCAATTCCTGGCTCTCGCTCGTTCTTCTAGAAGTCTCTGTTGTGGCGCACCAGCCCCCCCCTGCGGTGAATCGGCGCCACGACCGGGGTCAACCACGTGACTTGGCATGTGGCTAGTCTGACACACCCCCTCAGCCAAATGCCGTTGCTAGGCGGTTGGCTGGACCTATTGAGGCTATTCAGACTTCCAGAACAGGCAACTCTGCCTCTCCTCCTTCGATCAAGTCTTCCAAAGCTTGCACATCTTCGTCACTGATCCTCCTCAGCGTGGCCTGCCGCCGTTGTAGTGGTTCAAAGATGTCCACCACTCCAATTAGCTCTCTGAATCGCTCAAAGTCTGGCTCTGCCAGCGCCTTCGTGAGGCCATCTGCAAGTTGCTCCTTCGTTGGCACGTAATCCAGCCGTACCTCACGTCTCTCGATTCTCTCGCGTAGCCAGTGATTGTGGATATCCACGTGCCTCAACTTGGTAGTGAGGATCGCCACGTCTTGGGTGACGAGTCGGATAGTTTGCGTGTTGTCACACCAGATCTGGACATGCCGTTCGTCGAGTTGGACTCCGATCTCCTGGATCAATCGTAGCGAATAGAGCGCTTCCTTCGTGCCTTGCGATAGTGCCATCAGTTCCGCTTCGGTTGTCGAGGTTGTTACTGTGTCCTGCTTGTTGGCTTTCCATCCTACTGCTCCTCCGAACAGTGTTGTCACGTAACCTTGTGAGCTGCGGCGATCTGCGGTGTTATCGGCGAATGAGGCATCGGTCCAGGTATCGAGACTGTCGCCACCTCTAATCTTGAGGGCGTGGTTTGCCGTTACTAAGAGGTATTCGACTACTCGCTCCGCCGCTTTGAGGTGCAGTTGACCTGGGTTGAGATTGTGCCTTGCGAGCCGAGAGGCTGCAAATGCTACGTCTGGTCTGGTGATTACTGCGGCGTACAGAACGGTTCCGACGATTCTTTGGTAGTGTTGGGTCTCTTGGCGTGATGCCGCTCCTAAGAATGCGAGGAGTTCTCCGGCTGCCATCGGTGTCTTGTGTACCCTGCGGTCGGTTCTATTGACGAGGAATCTCTCCATCTTGCGTATGTATTCAGCTTGTGAGAGGTAGATGGTCCTGTTGACTCTGTCTCGGATTACTGCGACTCCAAGGAACCACTGGACTTCGTCTCCTCCTTGGAGCGCAAACCGACTGCGTAGGTGTACCACGAGATTGGTCGCCTCGGCTCTCTTCTCTTCTCCAAAAGCAACCACGATATCATCAACATAGAAGAAGATGATGACTCCGTTTCGAACCCAGCAGCACGGCTCGTGCTTGACTGGCTCGCGGCCAGCCTCTCTGAGCGCCTGGTTGAATAACTTCTGCCATAGGAGTGGTGACTCTCTCAATCCATAGAGGGCCTTCTTGAGCTTGAGGACTCGGTCTTGCCGCTCGAACCCGTACGGCATCCGCATATACACATCGTATGGCATTTTGGCGTGAACGAAAGCGTTGACAACGTCGTACTGAATCAGTTCGAAGTCAAATCGTGCTGCTATCGCCATGAGGGTGCGGAATGATCTGCCGGCTAGGGTCGAGGCGTACGTATTCTCTACGTCTCCTCTCGCTTGTTGGTCTCCACGTACGACAACCCGTGCCTTCGTCTTGATGAGGTACCCGTCTTTGTCGAACTTGTAGGTATAAACCCACTTGCAATCGAGGATCTGCTCGCCCTTGGTAGAGGCGATGTGGACCTCTTCAAACGACTGCATTTCGTGATGGCTTTCCATATGGTCGGCCATGGCGGCTCGGAACCAGATCTCGAGTGGGTGTGCGCACATACGACCATAACTAATCGGTGCAGGTGGCAGATCTCGCCTGTGATACTTGCCGTTAGCTCTTGGTTTAATTGTAGTGGGATGGTTCTTAGCGTTAGTTTCAGCCATCATGGCTACCTCGCAGCGTGCCAGTTGCCTACGCCTTCGTGGGCTAAGTCGCAGATGGTTTAACTCTTTATAGAGATGCCATCGACTGGCTGCCTTGCCGTGGTGTTCTCCAATGGTTGCGGCTACTCTGCCTGCGTTGAACGCTGCTCTCCAGGTCTCGCCTTGAGGCATCGCGTGTGTGTCTTGTTCACTGAGCTCTATTGTTGTGAAGGCTGCCGCTAACAGATCCGTTGCGTGTGATTGATTTGATCCAGGTGGTAGGAGTTGGCTTGGGCAATACGCTGAGTAGAGGGGGCCAGTCTCGTACTCGTTCTCGCGTTCCATCTCCACTTCTTTCATGGACTCTGCCTCTATAAGTTCAGAGATATCTGCCTCGGATTCAAAGGTTTCAGATAGATGGCACTCATTCTCAATTACGGAGGTTCCAGAGTGTGCGTGCTCAACTTCGACTACTTGCTGTAGATCTTGACTCCTCTGTGCTAATGTTCGAACGACGATCTCGTCAAGGATCAGCTCTTCCTCATCTTCTTCTTGAGTTTGGAAGTCGTGCTGTGTAGATATCGCTGCAGGAGAGTCTGCCTCTTCTTCTTGGACTTCGCAATCCTCCAAGATCTGGTACATCTGCGGGAGTGACTTCGCAGAGATCGTCCTTGAACTTGCTAATATCGCCGTCAAAGAGATTGTCTTCGTCAAAAGTCACATCTCGAGTTCTGATCACTTTATTAGTCTTAGGATTCCAGATCCTGTAGATATTAGTACTATCGTAGCCGATCAAGTAGCCTATCCAGGCATTCGGCTTCAACTTCATTAGTCTGTTCTCCTTCTTGAGGGCGTCTGGCGTCATCGCATACGCTCGGCTACCATAGTTGCGCAGGTGGTGCAGCTTGGGCTTCCTTAATCCGGTCTTGTTGCCTGAGATGCGCGCGACGGCTGTGTGGAAAACTTCGTACGGAGTCTGCCAGTTGAGACTCCTTCTCGGCGTTCTGTTAAACAGATAGACTGCGGCCTTGAAGATCTCTACCCAAAGGTAGTGCGGAAAGCGAGCAGCCATCCTCATCGCTCTCGCCTTCAACTTTATCACACCCCCTGAGCGTTCGGCTCCGCCATTCTGTGCTTGTGTGTCTGGTGCCGAGCGCTCCACGACTACGCCTCGATCTGCAAAGAATCTCGCCATAGCTTTGGCTCTCACGATCTCGTTGTCGGTCTCGATCCTCTTTACTGCTAGTCCGTGTTGTTTCTCGACAATTGTGAAGAACTTAGTAATTATGCGTTGAGTGCTAGGCATCTTGCGATCGGTCAAATAGGCGTCAAACACATAGCTTGATTTTCGGCAAGTGAATAGCATCGCGGAGGACAGTCCATCTGGATCTGGAGCGAGGTCGAGGAGGTCGATAGCGATCGTCTCGCCCACTCCTTTTGGTGGCTCTCGTGGCACACGCCGTATTTTGCGCTTGGCTTTCGCTTGACCACAAGCTGGGCAATTGTAGCCGGTTGGGCCACGGATCTTGGCGCCCTCGGTGGCTACAGGGAGGTGTACGATTGCTTCTGCGCCTGGATGGCCGAGTCTGCCATGCCAGAGTAATCCAGTCTCACAGCTCGGCTTCCGGCTAGTCCATGAAGTGTAGTTGTGTGTAGAGAACGCGCCGTCGTGTGCCTCTGGCATCTCTGAGAGGAACGAACTCTAGGACAAACTGGTTATAGTGATTGAGAATTTTGCCGATTGCACGATCGTTCTTGAGCCGCCGGAGAGTGTCGTCCTTATTATTGAAGTAGTATCCGAGGTGGTTGAGTCTCCTTAGGGATACTATGTTGGTGTTGAAACCTTCGCAGTAGGCCACTTCGGGGAAAATGAGCCTTGTTTTTCGGCCTGCCGGCTTTGTAATCAAGATCGTTACTGTGCCCCAGCCAAGGATTCGGATCCGAGAGTCGCCAGCGACGACTTCTTCGCCGTGGACTGCATGGCGGTAGTTGTGGAATCTCCGACGGTCGTTAAAGATGTGTAAGGTCGCGCCAGAGTCGAGGAGAGTGGATTTGCTCAGAGGATAGGTGTCGAGGCTAAATGCTGCGTACGCGAGTAATCTCTCTTTTGGGGCAATGTGATAAGGGACCGCCTTGATCATGAATGCGTGGAAGACTTCCTCCGTAGCAAAGAGGGTAGCTAGTCACCTCATCGCGCGGTTCTCCTTAATCTTACGAACTCTCTCGGCAAGACTGGGATCTGCCTTAAGAAGTCGTGCCACTGCTCTCTTCTGGTGGATGATACTCTGGTGGTTCCACCACTCTAGTAGGTCTAGGTAGTTGTCTAGGTACGTGTAGTAACAGTCCTCTGCGTTGTGGCTGTTCTTGGAGCAGACGTCACACTCCTCCACACTCTGGATCGTGCGGCCTTGTGAGGATCGTGCGCTGGATCCACGGCTGCGACTGCTTCGCCCTCAAGAGGATCCCCTCCGACTCGGGGTGCTGCTCTCTCTCTTTGGGGTCTTGGAGTTTATACGTCTAGTCTAGTAGAGTTGAAGCCTCCTTCTGGATCTTATCGTATTGTCTTTGCGCGCGTGTGTATCGCGTTATAGCCATGTTGTATTGTTCCTTGCCTCTCTCGGAGAGGATGGTCTCGTCGTTGGCCGGGCTCGCGGCATTGTGCCGTTGTGCTGCCAGTTCCTGTCGTACACGCTGGTCTTTTTCCCGTCGTTTCTGGAGAGCCGCTCCACGGAGCCTTGGGTAGTCGGCGTTGTTCGGATCACGGATTCCGTGGGTCGGCGGCGGTGGCATACGATCGACTTCGGTTTGTAGGAGCTGAGTCTCCACATCCTCGTCGTCGTCGTCTTCCACCGTGGAGTTTGTCGTGGTGGTCCTATTTTGATCGAAGTATCTTGGTTCTGGAAACGTGGGCTCCTCCGGCCATTCCGTGCCTTCGAAATACTGCCAGAGGTTGACCTGTGTAGCCTTGGCCTTGAGGGCATCAGCCCAAGCGTGCCAATCCTCTGGGCCGTTGAAGATCACGGTCGATTGTGTCGCGTTGGTCGTCATTGCGCTTCTTTTTGGGCGTTTTGGTCGTAATTGGCGTAGCTTTCCGTGCGCGCGACTCAAACGGTAGTGACAGGGCTTGTGTAGCGAATCTGACTGCGAATTGTGTCAGTTGCACGGTTGGATAGGTTTAATTGTGTGTTTTCTTCAATTCCTGGCTCTCGCCCGTTCTTCTAGAAGTCTCTGTTGTGGCGCACTAGCCACCCCCTGCGGTGGATCGGCGCCACGACCGGGGTCAACCACGTAACTTGGCATGTGGCTAATCTGACACGATGACTTCGTTATCTGGCCTCAAACATAGCTGAGAGCGACATACTACTCCAGCCACAGGCAGGACACCACCGGGAGCTCGTCGGAGTGGCAATCGATTGTTCAGAAAGCGGGCAGCTCGCTATCATGCGGCGACTTGTCAGTATAGCACGCGCCGCCGTGGTACTCCCTACATAACGCGATCGATTGCAAGAAATACAGGATGTTAGAACGTCTTCCAAGCGGTCCGATATCCCATTCGACCACAGTAGACCGCCGTGCACCACACGGTCAGCCCGATGAGTTTGCCGCCTTTGCTTTTGTGGTCGTACGATGTTCATCTAGCGAAAAAAGGAGATAGGCCTGGCATGTGAGGTCGTCAAAGTCGTATACTAGGTACTACGTCTCTATGGAATCCCAAGTCGTCTCAGGTAGAACTCTATTTCTAATCCAGTCTGCGCTTCATCAACCCCATACCCTAAACCGTCTAGACTGTGCCAGACGTCCTTTCGCGCAGTCGCGAAATGTTCTTCAGCTACGAGGATCCCCCTTACCAAGTCCATCTAGGAGCACTCAACACAAAACGAGTCCTCTTCCTTAGCCATATGTGGGGCTCATGGCAAAAAGTCTCGTGGCAAATGAAAGCAAGCAAACAATCCTATTGTAGCTGCGTAGAGGATACTGCACCGAAGGAAGAAATCTTCAGGCAGAGCCAACTCAAGTGGTGGGCTAAATCCGCCAAGTAGGTCCTCTCCATATAGGGCCACCTCACACCATGGCGGATTATGATAAAACTAGAGACTGTGCCTCGTAAGGTGCTAGATTTCGGGTTTTTACAATGCGCGCCGAAGAGTAATCTATCCAATGAGGCAGAGTTGGTGCCGAAGCCCCTCTTCAGGACAAATGAATAAGCCTCGGCAAACGTCGCAGCCGCCCAAGCCCTGAATGCCCAACTTGATGCTAGCATAACTACATGAAGGCAATGACTCTGTTCCCAACAAAGATAACCTAAGATACAAGCACCTCTGCCTGATAAATGTACCCTTAGGTACCATAATGCTCCTCCAACAAGACAAACACACTCTTTACCCCTAAGAAATAGTTATACAGTATAATAACCCCTCCTTCTCCTGGTTAAAGGAAAAGAGACACAAGTAATACAACCACGTAATTACAACCCCATGAATTCCACTAAATCCAGTGTGCAGTGCTGACAAGATTCTGTCTAGTGGCCGAAAACTAGGCTCAGGTCTAAGTTCAGAGGCTCCCACTTGTTGCCGTTCACCGTTTGACAAGGCTCAAAGCGCGTAAGCGACTTGCGTTTGCGGCGGCAAACACACCCTTTTTTGTAGGGCTTAGTGGTCGGGTAAACATTCTTAGATGCAGCAGGTGTCAACCCAGACATATCTCAGAGCGAAGGTCTGGGCCTTGCGGCAGGACCAGGTGATCTTTTCGTAGCCCAGCTTGTGAGTCGGGGGCGAGATCGCTTCAACATCCTAGAGGCTAACCTCTTCCTTCCCCCAAGTGTGGGATAGAATGGCATATGGAGGTGTGTAGTCCCCAAAGAATTCCTCGAGTCGGCAAGTCTTTGCGTTGAGGAGACGCATAGTAGCCAGGATGGTACCAACAGAGTTTGTTGCAGGTAAAAATTGCGGTCGCAGTGCAAAAAAACTACCGAGACTGCTCGCCGCCTGCTTAGGGCTAGACTTGCATATCCGAGTCGGTGCCAAGTACTACTCACGTGAAGCAGCGCATGGGTACTAAAGGATCAATCTTGTCCCCATGCCTAGAGGGTAATTCGTCCGAGTATTGTAAATATAGATCTTTGTAAGCTTTTCATCTGAGTGACCAGGTTTAGGACTTACACATAGGGGGACCAGATTCGGGCTCCGATCATGGCCTAAAAACAATATAATAATGCAAGTCTTACTGTAGTATCGCCTATCAGAACATACAGTACCTTTGAATAATAATCATCTAACATCACGTTTACTTTAAAATGGAGTACCCCTCAGCGATGAGAGTACTGGTAAGCCAACTAATATTATACTATGGTATGAGAGCCTAACGTGAGATAGTTTCATATTGTCTTTCTCTTTATAGGTTCGAGTGTTCTTCTAACTCAGTACTCGAAATGTATTGTTATCAACCGCTATATTCTCTACAGCGTGGACAGCTGTTCATCTTCTCTTTTGGAACCCTGTCATATGGCCGCTTCTAACCGATCTTTTTCATAACCCACTGTCTTCTTTAGCCGAACTCACTGTTTTTCTCTGGCTGCTTTATTTTTATAGGGGATTATCCGACCAGTTGATTGAGACGCAAGGTGTATTGAGTTCATTATTTTGGGCTAGCGTATCAATGATTGGACTTCGGGTTCTGCTTCTTGTGTCTGGTGCTACTAGGAAACACTCGACAAGAGTCCGTACGCGAGCGCCCAGAAGAGCTTAAATATAAGTATTGATACGGGAAGACGCAGCGCTTAGCTCGAACCTTGCATAATATACAAGCTTTTGGTTATTCGATGTGTTTTCTTACAGTAGGGAAAATTTGTCTTGCAGCAGTTGCCGCGGCTCGCCCTCGTCCATCCTCCGGACCTCGATTAGGCATTCGCCTCAAGTCAGCTTCGAGCCAGCCACCTTATTCCTCGTAGTCACGAGAATGACCTTTGCGCGGATTTAGGAATCCACTGTTCGAAATTCCCCGGCTGACTGAAGAGTTGCACGTCGTCAGCCTTGTCGATAATCATCAGCTACCGGCCGCAGGCTTTACTCTCCAGCCAACGCTTTACCAGCGACAGCATATCGATTTTGGGGCCGTCATGGCCTGGAATTAGGCATTCCTTCGTATTAACTTTCCTGAGCGAGCCCGCCGCACAACTAACCATCTCATTGTGTAGGAGGGTGCTTAGTAGCTCCGCTCTTGTAAGCCTTTAGGGGGTTTCAGAGGTTTAGGTTACCGCAGGAGCGCGAGTTTCCTGGCGGGGTGGTGAGGTAAAGGAAAACGGTGGCAGTCTTGCTAGATCTTGGGCGCCTGTCATTTTTAGCACATAACCTAAAATTTCTGCACATTGTAGCGTACCCTAATCTTTTTGCTGCTAGAAGATACATACTAAACAGTTAATTGCCTATCTAGGTTTCGATATGCTACGTGTCTAGTTATTATCGCTAGAGTAGCTCTAGACGTTGCATTAAGTGGTCAAGAACTGGCCGCTCGCCGTCGTAAAGTTCAGTTGAAATATGATTAGAATTAAATATATCCGGAGAGGATGGGGATATAAATAGAGGAAAGGATGTCGCACCGCCAGGTAATTTGCCTTTAGCAAGTGAGTCGATACAATCACACGTGGCCCTATCTCTCTCTCATCCTCGCAATTGCTTGATGCGCGGTGTTATATATGCCATAACCATTTCCCAGAATATAAGCTTCATCCCTAATCGCTAAAATAAGATCCTAGAAGCCGGTGAAGAGATGTACTGTGCATAGTACTTTGCATCACCCTTCTTATACTAAACTGGTGTATCTATCAAGTATATCCCACGACAAACATCAACTAAGTAGGCAGTCGAGAACCCTATTTTAGAAGTCTGAAACAGCCTAAAGCTCGGCCAGTGGAGGGCGACATTTTAAAAAAACTGTATCCACTCTCGGCTTTTTTCCTGCATGCTTCCCAAATATCTCAAAATAGTCCACGCAACCCGCAAACCGGTATAGCCCCCAATTCTAATTCAACCACATATCCGCCATTCCGGGAGATAAAAGGACGACATAAGACACAGCTCGTATTCAAACACTGTAAGTCAGCATAGCCAGGTGCTCCACTTTATACGGGATGGGTGAAGCAGCTCTACCTCTCAGTCGTATGCGTCGTTGTTAGGGATATTGTCGAACCCCTTAAATCGATCGATTGTTTCGAGATCCGGGGCCATGAGGATGAACTGTATCCTAAGCTTTTTACAGGTCTTTTGTACTGTGAACTCCCAGACTTTTCTAGATTCATCCTGGGAAATGCCGACAATATGTCCATCGTAGCGGATTCTCGTTCCGGAGATTAACGAAGTCTTGCAGGGTTAGTTTGATAATCTTGTCAAATCGACCCCAGGCTTTTTGCTATAGAACTCTGACGAGAGGTATGGGCTGCTTCTGGCAAGTGCGGTACCATTTCTCACGGATAGCCAGCAAATCCTCGAGCTTGCTGCTATAGGGAGAAGAGGAAGGCTGTATAGCATATTCGTGTCATGTCGCTGCATGGCAGTGGGCCGAATGAAACAGGAATACGGGCGGTGGGAAGTGAAATATCAAACTGCAAGTCTGCACCAGTTTCCACGCGGATATCAAGGCCACATGGTCCAAGGATGAGGGAACAACTTCTGCACGCAATGCATCTAGCTAATGGAGGCACACCCTCCAGGAAAGGATGACCCACCAATGTAAATCATCATCACGATAGCATGTTGACGATAGCGCCAGGTAGGGAGGCTACAAGTAAACGAGGACGTGGACTGCCGTCTCTGTCGCCCTAGCGCAACTAGTGAATGCCTCACGGGGAGAACTACGTCACGGCCAAACGCGAATCTCCTCAGCCGGGCCCAGTCTCGCACTAGCCTGGGCTGAGTACCGCAGCAACAGGGCGAGCAGAGGGTCTAGACGCGGCCTCGGTCCCGACCAGGGCGCTCGCCAGCCGCGTCACCAGCTATTAGGATGCCTGTTCCCCCCCCGAGGCGTGAATCTAGCACCTTCCACCTTCTCGCCTGCCCCACTCTACGGCCGCCTGGACGTAGAGCAGGGCGCAAGGGGAAGAGGAGGACCCACACCAAAAATTGCAGCCGTGCACGGACCAACTAAGTTCTTTATAAAACCAGCCTCCCCCTCCCCGAACTTCCTCTTCTTTTCTTTTTTTCCCCAAACCAGGGTTGCTTAACACCGGACCAACTCGTGTCGGGGACCAGGGAGATCAAGATTTCCTTGGCCTAGTGTCTTCACTCTACATTGCACTCCGCGGCAGTGACGTCATTCTCTTGTCTATTGCGGAGGGCAGACCGGCTTAATTTTTGATTCCCACAGACTTCGGTCTAGTTCTTTTGAACACCAATTTTTTTCACTGTGATCGCCGCTTCAGTGGTGTCATGGAGAAGGAAGCCTTCTCTTCTTTTCTTGTTGCTGTCCTTGCTGTCCTTGCTGCCCTTGCTGCCCTTGCTGTCCTTGCTGTCCTTGCTCGTCGTCATTCTTGCCCACTTGTGTTTGCTTGTCTGTATGCCGAAACCCGTGTCGTCAGTAACGTGAAGCCTGACCAGTGTGTGCCCAGGCGTGAGATCGCGTGAAGAAGCCTGTGCTTCGAATGGTTTGATTTCGTTGCCCACTAATTCTCGTCTCACCTGGACGCCAGTTCCCCCGTAGCTCAAGAAACCGAAGTTCGCTTCTCGATCTCAGCCGTGCCGTGTTGCTCGGTTCTTTCCGTCGGCTGTTGGCAGTGCTACCAGAGGCGGTTGTAATGAGAAATCGCGTGAGCCATCGTGCCACGCGTCCACGATCAGCCTCGTGTTTGCCCACGCCCAGCAAAGATCAACCAGCATAATCGCCCACAAACCCTCAGCTAGCTCCAGAAAAGTCCTGGAAATATTTCTACTTGTGTCACCTTGCTGTCAACGCTTCCTTGGAAAAGGATCTATGCCACGTGAAATGCCAGTCGACCGGGTCGCGACAGCCAAAGCAGTCACGACAGCCAAAGCAGCTCAGCAAGCACCTACATCCCCGACGGCGTCCTGCGTCCTGACCTATCTCCTAAATGCGCCTGTGCGTCATCTGGAACACTTTACGACAAATTTACCAGCTACGTCGCCAAAGACTGTCTCTGACTGCCTGACACCAGAAAAATACACGCTGACCGTCATATTCACAGGTGTTCCAGGCCGTGACAAGATTCTACCTCTCTCCAGGCGAAAGCCACGATGAGCGTTCCCGCGACCCGCAGTACCGGTAAATTTTCAACGAACGATAATGCTTCAGGAACAGATTTGAAAACAAAAGACTACCAGCGAAACAGAAAGAACGACTTCATATGTCACGCAAACAGCTCCGTAGCTTGCGCTCTTGGCCCCTTCGCTCAACCGTTTCCTCGCGGCCTCGGACCTTGCCGAACACGGCCCCACTGCCTCTCGATTCAGGCAAGAAATCACACCCTACGCCAAATAGATCAATATGTGGAAAACACACAGGGGATGGAACACCTAGGTGAATAAACATAGACATCGGCGTCGGGGCCCTCACGCCGTTAAAGAAGCGCAGGCACTCATCATTTACACTTCAGACACCAGGATATAAACACCACTGAGCGACGGCAGGCTCTCACAAAGTTTAAGGCACGGTGAAACGGGCTGAATTGGAATATATCAGGGTGCTTTCATCCTTGGGACTCAGGGTCGGGGTGAGAGCACTCGTCGGCATTCCTGTCAGATGACTGACCTCTCTGAAAATTCCCAATGGAGAGGTCTGATTTTCATCGTTTTTTAGCCCAAAAACAACAGCGCTGGGCTACGGAAGCAATTCGACGCCATAGGCTTAAAACACTATTTGCCAAATGCGCTCAAAATACGTTTTGCTAGTGATAGACCGGGTTGGTGATAGCGGGGGAGCGGGGGAGAGGGGAGGATGTTGTGAGGTTGGTGGCGTGCATGGTGCGTGGCGTGCGGATGTGCGGTGCTTGGTGTTGCCGTCCGGCGAATATCGCGGCGGGCTTCGAGATCGCGCCACGATAATTAGAGGGCAACCGACAGGGCGAGGAGAAGCGCAAGAAAGAGCAGCGACAGGACCAGGCCAGGGAGTAGCGCCGAGACGTTACGAGTCAGAGAGAATTTGCGAGGATAGACAGCGGCAGGACCGGCAGCAGCAGGACCGGCAGCAGCAGCGTGGAACCCAACGAGATGCTTGGACCTTCCTTTTTCGCCTCCTTAACCAAAAGCAGTAGTGGGTTGTTTAGCTAACCTTTAAGATTTCAAACTGTTCAGGAGAAGACGGAGATGAGGTATAAAGGATTGAACCTCCACCCAACGTTGTGATGAAACCCTAGTTTGCATAGAAGGTGGCGACGATACCTCCCGTCGAGATTCGTTCCCCTTATCACGTCGCTAAGAAGCCTAGAGAAGGGCCTGAGTCTAAAGTACAAGCACGCGCCACAGTGAGGAATAAGGATTGGTGGAAAATGATGTGAAATGCCGAACGATTTATACTGTAGGTCTCCGTCCCCGCCGTGCCAGAGCTTCAATCTTCCTATATCCACCGCCGTCCAAAATGACGATGACTGATCTTTCGGTTCCAACCACCATTTCCCGTCATCCCCCATGTCTTCTCCGAATTGAGCGCCGGTTGTTAACGAGATAGTCCCAGAGGGCCTCCATGAGCGTGGCGATGAAGGCACGGACGACCGGCTGAAATATAGGCCGGAACCAGTTGATGCCGAGATAGTCCCCGACGGCCTCCAAGAGCGTGGCGACGACGGCACGGAGGACCCGCCAATATATAGGCTAGACCGGGTGGGGCCTAGCACCGAAGAGGACAAACTCTAATATGCCGAGATGCTCATCCAGCACCTGGAGGTGTCGCCTCAAATTTTGCAGACGGTCGTTCAGCCGCTGCCACTGCACGTGGCGGTAGTTAAGATCGCTGTAGTGTGAATTATACGGTTAGTTTCTAGTCTGAATCTCAACTAACTGATCGGGAGTGAATGAGGGAGAAAAGGAACGTACTCGTCTTCGTCCATAGTGCGAAGGGATAAATGTATGTTTCGCACCACGCTTTCGTTATCTAGTAATCGGTTGTTAGCCAGTTTTTATCTGATCGAGAGGCGTATTTTGTTACATACCTTGATCGGTTGTTTGATGATTTAGACGGAACCTGACGCGTGTGATCGGGAGTCGACAGTGCTGAAAGGGAAGGGGAAGAGGGCGCTGGAAACAGGGAAGGGCTGAGAAGAAAGCTCAAAACGAGAGATGTCGCGCCTGGATACACCGCTTTTTCTTTTCTGCCCGCTGGAGGGGTTGAAAGATGGGATGAATGAAAAGGGTACTCATCGGGGCACCGACCCTATTGTGACGTACACCTACCTACCAACAAGATATCCACCACGGCGGCTGTCATCAACTGATGGCGTTTTAGCTGTGAGATCGGCACTTTTTGATGCAGCCACTAATGTGTAGATTGTCAACCTCGGGCCCTGGCCAAAGTCTCCTGATCCGGAGAATAATGATACATTCACCCATGTACCTACCTAGCCATGTAACTGACAGCCCTTTGCTGCTAGCCAACAGCTAACCCAACATCTTGATTCATACCAAAGTTGGCCATTTTTACTGGGCGAAATAATTACGCAAGTCAACAGCGTTATTATCCAGGTCCCAAATTTGAACATATTTTGAAGAAAGCCCGGCAACGCGTTTTCCTATGGTCACGGTACCGTCCCAATCTACACATGGGAGGCAGCATTGAAAAGTACCGATTGTACAGCTGAAATCCGGGCCCCCCTATCAGGGCTGCCATGGTGGATTGCTCCTCTACGTGCTTATGATTGGTGTGCTTGAGAGAGGGGAGAAACAGAGAGCGGCAGAAGCTACGTGGATCTAGAATACATGATACGAAGTTAACTTTTCTTCTCCTCGACCAAAGTCCGTACTGTCTTTTTAATAAACCTCCCCCCCAGCGTAGTTATAAAAGTCAGTCCACTCGAGAAAATGATAAGGCGGTGACGGCGAATCTAATAAATAGAGGTTTGTTCTCGGTATCACGTCCCCAGAGAGCCTAGAGGAGAGAGGGGGGCTTGAGTCCTAAAAGGAAAGAGCGCTCAATAGTAACAAGAAACGAAAAACTGGTTGTAAATAGTGAAATGCTGAATTATTTGTATAGACTGGATCTGTTCTGTGCCTCCGAACAAGATCGTGCCACCGCTTCCTGTATATCACGAAGCAACTGCACTGCCGTCCACTGAATGATCTTTCGGGTCCCGCCATGTCGTTCGCGACCTCGTCCGCCCTTCCAGTCGAAAATCTTGTCCAGCCCGGCGGCAATCATGCGTCTGGTTCTGGTCTTGAAGACACGTCCCACCTCTTCCTCCGCTTGCGACCAGCCACTGCCGCTTCGGTCGAGCCCGAGTCATCGTTTCCCTTGTCAACGGCGTTCTTGAGTTTCTGTTCGATGGCCCGCCGTACGCGCTCCTCTTCTCGCTCAATTTCACACCTCCCTATTATTTGCCGATAGCCCTCGCCACCAGCCAGTTTCTCGAACTTGAGATAGATATCACCACCTAGTAGGCTCCGAGGCCGAGGAATGGCTCGACAGTCGCGCTACTAGCGCTCGCAATGTGCTGTGGTCGGCGTAGGTAATCGGTATGGACGGTGTAGGTAATCGGTATGGATGAGGTACGTTGCCGGCTTCTGGGTCGGGATCGACACTCCTGGTGTTGGTAGATGGACGTCTCTGCTAAGCGGGCCAAGTGGCGAATGTCAGACGGCACAAGCTCTAGCCCTATGCTCGCCCAAAATCTGGATAGACACCATGGAAACTAGCATTAGCTATGTTTCTTCAGACCATGCTGGTGAGGAGATATGATGACCGGATTATAGTAAGTTATCTCTGAAATCGCGAGTCCCGTGTATTATATGCCTTGATTGGTTGATGGGTGTTGAGGATTGAACGCGGATAGCGAGACTTGACCAAACTATTTGAATTTTAGTGGAAGGCGAAAAGAGCGCTGGAAAGTTAGGGAGGGTCTGCAAGGGGGTAGAGGAGGTTAACCGGACGACTTTGGACACACCGCCTTTGGAGGGGTAGGGGGTTTTTCTCTTTTCCCCCGTGCCTAGTGGCTTGCGGGACTGAAAGATGGGACTGAACTTTGAAAAGAAAACCGCAGCAGCGTATGCGATTTTCTTCTCCACTTTCGAATCGAGCATTGACGTAGTTCCTCGTGTAGGACTTTTTTCCCTACCGCTAGATTTCACAAAATTGTCTTTTTCTTCTCGCTCTACTTCTAGCAGACCTCTAGCAGACCTCTAGCAGACCTCTAACAGACGGTTAGTATCGCCCTCTAGGACACGAGATAATGCCAAGCATTTCGAATTCGGCGCTCATTTTTGATCATTTGACAAGGCAGCACGCACACTTTCAGGACGAAGAGAACCGCCAGGACTGTTCGTAAGAGTCCCCTCCCGTCCAAGTGTTTCATCTCTCAAAGTCTGTGCCCTTCATCCTGCACGATTGGTTGTTACCACGCCGAACATGACAAACTAACATTTTTCACCAGCTTGCGGCCTCTCTCTCGGACGCCAAGGCACCGTTTTTTTGGCAAAGAAAAGGTGTACTTTTTCGAGGTGTCAAGCTGCCCCACTTGAGGGTCATCGGAGCGACAAAGCAAGAGGTACGGAGAGTCGAAACAGACCGAATACTTGATTTTTCTTCTTCCACTTTCAACCCACAATCACAAGATGGCGTGAACAAAACCGCCCACCTCCTCAGCCAGTCTCTCGGATCGCCCCTTCCCCACAGATTATACCGGCCAAGACATTGCTATCGTGACTGACTAGCTCAGTCAGTTCTTTACCCTGACGAGTCATCATCGTTGAATGTGTGCTAACATGGTGTAGGTTCCGTGATGCGCCCAGGCTCGCGATGCTCTTGAGAAGATGAACGGATTTATCTTGCCGGCCGCCCGATCCGCGTTGGACTTGGCAATGACAAATTCACGACCTCGTCTCGAACAGAAAAAAAAGAAAAAAAAAGAATTGCGGCCACTTTCGTGCCCGCGGGCAAGTAGCAAGAGTTCACCTAAAAGGGAAAGCTGGGAAAGGCTGTCAAGAAAGACAGCATGTTCTGCACCCCCGATGGCGTCCGTGGCAGAGGTAATTATGCAACGCACTCTCCCTTCCTCATCTGGGTCTTCATTCTGAGTCCGAGTCTTCATTCTGAATCCGAATACTAACCTATTTCTCACTGCAGTTGGGTTCGCCAGCTCTGGTCAAGCCATGCGCAAGGACCCAACAAGAAGTCACGATGTATATACCTGGCTGGCTGCGAGCGATGGACGACAATTGCTGGATCGTCTAGACGAGCGACACCCTGGCCATTCGCAAGGACCCAACAAGAATCTACGATGTACATGCCCCGCTGTCTGCGACATGTAAATGACAAGTGCCTTGGTCGTCTCGAGCTTCACCTAGTGCTGTTGGGCACGCCAGCCTCGCAGCGGATATTGCCGCCACAGAGTCGGAGAGGTGGAAACAGGTTTGCTTGCAGAGACAGGAACGATTTGGAATCTCGTGTAGATCAAAGATGGTCTGGAGTTTAGATCATCAGCGAGGACCAGGGCAGGGTGACAAGGCTTCAGGTGGTGCATATCTTGAGAGAAATGGAAAAGAGCTTTGGGTCGATTTCACCCAGTCTAGTAAAATTTTCCCGAATGATCAACAAAAGATCTTGAAGAAGTGGTGACTGTGGGTTTTGCGGTGAAGCCAAGGGTTTACAGCTACACAAGTTGTAGGAGAGAGACGACATCACGAAGAAGGCAGCTGCTCCATCTCGACGCTGGCCAGAATAAACGGCCCGATGCCGATCAGCGAGTTCTCGACGATAGGGATACTCGTGTAGTACTGTTCGAGGCGGTGCGCCCGCGTGGGCGCGGCATGTCAGCATGGATTCTGGTTTCACACCTTCCCGTCGGAACCGAAGGCAGAAAAGCGCACGCTCTAGGGGGCCTGGGGTGGTACATGTCCACAGCCTACCGACCCCCAGAATGCGAAGAGAGAGAAAACGGCCCGCGTACCTTGAAATCGCCCGTGGTGTCCAAGCTGCCCACTCTGACGGTACCCTCCCAGTTGATGCCGCCATTGGTGCCGTTCCTCGCAACGAACCTGTCCGTCATGAGGGCATACGCCCGTCGCGCTGCCGCAACAAACGCCGCCCCTTCTGCCGCGTCCGCATGGTACCCCTTCCTGACCGCCTTCAGCAGGCCATACACATACATGGCGGTCCCGCTGCTCTCTATGTAGTTGCCCTTGCGGCCGGGGCTATCGCCGTCCATGACCAGCCACCAGCCGCCCGACGCCGCCTCCTGCGCCCTCACCACGGCGCGCGCCAGCGTCTGTAGATATCCTAGTAGCCGCGGGCGCGCAGCGTGCTGCAGCGGAAACCAGTCCAGCACGTCGGCGAGCGCCATTAGATACCAGCCCTGGGCGCGGATCCAGACGTGCGGGCTCGCGCCGCTGCCGTCGGCCTTGTCGGCCCACGGTGCCCGCAGAGACTCGTCGTAGCCGTGGCGCAGCATGCCCGAGCTGCCGTCGCGGCAGTGCGTCTCGGTCAGGTCGAACTGCAGCGCGATGTCGTCCCACGCCGCCGTCACGTTTGAAGGGGGCCCCGGCAGCGCCACGTACGCGGCCGAAAATGGCCCCGCCATGAACAGCCCGTCGAGCCACATCTGGTTGGGGTAGCGGTCCTTATGCCAGAACCCGCCCGACGCCGTGCGCTTCTGGTGGTGCACGAGTTGGTCATACAAAAAGTCTGCCGCGACGCGGTATCTTGCCTTGGCGCTGGGCTCGGTGGCGGCCGTGTACAGGTACAGGATGGCCGCGCCGATCCGCATGTTGTCCAGCTGGTGGTCCGTCAGGTCGTACGCCCTGAAAGACCCGTTGCGCTGCAGGATCCCGTCGATCTGCGTGGTCAGGAAGGACAGGTACCGGGCGTCCCCCGACGCGTTATGCGCCGCCTCGACCCCCCGGTAGAAGGTCGCCTCGGTGTACCACCGGGTTGCCTCGACGCCCCGTGTGATCGTGCTGTCGGCCATCCATGTCGAGTATGGCTGCTGCTGTTTCTCCAGTGAGGGGCTGGCTGCTGTGGTCGCGGCCCATATCAGGGGCAGCCAGTAGGCGGCTGTGGTGACACAGGGGCCCAGCTTCATGTTGCTGTCCGCTGATGTGAAACGTTGTCGGTGAAGTTACAGGCGTTGTGTCGGAGCAGGACGCCTTGTGACGGAACGCGGCGTGCTTTAAGTTTGGTGTTGCTGGACCTCAGCCCAGCAGTCTCCCGGGCCGTGTCGCACCGACGGCGGTGCTGTGCAAGTTGTAGTTTGCTTTAGCCGGGATCCTAGGTGCCGCAGTCATGGAGAATCTTGGAGTACTGACGGTCTGGTCGTGTCCATAGGTGGATAAATGTGACCTGCAGGGGGTAATGTCATATATTCTTACCAAGCGAGGGTAGCTGCATATATTTGGGCCAAGCGTTGCACGGCATGTTGGAGGCTGACGACTTCCGACTGCAACCCTCCGAACTAGAACAATTTCTACAAGCTGTTTAGTAGACGTGCGTCTTGGCTGACTTGATGTCTTTTGCCAAGATGGGTGCATTTCCGACGTCGCTTTTGTCTTGTTTGTCTTCGTAATTATTTGACGCTCCAGCAGTCGCCAACTTCGTTCCCGTACAGCTGTTCCTGCTCCCCAGTCAAACTTCCATTGCCACCTGATTGTAATATGTTACCTTCAACCCTGGGCAAAGAAAATACGCCTTCTCTAAGCATTAGATCCTTGATCCGCGGCTCGTTTCACCATGAGTGGCATCGGAGATCTCAACATATCTCTGGCAAACCTACTCCGAGAAATCCGAGAAATCTGAGAGTCCCGAAAAACACAAAATGAGCTCCTCAAAACACTTATCAGTCTGCATTCTAATAAAACTCTAACTGACTCCGCAACTGTCCCTCACACCGTTCCTCCGATCGCTTCCCCAAGCGCCCCTCCCATTGACTGTGACCGAAATAAGTGCCGCGACCACAGCCCACGCCTGTTCAGCTTCCCTAGGAAAATAGGGTGACCATTCGAGAAATGCGGCTTCCATGTCAGATACTTATCGCCAACAGGACCAATCCAATAAATATCTCCTCTTTAAGTCGCTAGTTCCGCAACTGCTAATATAAATAGTCACCGCAGAATTACCCGAACCCATAGAGAGATATTGGGCGAATTTTTTTGATGCTATAGTACCTGGGCCACGGGAAATGACACCATCAGACAAGGAGCGTACCCAGGATCAGTGATGCAACTAAAGATTTGACTGCTGAGTGCGACGAAAGAGGGCACCGATTGCGAGGAACTTGTTCGTAGTTGCTGTTGCCCTCGTTCCGGGCGATGACAGCCCAAGTAATTGGTACGTACAGGTAAAATAAGCTACCTGACCAGTCAGGAAGGGGTCGGCTGAACGGATGCCTCCGGCGGCGCCTGCCGCGGGCCGTCCTCGCTTCGCTCGAGGGAAGTGGTGGCTGGGCCATTTTACTAAGAAATTCGTAAGGACAACCCCGCTTTGTGCCATAACTCGTAGCCAAAGGTCGACTCAACTGTCAACTGTGTTAAAAGTAAAAAACACAGGAGAGTCATCACAACGTAAACAGCATGGTATTGAGGCAGAAAAAGTCGATTCTGACTGCGAGAGCAGGCCGCATTACCGCTCTGGAAGTCCCGCGAGGACCGGAAGATGGGCACCACATTTCTCGGAATAGCCTGATCGTCAGGGAAGCAAGCCGGGCCGTCATACTTGTCCATCTTGACAAGCAGAACAAAGGGAGCCTCGCGGCGATAACCCCTCAATACAAAAACAAATTCCCATGATAATTTGATATTTCGATATTCATGGTCTAATTCTTGGATTTCTAGGGGGAAAGCCCCCTAGGACCCCTAGTGCCTGCAGCGCTCTTGGCCTGCGGCGCTCGTGGCCTGCGGCGCTTTCTTTCATACAGCTTACGCGTTATATCTATTAATTGGGAAATTGCTCCTTCCTGACACACGACACAGCAAAGCGGCATTTCACGGCTTAACCTGTACGTTGTGAATCACGACAGAACAACCCAGAAGTCCGAAGATTCCCACCAAGCATCCGGTGGATGCCCCGTTTGCGTTTGACCCCTACTCTCAAACCTGATCTCTGATGTGGCTGCTCTCAATTCGATGCACAACGCATTGGCTGGTGGAAATCTGTACCCAGGGATGAGAGGAAGTGCCCAAGAGCAACACCAACATGGGTTTGGTGGAGAATCCGTTCTCCAAGGGAGGCGAAAGGACGACTAGTGGCAGGGCTTTCACCGCAAACGGCAGGGATTTCTTGGTCCACGTTGTACACCCAGCAGGCTGCGAGTCCTGGCTAGCCGCGAGTCCTGGCTAGCCTCTGCTGGCTCCAATTCTCTCGACATGAAGGTTACACACAATTGCTGCCCAAAGCGATCATCGGCCAGGCGAAGACAACAAAGCTCTCTTTTCACTACCTAGCGGTTGCATTCAGCTAAAAGTCAAGGCAGTCCAAACCTGCGGAACGATGCAAAGGCGGTGCAGCGCTTTTCATCTCATACTCACCTCGGAAAACCGCCCGGCATTGTCCAAGTCACTCCTACCACCGCCCTTGACAACACAACGCTAATTACTATACTCCTCACTCCCCATCCTTTCCCAATTTTGTATTATCACAGCAAAAATGGCCCCAGCCTGCATTCAATGCGATACAGAACCTGCTGTAGTGCGCTGCTCGTGCGGCAAACGCTGCTGCGAGGCTTGCTTCCACCAGCATGTGCAGAGACGGCCTATCCATTTTGAGGACCGGCCAAGCAAGTTCGAACTATCCATCAAATCCACCTTCAGCGGCACCGGCTTCACGGTCTCCGATCTCTTCAAGAAGGATGAGCCTTCAAAGTGGTTCGGTCTTGTCGCTGACGGGAAGACTGGGGCATCTGGTGGCCAGGAGACCAAGAACGCCGCCAGAATCGTCGTGACCCCCCGCTTTGAGGAGCTGGTCGATCTGCCCTTCGTGCATTCCGCGTCAGGCAGAAATGGACAGCGGCAGCGCCCGCGTCTCGTCTCCTTTTTCAGCGCAGGAAAGTCAGCTCTGAGTAGGCCATCATCCACCACTCACCACATGGGCAGATTCCCCGGTGTAAGTATTAGCATTGTGCTAACAGACCACCACTCAGTTCGCCTCTTGACGAAGTACAGCGATGTGGACCTAGGCTCCTCTACATGCTCAGCGGTGTCGTCTGCATGGTCACTGCAAACCCGCGAACTAGCTCAGAGTTGGCGAAATGGGTTCTCGATTGGGGGATAGCCGGCGCCCAGGCGGTGGTCAGCCAAGAGACTCTCCGCGCTCTCATCATCATCTCGAACAAGACTGACGGCCGGGCTGAGGCCAAAACGGCCACAGATTACTTCTTTGAAGCTGTTGATGCGGAAAGTAACAATGACATGGAGTTTGCGAAGAAGGTGAGTGATGTGATCGAAAAAATATTGCAACCCTTCCTCCCCCTCTCCCGGAATTGACAACCTGGGCCGACAGAACGGAGCCAGTACGATACGCGAACTCTTCAATCGCTGCTTCTCTTCCACGCATGTTTGCCGCATCCCGACTCGGAATTTTGAGACAGAAAATGACAGGCCAGTTATCGCAGGGGTCACCCACTTACGGCAGCGTATCCTCTCCGACTCAGCCAGGGTTCACGATGGACACACCAAGACCTGGAAACGAGTCGACAGCAGCCTCACGTCAAGAGAATTCCGACTGGTCTTTGAACATGGCCCCTCCTCAAACGCCGAGGCTCTAAACCTGAGTCCAATGATGCGACGTCAGGATGACATCGGGCAATCCGAGACAGTTAGGGTAACAGCCTTCCTTCGTTCCGAGCTTGGAGACGACATCAAAGCTAGACAGGATTTTGCAGTCAAGTTTCTCGCCTTGAGAATCACATGAGATGCTCTGAGAGGAGGCAGCAGCAGCAAGACCTCCTTCGGGCCGCGGTGCGAAGAAATCTCTGCCACATATTGAAGCCCGCAGCCGGGGCCCAACTGTCCGCTGTGCATCTTTGGGCGCTCCGAGTATGCGCTCCCCTGCGGCCATTACATTTGCGCACACTGTATCGTTGACTTTGCAGAGAGTGGCGGCGAAAAGGGAAACGCTGTTGTCGAAAACTTTGTGTCCATCGTGAGTGTCCCTGTGGGCCGCAAGCCTTCGATACCCCGTACAAAGCACCCGTCCTCCCACGATTCTCGGCTTGCGCATGCTGTGCCTCGACGGCGGAGGGGTCCGAGGGGTTATCCAGCTGGTGACACTCCGGAAGATCGAGAATCTCATAGGGCTAGCCTACCCTTGGGGAATTTTTCCATCTCATTGTCGGCACTGGTACAGGTGCGTTATCCAACGCCTCCGTGCTCCAAAAACTAGCCGGGCCATAAAACTGACTCTCAATAGGTGCCTTCACCGCTCTCAAGCTCGCGAAGGATGGCCAGTCCGCGGCCAACTGTCTGGAGACGTTTGAGCTGATCGTGAAAGGCGGGTTCAGTCGCTCAGTAATCTACAGCTTCTATAGCTGGTGGGCCTCCTGGTTCGATAACAGGCTCTCCTACTTCTCGACAAGTTCCATAAGAGAAGCCCTTCCTCTAGCTTACCGATCCCAGACGCTGCTTGGCATCAAGAGCGCCAACGGGATGCTCTGCAGCTCGTTAACGCGCGTGGCCGTAACCACCACCGTCGACAATGGCTGTCGGCTGCTCACCACATATTGCGTGGGAGACGGCCAGCGCTACCTTGGCTCATCGTTGCAGACATATGAAGCGTAAGTCTACCCGTTGAAGTCTCCGCCACAATCAGAGCTAACTTGCCCAGCGCCCAAGCTGCCTCAGCCCTGCCCTTCTATTTTGAACCTTTTGTCAATCCCGTTGATAAGACCAGCTGTCGGGATGGCGGCCTGTGCGCGACTCACTGCACCTCATCGGTTCCCTTGGCCGAAAGCCGAGCAATATGGGGCACTTCCCCTAAACTTGACCTGCTGCTCTCCTTGGGCCCCGGCAGCTGGCCGCGCGCTGCCAAAGGCCCAGATTGGCTGCCGGAAACTCCCAAGGACCTCGTTAAGTCGCTCAGGAATGCGATTAAGAATGTTGATGGCGAGGAAGCATGGGATCGCTTCCTCTCCAAGGGGGAAGGGCGGGCGTCCAGGGCAGATTCCGGCGGCTAAACCCAATGTTCAGTTGCCTAACCCTTGGGCCCGAACCCGACGCTACCGGCCGGATTGGGGAGACTAAATCCATGATTGAGAACTACGTGTTCCGTCCCCAAGATCAGGAGATGTCATGCGAGGCCATGGTGAGCATGCCGTCCGACTCGTTGAGCGCGGTAGCCGACCTGCTACGGGCCAGCATGTTCTACTTCCGTGTTACCTACGCCGCCCTCGCCAAGACCAGGGGCGATGCCAGATGCGAGGGTTCCATCCGCTGCCGTCTGGCTACCAGAGCAGAAAGACGCCTTCGAGAAGCTGTTGGGTATGACCAAACACTTCCACATCACAGATACGAGCGGTTACCGTACGTTCCGCCCATCTGTAGTCGACAAGCGACTCAACCTCGAAGTCGACATGACCGGAGCACTCGAAACGGGCGCGGAGCAAGACCATATCGATGCCGTGTTTGAGAATGGCGGCAGGTCGCAATTAGTGGATTCCCAATTGCAGCAGCGGCGAGTCTCGATTTCTTCTTCAGAAGCACTATTGCGAGCGAAGAATAGATTCTGACGTCTTTATCCTAGGACTTGTATCGGCAATTTCATGAGTTGTAACAACCGCCAACGGGTCCGCACGAGGGCTAACCCGTCGAATCACCGTCACCATCGCCGGCTGAGCTTCGGACTGTTTCTTGAACCACCCCGGGGGTCTTCGTTGAGCTGTAAGGGGGCTTGAACAACTGTTGAGGGAATGTCGCGGCTTTCTACACATGAGTCGCTCAGTTCATGTGCTACTAAAGGCTATCTGCGTCTCTGCTGAGCTGAGGGACAGTGAGAAAAACAGTCTGGTTGTGTGAGACGAACCTGGGTACTGACAGTTGCCATTTTCGTTCGTAGTCCTAAGCTACGGTGAAAGATATCTTGGCTAGTTGAGTTATATTATATTTCGTTTGCTTTAATAAAACTCGCTTCTTAAGGAGGGACTTCCACAGTCAGATTTATCACAGAAGTGAAATAGCTCATACCTATCATACATCGACGATACTATTTCCCTAGTCGCCTCTTCTATCTCCTATTCCCAACAACCGCAACACACGTGGTGTCGCACATCCGCCCAGCGCAGCCTCACTACGTTCTACCTGGTGTTGACGGCGGGCCCTCTTCCCGAGTTCTGCACCAGAGCCCAGTCAGCCAAATCACAGGACAGCTGATAAACGACAGAACAGCCCGCTAACCTCATAATAGATGCCAAATATGAGGCAAAAACAAATAACTCACCTGCTTGCCTCTCTGCCCCCTCTTCTGACGGATTCCACTCGGTCTTCCGCTTGCTGGGCACGAGCTTACCCACGACCGGCGCAATTCCGCACTCTGCCAGGTCATGCGCAAGACCGGCGTCAGTGCACTTGCGCCCTCCAAACTTCACGAGTCTTGCCTCGGTGCCGTCGTCTGCATACCTCAAGATGTCTACCTCATCGTCAGCGTCCCCAACCAACACCAATAACCCGCCAGCCGCAAACGTCACATAAACAACCCCCCTGACACTGACCCAGGCAAAACCATACTCACCCCCGCCACAGCCAGCACCGTGCCTCCACGCGCGCAGCTCCCCGCTGGGCTTCAAGGGGTCCATCTAGCCAAACTCACCAGTCACCGGCGGTGGCGTAAGGAAGGCTCCAGGCTGTGGCAAATCAGGGACCCTGAGCGTGGCATTCTCAGCAAGCTCAGCCGGCACGACCTCGGCCATGATTCCGCGGTCCACGTGAGCGATGACGATTTGTGACGAGTCCAATAGCGGCTGGAACGTTGCCGCGCTGCTGCCTGCAGCAAAGTAGAGTTGTGTCACGTCTTGGCCGCAGTAGCGTCCAAGCTCGGCGTGGAGGCGGAGGTGAAGTTTCCGGATAGGCGAGGAATTTATCTCGACGAGGACTAGATTTCGTCAATAAAAATAGCTTCTATGCCTTCAATATTCGGGCCGAAGTTCGAGAAAAGGGGGAGACACAACAATAACCACCACCGGTACAATCAAAAGCTAGAGACACCAGGGGAGACACCAGGACTCACGGTTCAGCTTATACACCCAGTTCAGCAGCACGATCTCGTTCCACCCAATACCGTCGCCTGGGCTCCGTTCTGGCACCACGTGATCGACCCTCAGGTGCTGAATATCTGCAAGATACTCACGCCGGTGGTTGGGGTGGCCATTGATAAAATCACTCGTTGTGTCGCGGCCCGCGGATTGATACACGAGCTCGCGGCCACCGGGATGTGCGTCGGCATACTCTGAACAAAGCGGCCCCGGTTAGAGGTTTTTAATCAATGATAAGAGCACTGACAAGAAGAGCACTGACAAGAAGAGCACTGACAAGAAGAGCACCGACAAGAAGAGCACTGACAAGAAGAGCACCGACAAGAAGAGCATGACGCTTCAGGGGCACATACCACTCAAATCATACACGGCCCCCTCGACCGTATACAGACCCGTCTCGGGAAAGATGTGCATGCGAATAGTGCGCATGGTAAACGCGAGCTGGTTTCTGGGCATCGTGGATTTGTCTGCAGCTCGGCCCCAGAAGGGCCAGTGTCTTGGATCGTCGCGCAGCGATAAGACGCCAGCCGTTTCCTCAGGTCGCCCAAATCGACTAAGAAGTCCCTGGTGACGGTCCTGCTAGGCTCTTACAAGGCCGCGATGACGTCTCCGCACGGCGCAGAGCGGAAGATATAGCGTTCGTCGGTGTCAGAGAAGGGGAAGTCTATCGTGTTTGTTTTGGTCAACGGCCCTAATTTCCAGAGGCAAATAAACGAAGCCAACTGAATAGGGGAAGGAGTCCGGCCACAAACACTTACCTGCCACGTCAAACACGTCAGCCCCTATGTACACTCAGTGTGGCCGCCCGTCGCGGCCGTTTCTCTCCAGAATCTCAGGTAGTGGCCGGGGCAGCAGCAGTTTGCCACGGAAACGGTTCACCCCGGTGCTCACGTCTCGCAACGCGCGCGCCGTCTCCAAGTCCTCGACCACCCTCCCGTGGCTAGTTTTTTTTGCTAAGTGCTCGTCAAGCATGACCGAATCTCGCAAGCGTCGATCCCTGTGGTTGTGCAATCCGTCAATAAGCCGTATGTCCACAAGCATATACCGCACTAGTCTTTTAGAATCAAACACGTACCGCTGGCGTCGTACACGTCAAACCCCGCCAGGCCGTCATTAACAAGCACCCACCGGTCGCCGTCCGAGGAGTGGTCGCCAACCTCGCCAGCCGTCCAATGCCGAATCGGTCTGTTGATGATGCTTGCCCGCCGCCTCTTGCCTTCCCTCCCACCGAGCAGGTGCGGCTGGTACAACTTGCCCACGACCGCCATCCTCATGACATGGCCGCCGACATGGCCGCCAACATCTTCGTGCAACGTCCCAGCAGGCTCAGGAGCAGCATTGCTCTGCCTCACAAAATTCCTCTCGGGCATGAGCCGGGCGGCCTCGTTACGGCAAGTCCGCGTAGGGCTAGGTTCAGGGCTAGCCCAGAAGCTCGCTAGATCAAGAATGCGCGCGGTCTCGACGCTCTCGCGCCGCGAGCCGCTATCACGGAGCGTGTGCGGCAAGCCGACGTAGCGCCGCGTCTCGTACGGCGGGAAATTGAAGCGCCAGTCGAGCCGGCCCGTGTAGTGGCGGGCCGCGGCGTGGCACAGAGGACCTGGCACCGGCACGTGGCTGCCGGCAGCCAGCGGTTCGGAGGGTCTGTTCTGTCGTCGACTCCTCATGCGCCTCCATCCCGGCCCTCCACGGTAGCATGACCATCATCAGCTTCCAGAGGGCGTGTAAAAGGTACTGGGCGGACCGTGCGACGTCGCCGCCAAATATCGAGAGTGAGAATAGCCGGTTCTCGTACTCGCGGAAACTGGCCGACGCGAGTTTGAGGTCCCGCTCGCGCACGGCCCGGCCAAAGACCTCGACGGAGCCACGGAGGTCGGCCACGGCATAGGGCGATAGTTGCCAGTCCTCGTCTGTTTATCTGGCTATGAGCTGGGTCTCCTGTTATTTGAATCAGGTGCGTTGGAACCAATGTACAGACATACAAGCGCTGTTATACCAGGGCCGAATTCCCCTATGTATCCGATCCCGTTCCCGTAAATTGTCAATAAGCTTTCGAACCAGGTTGTCAGCGCCCCCGCGGGCGTACGACTCGCCCTCCGTCTCGTCGCTCGGGTTCATCTTAAACGAGAAGGCGCGGCTCATCTCGTCGAGCACGAAGACGTCAGTCCGGATGTACTTGGGCAGCCGGAGCGACTGGACGCCGAAGCGGGCGACATTCTCGGCCAGAAGTCGCGCGAGAAGAACATGGCCGACAGGAGGGTCGGCAGCGGGTAGCAGACTGAGGTCATGGGGCTGGCGTAGTGCTGGTGATGGTTGATGGTGCCCGGCGAGCGCCAGAACAGCACGTCGTGCGGAAACTCGGTCAGGCTGGCCAGGTACTGGCGCCGCAGCCGCGTGTGCCGCGGCGCGCCGAACTCGCTGCCGGCCGGGTTGGGGTGCGTCCGGAACACACCGCCGAGGATGGCGTTCTCGAGCGAGTACCCCAGCTCGGCCGCCCACTCCTGGTCAAAGAACTGCGCCGAGTGTCAGACTTACTCCCTGGAAAAACAGCCGGGAGGGTGGGAGAAAACAACTTGCAGGCTCGATTCCTGACTCGCTGAAGCCGGTCGACAGGCGCTTGGCGGCGCGGAAGGCGTGCTGTGGAGGAGAGATTCAAAGTCAGCGGAGGTAAGTATGTCATTCTATGGTTGAGACTCACAGCAAGCTCATGAATCATCTGAGATTCGATTTACCAAGTCAGCACTGGTTCAATAACAAGATGGGTAGACGGGCAGCTCAGATAGACGCTTACCGCCACAGCAAGCTGCATCTGCCCAGTGCAGCGTTCGGCCCTGACGCCAGGCGTCTCCTCTTCGAACCGCGTCCCCTCTTCGAACCGCGTCCCTTCTTCGAACCGCGTCCCCTCTTCGAACCGCGTCCCCTCTTCGAACCGCGTCCCCTCTTCGAACCGCGTCCCCTCTTCGAACCGCGTCCCGTATATCAACGAAGCCAGCGTGCGGGTGCTGAGATAAATGCACACAAACTGCCCTTGCCCTGTATCTGGTGAGACGGGGCACGTGTAGGCGTCGGAGTCTCTGCTGCACTGGTCCCACGTGCCGTAGCCCTCCGTGTCATCCTGGTCGACAAAGGCCCAGACGATGTAGCTGGCCAGCTCTAGCCTCGCCTTGTCGATCTCGTAGGTCTCGGCCTCGGACAAGGGGGCGCCATCGGGGCGCAAGGGGTGGATGCGGCATGGCTGCGAGTTCGGGTTCTCGGGGGGTATTCTCTGAAAGCAGGACCGGTCTCGATGGTGTCAATGGGAATGTGCTCCTCGGGCGCGAGGATCAGGGCTTGGAACCTGGCAGCGGATTGCTTGGGTTAACGATCCAATGTTTGAATTCGACGAGAAGACGGCGGGTCGGGAGCGACTACCATCTCGTGTGCTAGACGTGGCTGAAGATGCGATTCGCAATGTCAATGCACACGTTGAGCTCCGCGGCGACGTCGTCGTTGTCGATGCTCCATATGCGCGTCGGATCGCGGGGGTCGACAGGCGAATCGAAGTCAAACCAATGCTCGGGCTGGAACACATGGTGCCAAGTGCTGGGGTGGACGTTGATTTCGATGTTCTGGTCAGGCAGCGCCGAGCTCATTGAGGGAAGCTGCCATGATCGGACGCCGTTGTTGTGGCGGCTCTGGAAACGTTCGGTGTAAAAAAGGCGGTCAAGCTCGCCATCCGACGGCCTTGGGATTGATTGGCGCTCTTGAAAAGCTTCCGGGCTGCCAGTTCGCCCAACTAGGTTTTCGGTGGGTGGATACAGCGGTGCGAGACCTGAGCGGCCGTTGTACGCAAACTCGGGATGGTTCCACCCTCCGTACCGTTTTCGCCAAGGCGACTCGTTCCCTTCCTCGACTACATATCTAGACCTAGCGCGGCTAAAGCTAGCGTAGCTTACGTCTGTCATGGCAAAAAAACCGTTATTTTTCTGCAGTTGTTTCCTTTTTGCGGCTCATTAACCTAAAATTGGGTTGGAGTGTTGTACACTTTGATTTTGGAGGATTAACCACAAGGCAACAAAGAAATTCACCAAATAAACACTGAAAGTTCACGCATTGATAGCTCCGGAAACGGCAATGCAGCAGATGAGAGTGGCAAAGAACGTCAACCCGCATAATGGCAATAAATAGTCCGCCATGGCAACGGCATTAACAAGGGGCACTCTACAAAAGGACAAATAAGGCTGGAGCAGTAGCCCCTGAATCCCCGTTCAGCTGTCATGATCCCAGGAAGAAATTCACACCACGGATAGAAAGAATAAGAAAATAATAGTTTAGCTTCGATTTTGTTTTGACTAATTATCTGACCGCTCCAATTTCGACATGTTACCATGCCTTGGAAGATTAATAGTCGAGATACCTTGATCTTCAACACTTGCAACCCATGCGCTTGCAACACCCATGCACATGCAACACCCATGCGCTTGCAACACCCATGCACTTGCAACACCCATGCTATGGTGGGGAGAACAGCAACTGCACGCCCGGAGACAAAACAGATACCTGTTATCTAATACTCTTAGCAGCTGCTGCTATAACCCCCAGCACATGTGGCGTTACGGCACACCGTTACACATGCTTATACTCTGGTGCCCTTGCCTCTGTGCAAGTATTAGCTGCCAGCCGCTAAGTTTGGTGAATTTGGACGCAACTGCCTCGACCACGCCCAGGTGACACAGCGAGATAGCCATACGGCTCGAGCGGGGGCAAAAGCACAGCGCTCATGAAACGGAACTGGCAAATAAACCGTCATCCATGCCAGATCCGACGCGTGCATAATTGGGTGCGCACTTTCAAGAAGAGAAATCAAAGACCACGCCGCCTCATTCTGCAAGTGCACTACCTAGCAAGGCCGTATTGAATATTTTCTATGCCTTACCTTTGAAACCTATCAGCTTCCGTACTTGGCATCTCACACACCACACCACGCAATCCATCCGCAGTTGACCTCCACTCTACCGGGCTGCCCTCCTGTGCCACCCTCCCGTGTGTGGCCAAACTCCCACAGCAACCAAGAAATGGCGCCTGGATATTTCTTCATGGTGGCAGTGCGCCGCCTGCGGGCCGCGTACCCGGAGCTGCGAGACGCAACCAACCTCGTTCCCCCAGCCGGCCGATATGTTCTCTGGAATGACATGGACACCGTCGACGGCACAGTCTACCACACGTATTGGTACGAGAATACCTTGGACATCGATGGTCTGGGGGAGTCCTGTCGCGTCATTCGATTCGCCGACATCCCTGGCACCCTCTCGGGCGATGTCCTCGGGCTCAAACGTAAGCTGCCGCCCTTGGAGGCCGAGGGCGACTACATCATCGTCGGAAATGGCGTCCATTACCTCCCAGACGCGCCCCCATTCCCAGGTTCGATGATGACTCGGAGGACGTCAGCGCTGCGCTGATCTCGCTCCCCGTGATCGCCGTCGACGTACTCGAACACTTCAAGAAGTGCAAGTATGCCACCGAGACCCACAATCTGCTCGCCTGCCAGGGCGGATCCTGTCCCGGAGTGCCCAAATCCGCCCATGTCGTCCAGCTGCTCGGACGGTCGCCGGACGGCGAATTGGTGTTTGAGCAATTCGCTCGACACTTGCTCGCGGCCGTGCATCCCCTCGCAAAGTGCAAGGCATGGATTCTGCAGCTCATTGACGGGCTCGGACCCTGCACTCGCTCGACATGGTGGAAAACATCTAAACCCAAACTTTGAGAGAGGATGGAACAGAACACCTCCCCCAGCTATCAAATCGAGCATCCATGCTACCGACACTTCCATTTTCTGTCTCCGATTACATCTCCAAGGCTTTTTGCGTGAATTTTAGGCTTTGTTCCTTCGGTGACATTGGTGAGCTTGTAGCCGGGAGAATATGCGGTACTTATAACCGATGACCTATGCTTAATTAGGTCGCGCGAGCAAACTGAAGCGTGGATCGATTGGTGTAAATATTGGGATAGGGAGACGGCGCTTATTCGTGAGAAATAGTCCTAAGCGATCCTAGGCAGCTCGACATTTATTACGCTTAAACTACCCCAGGCGAAAAACAATATTTGACTTTTTACTATAACATGGAAATCAGATACCTTCATTCGTCTTAAGTATTTTTAGGGGCATGATAGGCTAGAGGGCGAATAAACAGGCCACCGTGACGACCTCAACCACCGAGGCTGAGCGGCTCGCCCTCTCACAGGCCACAAGGAAGCCCTATATGTGAGTAGGCTAGGCTGCTTAAGGAATTGCAGGTCAACCTAGAGGATCACCGCATTACTATTGAATGTGACAACCAGATGACCATTCGGCTGTTGATAGAGGATATCTCACAGTTGAAGACTAACCTTCGGCATGTTGATATTTACAACCACTGGCTACGGCAGGAATACCGGCTTGGGCACATGAAGGCAGTATATACGAAGAGCGTTAACGGCCTCACAAAAGCCCTGCAAAATAACGCCCTTCGGAATTCTTACACTAGATGAACCTACAAGACGTGTCTGTTAGAATGTGTCAAGCAGAAGGGCCTCGAAGGTTCTAGATAGAGACTTCGCCACCCACTTCGCCACCACAATAGTAGTATAAGAAAGGGCTTTCTGGCACTGCCAGAAAGCTAGAGAGAAGAACACACACATCTACAATCCATCACTTGAACCACCAGCTTTCGGCGTACAGTTACGCCCTGTTGATTCCAGTACCGGTACCCTGGTGAATCCAACAGTGTCATAGCAGTTGTCGGCCAAAAGGCAGGAAGAAGGGACCCCAGTTGAACATATAGACCTGCCGGGAGACTTGTGAATGCCCTCAGGGTAAGGGCTGGAAGACGGAGATCGTATTGTTTACTTTCCACATTTGTTTACTTTGGACAGTCGAATCCGAGAATGGCATCAACTAGGGGGGGGGGGGGGTGTGTCAGAAAGGCCTTACTACCTTCGGCATGGTCTAGGGTACCCGGGCAGGGCCCGCACAGGGCACCTAATTAGACCGCGGTTTTACTGGGTCAAATTGGTCCCCGGGCCTGCAGGGGCAGGCCGGTTTTTCCTTTCCAGAACACAACACAATACACAATTAGAATACCCTCATTTTTGACTGCTTTTGCATGCTTTTGGCTTCTGAGATCTTTCCTTCTAAGCATCACCACCACTACGTGACCCGGTAAGTCACTCAAACCCCCCGTACAGCCCTGCGCAGCCCTTGGAATTGAAGATCGCTGAGAATAGTGGAAAGGATGCGGCCATAGCGACGAACATTGTTGAACAATTTGACACGATGACCGAAACACAACGTCTTTCATTTACACAGATGTTCGGTCTGATCCCCGACAAAAAGAATTTACAATACTTTCGTGGGTCGCGATGTCTGAGGACGAGCAAGAACAACTCGTTACACAATGGATTCTTAAGCCCACGCACTTCTGGGTTTATAACGAGGACCACTTCACGCGTACGGGTACCCGCATGTACTTCAAGACAGCCTTGGCTGGACCCCCTCTCAAGAGAACCAAGTACGGTGATACGGCAATCCTCAAGTACCTTGATTTCTTCAACGACCCGGAGTCCAAGTACAAAAAGAATTGGCGCATCTCGAGCGACATTCGCGACGCCCTTGATCACTGGCGTACAAGACCCTGCCCACGTCTACTCCATTGCTCTCTCCATCCAAACTTGTTAACGACAAGGACAACACTCGTATAACGGAGTACGCCCTCCCGCACACGCCAGGCCCTAATACTGGTGAGGCTCAATCTATACCATCGCCAGGCTTGGACAACGTCTCACCGTCTCCTGGTAACAACGTACGACCTTGGACGTTCTAGAGCAAGCTTTTGCCCGTCGTTTCCCCTAATACGGAATTCGACTACCCAACAATGGGCTAGAAGGAAGCTTCTTCGTGGCTCCTTAACCAGGTCATACGAGCTGCGGGTAACGAGTCAGCTATATGAAACGCCATTACATCAGTAATAGGTATACACAATTTCACTTCTATAACAAACTGGCCGTGCTTCGAGTTCTGCGTTTAGAGACCAGCGAAAGTCTACTAGGGGTGTCATCTGGAAAATATGAAATAAAAAACGTATAATTGTAAAGATTCTCAGGGCGGGTACAAGAAAGCAACGCAAAGATGTCTCTTGTCCAACAGTTTCTCTATATATATCCCGAAGGGCGCCAGGGTGGGGAAGAAGGATTATGCTATCCAATTTTAGTACTCCAATCCCAAGACTGCCGAGTCATCTTCCGGCGTAGCTGACTATAAAACATCGTGCCTCTTGCATACCTACACACACAGCCCTCATCCCTAAGCCGTGGCCTTGAAGGTGCTGCCAATCTCGCCCCACTTGATGTTGGAGAAGGTGACGGCGGCGTCGGGGGTGTGCTGGACGATGAGCGCGGGGTTGCCCTCGGTAGAATTGCACGGGCCGGCATTGCCGCTGTCGAGCCACGTCATGTAACCGCCGGCGTCGGCCCAGATGCTGAAGATGAGCGTCATGCCGCGGCCAATGGCATCGCCCATCTGGGCGATCCCGCCGCGCTGCTGTGTCCACGCCGACGTGGCATTGCAGTAGGCGTCGGTAATGCTATCAACCTGCTTCCCGGCCACGGCGACGGCCTGGTTCTGGATCAGCAGGCCGTCCTGCACGTACAGGCGGCGGATCTCGGCCAGCTCGCCGTCGGCGCGGCCGTTGTCGGTCAGGAACTGCGTGGTGACAGTGAACACGCGGTTCGTGTCGACAGTCCCGTTGCGCCCGTAGTACGACGCGAAGCCGTGCTGGTACGGGTTGAAGCCGCACCCCCACTTGTCGCACACGCCCTTCGGCTGCCCGCACGCCTCGGCCGTCGCGCACTTCTCCACCCGCGTCGCCCGGCACGGGTGCGGCGTGTACACCTGCGCCAGCGCGTTGGCTTCCCAGATGTCCATCTCGTTGCAGCACGCGCCGAACTCGTTGTTGGGGTTGGCCTTGGGGCTTTCTGTCAGCAACATCCACCGGGTGGAATGAACGGGTGTTTGTAGGGAGATGAACGGGGTTTGTAGGGATGAACGGGTGTTTGTAGGGAGATGAACGGGTGTTTGTAGGGAGATGAACGGGGTTTGTAGGAATGAACGGGTGTTTGTAGGGAGATGAACGGGTGTTTGTAGGGAGAAAAGGAAGGGGGTTGTGTGTACCTCGCCGTTGATGAAGCTCAGCGTCGGGCACTGGGCGTCGCAGTAGCCGGTCCCGTATTCGGCGCCGGCCGGGTTCAGGGCGCTGCGGCCGCCGTTGGTCTCCATCTCAGAGAAGTACAGAGCGCCGTTCATGCCGCACACGAGCTTGGAGAGGTCGACGTCAAACGTCAGCTCGGCGTTGAGCAGGCGGAGGTCCTCATAGTTCTTGTCGTCCTCGGCGACGAGGTACGTGCGTGGCGTGACGGTCACGTACTGACCGTCAGAGCCCTTCAGCCATTGGTTCAGCGTCAGCGAGGAGCCGCTTGTGACAACGCCATGGGCCGCATAGTCGACGCCCTCGAGCGCGCAGTTCTTGGAGCACGTCTCGGCGTCAGCGCAAATCTCGTCGCCCACGGTGCAGGTCTGCGTCAGGTCGCCGATCTTGTGCAGGGTCCGAGAGAAGGCGTCGAGTACCACAGACGTGTTCTGCGTCTTGCAGCCTCCGGCCAGCGTGCACTTCTGTGTTGTCAGCCGCGGGTGGATTTCTGGTATGGCCGTGCCGATCTGCTGGGCTGCGGCGAGAGACGACAGCAGCAATGCCGTAAACAGGGCTGACTTAACCGCCATGGCGTCTGTATAATGTCTCTGCACAAGAACCTACAGATACAAGACAAGGGTGGATGGGATGGCGTGTGGGTGATGGCGTCAACAGAAGAGAGAGACACGAGGGGCGTCCACGAGTTAAATATCACCAGAGAGGCGGGATGCCGTCCGTGAGCACATATTGCGGCTGCAGTCTGCATACCCGGTTAGCGCAGAGGCTGGCAGAATGGGCCATCCGGAAGGCCACCGTCTTGGCGTTGAGGAGCCTGTTCGGATGGTGGTGCTGATTCCGAGATTACTACCCATGCCTGTGGGAACTGAGCGAGGCTCGGGACGTCTGTTGGCTGCGAGACCTTGTCGAGATAGGCGACTATGCAGGAACCACGGCGTGCCTTATTGAACTTGAACCTCGGCACCTAGATCGGAGGCTACAGCCCTGGCAATCAGCTGTGTGGGTGTTGGATTTACCCGGGGCGGCTTGGCCTCCCGGCGAGCCCGGGACAATGCTCTCCGAGCCCTCTTTGGGGCCAGCCCCGCCCGGTTTAAGAGTCTCGTGGGCCCATTTCTGGTTCGCTTGCTTGTATTTGGGATGTCAAGAGATTTGATCCCTGTTGTCGGTTGACATTGAATTTGCCAGTCAAAGCATGGCCATTGGCAATTCCAACAAACCCCGTCTGATCTGTGTGCTTGAATGATGAAAGCCAGTTCCATTGCCCCTGAATCATAGTGAGTGCAAGTGTCTGTGGAATCGAACAAGTGAATTGATTCTTCCAGGGTGCCTCGCACCGTCGTGCGCGCACCCTCGTATTATTTGACTAGTCCTCCGGACATCTTCTACAGCCCTTCGAATACTTTAAACAACCCCCTAGATTGGTCGAGCAGTCTAGTTATTTTCACTGGTGCGGACGGGTATTAGACAGATTAAAACCACCCCGTGGACAGTAGTCAATCAGTGCGTTGCAATCTCCTTGACACTCTCGCGGTGGACTCTGGCGAGCCAAGTCTTGGCCATGTAAGCGCGGATGCGCTTGCCCCGCAGCATGAAGAGGATCAAAGCCAAGTTGTTCGCTGTGAGGATGCTGACAAAGACGCCGGCAATCATGACAGCGTAGCCGTGGTCGAGGACCCAGGTGAGCAGGTCGAGGCCCATGCCGAAGCTGATGGCCTGCTTCCCCAGGTTCATGGCGATAAGCATCTCGCTGATGTTGGCCGTGTAGCTGTCGACGGCGTAGGCCAGTGTGAAGGTGAAGTAGAAATAGCTGCTGAACTGCGTAATTCCGACGCCAAAGAAATACGCAATCCAGTGGAGGTCGTGCTGCGCCGCCATGCCGAACAGGATCAGCCCCATCGGAGCCAGAAGCATCACGGGGAGCATGGCGCCGAGGCGCATCTCGGACTCGCGGATGCCATTGTTCTTGCGTGTCAGTCGGGCCGCAAGTAGATCGGAGGATGGCGTGAATGGAATGGCCAGCAGGTAGCCGAGAAAGGAGGCCACGGCGATGAGACCACTGTTGGTCTGAGACCAATTGTAGGGTGGTGCAGTGATCTTGAGCGGGAAGATGTAGTTGAACGTCAAGGCGCCCAGGCCGATGTAGATACCTGGAGCGTATCACGGGTTAGCAGTCGGGACAATGCGTGGGGCTACTATTCGTGGCAAATCTCACCGTAAGTCGTGACAACCCAGAACACGTGCGGGACAAGGAAATACGTAAAGGAGCGGGCCATCATCAAGAAATAGTCCGAGTCCTTCTCCCAGATGCCCCAGAACTTGAGTGTCTGGAGAAAGGTCTTTCGCGGCGGAATCTCAGGGGCCAGGGGCGAGTCTTCGACAACGGCATCGAACGTCTTCTCGCCGTCAGAACCTCGTTGCAAATTCTCTTGACTCTGGCGCCCCTCGGTCGGAGGCTTGCGGTGGTACGCTGTTTCCTCCACAACGAAAAAGGCGAGGATGAAAAGGGCGACGGCAAAGGCGAACTCAACGTAGAAAAAGAGACGCCAGTCATGGCCGCCGGAAAGCATGTACCCAGCGTACAAAGGGCCCGTGGAGCCAAAGCAGAGACAGACTGTTGGCAAGAGCGTGTAAGTCGAGCAAGACCCATCTTCCGTGCGAGTCAAAAATAAAAAGATCTTGTGAGGCAACTTACCGGTATAATATCCAAGTCGCTTGCCACGCTCGTGCAGGAAAAAGATGTCGTTTACCAGCTGCACGGGAAGAGCTTCGCAAACCGAGGAACCGAACCCGTGGATTACTCTTGCCGCCATCAACGAGCCGTAGGAAGTCGCCTGAGAGCAGCCAATCAGGCCACCGCAGTACTAATGAGCGTAAACACGGGTCAGCTTGACCAGTCACGTTGATCAAGCGCTATCCTCCCACGATCCGACATAGAGGCTTACTAAGAGGAGAGACCCCAGCATAACAGGTCGGCGACCAATCTTGTGATAGAGTGGGACCAAGACGAGAGACCCTATGTTCGCGGCTGTCAGACTCCTTCTCGGAACGTCTTAGGGACGGCGGCTTTCGACTAACCGAAACCGAATGCGAGATTTGCATAGCTGACAATGTTACTCGCGGTAGTCGGGGAGATGTTGAACTCCTCCGCATAGATTCCAATGTAAACCGAGGGTCCGAGAAGCGCCGAGTTGCTCAGGAACGAGTACAGCGAGCAAACAACAAGAATCAACGTCTTCCGTCTGGTCGACCACTATTGTATCAAGGGTTAGCCGAGCTGGTTTGACCCAGCGGGTGCATGAGGCTAATGGTATGGGAGCAAAGGTGGGAGTAGCTCCGAAGGCATCTCTCTCGCCCGGCTTTCGAGTGCGCGCAACGGGTTGACTAACTTGGAGCGGATCATTGGGATCCTCGGCGGGCACAGGGTATAAAGCCTGACCGTAGGCAGTATCGTCTCCCTCTGTTGAGCAAAGCGTTAGATGGATCACGGTGTCGTGGCAGGTACTGGGTTGGGCAAGACAGGTGCACTCACCGGCGGCCCGAAGATCGACTGTTCCCGGAATATCTCCCTCTTTGGCATGGCTGTGGTCGTGGAGGGACTGAGGTGAGTTCCTGCTCTCGACTCGCGAGCCGTGTTCGTCGATGAGGAGTTCCTTACCTGTGTACCAAGTGCCTCTCGGCGGTGTGAGTTTGCCCGACCATCGTTCCCGTGAAAGTGGTGCTGATGGCCCAAACAGAGAGCGGATGTACAGGAGGGCAGCAGTATTATGTTGTTGGGGGAAGCTGCGGAGAAGCAGCAGTAGGCCGATCAGTCGAGAACAACGCAAGAGCGCTGGCAGACCCAGATATTACCCTGCTCGGTCACCAATAATAATCCCGGCCGAGATGGGAAAAGGCGGGACAGGGCCACACCTCCAATGTAGCATTTGGTGGTTGAGTTTCGAGACGCGGCTTCCTACAGGGTGAGATCGGCAGAGCGGCAGACAAGCAACTCGGCAGTTTCTTGGCTCGGCCTTGGCTCGAATCTCGATTCTCGGCTCGCTTGCAAAAAGCGTGCTAACCCCGCATTTTAGGAGTCTCCGTGACGACTTTGCGGAGAATGCCCGAGCGAGCCAAGCCGCCACGAGGTTGGGGTAACGACGCTTCACACGGTCATGTCGGGGTCGAACCCGGATACCATAATCCGGAACACCGCGCACCGGCGAACTAGGGCTGGAGATGAGTCCTAACGCTGGGTCCTACAGGCTAGCAAGACTTGTGCATGTCTGGGTCGAAATAAACATCCGTGCTGCATGCGGCATCCCCGTAGTTTTAGCATCAATCGCGGATTGCACACGATCAAGAACGGGGGAGATCGAACCACAAACTCCTCGAATGCTTCCCCAAATGCATTCAACTCTTGGCGAAGTTGGAGTAGCTAGCTCTAGCTCATAAAACAAGCGAGGCGTGACATCCATCTGGAAACTCCCAATGTCACGATGCAATGTTCATGACCCCGCTCAATGCTCAGCGTCGTTGCGACCCTAGCCGAGATACTGCATCTCGCCGCCCAGAACGGGCCAGAGGGCAACCACGTTTCTGCCCGTGAACGCTTAGTTCCTCTGTGTCAGGAATAGTGTGTCAGTGGCCCAGGGTGCTGACTGGCGCTCGCAGCAGCAACTGCCTGGATGGAAAGGCCAGTCGGGAAGAGATCTGGCAACCGAGCCGTGGCCCATCCACTGAGCATCAGAGAATGCGGGGAAATCCAACCAATTTCCCCATTTCTCGTGACAGTGGCAGCGCCGAAGCACGATTCTCTGTCTAACTCAGCGACCAGTTGCTCTCAGCAGCCTCAAGAAGCGAGCATTTATGTGAGAGCTTAGACGCATCGCGGGCCGACACAGACGCATCCGGGCGGCAGAACTTAGTAAGCGTCGTGTTTTCTTCGGACAGATCGGAAGTCGTTGGAATTGACTCTGCCTCGCCGCACGAAGGATCAAAAGAGCACAGAAGAATCCGATCTTCCTGCCACCAAGATCGGAAAGCGACAAGTCCGGCGCGGCGGTTGGATTGCTGTTGCAGTTTGCGGCGAAGTCGGGAGCACCCGTTTCCTCCTAATTAGGAGAATGGGGCGTTTCTTCGCTTCTTGCTTCCCCGCAAAGACACGGTTGGCGCCCGGGTGGAAGCTGTCTCATCCAACGAAACGGGTTGAGTACTTGTCAATTGACAGACCCACATCAGGTCGGCGGGAGGACTTTGCGGATGAAATTATCTCGACGCGAGAAAACAAAGGAGAAGGGACGATGGGAGTTTCCTTTTGTAAGAATCACATGTCATCATGCGGGTCGTGGTTCCCGCGCTGTCCGCAGCCAGCTTCTAGAGCACACCAGAGGGAAGCTGCGAGTTGGCTGCTGGTGGCTCTGCGCAGGGGGCTTGGGCGTCTTTCGGGTGGCCCCACCTGCCCTTTTGAAGGAACTATTCCCTGCAGGTGCCTGCAGCTGCGAAATTAGTCTCGCCTTCCTTGAGTTTAGGGCTTATTTTGCTCTGCCAGGGGCGCGTTTGTTTGTCAGGGACTCCTTCTTGCCATGTTTCTTCCATCGACTCGCCTTACTTTCTTCCCCGGATTTCCCAATGTCTCTGTTTCAGTGTGACAAGTTTCTGCTGTTCCCGAGCCCTGCACCGCCGGGTACCGTCGATGCTACTTTGCAGCCAGACATCGCCACCGGTTGCCATCTGCCGCGCGATGCGAAATACCGCGCCGAGCTACAGACACACGCGCTCCAAATCACGCGCTCTAAATCACGCACCCCACCACCCGTGCTCGGCCCAGTGTGATTGCCCCTGTGGCGCCACGGATCGAAGGGCGGGAGGGTCGCACAGGTCCTGCAGCAATTGGCCTTGTGCAGGTAACGCGCGACGACATCTCTCCTCAACGGCGATTCTCACGCCCACCAGCAACCGCCCATTGCGGCCCTGCAGCGCCTGCTGAAGCGGGATCCGACAAGCGCGAGCCCGCGACAATGCGCTCCCATCCGTACACGCCGCCGCCGCCGCTGCCTCCGGTCCTGGACGAGCTCGCCGACGAACTGGCCGCCATCCTACCGAACCAAGAGGGCGCGCGCCACCGGCGAGCGAGCGACGGCGAGGTGGAGATGTGCGAGCTGGACCCCGACACCAGCCGCCTGCTGCCCGTCCGCCCGAAACGGCACCATGTGCGGATCCAGGGGAAGCTAGTTCTCGTCCGCAGCATCTCGACGGCCAACCTGCGGCCCCCGCCGGGGCGGAGACAGTCGGTGTCCCCATCTCCCGGGGGCACCACGCCAAGAAGCGCAGAACTACTGTTCGAGTCAGCCGGGGTCAGCAAGCTGGCGGCCCGGCGATCACGAGCCCGGCGGAGTCTGAGCCTAGACGACGGGGCTGCGAGGCAGGAAGCAGATAGAGCTGCCAGCGACGACACCGAGACGGAGGAGGAAGCGCGCGACACGATAACCCGCGACAGGCAGCTTAGAGGATACGGCATCGGCGGAGCCGGGAATATCCGTGAGTTCCACGTCCACTAGCTCTGTCCGGCTCCGCTTCGTTAGGTAGATCTGGCCGCTAACAAGCTTGTCGGGTTTTGACAGGGCGGCCGACCGAGGTCATCAACTTCCCAGCGAGGCGCCCAGGCTCCACGTTGTCGTTGTTGTCGAGCGTGCTCCCATCGTCTTCGCCGACGTCGCCCATGTCTCCGTCGACCCCGGACAGAAAGCGTTGGAATATTCGCGAGATGTTCGGGCTGACGGCCGACCGGAAGGGAAAGTCGAGAGGGAGGGAAAATAGGTGACGGACTCTCGTGGGCCTGCCCGCCGTGAGCAAGAGGAATGGCTTCGCAGTGGCGAATCTGTCAAAGATAAGGAGGTGCAGGCCGAGTTTTGCGTTATAATACGCGCAGGTTGGCAGCCGACATCCCGCTTTTTTGGAGCCGACAGAGCACGTGTGGGAACTACCTTTGGCCCCCAGGTGCACGGTGTCCCAATGTTTCGCTATCTGGAAGGCAGCTAGGTTTCTAAACTGAGCTCAATGACAACACGAGCTACACTGCGCCCCTCCCGGCCTGCCATGCACGATCGCCTTAGCGGCGGGTCACAGTGGGACCCCGCTTTCAAGGTTTCCGGTCTTGCCCACCTGCTCTGGAGATCTTGTCCCAATGGAGCTACAAAGCCCGTGTACATGTTGCTGTACCTACAAACTTTGCCCATCCGGGGCATTAATACCGTCAGAGGTCTGACTAGACCGTCAGAGGTCTGGCTGGACCGTCAGAGGTCTGACTGAACCGTCAGAGGTCTGACTGAACTTCTGCTTGGCTCGATATTGTATGCTGCACCAGTTCTCTTCTTGTCATGGGCCGTGACAGCTCGCAAGATACCTTATCGGCCAAGGCCCGGGACTCGCCGTGGGGGAAGAATGTGACGTCTAGTTTGAGGGGTAAAGGGGGAGGCCTGACCAGGCCGTGAACTGGAGTGCCCATAACGCCTATCCAGGCTTCATACTGAGGTTGTCTTTCTCCCACGTGTGGCGTAGAAGCAGGCCGCTCCCGCCTTTTCCCGTCGTCGATCGGCCGGCGGGGATTAGGGTAGGGAGTGGCTTGAAGGCGCATGCCGGGGACGTGTGATTATCAGGCACACGTACAGTAGTAGACTACGATCAACGTCTATAATTGAAGCCAGCTCGACTACCACTGGCCCAACATACGAATCGCGTAATATCGACTGCAGCTCGACGTGTCCCAGTCCCGCGGTTCAAGGCTTTACACGACAGCAGAAGTCGCTCGTTCCTTTTATCATTCCCGCCAAGGCCAGGACCCCCCAAGATCCAAGGCGATCCAAGACCTTGGCGAGCGGGTGTGGGGATAGCTCCACCAGTCCAGAGGCCAGTTCCGTTTGTGCACTTGGGCTTATCGCGTTCTTGTCGCTTGGCATCGTCAGACGTATCTCCAAGTGTCGCTTCTTATCTCGCGCGAGAGGTCCTGAAGCCCGAGGGTCGCAGTCAACAATGCCCGGATGGCGTGGGTGAGAGCCCACGCTCGACTGCCATTGCCATCCTACAAACTACAAATACATCCCACAAACTACAAATACATCCCGGCCGCAATTGCCAACATCGCAGCGGGCCTCGTGCGCTTGAGAGTCGATGTAGCCCCAGGTCAAACGACCGACTGACACCAGACCGTATCCGGGCCGCTGCTTTGGCATATCACACACCACACGCCGTTCCACCCTCCTCGTCCCGAACCAACAAGCCGCCGCAGAGCCCGACACGATGGCCGAAATCACCCCCGTCACCGAGTGGCCGGAATGGCACGACAACCCCGACGGCGGCGATCCGCTCACGCAGAACTTTACGGCCGCCTATGACAAGGCATGCCCACCTTCTTGCGTCGCCATGCCCACAGACTAACGACTGGACCAGGGCGACCTATGCTGGATGCTCGTGTGCACGATCCTGTGCTGGCAGATCACGCCGGCCATCGGCTTCCTGTACGCGGGCATGCACCGGCGCAAGGCCGCGCTGACCATGGTGCTGCAGTCGCTGTTCTGCTCGTGCGCCTGCGGCATCCAGTACTGGGTGTACGGCTACTCGCTGTACGAGGCGCGCACCACCAATCCCATCCTCGGCGACCTGTCGCTGGCCGGCTTCAAGAACGTCCTCGCCCAGCCGTCGCAGGCGAATGCGGATATTCCGGATATCCTGTGTGAGTGTTTTTCTTCGGATACTTCTTGCCGATCGTGGTGCTGACGGTTTGCAGACGCGGCGTTTGGGTTTACCTTCGTCTCGGCCACGGCCATGATCCTCGCTGGCGCCATGCTCGAGCGCGGCAGACTGTGGCCCAGCATGGTGTTCCTGCTGTGCTGGACGACTTTTGTGTACTACGTGTAAGTCGAGAAAGCAAGCACAACCCGGCTTCCGATGACCCGCAGCTGACGAGACATCACGGACAGCCTCGCGTACTGGGAATGGAACCCCAGCGGGTGGCTGTACAAGCTGGGCGTGTACGACTTTGCGGGGTCGGGCCCCGTGCACATCGCCAGCGGGTTCAGCGCGCTGGCGTGGTCGATGATGCTGGGGCCACGCATCAACGACAAGTCGAGCACAGCGACGGACCGGCGGTCGCGGCTGGCGCACTACAAGCCGCACAGCCCGCTACTCATGTGCATCGGGACGTGCTTCATCTGGTTCGGCTGGTTCGCCTTCAACGGCGGCAGCTCGGCCAACCTGACCATCCGCTCCATCTACGTCGTCGTCAACACCAACCTGGCCGCCTGCGGCGGCGGCATCGGCTGGGTCCTGCTCGACTACGCCTACAAGCGCAAGTTCAGCCTCGTCGGCTTCTGCTCCGGCATCATCGCCGGCCTCGTCGGCATCACGCCCGCCGCCGGCTACGGTGCGTCATCCTTTTCCGCTCCTTTCTTCCCCTGAGCGGATGCTGACAAAAGCAAACAGTCCCCGTGTTTGTCGCCGCGCTGGTCGGCCTCATCACGGCCACATGCTGCTACTTCACTGTGCGGTACAAGTACCTGCTCTCGGTGGACGACGGGCTGGACATCTTCGCCATCCACGGGGTGGGCGGGTTCGTGGGGGACATCCTGACGGGGCTCTTCGCGGCGCAGTTCGTGCCAGCCCTGGACGGCGTGTCCGGGGCGTCGTACGCGGGCGGCTGGTGGAACCACCACTGGAAGCAGCTGGGCCTGCAGCTGGCGGGCGCCACGACGTGCGCCGCCTGGTCCTTCTTCGTGTCGTGCCTCCTGCTTTTCGTCATCAACAAGATCCCGGGCCTGCACCTGCGCGCCAGCGAGGAGAGCGAGGTCCGCGGCCTCGACGCAAAGTATCTTGATGATATCGACTACGAGGAGAGCTACTTTGGCAACGACTGCATGATCTCCGAGAGCGGGCCGACGCCGCGCACGAGGACCGCGCCGGCTTCGGACGAGGAGACCAAGAAGGAGTGATTGGTGGGGCGCGATATCGGCGGGCCTTTTAGACTTTGTTGTTTTATTAGGGTGTTAGAGGTCGAGATAGAACTGGGATGAATATATTTCATGCTTCATGTTGCCGGGATGTTATAATTTGCTTTTATCGCCCACCTTTGAGCTTAGTAGGGATGGAGTATGAAGCAACAAAGAATGAAGAAACTGGTATAGGCAGACTTTCGTACCAGAGAAAATGGCCCAGAGCATGAGTAATTAGTTTCATCTGCTAAGGTGCAACCCAATCAAAATGTGAACGTTTCTGGCACAGAATAGTCATCATTTGATCAGCAATTTAGGAACCGAGTTAATGGCTCATCTTGATAACAGATTAGATCTTCCCAGATGTAGGGTTAAACTAGTAGGCGGGAACAGCGCTGGCACCAATCCAAATAAATGCCAAATCAATCAAATAAGGAAGACCATATTTGCAGGTAAATAAGCCATTTTGGAGGTCAAATTCAGGCCAAATTGAGGTTCAGGTTAATTGGCATATTTGTAAATATTTCCCATTGGTTGAGCCATTTTTGGGCCCAATTTTCCGGGTTTCCTGGCACTAGGGCAGCCCCTGACTAAGGCCAGCCCTGCATTTTCTGGTCTCGGGAAAATCGTCGAATGCCCTGAATTTGAGTGCCGCCGTGCCGCTGCAATGCAACTATCGCCAACCGCTGTAAACAAACTGCCGAATCCTACCTTCCTGCAGCGATTTCTCTGCTCCCTTGGCTCCCGAGTCCTCGACAACATGCCTACCTCCACCGTTAATGTCACGACCTTTTCGACAAGCCTCCCTACCGCCGAAAATCGTCCCTGGGCGAGTAAATGAGGATCCTGAAGGTCAAGGGCTTTTTTCCGGTCTCAGGGTGCCATTCGGGGCTCGATTTCCTTGTTTTTTGGTGGAGCGACAAATTCCGTCAATTAAGTCAAATAAAACCCACCCAATCAGAGAGAGCCTCTTACACAGATAAATACACCATTTTGAGCCTCAAATACAATCAAATAAGGCTTCATATTTGGCCTAATTGAATTGATGCCAGCGCTGGGCGGGAATGAAGTCAGCGTAAAGTGTGGCTCTGCCCAGTCATGAGCCTAGGAGAGTATCCTTTCCCTACCAGCCTCTGCAGGACTTTTCTCATAAAGTCCAAGGTACTCTCACAAAGCAGATAGGTATTGGGAGAAATTCACTCTTTATTGATTTCGCTATTCCAGCCAATTACTCGGTAGCACATTTACCGTTGGACATACCTTTTCCCTTAACGATGAATAAACCCGACATTCCCAACGCGGGTAAGTTAGTAATTCTCGGTAAAGCCGCCCTCTTGTATGGCATTATTCTTGCGCGTGATCTTCATGGCAACGGCTTTGTTTGATGCGAGATCGGAGCACGAGCCAACCCCGAAACCATGCCAATCACCAAAGCCGGCTCCATCCCAGGCTCCCAAACCCCGGGATATCAAATCCTCGTCCTGTACCTCGTTGGGTACCGCTCCTCGTTGTTCTTCTCCGTTTACAATCCCGTTACTCCGCATTCTCATCCTCAAAATTCGAAGCCCAGGGGCGGTTATTCCCACCGTCCACCATCACGGTAGAGCCACTGGCCGCGAGCTGTGTGCTCGGGTTCTTCCTCGTCGCCGCTCGCTGTAGCTTCCCGGATCACTCAGCGGAAGCCTCGGGAGTGTTGGATTGCGGTGGCGGCCAGGTCAGGGTTTCGGCTCAGACCAGCGCCGGCAACAACTCAAATATGTTCAAATCAAACGATCAAATCTAGGCCGTATTGTCAGTCAAATATGCGATTTTTGAGGTCAAATCAGCTCAAATATAAAGCCCAAAATATTTGGGCAGTGGTCAAATATTTCCTTCCCATTGGCCAGGCCATTTTTTAGGGCGGATTTTTCGGATTTTCCTGGATTCAGGGCGCTCCCTGCCCACGGCCAACCCTGCATTTTCCTTGCCCGCCCGGCATTTTCCTGGCCCAAGAAATTTTCTGCATGCCGTTAAAGCTGCAATGCAATTATTCCGACGTAAACAAACTGCCGAACTCTACCTTTCCGCCGAATCCTTCTATTCCTACAACGATTTCCCTGCTTCCTCACGTCCGAATTACCGACAATATGCCTACCTCGACCGTCGAACCTACGACCCTCTCCACAGGCCAAAAGCGAGCGTTTGACGCCATGAAGAGGCCATCGCGGCTCGCCGCGCAGTACAGCGAAGTGGTGGTGCATGACTTGAAAGGCCTGAGCAGCATACAGGTCAAGGACTGGCCCACGATAAAAATAACACAGGGCATATACGTACCGGAGGCTTGGGGTGGAAAAAAGCCTTCTAGGTCGTCGTGGATCGCCGAACACGGCTGTTGGCTTGCCTAGATAGTCAACGACAAGGTAAACGACGAGGTTAGCGGGGCACGCAGAGACATAGCATGGTTGACGATACCTTGAACAACACCATGTGTTTGAATAATTGGATGCGAAGATGACCTTTCCCGGGATTCAGGGCTTTTTTCCACCTCAGGGGACCATTTTGGTGACTTTTTACCTATTTTGGTAGAGCGGAAGATGCCGTAAACATCGTCAAATGAGACCCACTCAATCAAATCGAGCCTAGAGCCAGTCAAATATCCGGGTTTTGAGGTCAAATCTAAACAAATATAGCCGTGTGCAGAGTGGGTAGTGCACGAGCGAGTGCAGTGCAGCGGGTGGTGAGAGAACCAAAAGCTTCATGGTTGTAGGCGTAGCAGCCGGTGCACGAGCGAGAGGTGGGCGCACGAGCAGAGACATCATCAGCCTCACACGAGGGAAGAGCGTGCAGGGCAGGCAGGGCAAAATCAAGAGCGGTGGAGCCCGGGGAAAGGCGTCACGATGGCTTCGTAAGGGAAAAGGTTTAGCGGAGGTGTGGGCTCGCCGTCGAGGGCTGGCGCCGCGGCATCAACAGCCTCAGGCGAGGGAAAGGCAGGGCAGGGCAGGCAAACCACCAGGCAAAGAGGGCAGGGCAGGCAAACCACCAGGCAAAGGAGGACCGGGCAGGCAAACCACCAGGCAAAAGAGACCGGGCAGGGCAACAGCCTTGCGACAGCTTCACGGGGAAGCCAACCAGCCGCGTCACGCGTACCCTGCTCGCCTCCAGTTGTCCTCGCGTCACGCGTGCCCTGCTCGCCTCCAGCTGTCCTCGCGCCTCGACGTGCCCGCCGGCCGCCCACGCCGCCTCAGCATTCAGTCGGACTAGGTGTATTAGTTCTCGCGCCTGTAATAATAACAAGGAAGAAGAAGAAGTGGCCTAGCTGGTATACGCACTAGTCAAGTAAGTGCTGACATCTCCAAGTAGGCCCCCTTCCCTCCCCTCCGGTTCGATTCCCGGCTAGGCCACTTCTGATATTTTTTAGTCTTTTTTATTACCTGACTGTCTGCTTTTGTCCGACCTTCCTCCTGCCGTCTCGTGATGGAACGCACAGTTTGTGCATTGTTTGCCTTGTAGGGCATTTGTCTGTTCTTCCTCTACTTTTGATCCTGCTTGAAGCTGAAGACAGCACTGTAGTTGGTGGTTGCGGCGGCGGCTAGACTTTTTCAAACGAAGTCATCACCACGGTAGCGCCCGCATTCTTGTCTCCTACCCCGGTCACATGACACCCATTTTGGACCCATTACTCCTGCCGGGCCCTCATCTTCTGTTCTCGACTTGGCCAGCTTCCTTCTCTTTTTCTTTGACTGGCGGTCGTTTCTGTTTTCCATGCGCGCACCACTTACTAACACAATTGCCGGCAAATTGTTTCTCTCCTTGGCTTGGCCTCACATTTGAACCTCGGTCAGTACAACACTCGCTACCTGCAAGAGAGCACCCGCTTGCCAGAGTTTATCGTCCCTGAAGTTGTCCTTCCCAGAAGTTGTTCTTTCCAGAAGTTGTCCTTCCCAATGTGGCGATGGTGTTCCAGGCCAGTCCATTGACTTTTGCTGCATGCTGACATTCGGATGCATATGCAGGGCCACATCTAGCGCCTGCGTCTCGATCGCACGCCACCTTGGCTGCATTTGACGTGCGCCAACTCTCCACAGCGCGATTCCGAAAGCCCGTCTCGCGCCTATCTCCCATCTTACGATTATCCTTGGCGTTGGGGGGGGGGGATCACTCCCCCTCCACCATGTCCGGCTCTAGGCGTGCTTGCCACAGCGAGCCCGAATAAATATTCAAACAGTTCTCGCGCAGCCCACTCTTCCCCTCCACCAGTCCCGGCTTTGACTGCGATTGCGACGATACATTAGGACAAATACCAAAGAACAGTTCAAGCCCAACACTCCCCCTCCACCAGTTCCGGCCTTAACTTTGGTCGTGACAACAGACCAGGGCAGACACCAAATTCCATTCTTGAACACTCACTTCCCCTCCACCATTGTCTGTCTTGAAATTGAAGGCACCATCAGGTTGAGGCAAAGACACATACTACCCTCCCACATCCCCCCACAACCATTCCCCCCCCCCCTTCCCCCCTCCACTAGTTTTGGCTTGACTGTGGTTGTGACGACAGACTAGGATAAACAGCAAAATACATTCTAGGACGGCCACTCCCCTCCACCATCTTGCGCCTTGACAGTATTGGCATCTGCAGATTGAACAAAGACACGCAGCACCCTCACTCGCCCTCCTCCGGCTGCGGTCGCGAAAGACCTTCAACCGAAGAATATCAACAAAGCCACCTCCAAAGCCACCTCCAAAACCACCTCCAAAGCCACCTCCAAAACCACCTCCAAAGCCACCCCCAAAGCCACCCGGAAACATGCTACTCAAGGCGCCCGAGGAGGTGCTCAGGGTGGCCATCATCGGCGGTGGACCAGGCGGGCTGAGCACGGCGATCGCGCTCTCGCAGATAGCCAACGTCGACGTGCGGCTGTACGAGCAGGCCAGCGTGCTGCGCGAGGTGGGCGCAGGTATCAGCATCGGGCAGAACTCGTGGAACGTGCTGGAGCTGCTAGGGGTTGCGGACACGCTCACGAGCGGCCACGTCACGGCGACGGTCCTCAACCTGTGCGTTTTTCTTCTGCGATTTCCCTCGTTTTCACGAACAAGCTAATTCCAACGCACCCTCAGAAACGGCAAGACCGGCGAAGAAGTCCACCGCATGGCGCGGCCGCCGGCCCCGGGCCAGAAGCACGCCAACATCCGCACGCAGCGCACGCAGCTGCAGTCGGCACTCTTGGCACACGTCAAGCCGGGCGTCATCCAGCTGTCCAAGAAGCTCGCGCGCATGGTGGACAAGGGCGCCGACGGCGTCGAGCTGGTCTTTGAGGATGGCACGGCCGAGGTGGCGGACCTGGTGGTCGGCGCCGACGGCATTCGCTCGGTAAGCAACACCCGACTCCTTCATAACTACCCGACTCCTCTTCACAACTACCCGACTCCTCTTCATAACTACACGACTCCTCTTCATAACTACACGAAAACACATCCCTAACAGATGCACGCGGCAGGTGGTGCGGGACTCGGCGTGGCCCGAGTACGAGCTCAAGTTCACGGGCACGACCATCTGGCGGGCGCTGCTGTCGTGGGACGCCGTGGTGGCGCTGGACGGGCGGTTCGCGACGACGGGCTGGTGGCACGGCCCGACGACGCACGTGTGGCTGTCGCCCGTCGGCGACGGCCTGGGCGAGATCGCCGCCCGCGCCTGGCACGACCCGGCCGTGCACAGCGCCAGCAAGGTCAGCTGGGGCGTGCCGGTCGGCAACGAACACGTCGAGTCGCACTTCCCGGTATGTGGACATCCACTCTCGGATCCTCACGGCTGAAGGAACAGACACCGACATATATACATCTAAGTGGCGGCACTGGCTAACGGCACAACAGGAATACCTCCCGCAGATCCGCGCGGCGCTCGCGCAGGTCGAGACAGGCGACTGGCGCGAGTTCGCAGCCTTCGCGGGGCCCGAGCTCGACCGGCTCACAGCATGGGACGGCAAGGTGGTGCTGGTGGGGGACGCGTCGCACGCGCTGTCGGGGGCGTTTGGGTCAGGGGCGGGGTTCGCGATGGAGGACGGCTGGGTGCTGGCGCAGGCGCTGCAGAAGTTTAACAACGACGCGGTGCGCGCGCTCCAAGTTTTCGATGCCATTCGCCTGCCCTACTACGCGCGCATGTACAGCCACCTCGCGGCCGAGGCGGCGGGGCGCGAGGCGAAGCTGGTGCAGTTGAGGAGCGAGGGGGTTAAGGAGGGGAATGGGGAGGGGGTCAAGGAGGGGAATGGGGAGGGGGTCAAGGAGGGGGATGGGGAGGGGGTCAAGGAGGGGGATGGGGATGATGGTGTGAGCTATGATGACCGCGTGCGTGTCAAGGTTATCAAAGGTGGCGGCAAGGATATGAGTTGGATCTATGCGAACGATATTGGGGCTGTGTGGAGGAAGGCGGTTGAGGGCTTGGAGGAGGAATAGGGGGTTCCAGTTGAAGACGGCAACGGGCTCATGTAGATGACTAAGAATCAGATGGAGATGCTTAGATTCGGCAATTTATACAGGTTGACGAGGTCGCACATGATGGCATGGAATGCATTTGGTCGATTTATCTTCGTCATTTTCAATATTCATATCTTTGCTCATAGACACCAGGCTCACTCATAACACCAGGCTCACTCATAGCACCAGGCTCACTCATAACACCAGGCTCACTCGTAAGTACTCATCTAAATCCAACGGATATATATGACTGGGCTGGGTATATGGCTGTTATTAACCGTTTGAAGTCCCTGTCTACTTCTTTACGTCCACGACATCCGCAATCACACCAACCGCCGACCCGGCGTCATTCGACTCGGCGTCGTTCGAGTCGCTGGCCGTCTCGGTTAGGTTCGCAAGACGCTTCTTCTCCCTGTGTGATAAGTAGTGTCAGTGTCGTTCGTAATCAGGCCATGCATCAGGACAGACGTACCTCTTCTTATGCACCACGATGGCCGTGACGAATCCCGCCCACAGCAAGAAAAAAAAGACCAGCGTGACGGGCCAGCCCTTGCGCCACCTCGGGGCACCGTCCGGTCCCGCGGTGGGAAACAGGAGCAGCGGCACCCAGACGTTGAACGAGTACCCGATGGTCATCATTGAGCCCTGCGGTGCCACGTCAGCTTGGGCTCTTATCTGGGCGTGCTGAGAGGACGTGATCGAACTCACCATGATTAGTGCTCGCTCCTCCGAGTCTCCCTTGACAATGGTGTTCACGGTCGAGTACAGGATCGGGCTCGCGCAGCCGGCTAGACCGAAAAGGTACCACGCAACGAACCTGGCAGACGGCCTCTGGTCAGCAACCAACTCGGTGTTGATGTTTAGGAAAGGGGGAAAAACTTGCTTCAGCGGCTTGGGGACGTTCCAGATGATCATGACCAGGCTGGAAAATATGCAGGCTCCCTCGACGATGGAGTAGATGACCCAACTGGGATAGATGGCGGCCAGCGTGGTGCCGAGCCATGACGCGACGATGTTGATGGCCGAGGTGACGGTCGGCAGCGTGTTGATCTGCTGCACCGAGTAGCCCTCGGACTTGAGCCACAGGTTCATGTAGCCGGCCGGGTATGATGAGATGATCATGCAGCTGTCAGGGGGGGGCATGCATTAGCCTTTCGATGATAGCAACTCGTGTGAGAGGTGGAAAGAACCGAGAAGCTCACATGTAGCAAAAGACGAAGACGTAGATGTGCCAGCGCGAGAGCGTACGCTTGAAGACGTCAAAGTCGAGCTTGCCGGGGCGGCGGATGCCAGAGCGCTCGAGGCGCTGCTTGGCGAGGGTGACGTCGGCGTCGGTCAGGAAGAAGACCTTGGGCGAGTCGGGCACGCCGGGGAAGACCCAGAAGCCGAGCAGGGCGCACGGCACCGTGATGACGCCGTCGATGATGAACAGCCACTTCCACCCGGGCATGCCGTAGACGCCCGAGAGGTTCGTATATGCGGCCGCCTGCAGGTACCCGCTGACCATGGTCCCCAGCGGGTTGCACACGAACCACGTGCCCGCCCGCTTGAACAGCTCCGGCCCGCTGTACCACGAGCCTGACACGTGTCAGAGATTATCTCTTTCGCTCTGTCCCGGTCTTCAACTTACCGAGGATGAAGTGAGTGCCGGCGAATACGGGCGCCTCCAGCATGCCGATGATGAAGCGGCAGGCGTAGATCTGTTGGATGTTTGTGACGCGGCACTGCGCGAACGTGACGATGCCCCAGAGCACTTCGAGGGTGGGGAGGAGCCATCTCGCCCTGTTTCTCGTGTCAATATCGAATCACGCGACAATAGACCGGGGGTCGTGGAAAGCGGCAACCTACAGCCTGGGGCGGGACATCAAGAGCATCCCCGGCACCTGGAAGATGACATAGGCGGTGAAGTAGCACACGTTAATGTAGTTGAGCTCGTCGCCGTAGAGGCTGAAATCTTCTTTGAGGCCGCTGACGTATGCATTGCTGATGTTTGTTTGGTCCAGGAATTTGATAAAGACTGCACGCAGACTGCGTTAGCGAGCCCGGTATGTCAAGGCTTGACTTGCACGTAGGGAGGACTCACAGCAGAGGCACGCAAAGGTCAGGATGGAAGTATCTAACTTGAACAAGAGCCTAAAAAGTGCAGGGTGAGCATCTCGGCATGCTGCTCCAACGACAAGAAGCAGACTGACTTGCGCTCGGCGGCAGCTAACTCTGAGGGGTACCAGTTGAAGACTTCTTTGAAGAGGCCAAGCGGCGACAGCCTCTTTCCTGGTTTGAGTTCTCCCATGGCCAAAGTGTTTTCAGGGGGTGTAAGGAGACAGGGGTGCAAGGAGATAGGCGATGGAAGGATGACCGAAGCAGCACAAAGCAGAGGACGAGCCCGGTATTGATATTGCCTCGAGAATATGAAATCGCCAGTGATAGGTGACTAGCCCATTTGTTTATGCGACGTTGGTCGCCGGGGCTATGAGAATTCGGACCGGGGCCATGAGAATTCGGAACCACGGCACCAAACCACTCGCCCGCTCGCCCGCATCCAATCTCGCCACCAGAGCTAAGGATTCCGCCTTTTACCTGCATGTCCGGTTCGATGCTGCGTCTGTCGAGGACGCCGGCACCGGTCCTCGGAGCCCACCCATACCATCGGAGACAGCACCCCGCCAGCGGCTCCAGAACTGAGGGGCTGCAAGCCTGGCACGCCACCATGCAGGGTGGCCTGTTTCCCCACAGCCCAGCCCTTGTTTGGTATCAGCATCCGTGGGCAAGGGGAGAGTCTAGAGCAGCCAGCTGGGCGACGGCCGTTTGACATGTGTCTGTGTCTTGTACATGCAGCCCAGCAACACGGGACTGGAACTAGAGGCGCTCGAGATCTTGGCGCTGGCTCAGAAGCGATCCAGCTAGCTGTTAGCAAGCTGTTAGCAAGCTCTTAGCAAACTTTTGGCAAGCTGTTAGCAAGCTGTTAGCAAGCTGTTTCTAGCCAGCAAGACATCTCGAGCGCAGCGCTAAAAAGTGTCGAGACGGTGCAGTCTATTGCGTGCTGCTCCCTTCCACATCTGGTTCACCCGTCGTGTCGCAGCTTACCAAGCCAGACAGCGTGGGGGGATCAAGGGCGGATTAAGTAGCCTCATTGAGGCCGTGGTGTGGTTTTAGCTCGCAATTGCGTGCTTGGCAGATTGCAACGGAAAAGGGGGCTAGCTCCACCGGCTGTCGGCCCTCCTCCGTCACACGGCTGCCGTCTCGCGGCCACGGGCAGAAGAGCGCCTAATCGCCGGTGATAACGGCCGCCATCACGAGGCGAGATGGCGTGCTCTGGCCTAAGATGCACGGCCGGCCGATTCGGGTGTTTTACCATCTTGCTATGTGCCGGAGTGCCGTGCAAATTTGCGCGATCGCCAGACGCGTGCACCATTTGGGAGTATATAGACCTGCCTACGCGTGCATATACGCTACAGAGATAAAGAAGATAACACAAGATCACTGGTCCTACAGCGTGGATCTGCCATCTCAAAAATACCCCAAATAAACACCAATTTCTACCCAAACACCGCGAACATGCCTGGCCGTATCGATCGTTACGAGGAGGTGACGCCCACCAAGGAGAATCGTGAGTATTTACTCCACTCGCTACAGCCACTTCACAGGCCACTAACACCGAGCCAGTGGACTGGGCCGAGCTCATTACTCTTGACCTGAGCCTCTACGAGCAGCCGGGCGGCAAGGAGGAGCTTGTCAAGCAGCTCGACCATGCCGTGCGCCACGTTGGTGAGTTCCTTCCCACAGGTCAAGCCATCTTTTCTCCCCATGCTGAGATCTCGTTCCACAGGCTTCTTCTACGTGAAGAACTTCAACATCTCGCAGGAGGAGGTCAACCGGCAGTTCTCGCTGGGCAAGGAGTTCTACGCGCTGCCGCTGGAGGAGAAGCTCAAGTACCACAACCACGACGACCTGGTCAGGGGCGAGTACAACGGGTACCGGCCCTCCGGGCTCCGCGTGTATGTGCTTGCACTCACCACCTCTAAATCCGGTCAGAAACGTAAAATTGTCGGGATGAAGCTGACGTCGAACTTGTGACACTGAAGCATCGGAAATGGGGTCAAGGACAACATCCAGGTCTATAACATTCCCAAGTTCGACGGCTTCCACCAGCGCGCACAGCCAGCCGTGATCCAGGAGCACATCGAGGAGGTCGAGGCCTTTAGCCGCGTAAGCACCACCACCTATCCACTTACCCATGGCATTCGTCCGCAGTCCATCTAACCCCCCCACCCACCGGCACAGAAATGCCATAGCAAAGTCGTCGTCAAGCTCCTCCGCCTCTTCGCCCTCCTCCTCGAGCTGCCAGACGAGGACCAACTAGTACGCGACCACCTATACGACGTCAAGGGCGAGGACCACTTACGGTACATGCACTACGCGGCGCGCAGCGCGGAAGAGAACGGCAAGGTGGGCGACCTGTACGCGGCGGGGCACACGGACCTGGGCACGGTCACCCTCCTCTTCCGGCAGCCGGTGGCGGCGCTGCAGATCCTCAACTCGGAAGGGAACTGGAAGTGGGTCAAGCCGCAGGACGCGACCATCACCATCAACACGTGCGACGCGCTCACGGCGCTGACGGGCGGGCTGATCAAGTCGAGCATCCACCGCGTGCACGCGCCGCCGGCCGATCAGTCGACCGTCGACCGGCTGGGGCTGCTCTACTTTGCCAGGTAATTGATTGCCCCCTCGTCTCAGCTCTCTGGGGTCGACTAACACGGTAGCCCAACACAGACCCAACAACCACGTCGTGCTGGATCCCATCCAGAACAGCCCGCTACTCAATCGGCTGGGCCTGACGACCAACGCCTTCACCGAGCTGGGCCAGCACCTGACGACCGAGGAGTGGGTCATCGTGCGCCAGTCGCAGCAGCAGCGCCGCAAGGTTGAGGCCAAGATCCTGCCCGGCGGCAAGTACGAGTACAATGAGAAGGACCTCGAGATCATCCCCGGGCTGACCGCCAAGATCTACAACTGAGAAATCTTGGGGCTTCTCGGCAGGGAGAAGATGATGTGGCTGGCTGATGTACGTGTAGTCTTGGGGCACGACGCGAGCATTTGTTGGACAGACGCCCTCTGGAAACAGCGGACTGCGCAGCCGAGGGATGGGATGGAGTGGTACTACTTGGCGCAATCTTCCCCGGGTAGTTTGCAAATAGCTGGTCGCGGCTCTCGTGTGACGGGTGTAGGCAGCGAATCACAGATTCCGATGGCTCACAGTCTTTGCCATAGCCCCAGGGCTGCAAACCCAGCTCCGCCCAGTTCACCGATAAGTGGGAACAGAGCTGCACGCTGCCTTCGCGCCCAATACATATGCGTGTGTCGTCGTAGACCGAGGTCCTTCTGTCTCGCCGAAAAGTAGATGGCGCAATGCCTGATCTTGCACCCAGAGCAATAGAGGGCCCTTGACAGAGCCCAGAGTCCTTTCAGGACGCCCACTGCCAGTTGGAAATCGGCGCACCATTCACAACACCGTGATTTCTGCGTTCGGCACCGTGATTTCTGCATTCGGCACCGTGATTTCTGCATTCGGCACCACGATTTCTAGGTGCGTCGGATGTTGTATTTTTAGATATCATCGATTCCCCACCATAGAAGCCTTTCTGCGGTGTGACAAGCCGCAGACAGTGGGTCGCTGAGAAGCTCCATGAAGCGTCTCGATGTTGTGCGCAAGACATAAATATCGTCCAACTTCAGAATGTCTATAATAGCTAATGTGAGCTCGTTAGCACGCGGTAGAGCGTGCATTGGGAGGTGTTTTGTCGACTTGTGTACCCCCATTGTGTACTCCCATTGTGGATATCCATCCTCGCGGCTGGTCAAGATCGTTACAGGCGTTGTTGTTGAAGTCATCCATGGCCGGCTGATATGTGACATCTCCGGAGTCTCGTGTTTCTTGTTGGTGCGGTGGATCAGGTGTTTCGGCTCCGGTGTTGCTGTGTCTGGGCCGCCGAACTAGCCAGTAGGAGAAACGCTGCCATGCTTATCGCCAAGTTGGCCATGGTTGCTAGCCCGATAACTTTCCAGCAACCAAAGGATGTCATGACATGCGGCCTGTGACGTTGGCGGCGGCGTGGTTTCTAGTGTAGATGACGCCCGTCGACGGGTCATTGAAGGTCGAGGCTGCGGCAAAGAGCGAGCTGGTCGAGGGATACATCATGGTCGGGTCTACCAGTGATGAGCCCGTTGAGAATCATCATTTGTCGTTACGTATAATGAACTACAAAGATTGGGCGTCTGACAAGAGGATGCGGCACGCTGAAGTAGGTGGAACGGGTGGACAGTGGAACGGGTGGACAGGGCGCAATTCCTGAAGCCGAAACTTTTCGCTTGGCAGTAATTAACCTATTCCAAACTTAAATTCTTCAGCAGTTCATGCTTGCCAAATCACCCTGCCCCTGACCATCCTAGACGGTCCGAATTTGGCTAGTGAGGGGTAACTCGACAGAAATGGCAACTGCTACTGACACCGGTTTCGAGTCAGTGGCAGGACGAGTCCCGAATTTAACTGGCAAGTGCAGTCGATGGATTCAGGGGCACTAATTCGGGGAGGCACAGAGTGGTGAATTCGCTGTGCATCCTCGAGTCGCACACAGTGCGCTCCACCTTCGGCCCAAAGGGGGAATGGTTGGGATCGCCCTCGATAGTTTAAACGCTAGCTCCCCGCGCCCCTATTAGCTAGCTGCCTGCCAGCAGCAGTTGCTCGGCTTTTTGACTTTACGCTTGGAGCAAAATGGTGTGAACCAAACCAGCACCCGCCGCCGTTGCAGGCACCCACCGAAGGAAGGAGTCAATCTCACAATCGTCGTCGCCGTTGCAGGCACCCACCGAAGGAAGGAGTCAATCTCACTATCGTCGTCGCCGTCGCCATTGCTGTCATCTTGATCGCATCGTGGAGGAGCCATGAACGTTCATCAGAGCGGGCCAATCTCAAAGTCGACGCCCCTGATCGCGGAAATCTCCCCCAATTTCGGGTCCGAGTCCCAATTACTGACCATCGCATCTCACACCTTAGGCTCGAACGCCCCTGGGCCCTTATATCGCAAGATTCGGCACTAAACTTTCCGGGCGACATCGGCATCAAGTTCATCCGTATTTCATTCCGCCATGTTGACCGCCTCGAAGAATGCGTTATACCCGGCCTTCTCGCGCCGGGAACCGGACCGCACTCTCACGGCAAATTCGTCTATCGCTTCAGAAAGGTAACTTTCGCGAGAACAACCGCGGATCTGGTCATACCAGGAGCCTCCACTTGCTGTGGGATCATACACACTGGCCGTTTCTCAGCATATTGAGGCCACAGACCCAGAGACCAAGAAACCCGTTCAGAAAGACCTGCGGTCGCCTGACACTCTGTTGCGCGTGTCGAGTCCAAAGTGCATGTTGTCACGACCAGGGCAAGGCATTGAGGTGAACTCAGTCCATTGGGTGCTATCGACGAAGATTCTAAACTGAGGAGGGAAAGAAGGAAAAGTCCGACAACGCGTCGCGTGCTCGCGAATAAGTTTTCGTCTATCAGTGGGGTAGGTGGGGCCTCGAGGAGGCTTCTGATAGGCCCGGGGGTTCTGGGCGGCTCTGGCTGCTTGAGGGCCAGTTTGGTGGACGGGTCCTCACACATGTCATGACATCCTTTGGTTGCTGGAAAGTTAAAGGTGGAGGCGCGCTTCAGCAAGGCTGTCTCGGATGGGATCCGTGAGGTGCTGTACATGCAAGTTCTCGCAGACGATATTCTCGTCTGTCTCTTTGGCCGCGTCCCCGGCGAAGACAACTTCGAGAGTGTCCGTATCTCGCAACCGCCCTATCAGCAAGAATTCGCGGTGAGATCCACTCTTACCTCTTCCGACCTCGAGACCGTCTTCCGGCCTGTGCCATTGGTGGACTTGGAGACCGTGCCGGCAGGGCCAGATCGGGAGAAGCTTCGACAAGTTCTCGCACCCGTGTCTAGAAAGTGGGATACGGCGACTGCAGATCCTGTATACGACTAGGATTCGAAGATGTTGCGTCTAGACGCCCTCATGGGGCAGTATGTCGCCGAGATGACTGGCCGAGATGGTTCCAAGATTTAGAAGTGGAAAGGGTCGGAAATGGACGTACCGTCTAGCCTTCTGGCTTTGCAATTAGGCACGCCAAATTCCCAATTGACGCTCGGGGTTCGGAAGAATGACCAGGGAGCTAGCAACGATGACGGTGATGGCAGGTGGACGAAGGCCAGCGGTGCAGCTACACACTGGTCCGAGAACAAAGCTCGGAGCGGCGGTGGCAATCATATCCACAGTCCCAAAGCCTCAGCAGCAACTCCGGCGCCCCCGAGGCCACGCAGCTATCCGGTCGACCCGAAATGGGTGCCGTTGCCTTGTGGTCCAGATTCCCTTGCGGCCCTGTCACTACTTGCAACATCTATGCCCAACGATGAACTCACAGTTTCAAGGGCTTGTGGACAAGACCACTCGGGACTTGCTTATGCCGCGTGTCCAATATCCCAAAGAAGCCATATGGTACCAGCAGCCTGACAGGGCGCTCTGCTTCCCGCTCTCCAGCCCGGATGAGCAACCCACGCAAATACCGGCTCTTTAAACGGAGACAGCACTGTCTGCGCTTTTGACAGGCCGATGGACTTGGTATTTTCCCTGAAATAGATGCAGGAGGTCGACAACAAGGAATATGACTATCCCGAGCGCCTAGAGGTGCGAATTCCCGTCACATTGGCCTCCACCAGCAGCGTAGACCTTGCAGGAGAAGTTGGTGTCGACAAAGCTCTAGCGCCGTTGCTCATGATCCCAGGCTCGGCTGCCGCACTGGTATTTCCCGCTATCGAGGGACTAAATTTGAGCGGGAGTCCACTTTGGACATATAGCTGTCGCCTTGTTCCGGGCGGCCTGTACAAGGCTCCAGGAGAAGGCAAGGACGTAGAAGGGCACTCTGGCCTAGCGATAGGTTCCCTGGCTCCGCTTTATCCTAGTGCGTATCTTCTGCTGGTCGTCACAGCTCGGCCGCGGTTTGGACACATCAAGATGAAAAACCTAGCCTTTAATGCATCCTCCATGATGCGCCAGGTCAACGTCAACAACCCCGTCCGGACCGTTTTCGACACGCAGTTTGACGTCTCGTGGAAGGACGGCGCCGTCTACTCGCGGCGCGTGACTGTTCGACTAGCCATCACACTCAAGATCATAGAGCCAATGCAACTAAAGACGAGAAGACGAGCGCTCTCGGACGGCAGTTGCAGCTGAGTGTGAGATCCTCTTCGCTCCTGGGACCCGACGAAGAAGCCATCTGGTTCGCCAAACTCCTCGACGGCGACACTGCCACCGGGCGTTTGCCGCCAGACGCCCTCCGCAAATCCACTTCCAGTACTCACCTAGCAGAGAGGGTCAACGGGGAAGTTCACGAGGTGCTTCCTAACTTTGTCGAGGTGTTCATCGTATCCAAGTCCCCGAACAGCCAGCCGCTAGGCCCGCGCACAGCACCATTCTTCCCGAGGTTCGCCTCGCCGAAGCAGCTCCAAGACCCACTATACTCGATCAATGTGCGGCGCAACTAGATTACCAGCGAAGAGACGGCGGAATATCTGTGAGGTGGGATATCCCGCCTCCGGGGACACCGTTTCTGCACTCGCTCCGGTTCGTTTCTGCACTCGCTCCGGTTGGGCGTCAACTGGTACCGCAAGGTTGTGTGGGCTAAGCTGGACAGCGGCTCGGCGTTTATGCCGAAGGCCCTGCTCAATATGGCGAGCCTGCGACACTTGATAATCTTTGACTACACGCTCGGTGTGGATACCGAGCACATAGTGGGCGAGTTCCGGGGCTTTACTGGCTCTAACGATGTCTACTTCCCGTAGGCTGGCATGCTGTTGATGCTATTGACTTCATGGGTTTTTTATACCCCAGAGAATTTTGTATTGCTTCCTTTCAAATCTAGGTGTTATTAGTCTATATATATAACGTGTTTGATAAGCGAGTGGCAGTGACAAGCGAGTGGCAGTTCTCACTACCTCATTACAACTACCGAACGAGATACTAATACTACAAAGGAAATAATTAACTAAAACTACTCAGAATCTGATTCCTCATCCATTTTCGTATCTTCCTGGCACGTACGAGAGTTGTGTCCTATTTTGCCGCAATTGCTGCAGTGCCTTAAACCTGTTGCGTTGCTCCTCGCACGACCACCCCTCGATTGCTTTTCCTCCTCTACCAATGCGTGCGCATCCCTTTCGGCCAAAGTATCGCTCGCATCCTGCATAGTTAATGGTCCTCCTACCCGGATACGACTTTTTTTAGCTCTCCGGCGTTTGCTTAAAGCTGTATTTGCTTCCTCAAGCTCTCGTACCCGCGCTTTCATCAACACCATCTCGTGCATAACCTTTGTCGTACCCTTTACAATCTGATCAAGTGCCTCAAGAATTGGAGTTGGTGAGCTACCTTGATGTCTGGTAATACGATCCTTGATGTGTGTTGATTGTAGAGAGGCCTCGGTAGCATTTCGTGGCGTTTGAGAGACCCAGCTGTCGTACGAGACCTCGGGGGGGCTAGTCGGTGTCGGCGTACGAAGCTTGATATCCAGCTGGGAAATCACCTTTTCTGGGTCGAACGGAACAAGGCCTGCCCCTCGAAAACCTCCTTTTACGTTTTCAGGTTCAAATGTTGCTTGGAATGCGTTGAAGAAGGCGAGGAAGAAGTCGGGCTTGGTGATATGGTGAATATGGTTGCGCATTAACTTCTCAATTTCCTTGCCGTAGAACCACTTTAATATACGAAAACACCCAATATCAAGGGGCTGAAGTAGATGAGATGAGTGCGGAGGCATGCAAAGTGTAATAATGTTATTTTCTTTGCAGTAATCCTCAAATTCGGCCGAGTGGTGGCTCTCATGCCCATCCAGAATTAGGAGTCGCTTTCCACCTATCGTACGATGGCGAGAATGTTGGTCAAAGTGTTTGATCCAGTCAAGACCAATCTGGTTATTCGTCCATCCAGTTTCTGAGAGATCAATTGTCCACTCGGGTGGGAAAGGGCTGTTGCGATACCAAATTTCGAGGTGGACTTTACCCGCAACCACCACGTACGGAGGGATAGTATCACCACCCGACCGTACGGCCTGAATCACGGTAGCCCATTCCCGATTACCAGGCTGGATCTTCTTCACCCTCGCACGGCCTTCGGACGAGGTAACAACAAGGGTTGGTGAGATCTGGCCCATCATGAACCCAGTCTCGTCAAAGTTCCAGATATCCGACTCGAGGATCCCATATTTCGCGATTGTATTGCGAACAAGGTCAAACCACGCGCTAATTATCTTCGGATCTTCGCATTTGGCTCTCTGGTAGTCGTACGGACGCGTCCAACGCGTCCGGAGCTCTGGCTGTCGTCGTACAAAGTTTAAAGCCCAACGCTTTCCGACGCGTGACGCGTCACGCGACGCGCGTAGCAAGTTGGCCATATCTTCCACCATATCGTATCCAGGCGAAAATCCTTGCTCGTATAGGTTGAGAACCCTTCGTACGATAACCTCCTCTTCAAGAGGGTCTAGTTTCCGAGAGTTGGCGACGGTATCTGCTCGAGAGGAGATTCCCTTATATCGCCGCTTGAGTGTGTTGTAGGGTACCGAATAAGCCTTTGCAGCCGTCCAGAGATTGAGTTCCTCATCGCGCTCCATAGCTTGGAGGGCAAGGATGATTTGCGCTTCATTTCGTACGATAGGCATATTGTGTTGTGAAATTAAATCGTGATGTTGCGCAAGAGGTGAAATTGGTGAGGTGGAGCTGCCACTCGCTTGTCACTGCCACTCGCTTATCAAACACGTTATATATTATATATATTTATATGAGCAACACGTCTCTCTTGTCATTTAACACTGAGATTTCTTTCCTTTCTTTGCCCACCTGGCTTGGGTAGAGAGATGCCTTTGCAATCTAACAGGGTGGTTGCCTCGCTCCCTTTGAGTATCTGGTTACAGTTACAAAAGTCTTCAGAAATGCAAAATGTTTACCACGTTTCAGGGCCGCTGGATCTTTATCTTACGTACAACATGGTGCCTTTTCATCATATCCACAGCCTGAATATTTAAGCCACCTATTTCTTTTGCAACTAAAGAAATCCACCGGCTCAACAAAATCATGTTTCCAAAGCTCACTATCTCACAATGGCTCGTCCAAATTCCACTCCGGATCCCTGACCCGCCCTGCCTAGGACGGCTTCAAGAACTCCTTCAGATGCTCCCGCGCCGCATCGTCGGCCCAGTCAACCAGCTTGTCGCCCTCGCGCAGCTCGTCCATCTTGCGCGCCGCCAGGGTGTGCATGGCCTCGCGGTGGTCGTCGCCGAGCAGCCCGATGCGCGCCCGCCAGAAGTCGTGGTCCTCGATGTCGCGCTGCATCCGCCGCTCCATCTTCGCGTCGGTGTTGTTATACTGCCGCAGCCGCCACAGCTCCGGCACTTCGTGTCCTGTTGACACTTTCCGCGGCCCGAAGAACCGCTCGTCCAGGTACGCCCAGTAGATGTAGTCGAACAGCACGCTGCTGCGCGCTGCCGAGTTCAGCCAGAAGCGCCCCGTTTCCCAGCTCTCGCGCATGTATCGTGACATTTTGGCGGGCAGCGGGGTGTTGGCATCTGTGCTGTTGGTTAGGGTGGGTGTTGAGGGGGAGGGGGAGGGAGGGTTCTCTTCAATGGTTTTGGGAGCTGGGTCTTCCAAAGACAGCTTCTCGGCGGCCTGGTCCAAGTCGCGTTCCACTTCTAGGCCAGTCTTGTCTTTTTCCATCGTCGGCGTGGCTTCGGCTTCGGCTTCGGCTTCGGCCTTTGCCTCGGCCTTCTCCATCGAGCGCAGCCACGCCGGCAGCCGGCTCGCGTACGTCTTGCTCCACTCGTCGAGCTCCTCGGGCCCGGCGCCCGGCTCGCAGAACAGCAGCCACGCCGGCGGGTCGAGCGCGAACTGCGCGGGGCCGGCGTAGGCGAACTCCCATCGATGACGCCAGTGACAACGCGGTCCTTGTCCAACAAAAAATTGTCGGCCGACAGGTCGTCGCACCACAGCCGGAACGGGCCGCTGCTGCCGGGCGACGCGGCGTACCGCCTGCTTTGCTCCTCGCGCCCTACCTTCCGCGCCTGCGCCGACCACGTGTCGTCGCCGAAGCCGAACGACGACAGCTTGCCCGCGCGCGCCAGCTGCCGGAACAGCTGGCGCGCCACGTACATGGTCCGGAACGCGTTGCTCGTCGAGGTCAGATCATTCTGCTGGAACACCAGCTGCGCCATGTGCATGTCCGCCAGCGCCACGTACCAGTCGTCGGCGTGTGGAACGCCTTGTTGGCGCGAGGTAGTACGGCCCGCGGGATGTTGCTGAGGTAGAGCAGCTCGTTCATGTTTGTCGACATGGGGCACATGAACTTGAGCGGACCTGTAAATAGCGACAACGTCGGGGCTCGTCGGCTCGTGCTGTCATATTGCGGGTGCAGACTCCCGATGCAGGGGATCTCCATCTTGGCATACAGCTGCAGCAGGTAGCTCGCCAACTGGTCCCACACCACAGCCAGCGGCTCGTCCGAGACATTGGCATCCAGGGCTAAGCGGCGCCTGCCAAACTCCCGCTCGGGGTCGCCCAAGTCTTGAACGAGGCTTTTTTCGTGTTTCATGTACTCCATAATGATGAAGGGGCAGAGGTTTGCCGGATTATCATCCGCTAGGCCATAGGCGTAGACGAGCGGGACGGGGATGTCGGTGTGGACGCGGACGTGGCGCATGGTGGCTACTTCGGCGAGGATCTTGAAGTCGGGGAACTGGACTATGTCGCGGCCGGCCAGCCGAAGGATGAAGTGTGTGTCTCGATTCCTTCGCTGCTCTCTCAGCTCTTCATCTTCGCTGATTTTGTTGACGCGGTCGGAGAATTCGAAGAATGAGGTGAAGTTGTACCTCCCGACGATTGGTTCGGGCGACACAACGGACGTACGTTCACGAAAATGAGCCCTCGTCATCCTAACCAGCTCTTTCCACCTGCGGGCCTCGCCATACTTGTCTAGCGCTTTCTGCCACTTTTCGTTGGCCCCTTCTGTGCCACATAGTCGTAAAACAGCACTCGGTCGGGCAGCTTGACCATAGTTGCCGCTTGTGGTGGTGAATGCACCGCGTGCTTGCGAGGATTTGATGTGTGAAGTCGGAAAGATTGGGTTGTATTGGCTGCAAGGATGTCTATTCGTTTAGTTAGAGCGAGGGGAAAGGTGTGAGGAAATGGGAACAAACGACGCAATCGTTCGCCAATGTAGGCGCTTATGCTTCTCGACTGCTCAGCCGAGTAGGAGCAGCGGCCGCCTGGCAAAACCGTCATGATGCAGATTTGGTCTTGACCGAGGATGGAAGGGAAGGATGGAAGGGTGATGAGCGAGGAATCTACGAGGCAACTTGGAACCACCGAGCCCCTTGGAACCACCGAGCCCCTCTTTGGTCGGCCCAGGGAGGAGAGGGACGGTCAGTGCGTGTTGCGCCTCCGACTTGTGCACAGCCCTTTTCAAGAAGAATGTCATTGGTTGTGGCGGCGCTTGGCGAGATACTGACAGTCTGGTAACCCTTGAATCACCAATCAATACTAGACTAGTGTTAGCGACCACAACCCTCCCTTCGTCATGCATTTTGCTCAAAGCCGCAATGCTACCGAGTGGATGATTTGCGAGCACTGTCGGCTGCCTAGTTCGACCAAACTAGCGGGCCCGCGAGGATGGCTTAAAAGGCCAACACATGCTCCCAGCACAGTAGAAAAGTTCCGAAGGCACGGACACTTGAGGCAGGGGATTGGAGTCCAATGCTAGAAATTCTGAAGGCAACAGATCCCCAAATCATTTTTGACTGTTTGAAAGTACCAAAACATCCGAACTGAATCGAGGTTTCGGGCGCCACAGCACATAGCCAGGACCAACAGTAGCTCTCTCTAAATACAACGGCATGAGCAGAGGGTTCTATATTGAACCACCATCCGACCGGGGGAATTACCGAATTACCCAGCCTTGCATACTATTATGACACAGTGCCGTAGTGGAAAAACAAGACCATACGAAAGGCCCAAGGCGCCATTACGGGCAAACCAGAACCCGTCATATGCTCTCAAATGTTAGTCACACCAGTCAGAAGTTATGGCCTCTATCATAGAAGCCGTGACTTGAATTGGTGGAGGCCCCAAAGACTACGCCTTGATCAAATTGTATAAATATTCAGCAAATGCGTGAACCAAGTCGAGTTATCCATCTCTCCAGCGCCCGCACCCATCGCAGTGACAAGAGGAGACATAGCACAATCTACTTCAAGTCAAATCACCATCTAAAGCCTCAGCTATCTCTTCAGCAAAGAAAGACAGTTTACCAACAACACCAGTCAACACAACACCAGTCAACACGACACCAGTCAACGCAACACCAGTCAACACAACACCAGTCAACACAACATCAGTCAACACAACACCAGTCAACACAACACCAGCGCCTGCTCTTCGTCAGATCCCAAGTCCCAGCTCAGGATATCATCACCAATCCCTCCCCACAGCCACCATGTCCCGCTACAGCAGCTTCAGTGGCCGTAGTCGCTCTGGCAGCGGAGAAGACGTATATGAATTCACACGGCCCTGGGACCGCCGCCGACACCATGACTTTTCCAGGCCGCCCCCATCCTCCCGACACGGATCCCTACCCGACTACCCATCGAGACCCAAACCTAGATACCGACCCGTGTCCCTATACGGATCACTACCCGAGTATGGACCCCGTCTCAGAGAGTTCCAATCGCTCTGGGACCGATTTGGGCGTGGACCGGCGTCAAGGGCCGCTTCCGAGGTCGGCACCTCGCTAGACTCGGGCCACAGAGTGTCACTGTCAGGCCGATCTACATCGCTCGACAGAAGGCCAGGTCGATACTACTCTGCCTTCCACTCGGCCACGCCTAGCCCGGCCTCGTCCAACGACGGCCGCGCGACGTTGTTCCCCTTCGAGATCGCGGGCCGAGGGCGCGAGCTGCGGGAGCGCAGAGAAACAAGCGAGGAGCGACAGAACCGCTGAAGAGCCGAGGACGTCCAAGACACGAACGAACAGGAGCCGCTGCTGGACTACAGGGGCCGGCGAGCCTCGTCTGAAAGTCCCAGAGGACGGCGCCCCATTCTCCAAGTCAGTGTCGGCCCCCGTGTCCCCGATCAGCTGGGCCGCTCTAGCTCGAACTTCCGAAATCACACCACGGACGACTGGGACAGATCCACCAGACGGTTTTGTTAGAGGATTCGAGGCCGGAGATGGCCGAGGCATTCGTTTTGTAAGGACATGCATTCTGCGTGGTGGATTTCTTTTGTTTACCTTGTGAAACCCCGTTGAGATTGAAACCGGTCAGGAGTTTGGGAATTTGGTTACCGATGGATAATTAGCGTACGGCGGCAAGTGATAGGTGGGAAGGAAGGATGGCTACAAGTAGACATGGTGTTTCTACGAACAGACAGTAGATAGGTTATATGGGTTTCTATCAAAATTTCGATTGTCACATCTGCTTCGCGAATCGATTGACTCCGAGCCCGATCACTCTATTCGTGTCTAGTGCCCTACGTTTAGAGTCCGTAATCGTGTGTGATCCCCTACTTGCAACGGTGAACGGGCCATATTATAGACGTGGGACCACCGAACCAAACGGCAAAGTCTATGACCCACCTATCTAATATTCAGTGACTAACTCGACTACAAAATAGCTCTGCGACTAGTCATGCCTGGCCGTCATAATAATCCACAAGGCTTTAAATTGTGTGGTATCTTCTGGCCGAACTCAACGTATAGCATTCTCTCCTCCACACAAAATCCTTCAGCTATCAGTCTTCCCATTATTACCTTATACAAAAAGCAATAGCTCATCAGCCACAACCTACCATTCACCATAATCTCTCTTTTCCAAAGGTTTGCCATCTGACTCACAGCCCACGCACCCACTTTATCTCCTTGCCGTGGTCATCAACCGAAACATGACGAAAAAAGAAGACGTGGCGTCCCCGTTGACATCTCGGCCCCCATCACCCGCATCACCCGCTTTTCTGGTCTCTCCTTCAATTCTTGCACCCTGGGAACTTAGTCAACTCGTTTATTGAGCTCCGTTTCGACCTCGATGGGACTTGGCAAGGACCTAGTCTCCGGATCCAGGTACGGCTGTCTCTTTTTACTTGTTCCAGTCTCTCGTTTTGCACTTCCTTCCGGGGCTTGCACTATAACGTAGCAGATAGACATTATAACGTAACAGACAGATAGAAACAGGTATGTTGGGGTTGGATTGCTGAGCTCCCAGGAAGTTCTACAATTTAGTTTGGTGTGGAGGACACAGGATAGGAGTCATAGTTCGAATCGAAACTTGCAGTTAGTGTCTGCCAATGACTCTCCGTATCCAACAGCAGGAGGTCATAGTGCGCCAGCCCTCGGTGTCAATTTGTACGTTCAGAATCCCTGGCAAGACTACCATACTGACCCTGTCGCATCAGGGTAAATGAACAGGCCGGGGTAAAAGTCTTATTTCAACGGCAAGAAACGCAGCCCAACCTGTCATAAGGATCAGAGATCTGCCGCGTTCCCAACTACCGAGCCCTCGCCTAAATCTCCCAATCTAACAATATATTATCAGAGATTGGCCCGCATCTTCCAGAATCGCACCCTTCGAAGTAACAGAAGAGAGAGAGCGGTCCGCCACGCTGTATTTAGGAATGGCAATCCGGGTTATGTCGACGGGGTGCAGACGCGGCGTCCAAGACTTTTTCATCACACCCACGCCGAGACCTCTGGAACTCCATCAACGACAGGCGACCGACTGAACCTCGCAACAATGCAGTGGAAGGCTATCACAGTGGCGCTGCTCGCCGCGGCAGAGCGCGGCGCCGGCCAAGGGACAACGCCCATGATGCGGTTCGGGTGCTCGCAGCTGGTGGTGGATCGTATCGACCCCCTAGTCAACCCCGGGCAGGCGCCGTCTCCCCACCTGCATCAGATCGTGGGCGGTAACTCGTTCAACGTGTCCATGGACCCAGCCACGCACGACCTGCCGACAGCGTCGACGTGCACGAGCTGCACCTTCTCCGAGGACTTTTCCAACTACTGGACGGCAGTCCTCTTCTTCCGGGCGCGCAACGGCACCTTCAAGCGCGTGCCGCAGCAGCAGGAGATCGGGCTGAGCGGCAACGCGGGGATCACCGTCTACTACATCCCGCCGGCGACGGGCAAGTCGACCGTCACAGCCTTCAAGCCCGGGTTCCGCATGCTGGTGGGCGACGCGGGCCGCAAGTCGTCGACGACGCCGGCGCCGCACAAGGTGTGCCACCGCTGCATGCCCAAGTCGGGAGACAAGAGCAACATCAACTGCGGCTCGCCCGACGCGCAGACCCTGCCCAAGGACTTTTGTGCCGGCGGCATCCGCTCCATCACCACCTTCCCCACCTGCTGGGACGGCAAGAACACCGACAGCCCCGACCACATGAGCCATGTCGCCTACGCCACCGGCGCCGCCGTCAACGACGTCGGCCCCACCGGCAAGTGTCCCGCCAGCCACCCCGTCGCCATCCCCCAGGTCATGTACGAAGTCAGGTGGCAGGTTAGTAGTTGCTCTCGGCCTGGCAGATCTCGTTCCTGAACTAACTCGGCCAACAAACAGACGGAACTCTTCCCCAAGAGCGAGTGGCCCGCCGACGGCTCGCAGCCGTTTGTCTGGAGCACCGGCGACAAGTGAGTTGGTTCTACAGCATCCATATCCCCCACCAACCCAAATGATCACGGCCCCACCCGCATAAGAAAGAAAATAAAGGAGCCCCGCCCGCAGAAGAAAGAAAAGAAAGGAGCAGCCCCGATGACTGACATCCCAAAGGAACGGCTACTCGCAGCACGGCGACTACGTGTTCGGCTGGAAGGGCGACTCGCTGCAGCGCGCCCTCGACGCCCGCTGCACCGGCGACACGTGCAAGGAGCTCAAGACGCAGACCGTGGCCGAGGCCGACAAGTGCACGCGCGCCCAGACGGTCCGCGAGGACGTCAACGGCTGTAAGTTTGCCCGCGCTCGTGTTGGGCTGTTGATATTCTGCCTGTTCGGTGGTGCCTGCTGTGATTTCTGTGGCGACTTACTGACCGCGTTTGTAGGGCTGACGAGTCTTCCGGGCGACGTCATGGTGATGTGATGCAACGTGGTTTGCTGTCGGCCTTCGGGGGTTGGTTACGTGTGTATGAGATTTGTGTCTTGCCGTTCATTAGTCTGGCGCTTTAGTTACTTCGCCATGTCAGCACGCTAAGGAAGATGAGTAGATAGTAAGCAGGAAGAAGCCAAATTGGATTTGCAAAGCGAACGGCACTCCGGGGTATCTATACTACCTGAACTCCCGCTCCTAGACCCCGTATACTCCTCCCGAAAGATGTCGACGCCGCCAAGTACCCCCTTATCACATTGCGCCGATTACCCAGTCATCTAGTTCCGAGTCGAATTCGTACCAAGTAGCAAAGCAGGTTTGGTAAATGTAGTGGTTGTGAGTGGGTGTGGAAGCGTCCAGAGGGTGAGACACTGCGGCAGCCCTTTGTCGTTCCGCTGATTCGGTGCATCGGTGCCACAGACTCAGTCGTATATGAACATGTCCTTGTTCTGGTGCGAAACCTCGGCCACGGCAATGGCTAGGGAGAAATAGACGCCCGTGTGCCGGGCCGTCCACCGCGTCCCCCCCTCATAACCTCCCCGCTAAGTCAGGTGGGGGACTTTTGGAACACCCCTGCCTATGGAACAGCCCCTGAATCGGACCCCGCACAACACCACAAACTTCAATTGCCAACAACTTTGTCAATTAATTAGCTACAATGATGAAGTCTTCAGTATCGGATTCTCCTGATTCTTCTCTTTCAGAATAACTAAGGCCTCTCTGCCAGCCTCTCTCTGTGAGGCACGAACCTCCTCAATTCCAGCGAACTGCGTATTAGGGTCGACTTGGACCTTCCTTCTCTTTCGGCCTCTTGTGCGTTCTAGGCTTTTTTCTGCAGCCTCCAATTGATGCGCCGTATTGGCTAGTTGGAAAACCACGTAATCGAAGGCTTTTGCGGCCTTGCGTATGAAAAGTCGGTCGTTGGCAGTCCGTTTCTGGCCGGCTAGAAAAACCTGCCCCTGAATACGGAAATCCTCGGGCTTTTTAGGGGTAAACCATATAGGCCGGCCCTCCGAATTCTTATTTAGAATGGGGTTATGGACCTCTTGAAGGTCTATAGAAACCGTAGAGGTCAGTTGACCAACGTCGCCGTTAGAATTCTTAATAACAAGGCCGTTGCTTAGGGGCTTCCTGAGGCTGACCGGCCAGAGGCCTGTAGCTTTCCAGCCGGCTTTGATATTAGATTCAGTCATTCCATAGACCCTGGCTTGCCGGTAGCATTCTAGGAAGGCCCTCTTTTCAGCAACAGTGCCTTCGTCGAAGCCGGAAACAACCTCGTTATGCTTGGCTCTGTACCGGGCTTTTAGAGGGCCGAAAACCGATAAATCCAGGGGCTGGAGAACGTGGGAGGTGTGGGCTGGTAGAAATAACAATTGTACGTTATTAGAAAAGGCTAGCCACATGAATTCTTCGGTGGTATGACTACCGTGGCCATCTAAAATAAGGAGGCGCTTCTCCGAGGGGGTGGCTGGCCGAGTCTCTGGAAGAAAGATATTGCGGAGCCATGCGACGGCAGTATCATCGTCAGACCAGCCGTTTTCAGTGGGTTTCCACTTCCAGCCCTTAAATGGCTGTAAATCGCGTGGATACCATTGTTGTTGAAGGCTTCCACCTTTGAAAATGACGACTGGGTTCAAATACCGGCCGTCAGCGGAAATACATTCGATAATCGAGGTCCAAATTCGGTCTCCTTTCTTCTTTTTCTGGAATTTCTTTCTCTCCTTAGATCCAACAACCAGGCCGTTATCTCCAATGCCAGAAGCAATGCCAGTTTCATCCATATTATACCTATGCTTGGCTGGAATAGCCTCCACGCCTGGAGGCTTCAAATAGTCAAACCAAGGCCGGATAACGGCCTCACAGGCTCGATCAGCACGGTTTGCATGGATTCTCCGAGGCCTAATTGTAGAAATAGATGGATTTCTAGCCAAAAACCGGCTAGTCCAGCGTTTTCCGAGGGTCTCGTTATCTTCGAGCATTCTTCTAGCTAGTTTCCGAATTTGGGCGTGGGTTGGAGGGTGACCGAGCGACCCTTGGAATAGAATCCATTCGGTTAAGCGTTCTTCCATAGCCGGAGAAAGCTTTTGATTAAGAATTTGGGCCTTGGAGGCTGGCTCAGAACCACGAACCCGATTAAAGAGAGTAGTAGGGGGGATGCCGTGATTTTCAGCAGAGCTACGGAGTAAGCCGATTTCTGCATACTCTGCCAGCGCATTCTGCAAATCCAACTGTGTATATCGCTTCATCTTTCATTTCTCAATTGAATGGAGAAAAGAAGATAAGTATTGAAGCAGAATTGGTCGAGTTGCAAGCGATTGAAATAGGTGAGTTGGGTGGCGAGCGGCAAGTCCTTGATGACAAACCTTGTTCCAAATCCAGGGGTGTTCCATAAGCAGACCACCTGACTTATCACACATAACCGCACCGCTCTCACATATAACCGCACATCGCCCAGATGATAGTGGACACCTCGCGCGCCGGCATGTCGGCGCCAACGTAGCCGAGTCTTCCCTGGCCGACGCGGGCGAGGGCCACAGGCGTCATGCAGTACCCATCAGTATCCATCGATCTCCTCGAAGAATCTGCGCTCGGGAATGGGGTCGGCGGGAATGTACCAGGCCTCTTGGGCATTGACGTTGGCGAGGAAGTGGGAGAAAAAGTTGTACCTAGGCGGCAGGCGGTCGGCCGGGCTCGGGCCGACGACGGGGCTGTGTGCGGCGGGGGCAAGCGCGAGGTGGTCGAGGCCAATATTGACGGCGAGGTGGTTCAAGTCGAGGATGGGGCCGACCCAACTGCCTGCCTTCCACGGGAGGCCGGCGCGGGCAAAGAAGGGCGGCAGGGAGAAGGTGGGAGCGTCGCAGAACCTGCCGGCGAGGGTGTACCGCACGATGGTGTCCCAGACGTCGGCGTGCTCCTCGAGGGCCAGGTCGGGGTCCGTCACGACCATGGCGACAACCACCGAGTCCTCGAGGATTTTAAAGACCTGTTGGCTATAGACCGCAAGCAAAAGGATGGGCGGCTTCGCGGCGTCTGACTGCAGAGCCGCGCCGGAGGATCGGCAAAACTTCCTGTCAATCTCGGGGTGGAAACCGAGGGATACAAGGATAATGCAGACGTCACTCTGATCGGCCATGGTTCTCGCTGGCGGTTTTTAATATGGCGTATAGGTAGAAATGGGTGAGTTGAGGCCGAGGATGTTTAGAATTTACTTCTGCGGCGTTGCGATGCAGGTAGCTTCTTTTGCTCTTCCTTTTTTCGTGCAGACAAATTACTTTTGAGAGAAAAAATCGTGCACCGAGCAGTAAGGGCGGGGCATGCTGGCCAGGCACCGGAAGTGAAAAGCTTTGCACTTGTAATGGATGACGGGGTGAGACGAAAAGGACTATCTTTCTAACCTGGTTATTTAGAGGGGAGATTGTAACCGTGTGCCGTTACGCCAACAGATGAAGTAGATGTCTCTTGCCTGGCATTCTGGGCACAGCACCTGGCTATATGGTCACAGCACCTGGCTATATGTTCACAGCTTCAACTACGGAAACAGTGCTTGTATCCCGTACCCAAATGGGGGCTATGTTACGCTGAAAAATGATCCCCACTGCCCGGTCAACAAGCCATTCGAGCACAGTGTGTTACAACTTTTCCCTTTCAGCGGCCGTGATCACCAAATGACAAGGTTTATAGTGATAGGGATGATTTCTATAGTGTGGGTCGGTTGTAGCAGCTGTTGCCAGAGCCCTAGGCAATAGGTATCTATTTTGCGCCTGCTGCCGTAACGGCGAACCGTTACAATTTTCCTAGGCTAGAGGCGCTGAAGCAAACACCAGCTCGTAGATTCTGTCAAGTCTCTATCCACACGGAGTGACTGGCCCCTCTCTTTTTGGCCTCAGCCTTCGTACCTGGTAGTCAGTCTCCGCAGGACGCTCAGCCCTCGATTACCGAGGTGGATGCGGTGAGAGGGCCTAGGAGTACACAGCGACTACACCCGGTTGTCACCAAACCTAGACCTTTACCGAAACATCTGGCCCCAGCCCACTCACTCCCTTTTTCAGCGCGATGGCGGACGGATGACCACCCCCCACCCCCTTTGCCCCCGTCTGCGAATGCGATGCCTCTGCCAGATCTGAGCGCATGTGGGAAATTTGATGGCGAGACTTCCGCTTCGAGATGACCTCAGAAGCTGAAGTGGGAATTCATTCGTACTGGTCAGGATACGAATGACGCCGGCACTCGGTTCCAGCAATCCCGTTTCTATGAGGATTGCTAGTAAGAGGGAGTGGGAGTTTGGAGTGGATTTGGAGTGATGCGAATGGTCTAGGAAAATGGCGCGCGCGATAAATCGGGCCATAGACATAGCACGACGCACAAAAAGAGCCTAGATAAATTAGTATTGACTACGCAGTTAATTGCAGATGATCGGCGCTGACTACGCATATGGCCCACCATATCTATGTATTACCCAATCTGGCCACGCCGGTCAGCATGCAATACTAGCCCACCAGCTTATGTTTATACAGCCCTTGATGATTCCACCGCCAGATCAAGCCTAGTAGGCCGCCGCGGCCCTGGCGTACAGGGGGCCTCGCCCGCAAGAGGGCTAGTCTGGATGACTAGGCCCCTGTTTTCGCGCAATAGATACGCGGTCTCTGGCCCTCACGCGCCTTCCACTCCTGCGTGCCCTCCTGCCCTCCTGCCCTCCTGCCCTCCTGCCCTCCTGCCCTCCTGCCCCCCTGCCCTCCTACCACCTGTACCGCATACAGCCATGGCCCGTATATCGAAGCGGAAGAATGCACAAGCACAAGACTCGATCACAGTAGGAGCCACCGACTTCCAGGCTACCTTTAAGGGCATACAGAGCACTAAGTGGACTGCTCTGAACAACGCAGAGCTACGTACCAATATACGGAATGTGTACTCGTTGATCCAGCAAGAGAGGCCAAGCAACACCGTCACGGCATACGAGCCAAAGAAGCGGGAGTTTCAGCAATTCTGTATTTCCAAGCAGTATCATGACTGGGATACTGTTACAGAAGACAAGCTCCTCCTCTTCCTCTTCGAGTGTATGACACAGCGGTCACTCAGAGGCAAGAGCTACAAAACGGCTGCCGAGACACCTCGTACGGCTACTCGGCTTATATGGAGATCGGTCCGGAGCTATATTACGGCCGCCACCGACCTCTACTACACCCAGAGAGCTCTGGGGATGAACAGCCACCCGCCCCCCCGCGAGCATAGCGTACGAGACTACATTAAGGCTTTGTAGCGCTAGGATGCGTGTCACGGTCGCCACAGGGCTCATGTGATAGGATTGATTCTATTGGCTGCATTGTGCTTAGGGTGTGGCCTGTGCGCACTGAGCACCACTACCTATTTCTCCGCGCCCTGCGCGGACCCGGCGATAGGTTCCTTTCTCTTCCTTAGCTTTAAATCCACATTCGTTACTGCCTTCAACCATTGACATCCCTACTGCGTAAGGCGGGCCGTCACAATGCGGCACGCGATAAGGCCAACTATACTGACAAAGGCCGCGATACACTCCTCGATGGGTATATAGAGCCACAGCTTTTACGGGTGTGCCAGGGGCTTTGGGCACAGTCTGGCGAGTCGCCAGAGTGCCACCTATGCACAATAGTCGATATCATTCTCAGCCACTATATGCTGACCCGTGGTGGTGACCGCCGTGCTCTAGAGCTCTCGGATCTAATTACTTTCGAGTTTGTTGACGAAGGCCCCACCCGCTATATGCCGCTCATCATGACAACTCGTGCCGGCAAGCAAAACCAGCACGGCTGGCTCGAGACGGCTGGTGCTTACGGAACCGGAATCTCTAGCTCTGCCTTCTCGGCGTAGTGGCCTTCTACCTTCTTTTCCGCTGGGACCTTACCAACGAGCTTTTCCCAGACTTTAGCCAACGCTCGGCTTGGTAACTAATCAAGAGCAACAGTAACGGCTCAAGCCGTACCACCCCGTTCTCGTATAATATATAACGTGAGTGGGTTATTAAAGCCTTCTCGTATACCGGAATTACCTCCTTCACGGCACGGCCGAACTATGCTCCGTGGTGCCGCAACCATGCCCTCTCTGGCTGCAGGTTCCACCCCGTCGCCCCACTCTTCCTGATTAGGACTAGCTCAATCGCCCCTGCCAACCACAAAACCACGGCCTGCAGGAACCGCAGGCTTCTTCTTTTCCTTTCCCTTCTTTAGTTTAGTTATTTACGAATTCAGTCATTTCATACTTGCAGCCCTGACTCTCGTTTATGCCTGCCTTCACACCTCCCATAAGAAGACACATATCGGCCGTAGTTCAGGAGCCAAGACAACCGAATTAAAGGGGGTCCTGTTGTCACGGTCGCCACAGGGCTCATGTGACAGGAGTGATTCTATTGGCTGCATTGTGTTTAGAGTGTGGCCTGTGCGCACTGAGCACCACAGCCTATTTCCCCGCGCCCTGCGCGGACCCCGCGATAGATTCCTTTCTCTTCCTTAGCTTTAAATCTACATTCGTTACTGCCTTCAACCATTGACATCTCTACTGCGTAAAGCAGGCCGTCACAGTAGCTAGTGCCAACGGGCAGTAGCCTAGCCAGTTAGTGCTTTTTCCTTACAGCGCTAACCTCGCACCACCTACCGAGCTCCTATCCATGATTTGGCCGGAGCTTAATGTAAGAGAAGGCAGGTACGCCTGATCAAGGTGGTCACAATAGGAGCAACAAGCAGGGCGAGCAATGACTAGTATTAGCGTAAGACTTCAGCCTGGCCTGAGCTAAAGAGGTGTGCGAAGGCCATGGTCTATATACACGTGAAAGGGGTTACGAGTCATCCTTGCGTGGCCAGGGTGGTAGTGGCAATAGTGCGTAGCCCTGGTAGCGGTGGCGATAGTAGCGATGGTGGCGAGGGTGGCCCTGGTGGCGGTGGCCATGGTGGCTGCGTGGGTGGTTTCCTTACACTTAACCAGTGGGAGGGCCGGTTCGGATCTGGCTCCGGCCAGAGTAACGATCTTGCAGCAATTGGCCTAACGAACCTACTTTTCTACCTACGTGAGGTAGCCCTACAAGACTCAGCTTTCCTCATACCAAAGTATCCCAGGAGCCCAGTCTGGCTCCACCCAGTCTTTCAACATAAAGCTTACCTCCGGTACGCACAAGAGGTCTGGACATTTACGCAAGAGGAGGAGAGGCCAAGCCAACTAGCAATATTAACGTAGGCTATACCAGTCCTTTCCGACTCCCTTCAGTCAATCGATATACGGAATGAGGCACAGATTGTTCAACTCGACCAGAAGCTCGAGAGAAGCTCAGTAACCAATCATAACAAGGCTCCCAGATTTGTCACTACTCTCAAATAGCCTCACGGTCCATATCAAGGCAACTAGTACAGGACTGGCTGGTCCACTCCCTACTACAGGGCAGGACTGGCTGGTCCACTCCCTACTACAGGGCAGGACCGGCTGGTCCACTCTCTACTACAGGGCAGGCTCTGCCACCATCACAATATAGTATGAGTCGTGTAGTCAAGATAGTAGAGAGCCTCTGGAAGGAATGGAATATCGGCTTATACGGCCAGCCAACCGTACGCGAGCTAAATAGTCGGTGGGGCCACAGTTGGCGGGTAGGCCGGCTGTAAGGAAAAGGACACCTGTGAGGACCCGTCCACCAAACTGGCCCTCAAGCGGCCAGAGCCGCCCAGAACCCACAGACCTATCAGAAGCCTCCTCGAGGCCCCACCTACCCCACTGATAGATGCAAACTTGTTCGCGCGCACACGACGCGTTATTGGACTTTTCCTTCTTTCCCTCCTTAGTTTAGAATCTTCGTCGATAGCACCCAATGGACTGAGTTCACCTCAATGCCTTGCCCTGGTCGTGACAACACCCACCTCACCAAGCACCTGTCAACGCGCACTCCCTTACACGCGTTGACGGTCTGGCACCAACGGGTATAGATAGAATATACGAACGAAGAAAACCTTCTTTATACTACAATGCTATTACGCGAGCTGGTGTGCCGGCGTACTGGGCTGCCGTTTGCCTGCCAGCTTATGATAGGGGTGAGAACTAATAAAACCTGCTCTCAAAGCCCTCTTAAGCCTCCCGTGTCACACAGCCGCCCGTGATATCCAAATACACTGCCCGATCAATGGCTGGGCCCAAAAGCCGCCTCAAAGATTCGACGGCCTAGACGAACCGCGGCACTTGCGACCCGTCCCGACGCTGGGGCATCTCCAGCGGCAGTCAATTCCCCACAGGGCGCTGGGGGGTCGTGCTAGGGCGGTAGAGACGTCTTATGCTGGTGGTGACCTCGTACTGATCCCCCAAAGTGCAGCCAGCTCCTCGTAGTCAAATTTTGCCATGGCCCTTCCGCGCCGCTGCAAATCTAGCCGTCCAGTCAGCCGCCTCCTCCGCCTCATTCTCCGCCTGTACTAAGGTCTTGATGACGACCGAGGCGTGCGGGATCAGGCGGCGGTCAACCTCGTGGGTGCAGTCGACCTTGGCGACTTTCAGCTCGTGTTCCAGATGCCGCTGGCCATATTTCTCGGTGCTGATTCTGAATTTCAGGTTTGCTGGAGACGGGAGGAACTCGCTCATGTCCTAGTAATGTACACAGCTGCATCGCAAACGTGGCCGCCGGAGGTCAAACTCGCGGATGGGCTCGTCGCCTCGACTTCTGGCGGCTTGTGTCTGGTGCCGTCAGCCGCCTCACGGGGCCCCCAAACTTTACTGGTAAGTCACTTGAATCTTTTGAAAGCGTGGTTATGGGTAGCAGGGCGTCCGCATTTTCCCAAGTAGGCCACCAATTGGGACTGGGCTTGGGTTGCGTCAATCCTCCCTTGAAGAAGGAAAGAGTCAATTTGGCGCGAGGGACAAAAACAGCCACCTGAAGCTTCAAGCGAGCCCGGCCAGTTGTGATCAGTACGCATCTACGGCCGTTGCAGGCCGGATGAGCACCTACGGTAGCACGATACCAATGGGCTGCGTCAGGACTCTAAGGGCGTGATATTAGCCAGGGGCCGAGATGCATGCAGAGTTGGTCAACATACCGAGTTTCCCATGTATCCATTGTATTCACTCTCCCATGTATCCATTATATTCACTCTCCCATCGCTCTATGTCGGCGAAGCGGTCGTCCATGCGGTCTTCGGTGATGATTCCGCTGTGAAAGTCGTCCTCGTCAATTGGCATGTCGGTACGGATTGCCCGCCCAACCAAATTAACAAATTTTTTGATCGAGATGTTTAGATCAAACACCTCTTCAAGGCCGTGCCATCCCTCCTGGCTGTCCCCGTCATCTTCGTCTTCGTCAAGCTCGCCAGTCTCGATCCTACTGATCCGGTCATAGTACTCTTCGCTCTGCCATCCGTAGAGCCCCAGCTGATCGGACCGCCGCAGTCGCCGCTTTCTTCCTTTTCTAGGACGGCAAGAAAGACGTCGAATTCGAGCTCGGCAGAGGTGGCTTCCAAGCACTGCACGTGAGCGAAGTCGGTGTGCTTGAGCGTCCGGAGAGAAGTGACGGGTAAGACCTCGTGCGACACGTCCGAGTACCAGCAAGCAATAGACGGTTGGACCTCGGACGTTTCAATGACCTTAGTCTGGCCCGGATGCCTGAGCACTAGGTCGCCGCCTTGGTGAGGAGAGGGGAGGCAGACGACGAGGGTGCCAAATATGCCGGGGATCTTCTCGGTGCTGTCGTTTCGCACATTGGTTAGCCAACTTGCCTGCAACAGCTAGGGATGATTCCATGATTCCATGATTCAATTGAACTTACCCAGTGTGTGGTTTGAACATGGCGCCCGTCTCATAGATCAGCATCTTGTACAGCTCGACCGACACGGGGACCGAGATGCCGAGCCATGTGGCAACAAGCTCGCAAAGGCTCTGAATGCCGGCATTTCATTAATGTTCGTCCTTAAAGTGAAACTGCGATGGGTCCAGCTTCTACGTGTTGCGCACCGAGGTATCGACAACTGTCTCGCTACCCCGGCCGTAGGGAGCCTAGCGCGCCTTGTCGATCAAGAGGCGCGCCTGCCTCCCGCTGAGGGGAAGGCCGATGCGGCCAACATCGTTGACGGAGGTGCGGGGTCGCAATGTGGCAGGGGAGAACTTTCCGAACGAGCCGGTCGTCTCGATGCTTCGCAGGGCCTGGAGGAGGCCAGCCTCGAGGCTGACATGGTAGGCTCTGGCCTCGATCACGTCGCCAGCAACACTTGAAGCCCAGCAACACTTGAAGCCCAGCAACACTTAAAGCCCAGCAACACTTAAAGCGTCCGTCGCTTCGCTCCATGGTCGTGGTGGGGTCCGTGATTGGCCAGAACTCTCAAGCAGGCACAGAGTTGCCGTCACAGTCGCGATTGCGAGTTGGGGGTGCACTTTGGAGTGCAGGGTCAAGTCCCAAAAGGTTGGTGGGTGTTCATGGTATTTTGGTCATACCACTGATGGCTGGATCCTGAATAGTTCGTGTTAGTACTACTGGTGTTGGGGGCAAAATGATTCCTGTATATTTTGCTCACTTAAGAAGTAACTAAGGTATATGCACCTTGGTTTTGGTAGGTATGTGCGCCATCTCCTTCCTACAACAAAGGTACGGTCATGAATATCGCTATCCCAACAGTGAGGAAGGAGGAGACTGGAAGAGCAGGGTGACTGGCTGCAATTGAGAGTGGAGGAGCTGGCCCCTTTTATGTTCAAGAGTGGCTCGGAGCAGAAGTGGGATTGTTTTCCCATGAGAAGAAAATGCAAATCCAAATTTTGGGCATTAGGTTTCGGCCATTTTATTAGCCAATGCCCAGTTTCAAGACCCATCAGTAGGCCCACCAAGTCCGTGATCACTAGCGCGTGTCAGCGCTACGTGATTAGCGCTAACCTAGCAAGGGCCAGCCAAGCCGGTCTGCGCATGGGGGTCTGGGAACGGTGTAACCGCGGCAAGCTCTCAAATAACCCTTGGTTTCTTCTCCGTCGGAGTATTACTTGGTACTCCACCCAACCCTTCCACATCCCTCGCGCAACACGACCACAAACGTTCGAGCTGGCCAGAGCTCAGTGGTAATCCGCCTAACAAGGTTCTATCGAATTAACGCAACCGGCAACTTGTACATAATGACATTCTAAGCTCCTCACACAACATCATCGAAATCAACCATGATCTCAATTCGGGCGCTGCGGGCTTGCAGTCTTCTCTGCGCGCCACGGTTTGGTCGAAAACGCCATCTTCTGCGCATCCACTATCCCGCACCGCCTCTCTTCGCTATTGAGGTATTAAGGCTTGGCCATGCGCTATCTGCACGCGCCACGAGCCTCGAGGGGCTTGTTCAAGCTAGCGAGGACGAAACGGCGCCATCACACAATCCACACATCTCTGCGCGACCTCCATCGCCCGTCCCGTGGGCCTCGACTCAATCCATAGACCTCTACAGTCTCCAGCAGCGGCGGTGCTGGTAACAAGGCAGAAGGGCACGAAGGTGATGACTGTGCGCAGCGAAGCTTGGGGAAAACACAACTACGGACCGGCAGCTCAATGCTGACCATGCAGCCACGCTACCACTGAAGACGGCAGGCACGACATTGAAAGGTCAGGCACGACATTGAAAGGTCATTCGGGTCGGTTGAGGATCCTGGGATTGATGCACATCTTCCACAGTCGCTTCGCTATACAGTTGAAAGAGCCGGCTCTGTTCAGTCAGGAAATATCCACCTCGAACTACTGTGTTTCATCAGCCGCAGCCAGCATCACGCCGCCGCCAAGCGTACTAATTTCTCGTCAGTCACGAAAGCACCTACGACCAGCTACCAAGCTCGCCATTTTCAGTTTATCCTCTTGATCATGTGGGCTTTAAACCCGTGCGAATAGCTCATCTGAAATCTTAGCCATCTTCTCCTTGTTTGATTGTTTTGTCTGCTGCTTTGAGGGGTTGGCCTCGTCCGTCTGCCAAGAGCCTAAGCGGTTTACGGATAATTACCAACGAACCCCGGCACCAACGAAGCCCAGACCAACAAATTCAAGACCTGCCTCCAGAGTTGAGCGATTTGGATCATTGCAGGGGCAAAGTCAACCGAAGCTCGAATATATACCGCCTGTGCCAGCGAGCATGGCCCAACGCCGAGACCCAGCACTTACAATATCTTCCTCTCCGCGCTTGATCGGCTGTTCCCCATCAATCCAGGCCAATACCGCGACCGAGCGATTGTTGAACAACGCCAAACCATGACATCGGCCATTACCCTCGCCTTTGGCGGCCTGGTCATCACATACCTGCTTCTTCGGTTCTTCATTCATGTGGAAAGAGCCCCCGGCAATTCTGACGGGGATCCCCTTTCTCGGCCCCATCGCCGGTATGATTCGGGAGAAATCGCGCTTCTATATACGTCTGCGCGACACGTACAAGCTGTCCATCTATACCCTGCGCTTGCCGTTCATACGAATGCATGTCGTGAACGCGACCGAGCCCGTTCCGACGCTGCAGAAACAGTGGCGCACCGTCAGCTTCGACGCATTCGCCGCCGACTCCGGCTTCATCTTTGGCATGAGCAAGAAGGCCAACGAACTGATGCATCACGACATGACGAGCGACAACGGCTTCATGTTGAGCGCTCTCAAATACATCTTGCCTTCGGTGTCGCCCGGCCCCGACCTCGACGACATCAACCGGAGGCGACCTCGGCGACATCAACCGGAGGCGACCTCGACGACATCAACCGGAGGGCCATCCAGATCCTTGCCAATGAGACGGACAAGGTCCGCGCCCGGGGATCTATGCGGGCCGGCCTGCAGAAATGGACGCGCGACATCATGGTCTTGTGCACCTCGGACGCCGTTTGGGGTCCGCAAAACACGTACCGGGACCCTGTCGTGGCCGAGGCCTGGAAGACATTCGAGGCGGGCTTCTTCACCCTCGCCATGTTCCCCCGGGCACCCTTCCTCTTCCCGAAGCTCATCCGTGCACGAGAGGTTGTCGCCGCCGCCTTGATAGTCTACTTCCACCGGGGCGGCCACAAGGCGGCATCGGCGCTTGTACGCATGCGCTTCGAGCATCACCATGACATGCACGGCTTCAGTGTTGAGGATGTCGCGCGTGGCGAGCTTGGCAACACGGTGGCCTTGCTGGCCAACTCGACGACGGTCGCGCTGTGGCTGCTGTACCACATCTTCTCTGATAAGTAGGTGCTGGCCGACGTGCGCGGCGAAGTGTCGGCGCTGGTGAGCACGAAAACTGAGGGCGGGCGCCAAGTCGACGTCGTGGACCTGGTAAAGGTCACGGAGGCCTGTCCCATCTTAGCGAGCCCTTTCCCGGAGACGCTGCGGTGCCGCGCTCTCAACCCTAGGTCGCGCCTGCTGCTCCATGACGTTTCGCTCAACTAAGGCCAAGTGCTGCTCAAGAAGGGCAGCATGCTGATGATTCCGGCGCCCGTGCAGCACACGGACCCGGCCGCCTGGGGTGATGACGCACTGACTTCGACCACCTGCGCTTCGTGCCCAACAAGCAGCGCCGCCGGCCCAACCGCGTCGGCTTCCGCGCCTTTGGCCGTGGCCACGTCCTTTGCCCCGGCCGCCACTTTGCCAGCACCGAGCTCATGGCTCTGGCGGCGCTCATGGTGCTGCAGTTCGACGTCGTGCCTGTCGCCAACGGCGGTAAGTGGGCCACGCCGACTTTGCACAACTCCCCTGTGCAGGCCGGCTTCCCCGTTATCGACGACGACATTGACGTCGACATCCGCCCTAGAGATCCAAGTGCCGAGTGGCGCGTCGAGTTTTCCGGCTCTAAGAAGGCCATGAATATTGTGTCTGAAGACATATCGGGCATGGTTGAATGAACAAAACCCGGAGACCGCGAATAAGTATCGCGCGGCGCGTTGACGTATACCCAAGCACTCATGCCATGTCTTGGCCGGAATTGTTTTGGTAGTAACGACTTGAAGAACAAGACAGGTCTACCTTGCGTTGTTAGGATATTTTCCACCCTCTGAATCGGGGTTCCATTATTACTGGCAAATTTGGAGAAACCCCATGCCCCAAGGCTATTGCTCGCTGTTTCGGACTTTGCACAAGAACAACAACAACAACAACAACAATAACAACCAATTGAACCCGGATTTACTTATTAAACTATTCCTCCTTGCAAGCAGAAAGCTTTGCAACTTTCCCATCATCGGCTTTTACGTTGGGAACTCTCCCTGCTAATTACTACCCAGGTTCACCAACGCAGAAAAACGGGCGCGCATGTCTGGTCAATCACGCACTCCGGTTAATTTACGTCGTGTGAGACAAGCAAAGTCTGACGGTGGCTCGCTGTCGATGTTGATCGCTCCTAGTAGTACAATTGGACAACGCCGCCCCCGTGCATATGCCAAGATGGCTTAGCGCGGAGCTCCGCCGAGGCTCATGCACATCGACGCCGTTGGCTCCCAGGACACAGCCCCCGGATAATATGGCCAGAAGAGGGGAAAGTCGACGCTGATTTGAGTGAACATAGATCCGCGGCGAAGCAGGCGATAAAGCGTATAATGTAAGCGCTATCAGCCGACGGGGCGTATTCAGTACGCAACGACTATAGCACTAACTGGCTGCTGTTTCAAAGGTGAGCCACTGGTCCCTCACACTCTTCAACCGGTCCAACTTTCCTTACAGTAAGGCAATTCCTTTCAGTAAGGTACTTCCTTACAGTAAGGTAGTTCCTTACAGTAAGGTAGTTCCTTACAGTAAGGTAATTATGAACACGAATTACTATTTTCACAGTTCGTCCACTTACCGCACCCATGGCCTCCGCGACCAGGCCACGGAGCAACCAGCGCGTATCGACCTGAGTGAGAAAGACCAATCAGCTCCGGACACCAAACACCGCGGACTCGGAACCAGTCCATGGTTTGTAATCCTTAAAAGGAGCAGCATCCTGGTACTTGCCGCGAGTTTGCTGTTGGGGAGAATGCGCCACTTGGTATCTCCGACCAACAGCCTGGAACCTTTCCTCGCGAAGGAATGAAGTTGCTAAACATATACCCTCCCGCGTCACACCGCAGCGAGCTCTGGCCATCGGGTACGACCATGACTGCAGTACGTACTGCACTATGGCCGATCCCACCCGCTTATTCCGTGGGTGTGCGGGGCACGGAGACGTGCACCCGAGCTGCAGTCTCTCTGAGCGACAGAGCTGGCGGGCCATAAGTTCGACCGCCGCTGGCCCTGCTCTTCAGACTCCCTCTCCCCAGTTCCGACCGCTAGTTGGACGCAGCCAACAAGTAGTCCTCAGTCTAACTTGATTCCACTTCAGCACTATTCCGATTCCGCTTCCGCACTATTCCGCGTTCGGCGTTTACCTGCACTACCATCCTCAGCTCATCTCGTCAAAATCCAAGGCACCATAACTCCCAACAGCCCTTAGCGTGCACTATGGCTTCAGAATTTGACTTTGTCATCGTCGGCGGCGGTCAGGCAGGCTTGGTGGTGGCATCCCGCCTGTCTGAGGATCCTTCCGTCAGCGTCCTTGTCGTCGAAGCCGGTGAGGACCTGACGGCTGACCCGCGAACCATGATTCCAGGCATGTGGACGCAGCTACAGAGCAGCTCGGCCGACTGGAACATGATGACTACGCCTCAAGTAAGTCGCTGCCCAGTTCCGAACAAGGACCTGTCGTCTTTTTCTACTTCTCAACGGTTAACACGCGGCTCTAGAAAGGTCTCGGCGGGCGAGAGGTACATGTGTCTCAGGGTCGTCTGCTCGGGGGCTCCGCCGCGCTGAACGGCATGATCTTCACGGTGAGCTCGGAGAGCAACCTGGATGCGTGGGCGCAGCTGGGCAACACCGGCTGGGACTGGGCGAGCATGTCCAAGTCGGCCGCAAAGGCGTACAGCGTGACGACGCCGTCCAAGAAGGTCGAGGGCGGACCCATCCAGCTCGTCGTGCCCGAGGAGAAGGGCAAGTGGCCGCAGACCTGGCGGGACACGTTTGCCGCCCTCGGGCTCCCGGCCGACAACGACCCCCTCTCGGGCACCATCCTAGGCTCCGCGTTCAACACCGAAGCTATCGACCCTGCCACCGGGACACGCAGCTACCCGGGCAACACGTATCTCGTAGCCGCACGCTCCCGCCCGAACCTGACCGTCTGGACGCAGACGCTGGTAGAGAAAGTCGTGCTGGAGAAGCCCAGCGACGGCAAGGGCGACGCCGTGGCAACAGGCGTCGCATACAGGGGCTCCGACGGGCAAACGCAGACAGTGCGTGCGCGGCGCGAGGTGGTGCTGGCGGCGGGCGTGCTGCACTCGCCGGCGGTGCTGGAGCTGTCGGGCATCGGCGGCGCGGGGCTGCTTGCGTCGCTGGGCATTCCCGTGATCGTCGACAATCCGCACGTCGGCGAGAACCTGCAGAACCACGTCATGGCCACGCTGTCGTTCGAGCTGGCCGACGACGCCAGCTCCGACCCCGAGTACGACACCATCGACGCGCTCGCCCGCCAGGACCCCGCCGCGCTCGCCGCCGCCATGGCCGACTACGCGCGCCAGACCGGCCCGCTCGCCCGCACCAACTGCAACGCCACGGGGCACTTGCCGTTCCCGGGCATCTCGACCCCCGCCGGCCAGCGCGACCTCGCGCAGCTGCTGGACGACACGAGGCGGAACCCCGCCGTCGCCGACGACAAGACGGCGCCCGCCTTCGCGCAGGCCCACGAGGCGTACGTGCGCACGGTGCTGCAGTCGCCGGCCCTCGCGTCGGGTTACTACTTTGGGTTCGCGGGCTGGGCGCAGTACGACGCGGCCGGAAAGTGGCTGACGATCCCGGCGGGCGGCGCCGAGAAGTACTTCACCATCGCCGTGCTGCTGGCACACCCGCTGTCGCGCGGGTCTGTGCACATCGGCTCGGCGTCGGCATCCGACCCGCGCTTAGCCATCGACCCCAAGTACCTCGCACACGAACTCGACGTCGAGGTGCTCGCGCGCCATGTGCGCTTCGCCGACGCGGCGCTCGCGTCGGCGCCACCGCTCGCCGCCCGCCTCAAGCGCGGCCCGGCCAGCAAGCACGGCCCCAACGCGCCGGACGGCGGGCCGGGCGGGTTCGCGGACGGCGCGACGGGTTTGCAGCGCGCGAGGGACTTTGTCAGGGATACCGCGACGGGCGCCGCGCACTTTACGAGTACTTGTGCCATGCTGCCGCAGAAGTTGGGGGGTGTCGTGGACCCGTCGCTGCGGGTTTATGGTGTGGCGAACCTGCGCGTGTGCGACGCGAGTGTCATGCCGCTGACCACGCAGGGCAATACCATGGCGACCGTGTATGCTGTGGCGGAGAGGGGGGCCGAGATTATCAAGGCGGACTTGTGAGTGGTGTGGGTTTGCCGGCCCTCAGTGGATAAGGACGACGTAAATTTATCTGGAATATGGTTTTTTTTTTTTTTTTCCGTGCACAAAGCTAGGTAGATAATGAATAGGACTGGGTAAAAAGTATTTAGAGCGAGCAACTGCCTGCAGTCCGCCTGTCTTAGCTGCCTCTTGATCGAGTCTGTGAAAGGTACCTATGTAGCTATATGTCCACTTGTCCAGTGTCTGGCCCGCCTCCGGGGCGATCCTGTTGCCGTTCCGTTCCCATCACTCCATGACCTAGCGGTTGCTGGTCTTCAAAGAAAAACATAGGTGACGCCTGTAGTAGATGAAAAGGGTAATGGCGTGAGAGCTAGTTCGGCGGTAGACGAGGAGAGAAACTGCCTGCAGTATTTTCCTCGCGTGCCTACCTATCTCTCCAGGTCCGTTCCATACCTAAGTAAATGTGATGACTGTACCTGACGAACCCGGCCCGCCTCCAGGGCGGCGGGTCTTTCTCCTCCCTCTTCCTATCCCTCATGACTCTCTATCCCTCATGACATCTCTCCCTCATGACATCTCTCCCTCATGACATCTCTCCGCCATGTGATCTCTCCGCCATATGATCTCTGCAAGGACGAGGTTAGGTTGGCTTACTAAGCTGAGCAAAAGAAAGAAAGGAGAAAAGGAAAAGAGAGAAAGACATCTCATCACTTGTGGGAAATCTCATCACTTGTGAGTTCCGGACCCAGCAGATGGCGCAGCAGACGGTTTCGCCGCCGCTACTGCTCCCTGGCTAGCAGAGGCCGGACCGGCCGGCACAGTAGGTGGTTTCGCTGTGGTTCCTTGGCCATTGGCCGGATGCACCGGCAGCCCCACTGCTGCTGCCGGTTTTGTCGTTGATGTCGTCGCAGCCGCGGTTGTGCCGTGGATGGCAGCACCAGCACCGGCGGCAACCGGCGAGCTAGGCCTGGTGGTTGCGGCGCTCGAGGAGGCGGTGCTGGAACTATTAGTGCTGCTGCCGCTGCTGGTCGCACCGCCATCGGCGAAGGCTGACGACGACGACGAGCGCAGGTAGCGCCGCACCCTGGCCATGGACTCCACGTTGCTCGTGTCCAGGGACGATGACGCGAACGCCGGCTGCAGGTGCTTGTACAGCTCGAGCTGCCGCTCCTTGGCCCTGGCGATGGCGAAGGCCAGGAAGCTGGCGGGCAGGAATGCGGCGAGCTCAAAGTCGACAACATAGAGTCGTACGTGGCTCGCGTCGTCTCTGCCAGTGCCCCCTCCCTTGTCCTCCGTCTTGAACTTGAAGTTGGCCTGGCTGAGGTCCGTGTAGCAGAAGGTGAGCTTCTGCTCCAGCACGATAGGCTTGTATTGCTTTGCGCGGCGGACCTTGGGCTGCTGCGCGGCCGAGGTTGAATGCGTGGTGGTCGACGGGGGTTTGGATGATGATGATGATGTGGGTTTCACTCGCGGTCCGGGCTCGGGGTTCGCCGGAGGAACCGTGGCATGGATTAGAGCCTAGAGTCCCGTTGTTTTCATTTCTCCGTTAGCATTAGAGCAATGTGATGCAGAGGGGGGGGGGGGATTGGAGCCCGGATATAATCTCTTTTGCAACAGTATTACCTCGTTCAGGTGTTCTTGCAGATCGCGTATGTTCTTGAATGGTATGTCGGCCTGCTCGTCGTAAAACATTGTGTTTTTTACGAGGCGGCTTCCCCCAGCCGATGGCGCTGGGCCCGGGATGTCGTCGACCGGGGGGATCTCACGAAAGAGTTTGATTGCGTCAACTACCATCTCGTAGCAGGCCTTGGCCTTGGCGTGGTCCAGTTTCTGGTCCTTTATGAAACGATTCATGTCTTTCGAGTCCTGCACCAGCTCCATGACGACGACCTCCTCGCCTCCCTCAGTACTAAACATGGCGAAGACTTCTGGAACGTGGATCTGAAGGTTTGGGTTGTCGCTTCGCTTCTTCTCCATGTGCTGGAAGGCGAGTTCCTGAGTCTTCCCTTCTGCCATCACGCCGTCGCCGGTCTTGACGAAGACGGTAGGCCGGGTGGCTGGGTATGGAAAACCCCGCTTCCCAACATACTGCCCATCGCTGAGGTCCTTTTCGAGCCTCTGTTTGAACTGGCTAGTCCTGGCTACTTCCCGCGCAGCGACGGCGTTGGTGCTGGCGCTGGAGCTATTCGCGTTGGCGTTAGTGTTGTTGGCCTTAGAACCGCTGCCGCTGACGTTAGTGCTAGTGCCTGGCTTAGAGCCGACTGACTGCATGTTGAGAGACGGCCAGATTCCTGTTCAGATATCTGGACTGCAGATAGTGTAGAGGCTTTCGGCAGGCGGTAGTCTTGGAAAACGGGGATAGTTATCGTCAGTTTGAATGCGGTCGAGAAGGCTGCCGGGTCATTTCGCGCCATTTCCATCTGCACTCTGCCCGTGGCTTCATTATTAAATACCCGACGCGCAAGCCCCGGACCGTCCTTGCTGCGGCGCTCCTGGCACGCTCAAAATAGACCGTGAAAACTGTAACAAATCGGTTTCAGCTGCAGCTGCCCCAGTGCCTGGTGAAGAGGGGAACTAGGAGGGGGCGGGGGTTCGACCAGGCTGTCTGCGTGGCCGACAGTGCTCCGATGCTGTGCCACCGCGAATTTCGGGAATCCGACTTTCACCTCTCCCCAGCGTGCGATTGGAGGACCTGGACCCGGTACTGTGCTTACTTTGGCGGCGTGTGTGGCTCGGAGTACGAATACGTGAACGAGGAGGGTGCTCGGGCTGACTTTATGTACAGTTGAGGGGCATGTCAGGGGTGGCAGGGGTGAGACAACTCCATTTCAAAAATCGCTGCTTCCTGAAGGATTTACGTGGGATATCAAAACGCTGCTTCCTGAAGGATTTACGTGGGATATCAAAACCGCACCAGCCCGGGCTAGGTGGACCAGCAAATAATAGAGACACCCGAGAGGGAGGCCCTGTTGCGGCCGGCCGTGGCATATATTACACGAGCTTGACGCGGCCGTGGCATATATTACACGAGCTTGACGAGCCCGCCGCCCACAGAACACGCTGCGGCGTGCTTCACCCGGCTATCCCGGGAATTAAAGGCAAACTGTGGTGAACAAGGCGGCTCCGGAGCCCAGAATAGCCCCAAGTGCGTATTGTCGGACGGGGCCAATGTTGCGGCCTACGAGAAAGGGCGACTAGAACAGTCCAACAGGTGTTTCATGATTCGGTTCCGTATCCAGCATGGATCATGCGGACGCGAACTCGTCTTCGTGGCCAATGCCCTCGCAAGTGGCACGAGGCTGGCAGATTTGTATATAATTGTCAGTCCATACCAGTAATCTCAACCGTGCGAATGACAGACAGTCAAGGGAGTCGAACCGAGAAAAAAGAATATCGGGACAACGGAGCAAGCTTCTCACCATGGCAGGACAAAGTAGTAGACGACAACGACGAGAGCATGAGCAGGCGTTAGCGCGGCAACTCGACGCGATCAACGAGGTTGCGAGGCCGTCGGCTGCATACCGCAGAAACCATGATCGTTCAGACGTACAACCAGGGCGACCCAGGTACATTTATGATCTTGTTTATTCGCTACCCAGAGTATCGCCGACCTCGGACACTCTGAAATATCAGACACTCTGGGCGGTCTTGCAGTCGGCGGTCTACATGGTCGAGGTTGACTTTCTCGAAGGGCCTAACAAGGACAAATGCCACGTGGTATTAGGTTTGCGGTTTGACCCACCGGTCCGTATTGTGGCACAACGAGGAGTGCAGGGTATCAACTTCTCCCGTGCCGAACTCTCGGTGGAAAAGCAGGGCGCCGTATTACAATCCGGCGGGAAGGTGGGATGCGTCAAGCTCAAACTTCGCACCTACAATTCCGTGGCAAGATCTTCCCAAGCGCGCTTCGCCTTCAACACGCCCGATATCTCGCTACTCGACTTCATGGACGTTGTATTCGGTACTCATTATAATATGGACCCCATCTTCCAGATCAATCTGGGTCTCTTCAATTTTTCCATGGTATATAACGAGGATGCTGAAGATGAGTTGGAAGTCGGATGCCGAGACTGGATGTAAGCTCACCTACCCCACCGCTCCTCGGACGAGTCAGCTGATATCTTTTTGTAATCAGATCCCAGGTCTTCATTCGGCTACACCACTTGGGGTGGGTCGAATGGTGGGTTGACACCAGCATCCCCCAAAATGCCGACATCGTAGCGAAATTAACGCCCAATCCCGACTTCGACGTCAAGCGGTTGGGTGGAACTCTAGGCTTCCACGACATCATCAGCAAGGTGTACCAATGGGATGGTGGTTATGACCCCGTCTTCTACCGCGGCTCTAACGTGACGAGAGGCATATTTCTCGATACGGCAGGCTGGATTGTAGAGTTTGGTCATTTTACCAGGGACCACACCAACACGTATGCGATACCGTACAACACGACGGCCAGCAGCAGCTCTAGTTCCAGCGGGGGCGTCCAGGGCACCGGCGCGGCAATGCCCGGGAACGTGCAGTTTGCGCCGTCCATCTCCCAAGCCTTCTTTGCGCAGCAAGGTGGCGGCGAATCCTCATCTGCCGGGCAGCATCATTTTCCTCAATAGGGTCGTTCGCAGGAGGAAGGGAGTGGTGATGGGCAGTAGTAGCGGACGAGAAGAATATCATGTGGGGGAGGCTTAACGTAGCCTTTGGCCACACTAGCGTTGTCCTTGATCCGGCATTTTGTGTTTCCGGCCATGCCATGGGGCGTGGCACTGTACCCCAGCACTGGTTCCTTTCCTTGCCCGGGCGCTGGCGCTGTGGCTTGCCCTACGGGGTCTGGGGACACATACTCTTTTCTTTTTTCCCGCTGCTTGTCTGGGAATATGTGACGGCGCTGGCGCCCCTGGATTCGGCTGGCTTAGCAATTTGCGGCTGTCTGCCTTAGGTGTATAAATAGGTACCTTGGTGAGCGCTGGCGCTCCAATCAGGCCTGGCTCTGGAAGCTTCAGACCCTCAAGCAGAATAACTCGTGTCTTTCTTTTTGCAAACCATCTGTCCAAGGTTCACCCCTCTGCAGTGTTACACACCGCAGCTAAGTTCTTTTCACGGGGTTATCGAAAGGACGGAGTGGTTCTGCAGGGTCGCGGCACTGTTCACAAGACTGGAGACGGGAGCCCAGAGCCTGGTCCGCACACGACCACCATATCGCCCGCGCACGACCACCATAGAAAGGGGGCTGGTGGGCAAACAGCAGTTAAAGCCCATCCGTTGCTTCCGGTCCATGTCTGTGACAAAATGCACTCGAAGGGGGCGCAAGGGAGGACCGGAAGTCGGCATAATCGACCACTTCACCCCTTTAACCAACAATACCAACGCGCGCGCGCGCTCGTCGAAAAGCGAATACGCTCTCCTATTCCCGGGGATGTTGGGGAAGAGGCCACCGTTGGGAATCCTGCCAGCCCGGTTGGTTTCCGATTGGCTCGCTTATGTCGAAATCCCACATCCCTCCCATTCACTAATTTTTTTTTACCGGCGGGGGCCCTTTTTGATACCTCTGGCAGGCCGGGATTGATGTGACAGAGTGACATCATAGTTTTCCGTGGCCAAGATGGGGACTATGGAAAGATTGAAGCCAGCATCAGTCAAGTGTTTCAGGGTCTCTTCCGCACAGGTGGTGTATAGGTCCTAGTAGGAAGCGTATAATCTCTCGCCGGGGAATACGCCTCTGGGCGGAGGCAGATCCGGGTCACCAAGGAACTTTTCACCGCCGCCCCTTTGATCCTTTGGGAGCACATCTTCCCACTTCCTTCATTGTTCGATACGGCCACCTCCTTCATTATTCGATACGGCCACCTCCTTCATTGTTTGATGCGACCACTTCCCTCATTGTTCGATACGACCACTTCCTTCATTGTTCGATACGGCCAACAACCTTTCGAGGAGGTCCCGGGTAATACTACCGCTGCTCAGACGTTGAGCGAGTGGCACAGCCTGGCACACGCCGCCTGGCCAGAATCTCGTCTTTCTCAGTTTCATGTCCACAATGGGAGAGAGTGATACTGGCTAGGAACTTCACTGTTGACGGACCCCACCAATAAAACAACATTGCGCGATCTACGCGCGGCCGCACAGGCAGCTCTGCCCCGCGTCAGCCGTGGCCGCTCTCTGGTCGATTGTGCCGTATTGTGCCCGCCCCTGGGCTGAATAAGCCACAGTTGTCTGGCTCATAGTTAGTTAGTTAGTACCGGCCAAGGGATCCTCCTTGTGACGATTGCCTAATAGGTAAGATGGCAAAGCATGTCAGGTGTTTTGGCCGCGGCAAGGGGACATTCATTATTACGTAAATACGTAAATATGGTCCGTTGTTCCCCGGTATTCTGTTCGTCCGTTGTCTTCCCCTGCCTTCAAGCCTACAAGGGACTAGAACCGGTACTAGGTAATTGGGGATGCATTTGTTTCTTCCATTCGATGAGCTGGGCAAGGTGATGATTAGATGCGGATGCGGAGCCGGACCTAAGACTAGCCGTAACGGCATAGAAAACACTGCTCGACCTCTTGTAATAGCGCGACACTCTCTTTATCGAGTCCAGGTTGCTCTTGTCCAGATACGAGTACACGGGGTCTAGGTACTTGTATAGCTCGAGCGATTCCTGGGCCTCGTCGACGGCATAGACGAAGAGGCGGTCGGGCAGGAACGAGGCGTGCTCAAAGTCGACAGTATAGAGGTGCACACAGCTCATGTCTACCTGGCCTGTTGCCGTGGTGGTGGTGGTTGAGGTGGTTGTGGTGGTTGTGGTGGTTGTGGTGGTTGTGCCGGTTGTGGTTGTGGTGGTGGTTGTGGTGGCTGTGGTTGTGGTGGTGGTTGTGGTGGCCGTGATTGTGGTGGTGGTTGTGGTGGCCGTGATTGTGGTGGTGGTTGTGGTGGCTGTGATTGTGGTGGTGGTTGTGGTGGCTATGGTTGTGGTGGTTGTGGTGGTTGCGCCAGTTGCTACCTTATCTTTCTTGAAGAGAAAGTTGGTCCGGTTGAAGCCGGTGCAGCAGAATTTGAAGTCTCTCTCTAGAATGATGGGCCTATACTTTGCGGTCCGCTGGCCCGTTGGACTTTGGTGGGTGGTCAACTGGGGATTCGACTGAGAGTTTGACGTGGGATTTGACGGGAGATTTGATAGGGGATTCGGTTGTGAGTTTGGTTCTGAATTTGGCTGTGGATGTTCCTGTGAATTTGATTTGGCCTTCCCTCGAGGGCTGTGGCGCGTTTCAGAGCCTATTGGTCATTGTTCATTTGTTAATCAACATTATATGAATATGCGCTTAGAGAGAACTGGAATTTCTAACCCTACTTCATTCACATGTGCCTGGAGATGGTCTATACTATGGGACTAGTAGTCGGCTTCCTGGTCGAATAACATTCCGTGTTTGATGCGACGCCTTCCACGCTGCACCGTCACTGGACCCGGGATACTGTCGACCGGAGGGATCTCGCGAAAGATTCTAGTGCCTTCGACAACCATGGTTTTGGTTCTGATTCAGGTGTCCGTATTGTGCAAAGGATTGAGCCTGGTGCCCGTCTCGAAAAACAGCCGTTTTGATCGAAAATTTTCGTGCGGTTGAGAGGGTGCCGGATCACTTCAGAGCATTTCCGTCGAACGACCTTGCTATTAATAAATACCCTGCTCGTGAACCCGCGGGCGCTCATTCTTGTAAGCCGTGCCAGATCGTGAGGGTTGTTGAATAACACCCCTCACCCCTCCCTCCCTCCCCGGTACATGCTCATCTATCTCAACGCAAGACCACATGTGCGGTGGTATCATAGACGAGGTACCTGGCGCCCTTGTGTCACCTTTCTTGGGCAGCAGCTGCGCCGTTGCGAGATTCGGAGTGTGATTTGCTCATTTCCCCCATTTCCATTAGAGGACCTAGGCCTCGCATTTTGCTTTGATGGTGTGTGTGGTTCGGAATAGGAGGTGGTGTGTTTGTGCTCGGGCTGATTACGTGCATGAAGGCCTTGGCTTGGCAGGGCAGGCAGGGCAGGCAGGGCAGGCAGGGATGAGAAAGCTCCAGCGTCAACACAAACCTGCCGCTTCCTGCAAAATTCTCTTTAGGAAAATCCGAGCCATTCTCGCATTGTGGCAAGGTGAAAGATAAAAAGAGAAACAAAAATGCTCGAGCGGCGCTGTTGTGGCCATGGGGCCCCTCGAGCAGCCCGCCACCCACAGAGGACGTTAGCCGCGGCTAGGTGTGGTGTGCCCGCCGATTCCGCCGCCGAAGGAAAATGTTGTGGTGGCCAAGGCAACCCTAGAGTCGTGCTTCGTAGTTGCTGTCCGACGGTGGTCAATGTCATGGCCAGTGCAAGAGGGTGGCCAGCGCAAGAGGGTGGCCAGAAAAGCCCAGCACTGGTCTCGGGATTTCCGTTCGGTAATTATTCGACATTGAGGATGTGCGAGCAGATCTCTCTGTGGTTATTTCATCGGAACTGGAACAAGACCGGAGAGCCAGCCATATATATAATTGTTATCCCATACTGGGGATCCCCTCCATCGGAGCAATTGGGAAACAGTAGGAGGGAGAAAAAGAAAACCATCCGCACGAAAACCCGCAGTTCATCATGGCCGATGCTGCAACCGTTCAGCACAAGCTGTGGACTCAACTTCAAGTGATTTGCCAAGTCGCAGAGAACTCAGCCGAATTACACGGCCGGAAAAGATCCTTCGACAATCCGGCCAAAAGACAACAGGTTCATATACGAGCTTATTCATTCCCTTTCAAGGCAACGTCGGTCGCGCCCAAAGTCGAAAGTCGAACATAGGATACTGTGGCGAGTCTTAATAGAGTACATCAAGAGGGCTGAGATTGATTTTATTGAAATACCAGGTAACAAGCACCACGTCGTGCTGGGTTTCTGGTTCACAAACCAGTTCGTGGCCAACATTGTAATCGACGGCAGCGAAGAAGCGGCACTCACACGTGGCGAGATTTCGGTTCGGCGCCGCGAATTGCGAATGTCTTGAGTAATGATACCGAGCTCCTCATATTTTCGTCTTAGGAGCCGGCAGGCCCAGCCAGGGAGCCGTGGCAGGCTCAACAGGCCGAAGTTGTCGTGCAACCATCAAACTCGGTTGAATCCAAGGGAAGGGGGGCGGGGTAGACAAAGGTCAGAAACCGATTTAATTCAACCACACCTCCCGAAATTATCAGCTGCAACCTTTGTTGCCTTGTGCTTTGTCCGAGATTTGGTTCGGACCAACGTCTGCTCTCCTCAGCCACCGTGGGACAAACACGACTAGCCGAGCTCGGTGCCGGTGAGGGGGGTAGTAGTCCAGACCTGGTCGAGTCTGGCCACGCATTTCCACAGACGGCTGGTGCTGGTCCTGGACCATATGGATTTTCGTGTTTTTTGGAGACAACCGGGCTGCCTAACGGCGTCGGCGACGGCGGCGCCGTGGGCGGTTGATACCTGCGCAGCCTAGATTCCAACCAGCTGCCTTGATACCACACAAGGAGATACCACACAAGGAGAGACAGAGAGGGGGCCTCTTCTACGGCCTCTTTTGATGTACGCCCTTGTCTGCGCTTCTGCCGTGCGGCATACAAAACGGCATCCCGCCCTTGCCCTTTCCAACCTCGGGCCTGCTCGGCCAGCACCCTCGAAGCCGCCATCGGCAGGGCCGACTCGGCCCTGGCGCAAGATCGCATTTAAAGCAGCGCCCGTGCTGGACATGGAGTTGGTCGAGAACACGCAACTGCTGCTAGCAGCTACAGCCGGGCCTCGACGCCACTCTCGTTAAACGCCGCTCTCGTCAACCTAGTCCGCTAGGGCCAACTCATGACGCCGAGCCATTCGCACTCGCGCTTTGGCCCAGACATTGACGAAAGACACTTCGCCCAACCCCCTGGAGGGGTGCTCTGCCCCGTTGGCCGACACACTCGGGCAGGCCCTGGTTTGGCTGTTCAGCGCAGGGGTTTGCCGTGGCGCGACGAGGAGCAGCACAGGGCGATGGGTGCATTTTGTTTTTTTCTGTTGTTTCTTTCTGTTGTTTCTTTCTTTGTTTCTTTCTTTGTTTCTTTCTTTGTTTCTTTCTGTTGTTTCTTTCTGTTGCTTTTTTCTATTGTTTTTTTCTGTTGCTTTTGCTTATATCCTGGGGTATGAACGGCGCAAATTGGACTGACTGAATGCACTGGGGGGCGTTCATTCGGATCTTGATTACATTTCCTTGGCGGAGATGACTAGATTCGCGTGGCACGGCCAACATGGCTGCAGGCTGGAAAGCTGGACTAAACACTACTCGATTTCCGACGCATCACGAGGCGGTCGGCAGAAACGAGAATGGAACAATCAGATTCGTTGCATTTTGGACTAACGGTGCGGGGCGGCGGGCGGGCTGCGAGATCTAGAATCTAGATCCCCTCCCTCGGTTGGGTCGAATCGAATGCGGGCGGACTTGGCTGTGCCGGGCCGGCATGATTGAACAAGCCAATGGATGATTAACCCTGACCAAGGGGAGCGCGTCCCGCTTATGTACGTACACCAGCTGCTTAACAAGAACCCGGTATATCGACCAGAGGCGGGGGCCCCTTGGGAATGGTTGGTCAGTGGCCGCGGAGGCAGCTGGGGAAAGCGCACTTTAGCCAGAACTTGCTTGCCCCAACCCTGACCTCTCTCCCCTTCGACTCTGCCTGGCCCGCCCACTGATTGGCGCTGGCGGTACCAAAAATGGCCATTTGGGGGGGGCATGCCATATCGGCAGCCCACCCCTGCCCCCTTTCGGCCCTTGTCTTCCCCAGGTTCAATTTGGCCTCATTACGGAGCACTGCCGAGAATGGCCCCGAGTGACGGTAGCATAGCATGCGAGTAGCCACGGGCCCAGACAGAGAGACGCAGTAAGCCCCATGCCGTAGGTTAAAGAACGGTGGTCGCCGTGCCCACTTTTTTCTCGTCCTAGGGGGCCCCCTTTCTTCCAGCTTTGCTTTCCCTCCCCTCCTGGTCCGACCCCCTCCACCTCCACCTCCACCTCCGCCTCCGCCTTTTCCTGCTGCTTTCCAGTTCAGTTCTCGCGGCGCTCGCTCGCTGCTGGCAGGACCTCGCATAGCCGGGCCTCTGAGACATGCCAGCGCAATTTTAGCAACAGTCAGACCAGACCAGCAGACCAGACCAGCGATCGATCCGAGCCATGTCCTCACCAAGCAAGCCCTACGTCGATCCCGCCCGGGAGGCCGAAAGCAACACGGCCCTGTTCCTGACCATTGTGTGCGTCGTCTGGGGGCTCGCCTTCACGGCGGCAGCCCTGCGCTTCTACACCAAGGCCGTGCTCGTGCGGTCCTTCGGCAAGGACGACGTGCTCATGGCGCTGTCAGTGCTGTGCAGCCTCGGCGGGCTCGTCGCCTGGATCGTCGCCTGCACCAACGGCTCCGGCCGCCACCAGGACACCATCAAGCAGCCCAACCTCGTCGTCATCCTCGAGGCCCAGTTCTTCCAGTCCATCGTCGAGGCCTCGTTCGCCTTCGGCTTCCTCAAGATCTCCATCGCCATCTCCCTGCTGCGCCTCAGCAGGGGCAATTGGTACAAGTGGATATTATGGTCGCTCATCGGTACCTGCCATCACGCTGCCCGGTCGCAGACACGCTGATTTGCTAACAGGCATCCTCGGCTAGCCTTTGTCTGCTTCTACACGCTATTCGCCTTCATCACCTTCCTGACCTTTTGCCAGCCGATAGCCGGCCAGTGGGACCGGTCAATCCGCCCAAAGTGCTACAACAAGGAGCTATACCGAGACTTTGGTCTCTTCAACACATGTCAGTTCGACCCTGGCAGATTCTCCTGACCTGTTTGGTATTCTTCGCCGGCGCATACGAGAACTGACGATACCGCCTCCACATAGCATGCAACATTGTTACCGATATCGCATTTGCGACGCTGCCAATACCCCTGATATGGAGCCTCCAGCTGCAGCGCCGGATACGACTCTACCTGATTGCTATTCTTAGTGGAGGGTACTTGTAAGCCATGCCTGTCTCTCGTCGTAGAATTCAAGCCCGTCTCTCGTCGCAGTATTCAAGCCCGTCTCTCGTCGCAGAATTTTGGCCCCTGTCTCTCGCCGCAGAATTCTGGGTTCGCCACTGACAAGAGAATATCAGTGCCGTCGCTTTGGGCATCGCAAGGGCCGTGTTCATCATCGCTTTTGTCCACGAACGTGACGGGACATAGTACGTCGACGCAACTTTGGCTCCCCTAATTGCTGTAGGATTCACCACTGACAAGCCCCCTTCACGTGCGGCAGTTACCCGTGGGCGCCGTTCTTTGCATCGTAAGTCGCCGCCTATTGAAGTCCCGCAATCTCCAACTGACTTATCCTCTCCCGGCCAACAGCCTCCAGCTCGACATTGGCATCGTAGCGGCGTGCGCGCCGACACTGCGGCCGTTGCTCGGGCGCGCGCTGCGGCTGTCGGGCAACCTCAACCACTACCGCGAGGCCAACTACTACCGCGCCGGCAAAGCGCTGGACCGGCTGCCGGTGAGCGGGAGCGGCAACCGCGGGTACCTGCGGCAGAACACGGCGTCGGGCGAGTTCCTCGAGATGGCCGGCAAGGGCGGCGAGAAGTGGGCGACGGTCAACCGCGGGAACACGGCCTTCTCCGCGTCCGTCAACAACAACACGACAAATAATGGAGACGGCAAAGGCCACGGCCACGTGCTAGAGATGACGGGCGCCCTCGCCCTCGACGCCGCGGCAGAGAAGCCCAGGGTCAGTGAGGAAGACGTCATCCTGCCCGACCCGGACGACCTCGACCCGGAATTCAAGGGCATTGTCAAGACGACCGAGTTCCGAGTCGAAAAGTGAGACAGAGATATCGCGGGCACTGGTGCCCGCTGATAACGACAACCAGGACATAACCCCAAAAAGAAACATTCATGTGTGTGTGTGATGAAACGAAAGCAAAAAGCGACACTCATTTCCACCCGGTTGCGACGAACGAAATTATATATCATGATATGACCGAGACGACGAACTGCCGAGACGACGAACTGCCGAGACGACAAACTCCCGAGAGAGACGACGGACTGCCGAGACGACGAACTGACTATACGACGCGCAATCCACCTCCTCGTCCCTTGTTGACTCGGCTTTCTGTGCCCTGGCGAACGAACGACCACCATAAGCCGAGCCAAGGAAAATGAGGCGTATTGGGAACCTTACCAACCACGACTAGATGGGCTACGAGTGGCGCTTGATAGTTTTGGCGTGGATGGGGAGATCAGGCGATTTGCAGAGAGCCGGGATACCCTGGTCTTACTCTTCCGGGTCATTTTCCACCGCCCGGATTTATAGCCCAAGAGTGCTGGCTGAAAGCACCAAGACAGAGCTTGATCAGATCATGTGCGAGACTCTCTGCCGCCGTTTCCGCTGCTTGTCCAGGGGCATAGCGAGCGAATGGCAGAAAAGGCTGGATACCTAGGTATGCATGGCGTCTAGTCAGGCAACGTCATCCGGCCATCCTGACTTCAGACACCGCACCCTCGTGCTTCGGTTGTGAAATCAGTCATTACTGCGGCGTGGAAGCATACGGCTTTATGACCTAGCGGCTTGGTATGAAAGGCTGCAATGCAGGAGACCGTATGTTCAGCTAGTTAAGAATGCCAGCTAGCCTGCCTAGCAGATATGACTCTAACCAAACTGCGGCCTGTTTCTTCTTACTCTAGCCAATCTCACTGATCTAGTTGTGCGTGTGAATTATTGTTCCATATTGTAGGGTATGTGTCACGTTTTTTTTTCTTCTTTTTATAAAAAAAAACATAAAATAAATTGCAGGCGCGAATACGAGATCCAACACCGCCATTCAAGATTTTAGCCCAAGCCTAGTGCCTTGGTAAGTAATGCATGTACTTCGAATACAAGGTTAAACCCTGAAAAGATCAACTTAGCGTACCAAGCGAGGAACAAAGTCGTCCGGTTTTTGCTAGCATAAAGTTTAAAAATTTCCGCACCTTTTGATGTGGTCAATGCGGATGTTCCACTTTAGGGTTTCTTGCCTTTGAAATTCCTTTGAAATTCTGTATTCCTTTCCCTGACTTTCTCCGTCCAGCATTCCACTAATTACTGACCCGCAACAGCAGATTGCCTTGTCATCTCTTTCTCTTTGCACCATCAACCAACTCGTTAGCCAACATCTTCTTTTGGGCCCTAGTGCCTCCATATCAATCGCAGATACAGGGCTCGTTAGTTATTCGATTCAAATGAGAACCAGAAAACTCTACGTCTCTTTCTATCACAATTCAACTCTCGAAATCGCTGATCAGTCACGAGTCACCTGCCCGACCAAACGAGACGCCCTCCCAGCCAGTACCACCAGACATTAAGGGCGAACAATGGCAATGGAAAGAAAAGCAGCCTCCCCAGAAGCTTTTTTCGTCGTCCCAGGGGCATACGCTTGAACCTTTCGCTGGGCCATGGACTAGCATTTGGGATTAATATCATGTAGGAAAGCGAGGTTTCAATTGGAGAAGATTGATTTCAGGGGAGAATGACGAAAAACCAAGCCGGTGGGAGATGACCGAGCTGCTCGTCAACGACGCCCGGGCAACCAGAAACTGTAAATATGGGAACAAAAGCTACCCACCCTCTCTCTAAAAATAGGTGATTATTGGCTAGTCTGTTAATTAACATGTTCTTCTTTGTTAGGGATAAATATTATGCGCTGCTGATAGTCACTTCTGTCGGGACTCGGCCTGTCAATGAGATCCCAAGCTCGACTAGTGGCTTGAAACCCCCGAGAACAACGAGGCACCTCTTCTCCCACTCCAATTCCGCTATCCGCCCGCCGGGTTGGCGGGTCAGGTACCGTGCTTTGCGGCTCGGCCCTGGATCGAGATTTTTGCTGGTACGGACCCCCGGTGAAGTCTTTAGGCCATCTGCAAGTTTCGGCAACAAACCTTGGGATACTCCACAACTCCTACTCGTAATTCCTGGATCCGGAATTTCTTGCCCTGTTTATATGTGGTCGGCTGGATGATCGGTTGGATGATCGGTTGGATGATCGGCCGAGCCCCGTTCCTGGGTCCAAATTGGGCTGACAAGAAGTGTGTCAGCGCTGCGCATAGGTAGCCAGCTAACAAAAATGGCAACAGTCCGCCACGCACCTAGTTACCTGTCAAAGCTCCAAGTACCGGACGAACCTGATTCCCCCCTCTCGGCCCAAGAACTTGGCGCGGCTGAGAGATGACGGCTAAACCTTTTCCAACCGAGACACCGACGCAATGACCGACACGCTCTTGGACAGCTATAGTCAGTTCACCCGGGAATATAGCCCTGAAAGGGGCCGCCCGGTGCGGGAGACCCTCCATTCCCGCCTCGATTCCTTTAAAATAGACACCTATAGAAGGTCGTTATCGCTGATACGTAGCGAGACTGTAGAGCAACACCCTAGTCTTCGCGAAACACCTTCATCTTCGAACAAAGACCTCCATGTATTCTCTCTTGCTCACATGGGCAGGCCTCGCCGCCGGCGCCTCGGCAGCATGCACGCGGGCGGTGCTGCAAGACGCGACGGCGACGTACCTTAAGGCGCAGGCCGCGGGGCAGCCGTCGCTGCTGGCCGGCACGCTGGCCAGCAACACCAGCTACGCCGAGAACGACACGCCCGTATCCATCGCCGCTGGCGTCCTGGCCCAGGCCCTGACGATCGACTTCAGCCGCAGCATCTACGACACGACCGAGTGCGCGTCCTTCACCGAGATCACTTCCGCGACGTCGCCGCACCCGTACATCATCCACACGCGGCTGCTGTTCAGCGCCGCCACACCGCTCGTCATCACGGCCATCGAGTCCGTAGTCACGGACGCCGGCGACTGGGCGTTCAACGCCACTGCGGGGCTGAGCTGGACGCGGCAGGAAACATGGGACGAGATCCCGACGGCGCAGCGCGATACTCGGGCCGTGATCCAGGCGGCGGCCGACGCGTACCTCGACCAGTGGGGGAACCCGGATCTGCCAGTGCCGCTAGGCACGCCGTGCGCGCGACTCGAGGGCGGGAGCTACTACTCGGGCGCGAAGGACCAGGCCGCCAACACTTGCGCCATGGGCGCCTTCCCCGTCCCGCTCGCTGTCGGCCACCGACGCTATGTTGTTGACGAGGAGCTCGGCGCTGTCGACGTCTTCAACGGCTTCCCCTGGCTCGAGTCGACGCGCGCGGCTAACTTCTCGACGCCCAGCAGCAACTTTGTCAGGGTCGTGCAGGGCAAGATTCGGTATATCCATGAGGCTACCGTGTGCCAGACTCCGAACTGCGGGAGGTGAGCTTTATCGGGGGAGAGTGGAAAATCTGCATTTAATGCCTCGTGTCGGGCGTTTCTAGAACGGAATTTTCAATGCTATATCTTTAGGTGACAAAGGAATTGTAAGGGCACAACAAAACTGAATTATGACGAGTCGATGCAGAAAGGTCAAACAGGAAGGTGTTTGTCGAGGGGAATAGATAAGAGCTCGGTCAATACTCAATGTTGAATTTTCTATCCCCACAGGCTCCATTACTTTAGTGCCTAATGATTCGATCCTCCTCTTCTTATAGTGCCCAATGAATTTTCCCGGTGAACATTCCACGAGACCCGCGGTCTCGAGGTGGATTATTACTTGGATGCTACCAAAGGGTTATTCTATTGGTCCTTGTATGTTCTCTGCGGAGGGGCAGGGTTTGTTGGATACTGCAACCCGACTTACAGCCACTCGCGGGCCCCGCCAGTTTTGCCCTGTGCATCACTATCCATAGTGAACTCGAAGCGGGCCAGGTTGAATTCCATGTCTTTATGGCGATCCAGGACCGGGTGAGTTCCAAACACCAAGTCCAACACGTCGGCTAAGGTGATGGGGTCGTCCGGGATCCGAGCCAGACTGATCGGGAACCCAAGCAAGAAGGCGGCTTAATAGTTGCCCTTGGGGAACAAGAAGTAGTAGCGTTGCCCAGTCGTATCAGGTACCACATCCATCCTAAGAAATTGATATTTGTTATTGACGTTATACTTGAAGGCGAAAATCAAGAATAAATCCGGTCATAGGTTGGCCGCCGTCTCATTGAAAACGAGAAGAATACTTTGCACCGCCGCGCCCAAGACATCCAACAGCTCTTGGTGTGGATTGGGTTCGTGTTGACTGGCCTCAACGTCGTTGTCCAGGGTTATTCGTGATAAGTCTTCAAGGATATCGTAAAAAACCTGTCACCTAAGATTTGAGCCATATCCGAGCCATAACCGAGTTGAACCTTAAAAGGCCCTCTATGACGCTCGCTTCCTAGTGTCACGAGATTTCCTTTGTTTACTTTTTGGGTATAAATAGGGGCTTCTTTTCCTGTATCTCTAGACCTTTTTCAGACAGAAAATTCAGACAATTCAATGCGCTGTCAACTACGATCACGTGCAAGAAAACCATCATGCCCGGTTTGGCCCAGATTCGCGGTATTTAGACAGTTGACTAGGTTTGACCATGCTTTTTGCGCGGCGCTTATGATCAGTTTGAGCTGATCGGGGCGGGACTGAGCCGTAAGTTAGGTGGGGGGGTAAGCGAACACCACTGATTTAGAACATTCTGTATAAGCAGGAGTCCCAACTAACCCTCCAACAAAAGAAAGGGTGATCTTTTTATTTACAAAACTTCAATACAATCTTTGATATCCTCTGAATCATCCGCTTCTTCCGCATCTTCTAAAACCTCTGCTGCACGCCCTACAGCTCTCTGGGCCTCACGAATAGTCTGAATATTCGCAAAGGTGGTATTTGGATCTTCTTCAACCTTCTTCTTCTTTCTGGCTCTTATTGATTCGAGAGTGTGTTCTAGACCTTCAATCTTTCGCTTCCTAATAGCCAGTTCAAAGGCCTGTTCATCCAAAGCCTTACCAATCTTTCTGAGGAAGAGCTTATCCGCTGGCATTGCTTTGATGATGCGTGCGAACTTCTTTGCCTGCTCAACGTAATCACGTGCCTTTCTAGGAGTCCTCCACTGCACCCGATCGTCTCCATAATCCTCCAGGATTAGCATACGGAGTGTGCGAACCTCTGGGGTAACTATAGTAGTTCTTAAGGGGCGTGAAGTATTAGAAATCTTGAGGAGGAGTGGGCTTCTTAGCGGTTTGTTGACATTCAAGGGCCAAAGGCCTGATGCCTTCCATCCTGACTTAGCATTACTCTTAGTAATTGCCTCTGTGCGTGAAATCTGGTAGCATTCCAGAAACGCACGTTTTCCGGCTACAGAAGAGTCGTCAAAGGCGTTAGCAAGAAGGTCCTCAAGCCGTCTGCGATAAAGTCGTTTTAGGGGGCCAAATATGGCCAAATCTAGGGGTTGGAGGACATGGGAAGTATGGGGAGGCAGATAAATAATGTGAATATTGTTTGTGAATGCCTCCCACATATAATCGGCAGTTGTGTGGCTGCCATGGCCATCAATAATAAGGAGTCGTTTCTCAGAGGAGTTTGCTGGCTTGGTGAGAGGAATGAACACATTTTTTAACCATTTGAGGCTTGTCTCATCGGTAGTCCATCCTTTCTCAGTTGCTGTAAAGAACCAATCCTGAAATGGCTTCATATCCAAAGGAAACCTTTGTTGTTGAACGCTTTTCCCCTTAAAAATGACCAAAGGAGGAAGGCAACGGCCAGCTGCTGAGATGCATTCGACAAAAGTGGTCCAAGTGCGGGTTCCAGGCTGTTTTTTTTGAAGCGCCTTAAAGGCACGGCTTCCAATGACAAGGCCGTTGGTTCCTCTGCCTTCCATAATACCAGATTCGTCCTTGTTCCAGCGATTCTCTGGCTTAATCGCCTTGATAGCTGGTGTTTGGAAATGGTTGAACCAAGGTCGAATTGTTGACTCTGTAGCGCAGTTGACGCGGACCGAATCGACTCTCTTGGCCCTCTGAGTTTTCAAAATTCGATTGCGGTTAAGAAAGGCACGGCACCACCCCTTTCCAAGTGGTAAGGAGTCCCCCCTTTCAGCTAGAATACGGCGTGCATGCTCCCTGATCTGTGCATGTGTAGGGGGCAATCCTAAATCTTGTTGAAGAAGAATCCATTCGACTAAACGATCCTCTTGGGTCTGTGTAAGCCTTTGCTCATCTTGATGAGCAACATTTCGAGGTAGGGAGCCATGTAGACGGCCATAAAGGGTGGAGGGTGGAACGTTCCATTTTCGCGCGACTTTGCGTAATCGATGTGTTCTGACGGCTTCCTCGCAAGCCTTGCGGAGGTCTTCTTCTGTATATGAAACCATTGTCAAGAGAAGAATAAAACGAATTGAAGATGAAGAGAATTGGAAAAGAATTGGTTGAGTTATGGGCTTTTTATATAAGAGGGTTGGTTGTGTTCCTCGCTTATCTAGAATGTTCTGGATCAGTGGCGTTCGCTTACTCCCCCACCTAACTTATTTCCCGGTTTATGGGCTTAGTTCCCCCACGCCGTTGTCTCACGGCTCGTCGACGGTGGAGCTGTACGATAGGGTAATAAATATAGAGCAGGTCTTCAGGCACCGTTAAATTCGTTCCTTACACCATAGGTACATAGGCTGCCAAGCTTTACAGCTCACCGCCCACGAAAATACCAGTCATTACTCACGCCCTTCAGTACCTTCATCGTGACCACCTTAATCAGGCGTACCTGCCTTCACTTATACGACGATATATTAGTGGTTGTATAAGGTAGTTTGTAGAAGGTCGGTTACGGTGGAAAGAGTAGGGCCGGGCTACGTTATGGTAAAAAGTAGTAAATTACTGCCTAGCAGAATCGCAGATATACTGGTGGGCGGGGTTGGTGAGCAGGGTTAGGGTTATGTATAGGAGATTACAGTGTAAAGAACGGATTTAACAGTGCCTAAAGACCTACTCATTTTATTAGGGTATAGCGGCGACGAGCGGAAGCTTGTCTGGATATTATTGTCGGCCGCCGGCTTGCGGTTCACGACGCAATCCTTGCAGTATACCTATGTGCGAGATTGTATTGTTGGCTATCACGTATCAGAGGCAACGGTATAGGTATAGGGAGAGCCTACGTGGCCACACTCGATGGGCGCGAAGAGATGGCGATCCATATCCGGCAGCGGCGGCCCCTCTCCGCGGTCGTACCTTTCGTCCTCTTCTTCTGAAAACTCGTACCCTAGCTCCTCGTTGCAGCCCGAGCATAAATACTCAAGTTCCTCTCCCCTGCCACGATTGTAGGCCTTGCGGGCGCGGGCAGGGGGCCGCGGGACGTGGGCTGGCTCCGGGTTGACAATCATGGGCGGCTGGGGAGGGTTGACAATATTATTGCCGTCGTCGTCTAATGTCAGGTCGAAGTAGGCTGCTGCGGCGCGAGGAGGAGGGCTAGGACTGGCGTCTGAATCGTCCGATTCGATTTTGGCTGCGGCGCGACGAGGAGGAGGAGGGCTGGCGTCTGAGCCGTCTGAGTCTCCGGTCAGATCGATAATAACCAGCCTCGCTCCTGCTGCCTGGGGACGCCGGCCATCTGGGACTTGTGTCTCTGGCCGATTCATCTCTAATCGGGAGATGAAAGAGGCGGTGCGGATGATGTCGGTGTCACTGCTGAGGATAGATGGTACGGATGATGTCGGAGATTTTCTCTGCTAAGGATGGATGGTACGGATTGATGTCTGCTGAGGATAGAAGGAGAAAGGAAAACTTGGGACGGGTTTGGGAAAACGAGAAGAGGGTGGAAGAGTAGGCTTTAGTATATATTTGGTAGATCGTTGTCGCTTTCCGACTATGGGGTGTGGGGCGACGGGATATAAGTCTTAAGAGACTTTAGGTGGAAAGTATGGCCTTGTTTTTCCGAATATCCTCTCGCACAGAACCTTGCTCCCCAGCCAAGAGACTTTGGGTGGGAATACCGTCAAGGTGGAACTCGCCTTGCCATATCTTGCTTTGAAAGTAGATGAGCTTATCTTCTCGACGGGAACCAGCAGTAAAATGTAAGCAGATAAGGTTATGAAAATCTATTCGGCTTTGCAGATTGAACACTCCACTGTCCTTCCCACTGAGTGGTTCAAATATGTCATAGTCGGGGACACTATAATTATCTTTGTTGAACCCCCTCCTTGCTGCTTGCAGTATTGGGACAAGTTGCTTGGGCCGGAATGTTGTCGAGGCATTGGCCAAACGTGAGTTTCACAGTCTTGTCGTTAGCTTGTGGGTCACTCTTGATAAAAAGCTGCGTCGCTTGAAACACGAGGTCGCGGTCTGGGAGATCTGTGCCTGCTGGTGGATTTGTATTAGCTGATGCTCGCGGATTTGCGGACGATGCTGACAGGGGTAGTGGTATCGTAGACATTTCCGCCAGCTGATGGCGCTCAGGCAGATAAAATGGCCCAACCAGGATGATTCGTAGGATCGGGACTATGATAAGAATTGTGATTCGGGTTCTAAGTCGGATAATCGGGGTTGGAGTTGCTGGAATTGTTGGGGATGAACATCCATATATAGGTAAGGCACCAGGGAACTACTTTAATACAGCTCCCATTTCCGAAACCCTAGGCTATAGGATTCGGGCCGCATGAAACCTGAGGCACCACATTAGGCATCCCAAATGTAGGCCACCGCCCAGAGGTGCGACCGGATAATCCGAGAGGAAACGGCACCTTTTTAAAGAAAATTAAGAGGTTACCAAAACAATTAGCACGTGTATGCACGTAGATGCAAATTTGAAATCTGAATGAAGTTATTCCGGCTTATTCAAACTTCAAGAGTATGTCTAACTATCATAAAACGCGTTGAGTTATTTATGGCCCCTTTTATTTACTTTTCTAACTTAAATTTTGGGGTCAACGTAAAGACCTCCCTTTCTAGGCCGAGAATCTCTTCTCTATCTTCCTTATACCAGCCTATCAGCCCGAATAGCCGCTATGGAGGATGGCTATATCGAAGATTTGGATGGTTGAAAAAGGGGATGGTTTTGATGCGTGTGAGGCTCAAGATCATAGTTGGCTTTTTTTCCCCCGGATTTTCCGGTCGCAGAGGCTTGCAGACCTAGGCTCGAAACAAGCACAGAGCGGCACACGCCCTGCGGCTCGCAACTCGGTCTGTGCCGACCACGGCCCGGATCTCTACGTTTAGTTTGCGTTCGATTGGTTTCGGACCCCTACATAACACCGTTGGTCGCCGGCAGCCTCGCCCGTTTCATGGTGTTGAAAAGAAGCACCGGGTCAGCCTCGAACAGTCCAAATAACACATGCCACGAGCAATGTTTCAAGGACTATTTCTATTTTAGGGTCTGGATTCTCGACAAACCGTGCCTTTAGCGTCTAGCGTCAAAGAATTGCAGAGTGACCCGGATTGTTGCACAAGACCCTCCAGGTTCCCATGAAGAAACATATTTTCATGTAGTTAAGAACTAAGTGTATGAGGCCAGGCTGGGCGAACCTGGTTGCCGCCCACGTGGCCTATCCCGAGCTGGTGTACAGATACCTGTTGCCTTATCCTCGAATCCATATCCAATAAACTACGTTTCCCAATATCATCGTCCAACCTGATACGATTTATATACAACAGAAAGAAACAGAGACGCGACTATTTATCCAAAAAGAAAGAAAGGAAAAACAAACATGGCTCTGCTCATTTTACACCCGCTTTTCTACACCATACCTAAGTAGTCAACGCTTTTCCACCTCTGGCCCGACCCTCACCCACCTTATAGCAAAAGCAGTTCAACAGCGGTATCATTTTCAATCGTCATTTGCTTGCGAGTGCAGCCTGTTTTTCAACTTCTTGATTCCTCTGATCAGTGACGAGCTGGATTTTGAAGGATTATGGCTCGACGGCCGCGGCGAAGGGCTCTCTGGCCGGGACAAATACTCGACCACGGGCTCTCCGGAACTAGGCGTCTCCTTGTCGGGGGAATTGAGTTCGTCCATGGAAGCCTTGATACTGCCCAGCAGCATCTGGTCGGGGCTGCCCTTCCACGATTCGGTGTCGATGACATCCCTATTCATTAATATGCGTCAGCAACCGGCCGTGGACGGTCTGGACACGTGTGTTGCTCGGCTTACGGAATTTTGAAGCGCTGGCCGAGCGTGTCGTCGAGGTCCTTTAACCTCTTCAGTGCCTCGGGCTTGTCGCCAAAGGACACAAACTGGATGGTGCACCAACGCTCGACCGGGAAGTTCGGTTTCACCGCCCACATGTCTTTGATGGCGGTCGCAATAATGTTCTCGACATCGTCTGGTGCGCTCCGTTCCCACTCGCCGTTGGTGAGGATGATGATTGTGAGCTTTTTTGACATGTCTTGGCGATATTCGTTGAGCAAATTTGAAAGGACCTCGGCCATGGACGTCTGATACAGGGCTTGGCGGTTGGAAGGGGCTCGGGCCTCCACCATGGCGCCACGGAAAGTGGTGGGTATGTCAAACCCCTTGATGTTGTTCTTGTTATGATCATGCCCGATGGTGAAAAGCAAATCCAATCCGTTCTCGTCCAAAGGACCGAGCTTCATAGCCAAGGTTTCCAAAACCCTTGTGGCGTTGGACCAGTGCGGTCGCATGCTCCAGCCATTGTCCACGACGAATTTCTGTAGTTATAGTTAGCAGGAGATTTGACCTGCGGGCCTCGGTGCTTATAACGGGGTATGCCTACAATATCTCGATCTTGGATGAAGTCCCTGAGCGCCTTGTCGGCCGTGATTTTGTTTCTTAGTACAGTGAAGATGTTTCTTTCCGAGTCCCAGGCCTTCCGGAGGTCGCGGTGTAGCCTGCCGATAGGATATGAATCAAACTCGGCTCTAGGCGATAGAGTTGACTTTGTCTGTAGCATCAAGCGTTCTGGACTGGTGAACGACTGTCTGGGATTGATTTGTGGGTGAGAGATTTCCGTTTCCGGAACTGTATTGTGGACTCGGTAATCGGGAGCATGCTGGGGGGATGTGTAGACGGCGGCTTGGGCGGCTCGATTTGCTGCAAGGCTTTGTATTGGCACGTTTTGTGTTGGCACGTTTTGTGTTGGCACGTTTTGTGTTGACACGTTTTGTGTTGGCACGTTTTGTGTTGGCACGTTTTGTGTTGGCACGTGTTGTGTTGGCACGTTTTGTGTTGGCTCGTGTTGTGTTGGCATGTTTTGTGTTGGCACGTGTTGTGTTGGCACGTTTTGTGTTGGCACGTGTTGTGTTGGCATGTTTTGTGTTGGCACGTTTTGTGTTGGCTTGGGAGGTTCGGCAACGGCTGTTTCTTCTGCGGCGTCGAGTTCTTGGGCTGTGGAGGCTTCAAGATCCAAAGCTTCTCGCACAGGTGCAAGATTGGTGGGCTGGTGTTTGGGGCTCTCAAAGATGACGGCCAACTCCGTGTATGGCTCATTTTGCTCTCTGAGGGCATTCTGCAGCACCTCCTTGCGTCCAACAACCTTGGCCTGTACGACCATCTCCCCAATGCGTTCTGACTTTTTGACACGAGTTGTGATAGTGCGACTTGGCCGCTCCAAAACTGTGACTCGGCGATCACGGGAGTGTTCGGTCGGCTTTGCTTCCAGGCGGACATCTGGCGGTGCCACACTATCCACTGCAAGCAAGGACTTGAGCATCGACGCGGGAATAGCAGGCACCTCATGGTCCTTCAGGGCAAAGTTGTATCGCTCTCTGGCCTCCGAAACGATCCTCCGAAGTTCCCTGGCTACTTTCCCGGACGAATATCGCTCAGTGGGATTAGATTTGAGCATATTTTCTTCGACGAGCTTGAGGACATCGGCGGTGATGGTGTCCGACCTTCTCATCGAGTTAAGAAGGTACTTGTGCCACGACTTTACAGCGTCCAGCACTTCACGTCCATCATGAAAACCATCGTTTGCAAACGGTATCAATTCCCCTGGGTTCGAATTATGTTTTTCGATGATCTCGTCAATGGCCAGCTTGCGTACAGCCTGGTATTGGTATTCGTAGGCATTAGAGCCGAGAACGACCCAGGTTGCAATACTCGAAAGAACACACCCAAAGGACCATGTATCGATCTTTTGTGTATGCATGGTAATGGTTTGCCTCCTTAGACGTCCCGGATCGCATTCCGGAGCTCCTGTAACCGGTCAGCCCAGGTCGGTGGTCAAGATAAAACCCTTGGGAACTTACCATAGGTGTGGGTTACACCCAAGAGCTCCGCCGTTGGCACTGCCCCTCGGGTTGGCTCAAACTTGGCAAAGCCAAAGTCGGCAAGCTTGCATTTGCCCTGAACAAAAAGAATATTGCTTGGCTTGACGTCTCCGTGCCACCTACAGAGGTCGGTATCAGGGTCGGAGAATTGAAGTACAGGGGGAGAGTGTCATAGACCTTACCCGTCAAAGGTCGTTGTGCTTCCGTCGTGACGCTGGTACTCGAAGTTGTGGAGTTTTGCCAGTGTCATGGCGACCTGGAAGATGTTTTCCCAAAAGTTTATTATCTCCGAGTTCAGGATTGGGGGGTATTGTATTGCAAGGTATTCATCGAGGTCGAGCTCGCCATACTCGAGCAGAATGTTGGAAGTGGTTCGGAGAACGCCCTGGGCGTTTGGCTCTTTGAGTTTGAAGCAGCCAATGTATTGTACCACTCCTGGCAAGCTCTTGATGCCCATAAAGTTTGTTATTTCGGTTTTGAAGACATCTTGGGCTTCCTGCTGGAAAGACTTGATGGCAAGTTGGTAGCACTGCGGGCGCACCTGCACATTAGCGTCGTCGAGGTTCATCGCGAACACGCAGCGGGCAATGCGTTGCACATACCCAGCCAAATACCTTGTCCTCGTATTTGCAGCCTCTCAGCATGTCCTTGAAGGTGTCGGGGACGAGATCCTCCTGGATCAACACTTCGTCAACGACAGCGGTGCCGCCTTTACCAATGTTATTTCTCTTGCAGAAAGGTAGTATCCAGCGGGCAGTGTCTTGGTCGAGTGCTTTCGTCTGATCGTGCATGTCTTCTATCTTGGCGGGGCAGAATGCCCATTTCTCCTTGTCGAACTGAACGAGAATATCAGATGGAAACTGGAGGCCGGAGGATTTCAGCGCGTTCAGAATGTAAGGGGACAGGTCGCTGTCAAGGAAATCGTCCCGAATGTATTGCTTGAAGGTGTGGATCAAGTTACCACAATTGAGTCGGAGGAGAATGGCGAAGACGATCAGGGCATTATTGATTTGGTCAGGGCTGGTAGGGGAGAAAATGGAGGGGTCGTCAACCATCTCTAGCAGCCTGGCGGTATTGGACGATTTCTCTCCGTCCTTGACAGCGCTCATCCAGCGCTTGATGTCGTCAATGGGGTGGTAGAATTCGAGCCCCTTATAATTTTTCCGTTTACAACTTTCGAGCTTCGCGTCGAATTCGGCCCTTAGGGCATTGTCGCGGGAACTCGGGGACATTGTCGCGTGGCTCTAACGTCGCTAGCGCGTCCGACGAGACACAGCGAGCACCGGGGGTAGCTATCGATAGGTTGGGGGACGTGCGACGGGTACCTTAAGGCCAGAGCTTGGCGGTATGTACAGGTAGTGAGGTACCTTAGCTCGGGATGGATGGTCGTTGCGATCGTCAATCTGCGGGCCAAGTGGCGCCTTTTTGGAGGTGCGATGGAAGAAAAATAATCGAGGGGTGTTAAGGAGAAAAGCATCGTCGGTCGCCAGTTTTTTCCCCTAGATAGGTAGGTATGGAGGTAGGTAGGGAGCGTGACGGTCCAGGACGAGGCTGCGCGTGTGTGCGAGGGCTGAAGAACTGCAACATGTTCGATGATGTACACATAAGTGCGCGGTTCGATTGCCGCCACTATGGGTTGGTTGCCTCGCACTACCTCTCCTACTTCGATCTGGGGGGGTAGATACGAGGTACAAACACCACGATCCAGCGTGGTCAGTGTTCAGTTATCGACGTTTCTATGATGTAATTTTATTCGAGTCCACTCCTAGCAATGTCGTTGGAAAGGTTCGCGATGGTTTTGCATCCGCTTGTTCTTGATTGGCAATGGACGCCAAGGCGGGACCGTCCTCGTTCGACGGATTGAATGGATTGGGTGCAGAATACCATTCCATTCCATAATACCGCTTTTCGTTCGTGTTGAGACCTTCGGCTACGTGGTAATGTACTTGCTACCTAGCGGCAGTATACATAGGTACCTTGGGGCGGGGCCCGATATTTCTGGGCTACAGTACGTCCATTACATACAATATGTATGGTACTGTATGTATGTCATGTAGTATCCTATGTACCTGCCATGCTCTCCTCTGTCGGTCAGTTGGCTCTAGCACTTGGGTCCAGGACCCATTCCATCCCATCTCGCCGAGTCGACCCGTCGCAGAACTCCCGCAAAGCGCTAGGATAGTGGAGGAACGGACGGTGGGATAGGCTACCCGGCTTTCGAGTAGCCCTGTCAGTGGAGTAAGGTCTCAGGTCCTTTGTTCGAACGTGAGTATCCGTAGTCAATTTCGCAAAAGGCATCAAAGAAGCTAGAACGCACAGTTGCATGAAGACAGCCATGCGCGGTTTGCTCTGAAGGCTGTCGATTTGCCCTGGAGACTGTCGATTCGTGCGTTCTAGGTGCACAACATAGACTACACTACAGAACGCTGGAATTAATTGGAAATTACGCTCTGCCTAGGGAGGTAAGGTAATTACGGAAGTTGTTGTCCAGTGACCCCATTCACTGGCTGCGCTTGCGTTGTCCGCTTGCTCAGTGGTAACAGCGGCATTGCTGGCGACTGCCGCACGGGCCATTTCCATCGGGACTGCACCCGTTGCAACCAGTATCCCACCTGAAGTCGCTCCACCAGTGGGGGCACCTCTATGCCGCCATCGAGGATTGCCTCATCGGCCTTCTTTGATGCATACATCTTACCCACCCACGCCGCAAGCAAGGTCAGGAAGGTCAGAGGCAGCGTGACCTGGAGCCAGCGGTACATGGCCGTGTTGGAGAACCTGCCGTTGGGATACTGGTCATCCTGGTACTTGATGATGTCGGTGCTGAAAAAGGTGGACACAAATGTGGCGGGCAGGTAAATCAGCGTCACGAGCGTAATGATGCGGACCACAATCGTCTCCTCCTCCATGTTCTTGTTGAGCCTGTGCATCCGCTCCGCCGATTCTTCGCCGCGGTATTGTATAATCTGCCACCGAAAAGAGGGAAATGTCAGCAATCGCTCGTTTACGCCTCGTCGTTCCCAAGTCCTTACCAGCTCTTTTCTGTCTGCTGTGGTCTTCACCAGAGCCCTGGCCCTCCCGCTGTTGTTCTTCAGGTCGCCTATCATTGCGTCGAGCTGGTTCACAAAGTCGGTTAACTCGCCCGCGCAGGAGTTGCGACACGGAAACCTGTCGTCCTTGGCCAGGCCCTCGTAGAACTGCCGCAGTGATGTCATGATATCGACGTTCCCCTCGAGAACCACAGCCGCCTCGCTAGCTTTCTCCTCCAGCGCTTGCATCAGTTGAATGTCGCTGGGTCGGTATCGCTTCGCATGATGGCCATGTTCACGTAGGCCAATCACTGCCATCTTGCTCTCCTTGTCCACCTTTTCTTCCAATACTCTGATGTACCCTCGCCAGTCTTCGGTCGACCAGCGACAAAACAAGAGGTGTGGTGAGAGACTAGCCGCGAAGCAATCTTCCGCCGAGGTGAACGTCTTGTCTTCCGGTCGGCCATCCGAACCAGTCAGCTCCTTGTAGCTCTCATAAATGTCCGTCCCGCCTTTGGTGACGATCCACAGAGCACGGTTCGTGCCCACGTCGTACTGATGGTAGAAGGCGGCGTTCCTTATCGACCACACTTCCTCTCCCTTTTGCGTTACGCCCTTCAAGTTGTACGCAACCTGGTACTGATGTCCGGATCTCCCCAGGCCGTTGCCCGTGAGGACCACCGCTGACTGCTTAAGAGACATCTGTCGCCGGAATGCGCTGTGCCGGACGTCTCGCGCCGTGCTTTGGAAGCCGAAAGAGGCCAGGAAATCGAGATAGTCGGGCATGACCTGGTGGTATGAGAAGAGCAGGGCGAGCATGGGCTGTTGGATGCGGAGTCGCGCCCGCGAATCTACCCCGTGCATATATCTAGAAATATATTCTGTCAGCCGTGGGGGAAATAAAATAAAATACAACCCCCACCTCGTACAATGTTCTAAAATGGAGTGCGTATCTCACATGAAACGGGATTTTGGGTCCTCCTTCGATGCCGTGATGATATCTCGTTGGGGATCTGTTGGGTGGGGCTTTTTTGTGACCCCGAGCCAGTTGTTCAGACCCTTTCCATCATGCACGTTGCGCTTCTTCACTGCTTCAGTTTGAATCGTCAGCAAAACTACTGCCTCAATTACGGGCAGACATGAATTACTATTCGTTCCGAGATCTCGAAAACAAACTTCGACATCTTTTTCGGACCCAACGAACAGATCGGACTTGACCGTTTCGAGTTTTTCTCGATATGTCTCAAGGGCGCTGGGACTGATGCCGGTTGTGCTTGGGACGAGGTTCCTCGGATACCGTGCCCATTGCTCAAGCGACCGACTCAATGCGGCTGGCAAGGGGAGAGGTGGTGTGTTGGGGTTTGGCACCGTAGTTGACGCTGCATTCGGAGCGTGCATTGGAACACGCGCTGTGCCTGGAGCTGGTGCTGGAACTGGTGCTGGAGCTGGTGCTGGAGCTGGTGCTGGAGCTGGTGCTGGAGCTGGTGCTGGAACTGGTGCTGGTGATGGTGCTGGCGATTGAGTTGTAGCGGCAGGAGCCTGCGCAGAGACGTGCGGTGAAATCAAATTGGACGATGGTGTCGGGTATTGCGTTAGAGCTGCCATTGCAGTACAGTATCAAAGTTTGAGGTGCTACTAAATTAACGGTGAGGCTCTTCGGTCCAGCGTACACGAGAAGGGATGGGTTTTAAACCGAGAACCCGATGCAAGACTGCCTAGTGGGAAGCCCACAAGGCTGGCTAGTTAGGACATTGCGAGAGCTCGCGACCGACGATGGCCACGAAGGCAATTTGCATCGTGTCTTGTGGCAGCAAGGAGGGTTCCAGGTTACTCCAAAATGTGCTGGGAGTGCATGTACGTACACGTAACAGCAACCGTAGCAAGCCTCCCTCCTGATGAATGTGTAATTTCTGTTCATGCAGTACCGTACCGTACTATACATTTTTAATCTACTTCGCTTGTACGGAGTAACCTGCAGGCAAATGTTGCACAAGTGCCTGATCCGTCCCGCTACATTAAAAGATCCCAGAGCCTCGTCACACAGTTCAGGACCCCGCCTAGTTAGAGCCCGAGCCCGAGGACGACTCGGGCTCTGGTGATTCAGAGGGCCGCCGTGGAAGAGACGGACTGCTGTTGCTCATGCGCAGTTCTGCAATCTTCTTCTCGTTTTCCTAATGTAATTGCAACGCTGTTTAGCAGGCCCGTATTGGCTGACACATTTCCGCGTGAGGGAGGGTGTTGGGCTGACCTCGGTAAGCCCTGGAAATGGGGCATTGAACACATAGAAGTCGTTGACCTGTTCCAGGGAGTTGGGCTCAGCTTGTCTTGTTTTAACGGCCTCCCATGTGTGTCATTCTTACCAGGCACTTTTCAAATTCTTGGTCTGGCCAGATGCCCAACAGGCATTCCTCCAGGACCACCCAATCAAGGTTGTACGCAGAACATGAACATTGCACGACCTGTGGCGAAAGCTCCGAGTCGTCATTCCGTCGCTCCCAGGTGCTAGTACGAGTACTTCGGCGGCTCGGCCTCTGGGAGGTCCTCGAGTCATTTGTTTTGGCTCGTCGGCTGAGGCGAAAGTTGTGCCGGGCGCTTGAATCCATCCCAGTCGACATACTTGCAAGACGGTTTCAGCCTCTACGAGAACGCCTGGGCCCTGCAGCGCGGTAAGTGTGGGCGAAATGACCGGGCAGGAGGTGGAAAGCTGTGAAGGGACGGCAGGGCTCCCCTCGTCCAGCTTGTTCACGAGCACAGGGGCAGTGGGGAGTGGCAGAGTCGGCCCTCAATATATGTCCAGACTCCACGGCAGTCTTCGCATAGCATCATGCGACCTGACCCCCTTGCACTAGATTATTCCAGCGACCAGGTTCATTGTGGGGGGCAGATGCCTAGACTTCTCGGCGCGTTGACGGACGCGGGGATGGGGTTTGCCCCTGTCAGGATAAGATGCAAAGCTGAGGAGGTGCTTACACTTGCAAGCTTACCCCCGCCCTCCATCAAGCCATCTGGCAGCCTGACTCCAACTAACTCCCGTCAATTCAATTACAAAGCAGTCAAGGCCGGCGTCGCCTAGATAGCACGAGTAGCTGTTGTGAAAATGATCGATTGCGGCGGTCCAATGCTCGCACTACTTCTATAATGCGATCAGTGCTGAAGGTTCCGCCTCTGGACACGCCCGATCGCTCCAATGCCTCATGCTCTGGTCGCCTTCCACCCGTGGGCAGGCAAATGCCGGGCGCACCCTTGCAGCCTACCCGTTCCCGTGAATGGGTTCAGTGCCGGACTAGTGGGGTGAGTCTATTTCATTGGCCCAGAACCCGGCTGTGTCCTCGGAAGATGTGCGTCTTACCACCTCGCCCAGCAACCCAGACTGCACGTCCTCATTCATTGAGGCTGGGGGCTCAAGCCACCGCAGAAGGATCAGCAAGTTTCGGTCTGAGGCTCTCAGGTGCTCCCAGTGCGGATACGAAGACATTCCTGCACCGTTCCGCCTCACATATTATTGTCTTAAAAGGTCAAGGTTGAAAGGCGGGGATGGAAACCGCCAGTTTTAACGGATATCAACGATTAGTTACCTATTTACATATTAATTTCCTCCGCAACTTTATTCCAAGGTAGAATCGGGCGCTATCGCCCAAACTCGAATGGGCGCCCACGCCCCAGATTAGAGTTCAAATGCTTTCTTGCCTCACTCTCATTGGTCTACGAAAGACATTAGTGCATAAAGCGGGTCCGTAGCGCTGCCCAGCCACAAGAGCCACTTTGTTTCTTGACGTGGCCCTAACCCTGAGCCAATTAACGGGTCCGTTCCTTTTTTTTCAGAGCCTCATCACTCGTAGGCTTCCGCGTCCGCCTCCCCCCACCCCCCACACCGAAATATTTTTGAGCTGTGCGGCTAGTTGTCGGTCGTCTCATCGAGCACACCAGGCGTCAGCATGGTAGAATATGCCCTTGGAGCTATTGCTTGGCAGCCATTCTAGCATGTCGCCAATAAGAATATCGATCACTTTGATCCGACTAGGCAGATCTTCTCTCCTTGTTGGAATAACGCGCTAGTCAGCCACACAGAGGTGGCGGTGGTGGCGGTGGTGGCGCATACATCAGCCACACAGGTGGCGGTGGAGGCGCAGGGTACCAGATTCTATATAAGTGGCCTACGGCCACCTCTTTCTTCTACAGGCACATCAACAATCATCACTTGAACCATCAGTTTTTCGGCGTGCAGTTACGCCCTGTTGCTTCCAGTACCAGTACCTGGTGGCTCTAACACTCCTATTTCTCGCGTGGGTGACTAAAGCGACCAATCTAGAAGCTCTATTTGGCTGCATACAAAACCAGTCGTTTCCAGAATACGGATTCGGATGCGACGACTGCTGGTAGTTATAGGGGCAGGTTTCATTGAATAATAGGTTTACTACGGTAGAGAAGCCGGTTGTCAATCTCGAATGATTCAGCTGCATCTTAAATAACCAGACAGCTCTTCACTTGCTAGCCATTGCCAGCCCGTGTCTCGCTATGTAGTGTACAGACAGCTTCGACTTCCACAAATGGTAATGCGCTGACGAGACGAGCTACCAGCGGCATTGTACGACTGCGGCATGTCCTAGACGCGGCCTAAACCGGCGTGGTCGATATTGTGTGGTGAGGCGAGATTATCGAGTCGTCCATGGCCGTAATTAGATGAGCCATATTTCCTTCTTTTATGTCATCTGCTCGAGGAAGCTCTGCTCCAGGAGGACCTTTAATAGTTAGATTTATCACCCAAGTGAAATGGCTCATACCCATCACCACGCACAAAGTAACAAGTGAACACAGGCATTTGCCGCGGTACAGCAAACAGTTAAACAGTTGAACAACACTAAAATGAGTTATACTAGCTGACTCACGAACCTTGAATAGGTCATATTTTGCCGGTTCAAGCATGTCTAGGTATTTGGTAAGGTAAGTGATTCTTTATTTTCGATCGCTAACGACAATAAGTGTGTTTGTGGGGACGAAGCATATATGATAAAGGGAATATTATTTCTGCTAGTTTCTCGGGGTCTAATGTCAGTACCACTGTGATCATTGGTAATTTTCCCCTGGCAACTTCAATCAAGAGATTAACCAAGTCCAGTACATATGCTCCCACCCCCACAACCCCAACCCCCCCGGGGTATTAAATCACACCTCTCCCAACAACAGCACCATACACTCAATAAGATACTTAGTATAATTATGTAGCACAGTAAACATTCCCCTTTCGAGGCGCAGCAGTATGGCTCCCGAGCATTTGAGCCACGTGCCCCTCTTCTCGCAAGTGCCCTACCTTGCTCGTATTTACCCTACATGGGATACCCCTGTAACAGTGTACCGTTACGCCAGCAGACAAAAAAGATACCTGTTGCCTGGCACTCTGGGCAACAGCAGCTATATGGTCGCAACCTCCGCTACACGCCCCCCCTACTCTCTCTTTTGCATAAGTAACTAGACACTTTTCTTTGTAAATACCTTCAATCTATATCTATTTCTCAATGCAGTTCCTTAGCTTTATATTCTCCGTCAAAAATTAACTTCAGGGTGTCAGGGAGTAAGTAGTACATTCGGTAAACGAGCTTTCCTATCTCTCATCTCATCGTCATGGAACCAGACCTGCTCACGAAGCTCAGAGATGTGGGATGGAAGGTCTTGCTTCTTTTCTTGGCTCTTCATGCTGCCAGTGTTCTGAGCCATGTCCGAGGTATGCCACGTTCATCCCCAACTGCCATTTGCTGTGTCCCCGCCACCACCAGCACTGATGAGGCATTTCTCGACTACACCTTTAGCTTCCTCCATATCCGAACAGGATTCCTTGCGGCTCCCTTCCAGCTAAGCGATGTGTTTACTATCCCCTAATTTAACTAGACCTTTTCTATATAGAGAGAAGAGCTAAGTATGCGTTCCCTTTGTGACCATGATTATTGCCTCCTTCCACAGACAGATGAAGTTAAGAAAGACAAGTGAAAAGGCCCAAAACCACTATTCCTAATCCTCCCCATGGGATATTTTGACCTCTCTATGAATACCGATGGCTTTTTACTGTGTAGTAGAAATTTACATATTTTTACGTTGGAAAATGAATTTGTTGATAATTGGGGTTGTTCTTGAAGATGTTATCTGTTCGTGGTACTCAAACTACGTAGGGATCCTACAGGTCGAAGGGTTGGTAGATCTACCGGGGGTAATCTTGCGTCTCTCCTCTCTCCCTCTCTCTGCGGAACTAAGGTAGGTTCTGCGTGCGACCGGGGTTTTTGTGTGTGTGTGTGTGAGGTCCGCGCGCCGCACGTGCCTACTTGCACGCGCGTACTCGCGCGATCTCTGCTTCCTCCCTGCTAGTGTGCGGTCACCAGTATCGCTATTCCAACATTATCTGTTGCACGTGATCGAAGGTGACAGCGCATTGAATTGTCTGGTTAAATAGGTCTAAATGTGCAGAAAAGAACATTTCCTTATACTTGTTGAGAGAGGGCAAGGAAATTGTTGTAATCAGCCCAACATGAGGGCATTCCGAGGTCAAGAATGAAGGAAACATAAAGAATGAAGGAAGTACAGAGGCATGCTAGCCAGGGCCTGAAAAATGTGGTTCAACCCCTTGAAAGGTGGGTCAATTCCAGGCGGCATTATCGTTATCGAATTAAAATTACGCTCACAGTCAATACGCAACTATGGGAAAAAAAGAAAATACCAATTATACATATTTTAAACTGTCTTCCTGGAAATTCAACACAATAAAGTAACAACAATCATTGGATACATATGTATGCTTTCACTTATTATTGAAGCATGTCAAGGGGGAAAGTCGTTCTTTGGTAAATGCTCGAATCCGTCGCGTAACCTTATCCCTACAAATTGACGTCACATGCCGGGCGATCATTCAGGGGGGAAGGAGAAGAAAAACTCACCCCTTGCAGAAGGTTGCAGACGTTGCGGGGGAGGTGATATTTCGCCGCCAGTTCATCCAGTTCAATTTCGCATCCCTCGGCCAGGCCGCCTTCCCGTTTCCAGGTAAAGGAGTTACTGCGCGATGCGTGCCATTGGACAAGCGTACGGAGTCGGGATCGTGGGCGATCGTGTGCGCGGACTGCCTGCCACTCAATTGCAGCCCCCGCTTCTTCCGCTAGCGTGGGGAGGGTTGGCAAATCCTCTCGGTTCCGTCAACTGCACGTGCAAATCACAATAAGGTCTTGCAAAACCTCGTAACTCCGTAGCAGAGGTGAGACAGCTGTTCTGTGGCTGGGCATCTCCCTTTTAATTATATTTTTGTCGAGGTTTGTTTAGAATGCCTTGACTCGGAGACGCATCTTGAATTCCGCTTCGGTGGGGACACATGGACATAAGGCAGTGCTAGCAACAATGGCGCTGTGGACCTGGGACATCGATAAGCCCGTACATCTTGCTTTCGAAGCGTTCGAGAGGGATGCTTGATGTGTTCAAAACCTTGGACGCGCGCCTAGAGCTTACTATCAGCATCTCATGGGGAGCTCTACAGCCGGCCAGAGTTTGAAGGCTTTACCTCGGAGGAATCGGGAGGCAAATGCGGGGGTCGCGTCAAAACCCGACTGGGGAAAAGTCGCATGTCGGCTTCCAATAGTGCAAAAAGACCAAGAGGACGACGAGTGTGAGATATAAATATGTATGCAGGTAGAGTGAATGCTGTGCGCTGCACATCTATACCAATCCAAATCTGCATTGCATTGCGTTGGGCTGTCCGGACAAGGCGAGGTAAACATGGCAACTGTATCCCGACGAGTCGCGTTTGGATGCGTGGGGATCACATGTAAGAGAGCCCCTCTTTATTGTGGGCCAGCATTCTTCGCAGCCTCTGACTCGCCACGTCCATTACCCTGAAACGAGCTAAGTTGCCCTCTCGGTCAAGAAAAGAAGCAGCCACGGCCATAAAACACGGCATGGACGTCAAGAGCTAATTCGATGTCCCCTGCCGCTCTCAGCCTAGACCAAAACTGGTTGGCCATCTTTCCGTGCGGGAAAGAATGAACAGCGATGATGCCTGTCCACCGGGGGCGGCCTAGCAATTGAGGCTCCGTCCAGAAACCAGAAGAATCCCAGGCCAGTCAGCCGGCTTAGCGGCCAAGGGCGGAGCCGGCGCTAGGCGGTGGACAGCGGGCTCGATGACGCGAAAGCCTTACAGGCCACATAAAACCGCACTAACGGACGCGCTAGAGTAGATTCGATGACTGGAGGCGGCCGAAGTTGCAGCAGTGATATTCAGTGCCTTCTTTCAGCAATCTTGGCCGAATCCTCAAACCGGAAAGCGCGTCGGAGCTTAAATAGGAAGGGTTCTAGAACAAGAGGGGGCAAGAAAGGAAATTAACCCAAAACCACCGCTAATGCAGTAACCGATCATCAAGCTGCTGTCGCTTTATATTTATCCGATAAGTAATAAAGTGCCTGAAACTATGCGAGCTTTCCCTCGCTCGTTACCACTCGTACGACGAACCTGCAAGTTACACTGCACTGTGCCACTTGTGCTCTCCTAGGCCCAGTGGTAGGCCATCGTCTTAGTGAAGCACAGTGCAATGTTGAGACCCAAACGGTATGGGCCGGTTTGTGTGGGCCTGGGACGGACACCTAACCCAAAGGCGTTGGTCCGCCGGCACCTGCAGCTTGCCGTAAAATGGGTCCGCGGTCCTTGAATCGCAGATGGCCCCTCTTCCACAAGTCCCTACTAAGTAAGGATGCACGTCGTCGGCCTTGGATCGGCTTACCTGCATTACCCGCTTAGTGCTCACGGCACCGCTAGCACATGGCGACGTACTTCCCGAACTCCTCGATGCTGAGGACGACAGACGTGGGGGAAGCCTTGGCCTTCATCCGTTTTCTGTGCCTTCCCGACGTCCGGACCATCACACAATGCCCCCCCGACGCCAGGCACGCAGCTGCACGCCAACTCAAACTAGGTTTTATCCCGCTGCCACGGCCTTGTCACTGTCGCTGTCAAGTGTCAAGTATCGGGCCATCCTTGGCTACGGCACATGGCTCCTCAGGTTTCTCATGCTCCATGGCCCTCGCTGATCCACATATTTGATACCCCGCCTGCCCGCCGCAGCGCCGTCGAATCTATGCCATTACCACTAGATCGTGGATATCGGCTGCTGAGACGGTCTTCCCTAGAGCAAAATTTGAAACACGGGGCGGTCCCACCACTCCGCGCCCATCTCCTCGTTCGCTGCCGGGGACTCATTTCTTCCAATCTCACATCTCCGCCCAGCTGAGGGGACTGCTTGTTTCCTCTTGCCTCCAACATTATCAGTTTGGACTATGGGCACTGCCAGGAACAGACTTGCCTGTAGCTTGTCTCTCGTCCTCGTAGCCCTCGTCCTGCCATTCGCCACGAGCGCGGCAGAATCCACGACAACCCTCCAGGATGCCGCTGCCACTCTTCCCACCTGCGCCGTGAGTTCAACCGCCGGCGTGGTAGGATACGAGGAGGAATAACGCACACTGACACAGACCATCCACATGTCTAGCTCGTCTGCTTGGGCGACGCCATAGCGAACTCGACGTGCGCGGCGACCGACACGCACTGCATCTGCACCAACAACGGCCTGAACCAGAATGCGGCTGCTTGTGTCACTGCGGCGTGCACGGTGAAGGAGTCTCTCAGTTAGTCCACCGCCCAATCGAATCTCGTTTTGGAGACGAGTGACAAACGACGAGACCACGATGGCTGATTCCTGAGTACAGCCGCCAAGAACATTACATCACACCTTTGTGGCAACCAGGCCACCACCGATCATGCGATCATCCCCGTCGTCTCTGTGTTCCTCGGCCTGGCCGTTGTCGCCGTGGTCTTTCGCATCCTAGCTCGTGTCCTCACCAAAGCATACTTTTGGTATGACGACCTATGCAACTTCTTCGGCATGGTATGCTGTCACCACGCCTTTCCTTTGCGCCGTACCCATGCCCTCCCACTCGGCCTTGCACCGCTAAATCTAATCGCTCACCTGCAGGCCACATGCATTGCCTTTACTGTGCTGGTGATCCTTGGTAAGTCCTAACCTATGCTGTTCTGCCACCGTGCTGGTGATCTAACGGTTGGTGTCAAGGCGCACTCGATGGCATGGGTACCGACATCTGGTTTGTGCCCTTCGACAAGGTCACCTCTGTTCTGCGGGTAAGACGGGAGCGATACTCACGAGGCAGATCTGCCTTTTCTCATGGAAATAATGATCCACTAATCCTCCTCAGCTCTTCTTCGCCAATATGCTGCTCTACACCGCAGCTCGTTTCTTCATCCGGGCGTCCATCATCCTCTTCTACCTCCGGGTGTTCCCGCCCGGCAACGACAACAAGCTCGGCCGGATCCTGATCGGAACCATGGTCCTCAACGTTGTCTATAACCTGAGCTTCTTTCTCGCCGTGGTATTCCAGTGCAAGCCCATCAGCAGGTTCTGGACGCGATGGGATGGCAGCGGTGAGGCGCAGTGTAACAACATGGATGCCCTGGTATGGGCTGCGGCCATTACCGGCATCGTCTTCGACGTGTGGCTGCTCGCCCTACCGTTCCCGCAGCTGCTGGCACTCAACCTGCACTGGAAGAAGAAGGTTATGGGCGCCGTCATGTTTAGTATTGGAGCCTGGTAAGTACCTCCTAGGCTAGTCCTGCGCCAAGTCACGTCGTAGTCTCTCTGACCAGCCACCGCAGCGTCATGATCATTAGTCTTGTCAGGCTCAAGACCATCAAGCAATTCACGAGCCTTGCCGACCCGACAAGTAAGCCCCGACTAGTCCCCCCCTTTGTCGCGGCTAGACCATGCTACAGTCGCACCCACTAACCTGCGCTCGCACAGAGGACATTTCCCAGGTCACGCTGTGGTCCGGGGTTGAGATCTACGTCGGCGTCATCTGCACGTGCATGCCGAGCTTCCGGTTGCTGCTGCGGCGGCTGCTGCCGCGCATCGTCAGCGGCACGTCGGAGAACCAGAAGCACGAGCTGGACCGCATGTCGAGCGCGGCCGCCGTGTCGCGCGCCCGTGCCGGCAGCAGCGTCGTGCGCAAGAGCACCCACCACGTCCTCGAGACGCCCATGGACGTCAAGTACCAACCCAGCAACGACGACGAGTCGCGCGACAGCGGCACCGGCTGCACGAGCATCGCCGAGCTCGTCTCCGCCGAGCGCGACGAGGAACACGCTAAAAGATGATGAAGAAGAAAAAAGGAGAATGACGTATAGCGATATGGATATTTCTTTTAGGAGGATTTTTGCCTTAGGCTTCACCCGGCGCGGCGCTTTTACTTAGTATCACGACATCACGGCAAATATCAAACGTGGAACAAAAACATCATGTATATAAACGTAGCGGCATTGGTTTACATGTACCTACGTACCTATCTAGACGAATGATTTTCTCTTTTGAAGTTCGTTTCAAAGCCCGTCTTTCAGCCCGCAAGAATGCACCTCGTTATAATCACAGTGTAGCGACTCCTACTGGTTGATATATTTGCAAACTCGTTAGTGTTAATAAGATTCTTTGTGTTTTTCTGCATTTCTCAAGCCACCTACGTGGGCGCAATTTACGCTGCTTGTAGGTGGTCAAAACCAGCTATGGCACTCAATTGCCTGTCTTCAAATAAATAAAATAATCCACGCTTATGTCATTCTGTGGAGGTAGTAACAAAAATGTGCTTCATAGCGCTGAGCTCGGGGCCGTGGGAGCTGGGCCTCATGGCTTTGGAAGCCACTGGAAACGTGGATCGATCGCCCTTGTTCCGTGTTTCTTCCTGAATAAAGCCACAAAGTTCCTGGAAGGGCTTGAGCGACTTGTCCCTCGCGCTTTCCTCCATGTGTCTAAAGCTGCTTTTCCAAACTGCTTCCTAGGCCAAGGTTCAAAGCACAGATACGCCTCGTAATTTGGTGCACAACGAACTTTTTCTTCCGGGAAGGGCACCTCAACTATGACCTGCCCGTGTTTGGCGTTTTGTAATTTATTTCAATTTTAGGTGACTTTGTAAAATACTGTAGCGGCATCCTCCGAGGAAGGTTTGTTATACGTAGGTTTGATGTTATGGAGTTGACCGTTGGCGATGGCGATCACTCGATAGTTCAGGAGCAAAATGTACCGGGCGATCGCTAGGCAATAAAATTTTGCGGCCTTGCCGATCTCTAAATTTCACCAATTTTGGTGGATATACGACGCGATGTCCCCATGAAAGTCGTAAGTTCCTCTGCAGTCAGGCTCGTAATGGAAAGAGCTCTCCATATCATTACTGTGCAAAGCTGTGGCCCCACCTTTCTCTGTTCCTTCCCAAGTTGTAAGTCCACGCGCCCAGCTCTGAGTTTTGCTCTTTCTCATTTCCAATGGGCAATTCAGTCTCGATCCTGCCACTCTGGGCAGCAAAGCCATGAATTATTGGAAATCTTGACGGCCGTCACAACTGGACGTGTTCCCTGGGACTGGGAGGGTGTATGAATAACATGAAAGTATGACTACCCCAAAGATTGGAGGCACCTTCCGTCCACGGCACAGAGCGGTGGAAAAGACGGCGTGAGCTTGGGACCACTCCAAGCAGAGATTTTCTTCCTCTGGTATGTCTTCCATCTCGTTTCGCTGTCGGCGAATGTTTCTGGTTTCTTGTCCGATTTGCCGACTCTGCCAACTCTGATTCAAAATGGTCGAGACATCCACCCTTTTCTCTGCGGCCTGCCCGGCCTGCCCGGCCTGCGACATCAATTGCCCTGCCTGCCCTGCCTACCAGCCCTGCCCTCCCGTCGTCCTCCCAACCCCCTTGGCGCCAGCCCCCCGGCCTCAGCCGACGACTTCGCACGGCTGTTAATGGAGGTGGCGGCAAAATCCGCTCATTGGGCGAAGATCCAAGGGCTTGTCAGCATTTTGGGCGTTGTGATCATTTAGGTAGGGGTGCTCACCTTCCTTGATGCCGAGCTACGGCGGTGGATCACCCGGACCATCCGCCGTTTGGGCCGGGACCCAGCCGAGACCCCGGATTCGGCCCCCCCGGCCCCTCACTAAACCCCTGGCCTGGTCGCCGACATCGCCGACATGGAGGGCAAGGGTATAAATTCTAACGCGTCTGAGACTGTTGTGGAGGCCTCTAACTTTGTCTCACAAGCAGTCGGACGAGCACGATAGACATTCGGACAACTCGACAAAGGGCGACCAGGGCAAGCAGCTCTGATGCCGGGACGCGCTAAAGCGGTCATCTGGGAGGGTCCGAAGGAAAATGGGTGTGATATCGGGGTATAACCCATGGACACTGATCTTCCATTCCGCCAACCCCCCCTCCCCTCCATTCCGCATATCAACCCCCTTGGACCTGACGGCTCAGAGGGCCTGTTTACAGGCGAACTAGATGGTCGCCATTGTCACACGGTCCAAGCTTACCCGGTTGTGTCCTCTCACTCCTGGGCGTAGTATGGCTGTTGTGCTACTGGTTAGTGGCCAATGATCCGGGCTTAGCGCCGGTGAGCCTACGTTCCGAAAACCCTGTTCTTTCTGACATCTGCGGTATCTCCGACGGAGCTCTGCCAACGAGGAGGAAAGCAAGTCAAGAGGCGGACAGCGAAGCTGCACTCTACCCCTCCGCGTGGGGCTGTCTGGGTTCATCAAGACATTCGAGATGAAGCCAAGTGGAGGTCCAAAGGAGGGGTTGGATTCGCGACACAGGAATCGGCGAAGAGCAGCACGTACCGACTGAATGACTGATAAGTCCGGCGAAATTAAAATGGATACAGTCGAGATTGAGCGCAATCCAACGGCAAAAGGGCGTCAGGCTCTGACAATCTCTAAGCCTCGCTGCTCGCGTTCACGACAGAGCAGACAATGCGAGGCTCTCAGTTTGGCCAAGACGCTGCTGCTACTCTCTAGACACCTCTCGGCTACGATAAGCGGCTCCAGGGTTTGCTCTTTGCTCTAGACTCAACCAGGACCAGTGGCAAAATGTCCTTGCTTCAGTTGGCAGACCTCGTGGGATACAATCTGCCGCCGGTCGTGGCTGGGATTCTAGGATTCATTAAGTTGCGTCCTGCGGCCGCATTGGCACTGGCGGGCCTGAGTCAAGAGGCAACGGCCGCATCGTCTGACCACGGATCAGATCTATGGTTTGTGCCTTGCCACAAGTGGCGTTTCATCCTCCGTATGGCAACGGAGGTAGACATGGAGGCGACTAGTGGGATGACCGCAATCGGGGACTTTCTCAAGCGCAGCGGCTTGGGCGACAAGGTTCATGTGTCGGATGTATTGTTCACGGGAACCCGGGTGGCTGAGGCAGTACTCGAGACGCACATCCAGACAAAGTTCACTCTCGGGCTCCAGGCGACGCTAATCTTATGGGGCTGGGCAACAGCGGCACGTCGTTTTTGCGCTGACTATCACGATAAAGACCAATATTGGCAACTTTGAGGTTACTCTGGCTCAAGTGCGGTCATATGGCTCCAAATCTGGTGCGACTCCTGGGCCTGGCAAAGAAAGTGCAGGGCCGGGCAGACTGCTTCGCTTCTCTGTCTAAGCTGAAAGCTCTGCCTACCATTCTCGTGGTCGGTACCGTTGCCCCGCCGTTCGATCAGGTTAGCGTCGTCTGGATGAACCGTGACATCTCGCCGGCCGAGGTGGAAGTGTTGAATGTGGACGTGACGCTTTTTGCCGCGGCGGCGCTCAATCTCGCGCTCTAGACCGAGCACTTTGGCCCTATGAATTTCTCGGCAATGCTGTCGCTGCGCGGGCCGCCGCGGGCCGCCGCTGGCCGGCGAGGCCAAGCTGCACCTCTGGCGGTGGAACATCGAGGTGCAGGCCCGCATGCCCGTAATCAAGGCGAATATCAGCGGCAACACGGGGGAGCCGAGAGCGAGCATCGTCTCAGACGGGCAGGGTGGGATATTGACGACAAGGCTGTTTGCACGGCCGATGTAGCTGACGCAGGAGTTTGGCGCGTCGGAGTTGGTGATCACTCTGAAAGGAAAAGGAGGTAATGAGGTCCCGCTCAATGCGCAGCCCGTGGTCAAGGGGGTGCCCCCCGCGCGAGGGAGGGAGTGTGAGTACGGCATTTTCTTGTTGCCCTTCTCTCATAACATATCTCCCAGCTCTCTTCTTCATCTCTCCATGCTCTCTTATTCATCCCTCTCAGCTCACTTTTTCAAGCCTCTCCCGGCTTCGTACTTGTGCCAGCTCATACCCCGTGCCGGCTCATACCCTGTGCCGGCCATACCCTGTGCCGGCTCATACCCTGTGCCGGCCATACCCCGTGCACTTAAACTAACTCATGTGTATCTGCAGCCGTCAGCAAGCCCGACCTGTCGGCCCCCATGATCCCCCTTACCATGGGGTATATCCTCACAGTGCGACAGAAGGAGGCGAGCCCGGAGAATCTCCCCACCATTAACCTCGACGAGTTCAATTCAGTTGACGTCGGAGAGGAGCCGGGGCATGATATCCCGCCGATTCTACCAGTAGCGAGGCTGAAAAACAACGGCCGGCTCCTATTAATGGTCGACATGGTGGTTAGAACGAAGGGGGATGTGGGGGAGAAGAGGAAGAAGAGACAGAGACAGAGAGATGCAGTGGCGGCCTGGGATCTCTTCAAGAGCATGTGCTCGGGCGGCGGGGTTGGGAGGGAGAGTAAGCCGCCTAGAATCTTTGAAGCGGCGAGGGCTTTGACTGCGAGGGCTTTGACTGCGAGGTAGTGTGCGTCGTGAGTTTTTGTTTCTGGCTGGGAGCAGAGGGGTTCTCTCGGGCTTTCTCAGGTTCAATGTGGAAATATGTTGTCCAAACTCTAGAACCAACGGGCTAACTCCTGGGTACCTTGCTTTCGAAAATCTTTTTGGACCCCTGATTTTATTTGTCCCTGCCACTCAACGCCTGGAAGATGGCATCAAGAACGCCCTTCTCGGGCCTCATGACCGTCTCGTGGGTCGTCCCCGGCATCGTCCGACTCGTGTAGTCAATGAAATCCGCTGCGTAGGTTTTCCAGCACTCGTCAAACCACTCCGACCCGCGGTTTCCCGACGTCTTTTCCTGCTCGGCGAAATACACATCGACCGCCAGCCTCGCACTCTCTTTGTCTATAGCACCCTCCCTCTCTCTGAGCAGCCGCAGAAACCCGTCATAGTCGTCCCAGCCGCCCCAGATATTCCCACCACCACTATCGTCACCTTTCGCCCCCGGACCCCCGCGCAGGCAGAACAGCGCCTCCTGGCTGACGCCCGCGACGTTTTCCTCAAGCGCATACTGCAAGATCTTCTCGTCGATGGCTCTTGTTAGGGGATCCGTCTTTTTGTCCGCTAGCTCGACGCCCGGCCGCGCCGTGCTCGGCCCCAGCATCGCCGACGCGCCCGCCCGCGTTATTGCTTTTGTGGCGTCGTACCACCGCCGCACGGCCCAGTCTGGGAGCGCGGCGGCGACTGACGCTTGGAACGCCCCGCTGTCAGACGGGTGCACCCACGGCGCGGCGAGCGCGATGTAGGGGTGCTGTGGGTGGAGGAGGTGACGCAGGTGCAGGGCGGTGTGGAGCGCGTAGATGGTGCCGGAGCTGTGGCCGAGGATGGCGATGTGTGGGAGGTGGAGGTGGGAAGCGAGGGCGGTGATGATTTCTGTTTTTGTTTGTCAGTATCAGCTGTCTTGTCGGTCGAACTGACTAAGCCACTCTCGCGAATGTTATCTGGTAGCCAGCCCCCTCAACTATGGATCCCCCTTTACCATCGTACGGGGAGAGATAACAGATACACGGAGAAACCACTCACCAAGCCAGACACCCATCTTCCCCTCGACGCCCACGCCATCTGTCCCGCCAATCCCCGGCTTGTCCGGCACGAGCAGCCGCACGCCCCGCGCCCGCGCCAGCTCGTCCGCCAGCGCCAGCGTGTACCGCGAACCGAACAGCCCGCCGACCGACACGAGGGCGGTCCCGTTCGGGTCGCCAATGTCGGCGAATGCTACGCTCAGCGGTGTGCTGCGGTCGCGGCAGTGAGAGGGGGGGATGGTGAGTGTCTGGTGGAAGCGTGCGTCGGCGAGGATGCGTGTGGCTCTGTGGTTGGGTTTGTTAGCTGTGCTCCTTTGGTTAATGGAGAGGCCGAGGCTGGGTTGGGTTTACCTACTCCTCCTCTTCTGGGGACATGGGTGGCGGTTGTGATTTGATGATGTTCATTTTTTTCGGGAAACTGGAATAGTGGAATTTGAATTTCTCGTGCGTGTCCAGTGTTTTGATATTCAGACAGGGAATTGTCGTCTTTTCTCAAATTGGGAGTAATTATTATGTGCTGGAAAAGTACCCTTTTTGAGGGGTAAAAAAATTGCGTTGTCGTTGATCTTGGCGCGCAACGTTTGAAAGCCAAAAAGCTTGAAAGTGGCTTGTCGGGGAAGGTTGAGAAGAGTTGCACCTTGGGTTTGATTATTTTGGCATGACGTCATCTGTCCAACCTTGGGTTTGTCGCAGGAATATTTGCGGTGGGTCTGGCTTTGAACCCCTTTTTCTTCAATTTTACTACAAGCATTTGCTGATGCATTATTTTGACAACAAAATTTGCATCGTCAGTTCTTGGTTTCCGACCAATCTATTGGCACGCAATAGTTGGATCTAGGGGAGAGGTATAAACGTATGTTTAACTCGTTCGAAGTTCAGCAAGTTTCCGGTTTTTTTGCTTGCTGAAAGCCTGAATTTATGCAAGGTTGCTTTGCTAGAAACGGAGCTCTGGATCCACATCCTCCCGCTTTATAGAGCACATGAATGGAACCAATGCTCCTTTATTTACAATAGCCCTTGCATTGAATCGGGGTCCCGAGGTCTCATAAGTATCAAGTGAAGGATAGGGAGTTTTGGATGCCGGATGGCCAGATCGAGGAAACGCGTGACAATCTGCCACTTAGGACAATGACATTAAAGTACAAGGGATGTCTAATCACAAGAGTGGTAACGTTTAAAAAGATTCAGATCTCGGGGCTGTGAGTGGACAGCCACTCGTGCCAGGGTTAGTGAGAGCGAATGAAGCCACCAAAGGCTAGGTGGGGATATCCTATTGATATCTTGCGAATCACCGAACAAAGCATTGAAGAATGCTCTGTTAAGGTACATGATCATTCCCGGATCCGTCTACATGCTAGTCTAGTTTTTGAATGGGAAATGGAACGAAATAAAAGTCAATGTCGGTCCTTCCGGGCTCTTGGGAAATGCAATCGCTGTGAAACTCCCCCTAATGCCAAGCATACCCCCGTAGAGCGCCCCGACGAGCACTACCCTCAAATCTCATCGAATCTCATCGAATCTCATCGAACCTCACCTGGGGAAACTCGCAAAAACCTTCTCCCGCACCATTTGCAGCGCCGCTCTGGCCTCCTCGACTGCCGCCTCCCGCACCTTGACCTCGACGTCAACTTCCCTCCGCCGCTCTGCCGCCGCAGCAATCTTGTCGTCGACCACCTCGACAGCGCGCTGCACCTCGCCCTGTGACCGGCGAATATCGTCCATGCCCGCATCGTCGGTCCCCCAGCTGCGAAACGGCCCGCCGCCGCCGCTGCCCTGCCCAATGACCACCTCAGGCAAGTCGCCGACGAGCGGACTCAGCTCCCTCACATCGATCAGCTTCATGCGCGCCCTGACGACAGCCATCCTCGCGCGGCCCAGCGCGTCGTGCTCGAGCATGTCGGCCACGACACCATTGTTAAACGGATGCCGACGCGAATAGTGCAGCGCCTCGTCGATCGCCTTCACCGCGGCGCCGCTCACGAGCTGCTGCACCTCGCCGAGCATCGCCGCGGCCTTCTCCTCGGCCGCCGCGCGCTCGACCGCCGCGCGATGCGCCTCCTGCGCGGCAATATGCTTCTTCCTCGCCGCCACCTCGCCCGGAAACAGCGCCCATGTGCCGTCGTTGAACACCGTCCCGTACAGCGCCTCGAGATCCTGCTCCGCCTGCGCCCGCCGCGCCACCTCACGCTGCAGCTCGCCGAGCGGCTTGTGCGCCGCGTGCAGCTGCGCCCTTAGCGCGGCGTTGGCATCCGTCTCGCGCTGCGCGAGCTGCAGCGCCGCCACGTACTCGGCCTCCTCGGCGCGCGCCTGCGCGTCGAACTTGGCCTTGCGGCCGGTCGCGCTGTATGCGAAGCGCTTGACGCGCGAGTCGCGCAGCCGCGCGTGGTCGAGCTGTTCTTTTTGCGCTGCGAGGTCGAGGTCTTTGACGCGCGCGTCGGATGCTGTGATGGCGGCTTGCAGCGAGGCGAGTTCGGACTGGTTTTGGGCGAGTAAGGTCGCGGCGCTGGAGGTTTCGGCGAGGATCCGCTGCAGGTCTTTGCTCTTGGCCGCGGCTTCCTGGACGCCCGGTCTCGCTGCGACTTCGGGTTGTGTTAGCTAGCTTGCGCTTGTGCCTCTCACCTCACTGGAAGGCTTGAGGGGGGCCGCACAGAGCTTTGCTGCCATCTTGCTGGAAGGGCTGAGATTGATTACGTGTTTGTTCTTTTCACGGAGTGAGGTGACGGACGTGGCGGGGTGTGACAGGTGATTGTTTGGTTGAGTCTTTGGAATGCTGATGCCAGAGCGAGCTTCAAGGCATCATGGTCTGGATTTCGTTTGACCAAGCCACCAAAGGCCAGGTGGGCATATCCTATTGATATTTACGTTTGGTGCAGCAAGAGCAGCAAGCCGACACCAGTGCCAAGAAAAGAGGCGTTTTGGGGCTTTCAGCCCGCGGAGATGCAGGCACCAGCACAGCCCGACAGAGGACTTGGCAATTGTCATCTCAGCTCGGGTTTCCAGTCCATTTCGGGCCGCGGCTTGCCCTGTTGCGGCAATGTTTCTGGTGACGCTTGGATTGCCGCTCGCCCTGCTGGCTTTATACAGTTCTGGAATCCTTTCTTTCCGGTGACCTCACGGCGAGAACTCCGCCGAGTGACAGTAATAATGACGGGGTACTGGTTAATTCATCGAGATTACGGCAACCAACGACCTTCATGCCCTAAACCGAACTAGGCAATCCCAACAACTCCCCTCTTTCGCCAATCGGCCAGATCCCTCACGGTCTTTCTCCTGTTTCCATGACCTTTGAGGAACGAAGGAAGGGACAAAAAGTCGCAACGAAGGACAGACCTGCGCGAAAGAGGCAACCAAAAATACCCTGAGCGTGAGCAGAGCCTTGCGCGACATAACTACGAGGGGGGACTGGGAGCGGCCCCTTTTCTGAGGGATGCCGGACTTTCGCTTCAATGGATTTCTTGCTCCTCGCTTGAGTCTTTCCACTTCTTCTCGTCACACCTGCCTGTCCGCACCATGAGATGCAGTTGAGACATGCCCGGCATTTCAAGCTACTAGACATGAACAGAAGCACGGGGTGTCTTTCCCCGCGCTCGTCGATTCACTCGTGGCTGTTTCCGCCCTCACACGACACAACCTTTGGTGGGCTACCACGTCACACAGCCCAGCTTCACAGCCCAGCTTCACAACCCACTTCACAACCCAACTTCACAACCCAACTTGACTACGCTGTTTGCACCGCTTAATTATCGGGCGACGCGACATCGCTGCAAATATGTCGAGCAGTAGACTGGAGGATACCAGACGAAATCTCCGGTCGTCATGCAACCAAGAAGGTCATCGAAAGATGGTGGCACCACCTCCGCAGCTGACTGTGCGCTACATCACGCAGTGGCAATTTATGGCGTCGAGCTGAGCTTCGACACTTGAAAGGAAGCCCAACTGGAACAAAATCTGACCATCGTCCCCAACGGCTGCCAGATTAGGCCATACACTTCAATTGACACCACTTTTGCCGGATCCGACGGCCGAAACAAGCTAAGTTACAGTGGGCTTTGAAGAAGAAGGAAAAGAAGGAAAAACAAAGCGAAAAAAAAAGAAGGGAAAAAAAAGGGAAAAAAAAAAAAAGAAAAAAGATCAGTTGATAATCACACCATATACGCATGAAGATGCTGAGTACCACGTATAAAGGAATGCAGCGGATCCTACTAGTAATAGTTCAACATGCCTTCCCGCTCGCCTGGTATTGTACACCTTTGCCATTTTCACCCCGGAAACGGTCGTCACGTCCGTACTGTCTCAACCGATCTTCATACCTATTTCCGCGATGGAGTCGCCATGGCATTCGGCCCGCGAGGGAGGGAGTCGTGGGAGTATGCCACCGATTGCTCAAATTCTCAGCAAGAAGGAGTCGGATCCGAACATTGACCCTGAGCCATGTGAATTGCCTTGGTGCAAAGCGTGCTCGGAATTGTTTAGCAAAGGTGGGGGCTTTCGAGTTTGGGCTCTGATGTGAGTTTCCAGGAAGCTGATGGGTAGCTTTGCCGCAGTGCCCTTCATCCGGGGACCAGAGGAAAAGCTGCACCGATCATCTCTAGAGACTTGCGACAAGTGCAGATCGGCCTTTGAAATGGGCAACTACGAGTGCCTAGCTTTCGGCCTCGCCAACTATCACATGGCGTTGAAGTACGGCCTGGACCTAGGGAATTCGGAGCCTCCCAACATCCGCTGCGCATTATGCTCGTTCCTGGTGATCCTGCGCTGCTCGCGAGGGCTGCGTTCAGTCCCGGACTGGCCCCCGGCCGGCCTCACGGTAGACGATTTCCTGAGCATGGAACTGCCCGCGCCTTCTCAGATGTGGAACATTATCCTCTACTCGTCGGAGCCTTGCCATGACAAATTCGACCACTCCAACTTGCCAGGCCGCCTTGTCCCCAGAGATCAAATTGATATGAGCATGGTTCGAGGGTGGCTGCACAAATGCGAGGCCGAACACGGCGCTGCATGTAATGCGGCATACCTGGGCCGAGACTTGCTGGCGAGTGGACAGCTAATTCTCGTCGACGTGGTCGACAACTGCCTGACACGCTCGACCCCGGGGACGAGGTACCTCACACTCAGCTACGTGTGGGGCCAAGTTGCACAGCTCAGACTGCTCACCTCTAATACATCGAGGCTGTTTACTCCTGGTGGACTCTCCCGGGAACCAATCTCTACCCCCAAGACGATCCGCGACGCGCTCCAAGTTGTCCGGCAAATCGGCGAGCGATACATCTGGATCGACGCGCTCTGCATTGTTCAGGACAGCGCCGAGGACGTGCAAAGGCAGCTGCCGCGCATGGGTTCCATCTACGGCGAGTCACTGGCAACCCTCATCGCAGTGGACGGGACAAACGCGGACGAAGACCTGCCGGGCGTCCGCCCCTCCACCAGAAAACCCATGCTCTATCACCGGTGGACGGATCTTGGAATAGATATCGCACACAGGCCGACGTTCCGGCAGACAATCGAGCGCTCGCGCTACAACACGCGCGGGTGGACGTTCCAAGAGCGTCTGCTCGCCAAGCGCTGCATCTTCTTCTCGGCGGGCGAGGTTTCCTTCCAGTGCTGCGAGCAACTCTGGTTCGAAAGCATCTGGGAAGACGCCGATAGTCACTCGAGCACCACCCTGCCCGACCTGGTCAACGTGATGACGCACTGGAGTCTATTGCCAGCGACGGATGTCGACGCCCAGACGCTGTTCAACAACTATTACATCGACCTCGTCCAGGGGTTCACGGAAAAGACGCTCGGCAATCCCGAAGACGTCCTGAACGCGTTTGCAGGCATCGTAGAACATGTCACCAAGACGACCAAGACGACCTTCCTCTGCGGGCTGTGCTCGCCCTTGACCGAGAGCCTGCTGTGGTATCACCCCACGAGGGCGCCGTCTCGCCGCGAGGCGGGAGTGCCAGGCCAGTTCCCCTCGTGGTCGTGGGCGGGATGGAAGGGGCCGGTCCGGTACGACAGCTTCTCCCACCACCCCATGTACCGACGCATGCTCCTCCGCAAGCCCGACAGCCGCCGCTGCTACACCATCGACGCGTACCAGCTGATCGCCGACTCGTACCAGGGCCCGGGCCGGCCCGGAGAGGGGGACCTCCCCGACATGGACCGCGACTTGGAGGAGACGACGCAGGTGATGCTTGCGATGCTGGCAAGCGAGACGCGCGCGAACGTCCTGTACTTCTGTGCTGTCGCGTCGTCGGCCTGCTCCTTCACCTACAGAGACGAGGAGATCGAGTCCAAGGAAAGGGACGGGGCTACAGAGGAGCGAGTAGTGGTAATATCCGACACAGGCAACGAGTGTGGATATCTGTACGGGTTGAGTTGTCGGCTGCTACAAGGCGCAGGGACGAAAGGGCCGTGGCTGCTGGTCCTCCTCGCAGCGCAAAGGCACAAGTGCGCCGTGTGCAATCCCGAGGCAGATGATGGGGATAATTATTCGTGGTGCCGGAGGAAGGTCTTGTTGGTACGACGCGACGATAATGAATACTGTACCAGATGGGGCGTCGGCTGGGTGCACTACACGGAGTGGGATGCAGCTCGACTCTTCAATCTCCTTGTTCGACTGGTGTAGATGACCTGTTGATGTATATTACCAGGTGCCTACCTACATGTGAGGCGCGATCTAGGCCAGCACGTTCACTCCGCCGACCTGGTCCTTGAGAGCTTCGACGGCAGCATCGCAGTTGGCGTGGTTCATGTCCCAGCCGCACCCGCACCACGTCGTCATGACGTCGTACTAGGCTTAAAGTTCCCAATCCTTGCACTCGAACTGCAACGGTGTCGGATAGTGGAGACGAATGAGATAATTTCGGAGGATCAATAACTGTAACTTAACGAAACTAAGTATCCCGCGTGACTAATTATGTCCCTGCTCCACTCGTGTGGCTGGTTGGTGATATTCCGATCGTATTGGTTGGTTGTGATAGAAATAATCGGTATTCTTGATGAGGATACGCGTTTCAACCTCTGCCATTAGATTCGAGGTCGCTTGCAGTCAAGTTACACTTGGTCGCGTTATTTCGAGACGAAGCCGAGCCTTCCGGACGCATTGTCTTGGACGCCCACATCCATTGGCGTGATTCGTCTCGGTCCAGAACCTCGCTTGACATATATTCACGCAACTGAAGAGATCCTACACATTATGGTCATGATGCCTGGGGCCTTTGATTTCGTCGAGACACAGTTCTCGAATGCGAAGCGGTGACCCCAAAATTCGACACCAGTGGATTTCTTTTCCATCATTGGCGTCAAAGCGGTAGCAACAGCTCCTTCGGCATCACCCATGCCAAGAACAAAGGGCGAGCTGGGCTAAGTGTGTCCCCGACATGGAAACTGGATTACCCCGAGCCCAAGGCCAAACATAACCACGTCAACTGAGAGTTAGCTCTCACGAACACGCTTCCCACCGCAGCCTCGTGATGGACATCAATTACCTATCACAGGGGGAGTTCATCTGTCGCTATTACATATCCGGTTAGCCAAAGCGCTACTCGGCGCAAGTGACTGCCTGTTGGTGCCAAAGAGAGTTAGCCAACGGCAGGACCGAAGGCGTACAGCCTAGAACAATACAAGGTCCGCAACAGTACTGAGTAGTTGCCCCAAAAACTTCGGTTAGGTGGTGTCTCGCGGCCTTGTTCTCTTGATGCGATGCATTCCCTCTGCGTACGGAACCGTCTGGTGCGAGAAAGGATATGCCTATGCTGGTAAGGGCGTCATAATGCCCGCCGACGTAAGGTTCGTCGCTTGTACTGAGTAGCGACATGCTGCCGAGGAGTGATGCGGTGTTGCTCGAGCTTCTTCCGTGGGTAAGTGGGAGCTAAAATTGAACTTTTGTTAGAAACCGCTGCCGTGGTTGCGTAGGAAAAACTCTAACCGTAAACCCTATTAAAGGACGTCCGCAGAGAGGAAGGTTTCTTCGGCAACGCAACACCCGACTTGATGACCGAAGTTGAGAAGAAAAATCGAACCCTCCGGGAACGACTTGCTCGGGAACAACTTGGTGTGCGACGCTGAGACCGTCGGCTAGAGGGGGAGCCAGGCGCGAGGCCAGCAGCAGGGCAGGAAGCCGGAAAAAGGGGGTTAGAGGGTATGGGGCGGCCCAGCAGCGGCTCTGGATTGTCGTTGGCCACAAAAAGATTGCTTTTCTTAAAAACAAGGAGGCGACGGGCGTCTGACCAAGATGGAAAAGCGGATGAAGGGCAACTGAATAATTATTGAGGAGGACATGGCGTACGAATAAAACGGAGTGGCACCCTCTCCCCCCCTCGTTTAACAACCTGCTTACTTCCATTACGAAAGCTCAGGATTAGGAGCGGTCTTTCACATTCGGAATGAATGAGGCTTCGGATTTCACAACCACTTAAATCGCATAGGAGTATCTCACTGCGGAAAACGGCTTCGGCAAGCCAGTGTATTTGCTCTTCCGAATTTCCATAACCAATATTACCCTCATCAGGTCGGACGTGATCAACACTACCCTTATACTATTTGGGTCCTGCGACGTGTCATTCCAGAATGAGGTATATGGAGAAAAGGTTAAAGATTCAGATTGTATAGGCAAGACAGTCTATGAAGACTCGCACTTCTTCGGCCAAGTCGATACGTCAGCCATCCTTATCCAGTACGGCCTTGGAGATGGCCGATCCAACACCAGCTCCGAAGCGCTCGATCAATCGGCATGGGAACGGTTCTTGCACAACTCGGACTGCATGGAAATCCCCCCGAAGAGTAGCTAGCTTAATAATCAACCTCCAGACCACCCACCTACCGATTATCGTCTTGTTATACGACGTATCTTAACCTTGCCAATTTTAACGAAAGCCAGGTGCAGGCCGCAATAGAAGGGCAGTAGGGAAAGGGTATACGGAAAGTGCCCCCCAGAAATCCTCCAGGACCCTAGTATTAGGCTATCTCCCAAATACAGCCATTGGACGAGTATCAAGAGTCTCGATGTACGACCATTACACCCTTCGTCTCCCAACGACGTTTACCCTTCGTCTCCCAACGACGTTTGCTCTTCATCTCCCAACGACGTTTACCCTTCGCCTCCCAACGACGTTTACTACTAGTAAAGGTTGAACACGTGGCAACCTACACACCCAGCTCTGCTCACAGAGAGAGGGCATTGTAGTGGCCGTCGTGTGGGCGTATTGACCGTAGGGGTAGAGTTTTCGCTTCGTGGATCTCTGGACTGGGCAACTCGAGAAGGGCAAAGAACCGGCACACGGCCACAACGGTCAACGGAGCCGGTTGAATCTCCAAAACTCAGAATCTCACTCTTTTTGCTGTGATCAGAGGGCCAGACAGTCACAATCATGAAGATGAGGCCTGTGTTGGCTGCCGTGGCAGGCAGGAGAGGTCAACGCAATACCATTCTCGTCTATCCATCTCCCTCCTTGAACAAGTCCCAAAAACCGATGAGGCCGCGAGACCGAAGATAACCGCCGTGCCAAGCCAAAACTCTCACTTCCCTTTGCCCCAGCTCAAGGTATCTTACAAATATGCATTTCTCGTCGCCAGTATTACGACTAGTGATGGATGTCAGTATTCCCAAGCCGAAGGAGGACAAATTGTCTATAAAGATGTGAGCGGTGGCTATTGCGGATTCTCATGTCCCGGTTCTAGGCCCCTGCTTATACGGGGGCCATTTTTGGGCTTTTCGGTAAAAACTACTGCTGCGTGCTGAGTAGATACTAGCCGAAGCTGAGCCGGGGCTGATCTGGATTGATCAAGTGTGACAAATGATCACGTAACTATACGCATGGGTGGTCGTCGATTTTAGGGTGGTGAAACAAGCCGTGTAGGGCAAGGGAATCCCTTGCAAAGGACCCCATAGGCGCTTGTACTTCTTGTTATAGGATTCAAAACGGTTGTTTTGTGACGATATGCATGAGCCTAAATCTCCTGTTGTTAGTATAATGGTAAACCCATCACCGGGCCATCAGTTAGTATAATGGTAAGTCCATCACCGGACCATCATCTCTACTACAGCCACGAGTGTCTGTCAACAGCAGCGGCGCCCACCTTGTCACCCCATCCATGACCGACCACGCCCAGCCGATCAGCCAGCAGAAAGACGCCAGCTCCCTAGACCTCGAGCAAGAAATCTCATCAAGCAAATACTACAGCAGGGCGGAGCTTCATGTCTATACGCTTTGATGGCGTGGTGTTACTGTGTGCCGTGTTTGACCACAGTCAATAAGCTTCAGGGGCGGCTGGTAAGAAGGGGTGTAAGTTCCTTTGTATCTTTGCAAAGAAGGGGGACACGGAGAAAATAATCTCGTCTAATTAAAGAGCCTTTTGTATTTCAAGGTTGCCGAGCTACTTTTCACTTTAATAGCCTTTTGGTGAGATTATTATGAGATTTCCCTTTCGGCATTCAGCTTACCATTCACCCGTTGGAGGCAATCAAGATTCTCTTTTCCATTATCACCCTGCATTTTACATCACCCTGCATTTTACATCGCCCTGCATTTTACATCGCCCTGCATTTTACATCACCCTGCATTTTACTTTCATTTACACCTGACCGCTTTTGAGCCGCCCAGCACTTTCCAACTCCCCACCCGCACCTACTCATTAAACAGAGCGTAGTTGGGCCCGTTGCCAGCACCGACACCCACGACAGCGTGCGCGACAATGTTGCCCAGCAGGCCTGTGGCGGGGTCGCGGGCGATGACGACGACGCGGTTGTCGTCCTGCAGGGCCGAGGCGACGAGCGTGCCGGCCTTGTTGAGCGAGAAGCCGCGCGGGTTGACGCCGCCGGCCGGCGCCACCTGCGCCAGCTTGAGCGCGCCCGTCGCGCCGTCGATGGCGAACGACACCAGCGGGTCCGACGGCAGCGCCGTCGAGTTGCCCGCGTCGAAGTTGGGGATCGTCAGGCTGCTCTCGCCGCGCGACGACAGGATGACGAACTTCTGGTCGGGCTGTGCGGAAAAGATTAGACTGCTGAACGTGTCAGGGACGTAGGGGTGAAGATAAACCCACAGAGACGACCAGCTCGGCGGCCTTGGTGCCGGCGGGGACCGTGCCGCCCGGGCCGTGCGTGCTGAAGTCGAAGAGGCGGGTGAAGGCAGGGCCCGACTTGTTGTCGTACGACACGCTGTAGCCGGTGATGGTGTTGGACAGCTCATTGACATTGTAGAAATACGTGCTCTTGCCAGCCGTCGCAAAGGCGCCGTGTCTCGGGCCAGACCCGGGAACCGCCTTGACTGGCGTCAGCTCGGTGACGTTCTTGGCGCAATTGCTAATCTTGTAGATGCGGAGCAAGTCGGCACCGAGGTCTGTGGCCACGAGATATTTGCCTGTCGGGTCGAGAATGGCATCGTGGATGTGGGGGACGTCCTGGCGGTCGGGAACGGGGCCGGGCGAGGCGAGTTTGTACGTCTCTTGCTGCTGCAGAGCCAGTTTTGACGGATCGGCGACGGAGAAGGTGATGAAGGACGAAGTGTCGTAGTAGGCAACAGCCAGCCCCGTCTTGTTGGGCCCAAACAGGGTCGAGGCCACGGGGCTCTTGAGGACCGGCAGGACATCCAGCTTGGACAGGGCGCCGCCAGTCGTCTTGTACGACGTGATGGAGGCGGCGCCGCCCCAGCCCTCGTTCAGGCAGTAGAGGACCGACTTTGCGTAGTCGAGGGTCAGCCACGTCGGCTCAGACCCGCAGTCATACGACTTGGCCACGACGGCAAGCGACGACGCGTTCAGGCTCAGCGTGTAGAGCGCATGGTCGTTATACGAGGTGGCGAACAGGATCTCGGCCGAGGCCGGAGCTGCCAGCAAGAGCGACAGGAGCCCCTTGGGCGTCATGATTCCCACCATGTTGGATTTGAACTGTGCGCGCTTGGGAGTCGACGGGAGCTCGACTGGAGACGAAAGGCAAGGACGGGCAGCCGGGCACAGATGGGCCAAACACCACGACACGACAGCTGGGGCCTGTACCTATGTGTATTAATGCTGATGTATAGCTTGGCTTTTCCCGCCAAGACGGCCAGAGTCGCAATTTCAATTTCGGTACCCGTAAAGTGCACCCTCCCCGCCTAATGGGGAGACTTAAACCGCTCCTGCGTCCCATTTAGCCGTCGACCCCGTGGCCTGCCACCCCCGATCCCCCAGCCTTCCGGATTCGTACCTGGACGAGGCGGTTCCATGCTGCCTAGCTTCCGCCGTCGGTATCCACACATGACCGCATGCTGTAGCCATGGACCTCAAATATTGCGGAGTCGGATGCAGCGAGATCATCTTCCCCTCACTTGCCTGTCGTGTCTGAAAACTGCGCAAAAACAAAGAAACTGCACAAAAACAAAAAAAGGGCTGGCCGCAGTGGGGGAGCCAGAAATAGGGCATTCAGGGGTAAATTGTATCCAGCAAAATCTCGTATGGCAGTACGGACCGCGCCACTGGGGTCCCGCGGGGACGGTCGAGGCGTGGTTCCGCAATTTGGTCAGACATTGCGGCTAGCACGTCAGCTTGTCGGGCCATGGTGAACCGCGCCGGCTATTCCGGCCCAGCAGGCAGTCTGACCGGGAGCGGCCCACCAGGCGCCACTCAACGGCCGTCAGACTAAATCCACCACTACCCAGCCCCGCTGCCGCTGCACCGTTGCTAGCTTAGTCTCTGGGAACGACATGCCTGTCTGCCAGGGGCCTAAGCGAGTGCCAACCGGGGCAACGAGACGCGCGGGGTCGACTGCGTGCTACTACCCACGCGGGGTCGATTGCGTGCTACTATCCACGCGGTGCCGGGGAGCGCAGATGATGCAGGTACTGCCCGCTAATTAACGGTAGGGAAGTCACGTCAATCCTGCTGCAGTCCGCAGAGATCCGAAGTCCTCTCAGGGCAAGCCCATGTGAAAACGAGATAATAACCAGGTAAATTTTGAGTCTGTCAAGAGAGTGCGTTTGTCGCGGCAAGTCCAGAGCCAATCGTGATTAAAATCTGACGAGCTTTCCTCTCTCCAATGAGTGAGGTCAGCGACCACCAATAGCGAGAATAATTTTCGAGGTCTTGTATCTTGGATATCCAGCGACTGCTCCCGAGTATGGCGTCATCTTTGGCTGGCTTGCTTGCTTGCAGCTTCGAGATCCAATTTCCAATGCGTCAATCCGGGACCCGAGATTGTCGTCCTGGGTTATCATTCAAAAAAATAAGAATAAAAAATACTAAATGAGAAAAGCCCAGCAATCCCTTCACACGGCTGCCGGTTGGAAATCGGGATTTTCTCCCAATGCTCCCATCAGTCGCCCTCAGAGAAAGTGAGAGTGCGACCAGACGCCCGACCGTGGCATCAAGTGCTGGTGGGTAACTAGACGTAATACTTGGCAGGGAGCCAGGCGCGGTCATGTATATGATGATGAATCTCGCATATATGGGCCAAAGGCGTAATGCCCGTGGTTTCTCCAGCTAGAATTCCTGCTCTCCGGATCACTCGCGCCGTGTCAGCTCCTTGGCATCGGGGGATCGAGGCCGTGGATTATCTCAAGAAATGTGAAGAGGACTGCGTAGGGCTCTAGACCCTAGCTGCTACGTTGAGGCCAAAAAGGTCTTTAATGCCCGAGATGGACATTTAAGAATGAACGTAGGAGAGATTTTTTTTTTTTTTAAAAAAAAAAAAAAAAAAAAAAACTAATACTGGGCTGACTATCTAGTCCGGGGCGAGCGCATCAGAGCCTCGGGGTCTACCACAAAGACGTTCAACACGGTCGAATTCCGCTAGTTAGTACTGTAGATTGATGAATGAAGCGGCGCACCTGCTTGCGCAGCGATAAAATCGCTAGGTTGTTGTTGTGGCTCAATTGACGGTGTTGTGGTTGAAGGTGGAAGGTTTGGTGGATTTGGCGATGGCCTCTGTTGCAGGTAAAAATTGGCCCATGTGACCCAGGCGCAGGACGCAGGCGGTGGATTTGGCGATGACCTCAATTTTAGGTAAAAATGGCCCGGGCGCCGGGCGCAGTTGAGCCTGCGTTGTACCTACAATCTCAAGTCAAGCGGGCCAGCCATCAATGTATTCTTTTTTTGCGGGTAAAACTAGGTTTTGGCTGGGCTAGTGGCTTGGCGAAAATTCAATGTACTTCTTGTATGGACTACGGTCTGGGCGGACGTTTTTGACGGTCCGAACTGACACCCTCTTTAAAAAAAGAAAAGAAAAATGCCAACGTCTTCATCGTTATCTGTCGTCGAGATTTCCTTATGAGACTTAACACCCGGAAACCCAAATCTTCTAGTCTCTTCTACCTTGCTTTAAAGATCTTATCTTAATAGCAATGTATTATTAAGTAAAAGCTTTAATTAAGTTCATTGAGCTATCCGCTACTTACTGTCGCAATAGCTGCCGTGGTGAACCGAAGATCCGACCGAGGCTGAGCCGCCTGAGGCTAGGAGCCGGGCGGAGCCCTAGATCGCACACGAATACCCAAGAAGGCTCCTAGAGTATTTGTAACGAGCTAAAGTTTAGTGCTACGATATCCTCAACGCCATCTTGTGGCCGAATGTGGCGATGTCAAGCTATACGTAACCAGACCTTCATCGCCTCACCCTCTTGTAAGGAAAAAACCCCTACCCACACACACGACCAACTCACACGCGTACCGAGCGGGCCAAGACCTCACTCCTTTGTCATGGCCCGCCCTACACTCTATCATGTATATAAGCAGTAGCCTGTCACCGCACAGTCAACTAATTGAGGCAGGGCTACAATATGGTCGCTGTATTCGTAGAATCTAAAGCCAAGGAAAGAAAAAGGAAAGAAAGTTACAATACTTATGCAGGGTGTGAGGTAATAAGGTGGGTTGTGGGTCACGTGTCAGGGCCACGCACAGACCACGTCCCAAGTTGCTGCAGTCTGTGGGCACGTGCTTTCCAGCTCCTGTCTTGGCACCTACCGTGACATGGCCCTCGCCCCTTCCTTTGCGAGGGCTAGGTTGAAGTCTCTTACTAATACTAGTCATTGCTCACTCTCTTCAGTACCTTCATTGTGACCACCTTGATCCGGCGTACCTGCCTTCACTTACATCCCACACCAATACCAGTCATTGCTCACTCTATTCATTACCTTCATCGTGACCACCTTGAACAGGCGTACCTGCCTTCACTTGCACTATCTTACCGAGGGTTTAAGGGATAGGTTTAGTCTTTTCTCCGACGGTCCCGCTTAGATTTTATTACTCGGTACCGTTAAGCTTTTAGCTAGTAGAAAGAGAGGCTTAGAACTTTAAAAAACTAAACCGATTATTGATTAAATCCACGGAATAAGCTTTAGAATCTTCTTAGAGATCTAAGTCAATCAAGCTCCTTCTCCAACTTCTAATTATTCGAGCTACAGCCTTATAATTTAGGCGGCGAGTAACTTGTTTGCGCATAAGGTGTAACGAGTGGCTCGGGAGTTCTTTATTTCCTTTTCCGTGTCATTCATCCCCTAGAACACGAGAAGCTGCTCGCGAGCAGAGGGACAAGCTCTCTCGTCTCCACCTCATTCACAACTTCCACCATCCCTTCTCTCGCTCTTCTGCCTCCACTTCGTACATGACGTCATGCTCCTGATAGCGTCTTGTTTGATTCAGCACTTCAACTTTCTTCCTTCATCTCTCCTCCTTCTCTTTTTGGTCCTGCCAGAGGGCCTCTATTATAGTTGTAAATGGTGGCAATGGTGGTGGCAAAAGTAGCCACACCAGCTGAACTGGCCACGTCATTTCAGCTCCCCTGAGCCTCTTTTCACCTCGGGTGACCACACCAGAGCTCAGCTGGGATGAGCTCTATTCCACATGCAACCCTTGTCCATCTGACAATAGCCAATCCAACACGTCTCTGGTCGGGGACCCCAAGCGAAGGGATGAGCCCCCGGGGAAGCAAACGTGAGTCGTTGTGCTCCTGCATTTCAGCACATCAGACGGGCACCTGCATCAGCTTCATCCTGCCGCTTATCTCTCACACTGTGAGGGGACTACTGTCTACATAGCTTCTGGCCGGTGTACGGTGAGTCCACAGGTACTGTCAATCAGATGAGCGCCGTGAGGCCGGGATGCAGCTACTGTGGAGGACTCCTTCGATGCTCGAGCCTCGCTATTTCACGGTCAGATTAGCAGAGATCACTGCAGCTGAGGCTCGCAGGGAGAGCCAGTTCTTCGGGACCGGCGGGGCAGGCTTGTCAAGCGCAGCTGCAAATACTGCTGGCAGCGAAACTGTCTCGTTACGCAGTACCATTGCATTGGCAGACATAATAATACATGCCAATACCTGGCAACCCGGGGGGCGGGGACCATATGGCACCCCGCAAAGCTGGTCAACCTGCCACAGGCAGAGCGCACAGGTCAGTCTCGCGCTGAATCACGCTTTCTCGAGTCTTCGGCCGTAACATAGCAAATTTCAAGAGCATTCCATTGTAAAACTGTGACGGCGGGGCTCAACACCTAATTCTGCTACACCACGCCACCCAAAGGATGCTACAATTGCAATCTGCTGTCGTGGGATTTCCACTAGGTTACAGCACAGCCACGCACCCCGGGGCCTTCTCGCAACGCCCACGGTGCCGTGCCGTGCCGTGACGAGCATGACAAGGCTGGAGGAGCTCATGGTTCCGGAGAGCAAAGCGGTGCCCCAAAGCTCATCGGGGGCAGGACAACTATCCTAGAACAATGCCAGCTGCGGACCATACAGGGAAGGTGGTCTAGCCTGGCCAGTAGTTCCGAAACGTCTCGCGCAGGACCAGGCCGGCGGCGGCGCTAACGCTCTCGCACAGACTCATCGCTGTAGATGTAAAACATATCCTGCTCTTCCTCTGAGCCTACGTCTTCTCGCACATCTATGACTGATGCCCAGAGGCTCCTCGAGAGCTGGGTTCTTGTGAACCGTAAGCTTCTAAGCCGCGGGCGTCTTAACTGTGGTCCTCAGAGGCGGCCGTTGAGAGCAGCCTGCGCGAACACCTTGCCGACTTCAGAGACGAGTATACGCGGGAGCCCCCAGCAGAACACATTTCGACCTTTTCTTCTTACTTATCTTCGTCCAATGTCAAGCACCAAGTTCGAGGCCGTAGCTTCACACCGAGGTGGGAACTTGGTGAAGAAGTCTGCGAGAATGCGAAGCACATCTTCACACCGGTCCCGAAGACGGCATACGTAGGAGCCCCCAGCAGACTGTTTCCCCGCCCTTGTTCTCCCTTTTCTTCGTCCAATGTCAAGCACCAGGCTCGGGACCGTAACTCTTCACCGATGTAGGAACTCGGTAGGGAGTCCGCGTGAAAACGCGGCATATCCTCCACTGGCCCCAGTTTTTTTCCTCTCCCTCGATCTTTTGGTCACGCGGAGCTGTGTTTGCTGATTACGACCTTCAGATAACAATATGAACAGCTCCCGGAAGTGGAGTAGCTTGAGGGAGCAGCAGCATCGGGGCTCGTTGAAGGAGCATTTCTCGATTTTTGGGGGACCCACTTTTCCTCCCCGGTGGCTATATATTCTCCTCCTCCTACCCCCTCTCCCTCCTTCTTCTTCTTCCACTTTTTCGGGCTTGCACAGATTGATCGTTTCGCACATCTAGTTCTAGCAAGCATCCAGTCATTTCTCTGCTTTCTGCATTTGTTCGTGGTACTCAAACTACGTAGGGATCCTACAGGTCGAAGGGTTGGTAGATCTACCGGGGGTAATCTTGTGTCTCCCCTCCCTCCCTCTCTGCGGAACTAAGGTAGGTTCTGCGTGCGACCGGGGTTTTTGTGTGTGTGTGTGTGTGAGGTCCGCGCGCCGCACGTGCCTACTTGCACGTGCGTACTCGCGCGATCTCTGCTTCCTCCCTGCTAGTGTGCGGTCACCAGTATCGCTATTCCAACAGCATTCAAGCACCTGGTTCTTCCTCAGCACTCTACATCCAAGCATACAATCCTTCTTCTACCAACGGCCGTCAGTCCTTCCTCCACCGACGGCCGCCAGTCGTTTCTTGCTTGCTCTTGCAGAAAGATACCAATCACTCCATGCTTGCTTGATAGGTGGTCTATATCTTCGATCAATCAGTCATCCTCGACTGTCGCCTCCCTCACACATCGGAGCATCAGTCAATCCTCCTGCTACTGGGCTCCAGTCGCCTCTTCCTTGCTTGGCAAGTCGTCCACATACTCGACCAGTCAACCAGTCTCGTCTGTCTCGCATCTCATACCTTCCGGCACTCATCCGCGAATAATTTCCTCACGGCCACGCTTCAGTCACTCCTCCCTTGGCGAGAAGCGGCTTCGATATCCGATCATACAATCACACATAACCACCGCGACCAGTCTACAAGTTAAGCCTCTCTCCACGCTCTCAATACTCCGCTTGTCTCTCTACCAAACTCAAATACTGACAATAATGTCAGATCACCACATCACAATGCCTTCGCAGTCTCGCACAGCCAGCCAGCTCGTTTCCCGCGCAGACGCCGCGTTCGCCGAGGCGGCAATCGTCTCGGGCATCGTGGGCTCGCTCGCACTCGAGATGACGACGGGCGAGGGGCTGTCGCGCGGCGAGCAGCTGGCACAGAATGCGCTGGCGTCGACGGCCCTGTGCGCTCTGGCGCAGCTGTGCAAGGCTACGAGCGAGGCCGCCACGCGGCAGCTGTACCGGCTGCCCAACTTCTACAACAGCGTGCGCGACGACGGACGCGCGGGTGCCGAGCGCGCGATCGGGTTCCTGCGCGCGCTGCTGCTGGCACCACTGGCCAGGGGTGCCGTCCTGGCCGGATACGTCGCCACGCTCGAGTGGCTGCCGTCTCGGCTGAACTTTGCTCTGCTCGAGGGCAGGGATCTGGGGTTGGGCGACTCGGGCGAGCTTCAGGACGTTCTGCGCGTGACTGGTCTTGGTCGAGCGCCGGAAGCAACATTCCTGCTTGGGGATTGCGCCGAGAGCGGCGGCGGTCCGGGCGTGCCTCTCGGGTCCAGAGTGCTGGCTGCCCTGCTGACGCGGTGCCGGAACGTGCGCGTCTTGAGCCTCGAGCCCGTCGTCGAGAGCGCGGTGGGCTTCGGCACAGACTACTCGGCAGTCAACACGGTCATGTGCACTGGCCAAACCGGCGAGCACTGGCACTTGTTCATTGGCGTGCTGGAGCGGCTCGAGAAGCTGGTCGTGCTGGCACCTGAGGCGAATCTGAGGGTGGCAGACGTGCCTCGACTGCTTCTCGGCAGCGGCGCGGGGCAGGGAATCGATGACGACGTCATCCTCCGTTACTCTATCGAGGGCCAAGGCCTACTTCTGGGTATGGGCGAGACGCTGGAGAGCTGCGGGCGCCTTGGCACGCTCGAGCTGTTCTGCGACCTGGACGGGCCCAACACGGCCGAGTCGGTGCGACACGAGTGGGAGAGCCTGCCGGCCACCGTCATGACGGTGGTGACGCATGGCCGTGTGAGCCTTTCACACGCCTACTCCATGCTGCGGTACCGCAACCGCCCCTCGCCCGCCTCGGACCACCCCGTGCTCGGAGGCTACCTGCGCATCCCCGCAGAGCAGTTGCAGGAGCGCGTGTACGACGGCCAGCGCGTGGTCAAGATCCTCAAGCCCCGTTCCCCCGCCCGCCGCGCAGGCCCAGCCGTCATCGTCCCCGACCACCCCATCGACGACAGCATCTTCGACCTGCTCGACCGTGTCCTGGTGGCAGCTGCCGGCGAGCTCCAGAAGGCCGGCTGGGAGCCGCCAGCCCCCCGCTTCGACGGCCCGGAATTCAAGGTCGAGCATGGAGAGCCGAAGCGTGTGTTGTCGACGGCCCTGTGGCAGACGCTGTACACCTCCCAGCCGCTGCCGCCGCTGACGACGCTGCACCTCGAGGCGAGCGGCGTCGGCCCCGTCGACGTGTCGGAGCAGGAGTGCCTGCGCCGCCTGCGCATCACCACGTCCGCGCTGTTCGGCACGGCGACGGCCACGTCCTCGCGGTTCGGCATCGCGCCGCCTGCAGCCACCGACGACGACGACTACGACGACGAGCCGCCGCGGATGTTCAGCGACCTGCTCCCGCCCGCGCTGGAGCACCTGACGCTGCTGGAGGACTGGCACGACGTGGGCGCGGCGGGCGAGGACTGGGGCGTGCTGCACGTAGACGATCTTCTGGCTCCGGGCGACTTTGCGGCTGCTTACCGGCGGGCTTTCAATAATCTGCGTCAGGGAAAGCGGTTCGGGCGCTGCGCTAATCTCAAAACCGTCGCCATGGTCTTGTCGCCGTCGTTTGCAGGGACTTGGCCTGACTGGGATAGAGTGAGGCGCTTGCTACGTGGCGACGGTATCAAGTTGACTGTCGAGGTGGCATCTGATGACTAGTCGTCAGGGTGGGTGTCTCGTGGGGGCGTGGAGGCGTGTTAGATATGTTTGTGTGAGGATCTCGCGTTGCCTGCTGGTTAAGACGGGGCACGTGACTCAGGGGCGGAAAGGGGTCTGCTTTATCTCGCGAGAGGGGGTTTTGGAAGTTCGGTTCTTTCTTTTTTCTTCTTTCACCAGTCCATATCATACTAATAAGGTGGTTGGCTCGACCTCCTGATTTGTTTACATGGGGACGGCCTTCCGTACTTTTTCCCCTACCTTCTAGCCTCGTTTAATTAACATCACTTTTGATAACGATAAACCATTGCTGTGCTATCCATAAGTCCGTGTCGTTCTTTGTTACACCTAATTTAATCTACGTTTCTTTTCCATTTTTCTTACCTTTTTAGACCTACTTTCTTTACATAGGAATCTAAGCCTGCCTAGCCGCGTAAGTGCCTATTCGTATCTTCGATATCTCAGCTACCTAATCGCCACCTTCCACCTATAAGACTAGCCTATGTTTAGACAAGAGCACAATAATCGAACATTCCTTACTAAACTCCCCCTCGGGACGCCGCACGTCTACGGGTATCAAAGCTTTCCACCGTGTTCCTCCCATTCGATACCGACCTTCCACCTGCGAGCCTCTACTACCGCTCGCCCTATTTTGTACAAGAGCACAATAATCGAACATTCCTTGCTAAACTCCCCCTCGGGACGCCGCCCGTCTGCGGGTGTCAAAGTTTTGCACCGTATTTCTCCCTATTTCTCCCATTCGCCCACTCGCCCACTCGCCCACTCGCCCACTCGCCCATGAATCCCATATTCATCGAAAGCTCGGGAACCAAAAAACAATGCCGCAGGCCACTGGCACTTCTGCCAGGTCGCGGGCAATTACCCTCTGCTTTTCTGCTTCCCCTACGTTCTCCTCCTTCTCTCCCCGCCACCAAAGAGATCGCGGATGAACCGCGAGTCGGCCCTGGGAGGGCAGTCGGTGACATACAGAGTGCAGTCAACCGCAAGCCGACTGGTCTTCCCACTTTCGGGATGGGCCCGCTGACTGGCAGAGATTGCCGCTCCCGATCTCCGATGCCATTGCTGGCAGTTCCGATGACCTCGGGTGCGGCTTTCGTATCTAGCTCGCTCACCAATTCACCTTCCACGACGCCTTCGGATAATTCGCGAATGAAATGCCTCCTCGGGAAATTCCCGGACCGCCCTTTGTCGGATTTGTTCAGCACGTACGGGAGTTCTCTAGGTGTTTGTCTGGCGTTTTTTTTTGTTTTCTTTGCTGCTGAATCGGTAGCTCGGTATGTAATTTCTTTAGCCGGGTTTGGTTGACAACCTTAAAGACGTTCTAGACTAGCCGGACCGAAACAGCGCTCGAGAGAACTCGTCCGGTCGGCGAATATGCTTCAAAAACGTCTGCCGTTCCCGTGAGAAAAGGCTTCTCACAGAAATCGACACGGTTCCCCCCTAGCATAATTGAATCCGAAATTCCTCAATGGGAAATCTTTCGAAGAAAGAAGCCCGAGGGGTAGCATCTTTGTTGCGTGAATACCAAGATTGATAGTCTCCATGTCCTTGGCGCCGCTAATGGAGGAGATACGGCGGCTGATATCCGGAATCGTAGAAGAATTGAGGTTCGAGAGTGGGCCGAAAGAATCTTCGGATATTAAATAGACGGCCGATACCCAGAAGCCTAGCAAACGAAGTTGGAAACGAAAAAGAGAAGTTAGCGATACTGCAGACAACGCACTCTTGAAGAGCCAACCCAGAAGCTTCCAAATCTGGACCGTGGCTCGGTGGCCGGTCTGGTCAGTGTTCAAGTTGCTTTTCGAAGCAATGCCCTAGTCCGGAGTCCAGAGACAAACCAGAGACGCCTTGGCATGACAGGGGTTATTGCATAGTCAAGACAAGACACGTGCCGCGATGGCAGGACGGCCCTGGACGATACCGGAACGGCAGGACGGCCCTGGACGATACCGGAACTGCAGGACGGCCCTGGACGATACCGCAACAGCAGTGTACCGTTTGTTTCGAAGCGTCCTCTCAGTGATTGTCGCGTAATATTCCCGTCCCCCTCTTTGTGCCTGCTCCTCGCTTCTGGAGCTGCAATCCACACACTTGTCTTGAGTGTTCTCGGGGGGTATCCTCCGTTGCCTTCCGTGCTGGGGCCGTCGATGATCCTCGCAGGATTGCTGGTTTCTCGTTTCGTTGTGGGTACCTCGGGCGCTGGGGCTGGAGTTGCCGGTGGAAGCCCTAGCTGTGGCTTTGTTGCCCGCGAACTCCTCAGGCTTGTGGGGGTGCAAACTCCTCCAGTCGTCCTGACCATTGTCTGATTGACTGCATCAAGGCCATATCCCCAGCTGCTTGCCATCGCTTCTTCGGGCGCCTTGGTTTCTGATTGTTTTTGTGTGTCTGGCTTTGTTCTCCATTCTCCTGGCCCTTCCCGCCCTCTCCCCTTTTCCTGTTTGAAATCTCCTTCCACAGGTGGTTTGTTCCCCATTCTCCTTGCCCTTCCCGCCCTCTCCCCTATTCCTGTTTGAAATCCCCTTCCACAAGTGGTTTGCTGTCGGGGCTCACCAATCACTGGAAGACTGCTAGGCGAAGTCGGGGCGATGGGGCCCGGGAGGATGTGGTAGAGGGGATGATTTGGTCGGAGCAGGACAGCCTTGAAAGCTCGGTGGCTCGTGAATGAGGACGGCGACGACATGTTCTGATGATTGATCGGATAGTTTCGATTAGGTGGGCGAGGATGAGGCTGGAGGGTCCTCGGAGCGGCGTCTCTGCGAAGCCTTCCTTTCTGGCCACTCATGAACATGATGAATTCCCTGCCAGAGAACACATGCCTCGTGAAAAGGCACGCGAAGAAACCTGAGCCCGAGATGGCTGCGGTAGCATTGAGTGAGGCGGGTGAGGCACGTGGCGTTGGAGATTTTGTCGAAGACGGCGAGAGCAAGTTCGGTTCGGCAGAAGGATTGGTGGCACGGTTCTAGGTGCGAGGCTGCGGGCAACGGGCAACGAGAGTGCAAACGAGTGCGGTAAGGGCGCACTGATTGGCCGGTTGGGCAGCAAGTCGAACCAGCCACTCTGTGCCTTGCGGCAGCGCAGCCAACACTGGACACACGAAACAAAACTCCGCGCTGCGTGGCAATCCAGCACTGGTGTGCCTCGAGCGATGGCCCAGCATTAGCAGGCCCTCGGCCTCGGCCTCAGCTTCAGCCTCAGCCTCAGCCTCAGCCTCTGGAAGACGCATTAAGACGCATTAGAACCCCTTGCGCTCAGCGTTGTTAGTTCAGCGTTCAGGGGTAGGGGTAGGGGTAGGGGTAGGCAGGGGCAGGGGTAGGGGCACGCCGTCATCCGATCATGCCGGCCTAGGCTTATTATTTCCGCACCTCTGGGTGCACCCTGATATTTCTACGTCTCTCCAGGCAAAAATCTCCGGTTTCCGCTTCTCCCAGCCCTGGGGCACCCGATTCCGAACTTTGCGCTACTCTGTGCTGACATGCCCCGACAGGCTAGACCCGTTTCTGCATCTGGTCAGCTTCTCCGTATCAGTCCCCGAGTCACATCCCCATCTCCAATCTCACGCAATTCTGCTGTCAGCCATGCCGAATCCCGAGCCCAACATGAGCACACCGGCCCGCGACACCGACATGAACGTTAAGCACCACGCCACCGACATGAACGTCCAGCACGACGCCACCAACATGAACGTCCAGCACGACGCCGCCGTCAGCCGGATCGCGAGCGAGGTGCGGGCGCTGTTCGCGCAGCGGCAGCCGTTCCGCGTGTTCCACGGGTCGACCAACAGCACGCGGCCCGGGCACGGCGCGCAGACGGTCGACATCAGCGCGCTGGGCAACGTGCTGTCCATCGACCAAACCACGCGCACGGCCGTGGTCGAGCCCAACGTGCCCATGGACCAGCTGGTGCAGGCGACGCTGGCGCGCGGGCTGGTGCCGCCGGTGGTGATGGAGTTCCCCGGCATCACGGCCGGCGGCGGGTTCGCGGGCAGCGCGGGCGAGAGCAGCTCGTTCCGGCACGGCTACTTTGACGAGGCCGTGCGCTCCGTCGAGGTCGTGCTGGCCACGGGCGACGTCGTGTGCGCGTCCGCCGACGAGAACGCCGACCTGTTCCGCGGCGCCCGCGGCTCCGCCGGCACCCTCGGCATCGTCACCAAGCTCGAGCTCGCCCTGGTGCCCGCCCGCCGCTTCGTCCGGCTCGTCTACCGCAGCTACGCGTCTGTTGATGACACGATTGCTGCCGTCAAGGCCGCCACCGAGGACCCGGCCAACGACTACGTCGACGGCATCCTCTTCTCGCCCGACCGCGGGCTTGTCATGGTCGGCCGAATGACGGACGACATGCCAACGAACAAAAACCCGCAGACGTTCAGCCGGCCCCGGGACCCGTGGTTCTACCTGCGCGCCGAGTCCAGGTCGCGAAAGCATCGGAAACAACAGCTGCAGAAGCAGCAGCCCCCAAAACAAAATCAAAAGCGCCAGGCCACCGAGCACCAGGCCACCGAGCACCAGACCACCCAGCACCAGACCACCGAGCACCAGGCCACCGAGCACCAGGCCACCGAGCACCAGACCACCAACGACTCGGACACCGAGATAACCGACCACATCCCGCTGGCCGAGTACCTGTTCCGGTACGACCGGGGCGGGTTCTGGGCCGGGGCGCAGGGGTTCCGGTACTTCTGGTTCGTGCCCTTCTGCGGGCCTGCGCGCTGGCTGCTCGACGACTTCATGCACGCGCGCATGCTGTTCCGCGCGCTGCAAGGGGGCGGCCCGTCCATGTCGTTCCGCGGCGTCGTGCAGGACGTGGCGCTCCCGTACGCCGCCGCGGCTGATTTCGTCGATTACGCCGCCGCCGAGCTCGCCGTCTGGCCGCTGTGGCTGTGTCCGCTGCGCGCGGCGGCACAGCCGACGTTCCATCCGTCGTGCTGTGTGGGGGGTTCTCCCCCTTTGTCTCCAGGGGTTTCTGCTGTTGCGTCTTCTTGCTCGACGGGGTCTTCTTCGCCTTGTTCGTCCTGTGGCTCTTTCTCGCCGTCGTCGCCTCAAGCAGAGCAGCGAGACCCAGAACAGCCGCAGCCGCAGCCCATGCTCAACATCGGGGTGTGGGGCGCGGCGTCGGGGGACCTGGCGACGTTCGTCCGGCAGAACCGCGCGCTCGAGGCAAAACTAACCCGCCTGGGCGGGCGAAAAGTGCTGTATGCCCACACGTACTACAGCGAGGACGAGTTCTGGGCGCTGTACGACCGGGCGTGGTACGACGGGCTGCGGGCCAAGTACCAGGCGACGACGCTGCCGAGCATCTACGACAAAGTGCACGTCGACGTGGCGGGGCTAATGGCCAGACGGGGGCAAGGCGGGCGGCGGTCGGCGGCCTGGGTGCGCCAGCTGGCCGACGTGTGGCCGGTTCCCGGGCTCGCGGGCATCTTCCGCGCCATCCGCAGCCGTGACTACAAGATTCACAGGCGGCCGTTGCTGGCGTACTGGGAAGAGAGGAATGCCAACGTGCAGCCGACGACACCAGGCCCGGGGAAGGGCACGGAGTGATTTTGTGCCTTCCACTTGTACCGCGATGTTTTGATGACGGACAAAGAAACAATGCTATGACGTCAGGCCAGACGCTCGATCGTGTACTAGCTAATATGTGTAAACAGCAAACGCTTGAAAGTGATATGGATGAGTAAGAAGCGGGGAAAGGGAAACAGGTGGAAAGGGAAACAGGTGGAAAGGGAAACAGGTGGAAAGGGAAACAGGTGGAAAGGGAAACAGGTGGGAAAGGGGCAATCCTATCATAATAATACAAACGTCAACGCAAAGGTTAGAACAGAACTGCAAGCACGTAATGAGCAGAAACAAACCCTGCTGGCTGAGCATTACCTTTTATTTCCAAAGTAAATGGTGAAATTAGCTCCAGGGTAGAACGGAACACCTTGGTCTACTAGATCAACAGATCTCGTGAGCTAATTAAGTTGGCAAACGAAAGCCAGATTGGGAAACTGAAAACCGAGACACAAGGCTTTGCTTCAAACGAACCTTGATTCTCACCGTGGTTCACGAAAACGGTGCTTATTCCCTTCATTGTCCGGTCCAACCCGGAACTTGGAGAAAGTGGTACAAACAGTCTGTAGGGACCCGAGGCGATAGAGGGCGAGAGGAGGCATGGTAGAAAGCAAGTATTTGTATACCTCATCTAGCTAGCAATTCACCCACCGGCCTTGAAAGTTGTAATCAAGCAGCTCCACCGAAACAAATTAGACAGTCAAACCCAACACGCGCCCAGCGACGCCTTGCAGCCTGTTACGCTGCACTATCCAGCCTTTCACGCCGGACATGTAATTTAATTTCTCGTTTCTGATTTACACGATATGGCAATCGGCCAGGAGCTCACTTCGGCAGCGTCTGTTCTAATCCCGCATCTATATCCCTTGCTCGAGCCTGATTTCCCAGCAAATATCCCGCGAATATGCCCAGTACCGGCAAAGCCGTCTTGTGCCGTGCACAGACATGCAGCCCTGCAGCTCTCTCAACTCTTCTCGGCTCCATCCCTAGCCGCGGCGTCAACGACCTCGCCGTTCTCGTCCATAAGCATCTCCTGGGCGGTCCACAGCTCGGCGTAGAGGCCGGCGCGGTCCATGAGCTCGCGGTGGGTGCCCTGCTCGACGACGGCGCCCGCGCGCAGGACGATAATCAGGTCGGCGTCGTAGATGGTGCGCAGGCGGTGCGCGACGAACACGCTGGTGCGGGCCTTGTCGCGCAGGATCTCGTTGATGTTGGCCATGAGGGCCTGCTCCGTGTGCGTGTCGAGGGCCGACGTGGCCTCGTCGAAGAAGAGCAGCGGCGGGTCCTTGAGGATGAGGCGCGACACCGCGAGCCGCTGCTTCTCGCCGCCCGAGATCATCAGGCCGCGCTCGCCGACCTTGGTGTCGTAGCCGTGCGGCCAGCTCTCGATGCTCTCGTGGATGTGGGCGCGGCGCGCGGCCGCCACGACCGCGGCGCGCGGCGCGTCCAGGTTGCCGTACCGGATGTTGTGCTCGACCGTCTCGTTGAACAGCGGCGTGTCCTGCGGCACCACGCCGATGGCGCGCCGCAGCGAGTCGAGCGTCACGTCGCGCAGGTCCTGGCCGTCGACGGAGATGCGCCCCGACTGCACGTCGTACGACCGGAACAGCAGGCGCAGCAGCGTCGACTTGCCGCAGCCGCTGGGCCCGACCACGGCCACCTTCTTGCCGGCCGGGATGGTGACGCTGAGGTTGCGCAGGATGGGGCGGCCCTCGTAGTAGCCAAAGGTGACGTCCTCGAAGCGGATCTCGCCGCCCTTGGTCAGCCGCAGCGGCTGGGCGCCGGGCTTCTCGGCGACGGACACATTGACCTTTTGCAGGTTAAACAGCGTCTCCATGTCGAGCAGCGACTGGCGCAGCTCGCGATACACGGACCCCAGGAAGTTGAGCGGCACCGACAGCTGGAAGACGAGCTGGTTGATGAGCACCAGGTCGCCCACCGACAGCGAGCCGTCGATGATGCCCTTGGCGCCGAGCCACATCATGAGGGTCAGGGCCGACGAGAAGATCATGTTCTGCCCGCTGTTGAGAAAGGCCAGCGACGTGGCCACCTTGATGGAGCTCTTCTCGTACTGCTGCAGCGCCTTGTCGTAGCGGCCGATCTCGTAGCGCTCGTTGTTGAAATACTTGACGGCCTCGTAGTTGATGAGCGAGTCGACGGCGACGGTGGAGGCGCGGTTGTCGGCGGCGTTGGCCTGGCGGCGGAACCTCGTGCGCCAGGCCGTGGTCCAGATGGTGAAGGCCGTGTAGGCGGCCATGGTGACGGCGGTGATGGCGGCGAACTCCCAGCCGAAGTTGTAGGTCAGGATGCCGCAGACCATGGTGATCTCGAGGGCGGTGGGCACGATGTGGAAGACCATGCTGGTCAACAAGAAGCTGATGCCCTTGGTGCCGCGGTCGATGGCGCGCGTCAGGCCGCCCGTCTGCTTGGAGAGGTGGAAGCTGAGGTCGAGGTCGAGCAGGTGGCCGAACGTGTTCTTGGCCACGCGGCGGATGGCCTTTTGGGCGACGGACGAGAAGACGGCGTTGCGCAGCTCCTGGGAGAGCACGGATCCGATGCGGGTGGCGCCGTAGGCGAGGATCATGGCGCCGCCGGCCGTGGCGACGCTGCCGCCCGTGGTAGCAAAGTCGATGTTGAGCGAGTCGATGATGTCGCGGAAGTAGAAGGGCACCTGGACGTTGAGCACCTTGGCGCCGACCAGCAGCCCGACCGACAGCATGACGCGCATCTTGTCGCCCCAGCTGTCCCTGGGCCACAGGTAGCGCGACATCTCCTTCATTATGGCCCAGTCGGCCTTGCGCTGCTCCTGCGCGCTCTTGTCGAAGGCCGCGAGCGGGTCGACGGGGGCCGCCCGGCCTGCCCTGGCATCGGCGGGCGTCTTGGGCACATGGCTGCCGGGTTTTGTGGGTGTCGGGGTTATAGGGGGCGTCGGATCATTTGGACGGGGGGGTGTGGTCGAGAAGAGGGCGCGTCGGGACGAGGGGAGGAGGGTGGGTAACGTAAAGAGGCGAGGCGGGCGAGACGAGTGTGGTTGGCGCAGCTGGAGCGGGAGCGGGAGCTGGAGCTGGAGCGGGAGCTGGAGCTGGAGCTGGAGCTGAAGCTGAAGCGGGAGTGGGAGCGGGAGCTGGAGCTTGGTCGCGCTCGAGGTCGAGATGGAGGTCGAGGTCGAGGTCGAGGTCGAGGTCGAGGTCGAGGTCGAGGCTGCTCGCGCGCCGAACAGACAGGCGCGGCGGGCGCGGTGCAAGCCCGAGGCCATCACAAGACTGGGTGAAGGCGACATTGGGACTGTCGGGGGCGAGGCATCTTTCCTCCCAGAGGCAGGAGGCAGTGACTACAGGCGCAACGGCGTTGGTGGCGGCACAAATCGCGCGGAAGCACCGGCTTTCGGAGGACCAAAGCAATGGCGATGCTGATGCTGATGCGGGGCAGAAAAGAGCTCGGCGGTGGAAAAAGCTCGGCGGTGGAAAGAGCTCGGCGGTGGAAAGAGCTCGGCGGCGGTGGAGACTGTGGGTCAAGGTCAAGGCCAAGCTCCCTCAGGTGTCGCCTTCCAGTGTCCAACGGTCCGCCGTTCGCGTGCCAGAGTCGTTGTACTAGACGGCAGCCGTGGTTGCCCCCGACAGTTCTGATTTTTTGAGTAAATTAATAGGGGGCAAGTTCTAGGATGCAGGACGTGCGGACAAAAGCTTCGAGGTTGGGAGCTTGGAGGCTTCTTTAGGGGTTAGGTGGCTGTTTTGTGGGGAGAGTCAGGGAATGATGCAATGGGGAGCTCCCGCGACGCAATGCACCCTGCGGCCGCATCATTGGGGCTTTAGGTCCGCGAGATAATTGCTAGCCGTGCCTGCCGTTAGGGCTGTAGCTACGGAGACTAGTTCTAGACTGGAAAACGGGCACTTCGAGAGAAACACCATCACAAACATGACAATCTTGCAAGTGCATAGCCCAGTAACCATAGAATTGTCAAATGCAGAATATATACAGTACAGTCAGTCCAACCACACCCGGCTGGAACCCTAACAAAAACCCCCCAACTCCTGAATAAGCCGTCTCCCCGATAACGCCGAAAGCAGCCATCCATGTCCAAATATGAAACCTGATGAACAGTGGAACTGGAACAAGACAAAACGCCACAGGCAATGCAGGATGCAGAGCTAACCGCGGCCATGGAACCAAGAGAAACAAAAAGCAACAACACTATACAAAAGACGCCATTCCAGCCATGCTCAAGCAAAAACGGAGAAATAAAAACTCGCTGGCAATGCTTTTCCCGCCTCATCAAACACCAGTCCCCACGCCACCACCAGAAGACAAGCCCTCATAAGCCCTCTCAACCGTGCGGCTGCCCATACCAGGCAACATGCGGAGGTGCGCGAGCGACCTGACCTCGCCGCCCTCGTCCTCCGCCTTAAGCAGGTTGAGGTGATCGACAAGGTCCTGGGCCTTTTTCGCACCAAAGCCGTGCAGGCTGCGGATCAGGCGCAGGTCGCGCGAATTGACGATCGCCAGCAGGTGCGCGGCGCGGGGGCTACTAGTAGGATCCTCGTCGATGCCTTTCTTGGTTGTGCTGTTATTAGTAGTAGCAGTAGCAGTAGGAGTACCAGTAGCAGTAGTAGTAGTAGTAGTAGTATTCCTTTGGTTGTGTTTCCGTGATTTGGTGGTGCCGCGGCCGGGGTGGAGGAAGCTCCCGTCGTCGTCGACGTCGGCCTCGGTGCCGTCGTACACGTCGTCGCCGTGGTCGGCAGATCTGTGTTTGCCGCCGGGCGACGACGCAGCCGCGTAGCAGTCGCCGTTGCCGTCCTCGTTGCCGTCCCCGTTGCCGTCCTCGTCGTCGTTGCAACAAGTCTTGGCCCGGCGCGTGCGCGTGCGCGTGCGCTTACGCTCAGCGCGAGGCGTAGCAGCAGTGGCAGTCTGGAAGTCATCACCGGCTGCGGCAGCGCCCAGCTTGGCCCGCAACCGGTCAATCTTTCCCAGCAGCTTGGCCTGGCCGGGGAAGAAGGGCAGCGCGAGCTCATAGCTCCGCAGCGCGGCCGCGTCGTCGCCGCGCTCTTTCGCCTGCCGCGCCTGCAGCAGGTGCCGCAGCCCCTCGGACCGCGTGTCGTCGTGCCGCTCGTCGTGGTCGATGCGCCGCTCTAGCGCCTCTAGCCGCCGCCGCACCTCGTCCTCCAGCGCCTTGCTCTGCTGTTGCTGTGGTGCGCCGGCGGGTTCCTGGGCGGCGGGAGCCGGTTCGGCTGCGGCGACGGCTTCCGCTGCCGCCCGTGACGCGAGAATCTCGGCCACCTTCTTCTCTACCATGGCCTCGATCTGCTCGGCGGACATGGAGAGTGGCTGCGGCTGTGCCTGCTGAGATGGACGAACCAGTGACTGGTGTGTGGGGCGTGCGAGTTTCGTGGGCCGCGACGACAGCGCGTCGGCAGAGTCGGACGGTCTCTTGGTCGAGTTTGAGCGTCGGAGCTGCGACGAGTTAACCGTGGGGATGGCGGTGCGGGACGGCGGCAGCACTGATGCTGCCACGACGACCGCCGCGGGCTTCGCGGCGGCCTTGTCCGTGTAGACGCTAAACGCTTTGACCGGCTTGTCCGGCTTGTCGGCGGCCGTCTTGGCGGCCATCACGGCGCCGGTGTGCACATTGTGCGCGTTGGCTAGCGCGCGCAGCGGCTGCCTCGCGGCGCTGCCCTGCAGCGACCCAAGATTGGCCGACGCGGCCCGCGGGCCCTGCTTGTAGACGACCTCGTTCTCGATCTCGCGCACCTCGATGCGCTTGGCGCGCGAGCTGACGTTGAGGCTGCTGAGGGTGTCGAGGTGGTAGCTGCGCAGGGGGGCCAGGTTGAGGATCATGACGGTAATGCCGCTGTTCTGGCCCAGCGACAGGATGCGCGTCATCTTGGACTCGCGGTAGGGGACGCGCTTGTCGCCGCGCGAGATGGCGTCGATGCACTGGCTCAGCACAAACAGGCTCTTGTTGATGGCGGCCGACTCGACCAGGCGCTCCTTGCCGTTCTCGGTGCGGCGGTTGTCCTCGGACCCGGCCAGGTCGATGGCCGACGCCGTGCTCTCGCGCACCACGTCGCCCGTGGTCTGCGTGACCTTGACGCGCAGGATGGCGTGGCTGCGGCTGCTGTGCGCGTTGAGCTTGGTGGCGGCCGTCACGCGGTTCATGTTGGACTCGATGTACAGGCGCTCAAAGTCCTTGAGGTCCTCGCACGCCCGCTCCGACAGCCCGACCACGACCGTCTTGCCGTCCTTCTCGCGCAGCGGCAGCCCCGACGGCGTGCGCTTCTCGGGCGGCTCCAGCAGGTCGAACACCTTGTCGTTGTAAATCTCGTAGTACGACAGGGCCACGTCGACTGACGTCTCGCCGTTGGTGTCCTTGGCGATCTTCTTGCCGCGGCGGAACACGTTGCTCAGCAGCCTGGGGATCACCCCGCGTTCTGCCAGCTTGAGCCCGCCGCGCATCGTGTGCGTCTTGCCCGTGCCCGTGACGCCGTACGCGAACAGGGTGACGTCGAGGCCCTGGAAGAGGGCCTTGATGTGCGGAGCCACTGGTCCCGTGTTAGCAACGCGCGCTCATCACTGCGTGCTCGTGGCAGCTCACCCTCGGCCGTAAACAGCTGCTCCTGCGTCGCCGACTGGTCGTAGACGCCGTTGAAGGCGAACGAGAACTCTTCAGCTTCGTTCTTTGGGCTCGGGATCTTGACCATGGTGAAGGGCTTGCCGTGCTCGACGCTGTCGGCGCGGACGATGACATCCTTGTCGTGCTCTTTTTCAAGCAGGGGACGTATTCTTGCGACGACACGGACCGACATGGCTGCTGCTCAACGACTCCAACAATTCCAACAACTCCAACAACTGCGGCTGGGCACCGACGGAGGAAGGGACTGTCGTGGATCGGCGACTGTCGTGGATCGGCCGGACGCGAGGAAATCGACACGCTCGTGGACGTCGGTTGTCGAAACGCCGCGTCGAAAGCAATTGGCCCAGCAGTGCCCTAGGCTGGTCTGGTCGGTTCTGGTCTGCAGTTTGTGTTTGGCCGTGCCGGGGCTGCTTGGCTGTTTTCTGTTGGCGCGCTCCAGCAGTCACTGCGGCAACCAGTGCCCTGAGACCCACCTACGGCTGCTGGCGTGGGGCGCTGGGAAGCTCGAACCTGGCCCGTGCACATCGCCCTAGCCAGTGCACACCGCCCTGGCCCGTGCACACCGCCCTGGCCCCCAGCGGGTCCACGCCAACGGTTCAGTTCTGTGCCTGCCCTGAGCTCAGACTCGGGCCTGTCGACCGCTGCATCGCCATCATCGCAGCTTTTTTGGAGCTTGCCTGCCCTGGTGCGCCATTGACAATCGACACTGACACTGACACCGTCACTGTCACTGACACCGTCACCAACATTGACACCGTCACCAACACTGACACCGTCACCGACACCGACAACCACAAGCTCCCGCGCCACGCCAACATGAGCAGACCGTCTCCGCTGCTGAGGACAGCGCGAGCTGCGCGGGTCGCGAACACGAGGCCGAGGCCGAGATTCGTCTGCAGACAATGCAGAGCCATCCAGATCAGCGCCTCCCCCACTACAGAATCCCGCCCACCCGTCGACGCATTCGGCGCCTCTCCCAGAGCAGCGCGAGACTCGGCCGGTACGCATTTGCCAATTGCTCTCCCACGACTCCATGCTAGGCCGCATTGGCCAATTGCTCTCCCACAACTCCATGCTAGGTCGCATTGGCCAATTGCTCTCCCACAACTCCATGCTAAGTGTTGCTGGCTGGTGTGCTGACATGGCGCACATCTAGATGCCCGGTTTGAGGTGTTGGGCTCGCCGTCGTCGCTGCTCTCGGTCACGCTTTCCGCCTCGCAGAGACTATACACAAGGAGGGGCACGCTCGTGTCGGTGGCAGGCCAGGTGGAAAATGTGCATTACGCCCAAATTCATGCGGTTGCCTTGCTGCTCTGCTGACACGGCTCCTCTGCTGACACGGCTTCTCCGCAGGCGCAATCGACGCTCTCGATGCTGTCCCCGCTGCGGCGCGCATTCCTGGGCGTGCCGTTCCTCTACCAGCGCATCTCGTCGACGACGCCCATCACGGCCCTGATAGCCACCAAGTCCCCGACCACCACCTTCTCCGTCCTCCACCTCGATGGCACCACCGACTGGATGGTCGCCCAGCGGAACGCCCTGCTCGCCTGGACCGGCCACACCCTCGCCGTGACGCCCCGCGTCCGGCGCGGCCTGTCGCTGGCCCACTGGGGCAGCAGCCACCTGACGGGCCGCGGCCTGGCCGCCCTCTCGGCCCCCGGTCAGATCTACGAGCTCACACTCGCCGACGGCGACGAGATGGTGCTGCACCCGTCGCACGTCGTCGCCTACTCGGTCACCAAGAACCCACCGCTGCCCTTCCGCCTCCGCAGCACGCGCCTCGCCGTGCAGATCCCGGCCGTGCCCAGCTCCGTCAGCGCCGCCGCCGGCCGTCTCGTGCCCGACACGCTGTCGCGCTTCTGGCGCGCCATGCGCGACACGGAGACGTACAAGTCGGTAGCGCGGCTGCTGTTTGGCATCCGCACCATGGCGCGCCGCTCCGTCTGGGGCGACCGGCTGTTCCTGCAGTTCCGCGGCCCGAGCACCGTCCTCATGTCGAGCCGCGGCGTGCGCGTCCGAGACGTGCTCACCCGGGACGACGTCAACGAGATCGCCGACTCCGAGGCCGGCGTGGTCCCCGCCGCCGTCGAGCTGGCGAGCAAGCCCAAGCCCGTCGAGGACCTGAGGAAGGCGCAGGCCAAGCCCCTTGCGATGCACGTCGCTTCGGTCGGCAAGGACGGGAAGGTGACGTTTGAAGACACTAAAGACCTCAACCAGTTTGTCCGGTGAGCGTCGGTGCCAGCGCCGGAAGCGTGGGCCTAGCTGTGGCCGCTCCATATCTTTATGTGCCCATAGATTACTACTGCCTGTACACGCCGCAGACCCTTGGGGCGGACTAATTATTACGTTCAATAGTCTGTCGGACGCGATGAGCCCACATTTTGACGTGTTGCCAACCCACTACGCTGCTTGCCTTTCGCCACCCGCAGTAGAGCAGTCGAGGCCATCTCGTGGGATCCTTGAACCGGGGCTCTGGATCTTTGAACCGAGGCTCTGGATCCTTGAACCGGGGCTCTGGATCAACCCTAGCCCCTGTTTTTCTGGTCTTTGCTTTTGCTGAAAATCCTGCCATCGCCACCGGATCGTGGTCTGCTTCCATCACAGCGCGGGAAGCCGCTCCCGTGTGTTCTAGAATACATCGCCTATCCGGCCGCAGGTGCTGGGGCCCGAGGGGGGACAGACGTCGGGTGAATTGCCTGCCCACAATAAAAATTAATCTTTTGGCCCGAACAGCAGTCTCAGCCTAAACCGGGCTTGGGTGCCAGTCCCCAATGTCCGGGAGATTCGCCGCGCCAATGTCCGGGAGATTCGCCGCGCCAGTATCCACGAGCGTGCGGCGTGTCTTGCAGATTGCGTCTCCGACCACAGAAGCGGGCGGCTGGCTCACGTATATAGCCAGGCACCTGCAGGCTGCTCGGTGCTCGCAGAGGCGCGCTTCTGGTCAGTCTTGTTGACTCTAGTGTCGAGCAAAACCCAGCACGCAAACACGATGCGCATCTCGATCGCCTCCCTGCCGTGCCTGGCCGCGCTGGCGCTGGCGCTGGCGCTGCCCACGGTCGACTACGGCCCGTGCGACATCAACGGCAACGAGAGCTGCAAGGACATCATGGACAACACGGCGTGCTTCCTGAACCCGACCAGCACCGACGACATCTTCCAGTGCATCCCGGGGGGCAAGGTTGGGGTACGGCTTGCCTGACACGCTGAGGCCGCGGCCGTGAGCGAGAAACTGACGGGTGCGGAATGATTAGGTGTGCCTGTGCTACGGCTGCCTCGGCTACACGCCAGTCACGAACCTCATTGCCAACTCGAGCGCCTGCGCGTGAGTCTCGGGTAGTTATAGCTCGGGTCCTGAGACGGTGCTGACTTTGGGCTCGTACAGCGGAATACCGATTCCCACGCCAGCTAAGCTGCCGCCCGGCGGCGTTCCAGTCTTCGTGCCAGAGGAGCCCTGAGCAGACGAGTCTATGATGGGTGACGAAGCTGACTAGGCACCATGAGAAGACCAAGGTGGTGACAGCGATCGACGGAAAGGCAACCGGCAGGGGCGCTATTACTTAGACAGTGACACCGGGTCGGGATCATAGAAAAAAATTAAAAAAGCGAGCTTTCGAAATTTGAATTCTTCTTTGGGCGAGTGTTCCTGGGCCCGGACCATTGAATATCTCCCTACCCCTATTACTTGGCCAAAACATCAGCCCAGTCCTGCTTGGCCACGCACTCCTCCAGAGTCGTCATGGGACACTCGGTGCCAGCCTAACCCCCCCAAAAAAGTCGGCCCAAATCAAAACTTCCCCTCGCCCTCCCACCTCGCAACGACGTCCTGCCACGGAACGACCTTGACACCGCAATCCCGCAGCCGCAGCTCCACCTCGCGCTCGACGTCGACCGCCGGCCCGTCGCCGGCGCCGTACGTCGAGTGAGCGCCCGACAGCAGCGTCACGCCAAAGCCGGCGGCCAGCGCGCCGCGGCACGTGCTCTCAACGCAGCACTCGCTCTGGACGCCGAACACGACGATCTCGCCGACGCCCGACGCCGCAAGCATGGCGGCGAGGTCGGGGTTCGACTCGAACGTGTCTCCTAATCAGACGATCAGAGCTGATTAGAAGCGCGCAACTTGTTCGTTCCGCGAGTTAATCAGGAGGGGCGGGTGTTAGCTAGCCCGCTTACGCGTCGTCTTGCTGACGAGCAGCTCTTCGTCTGCGTCGGGCCGCGGCTCGTAGACCAGCCGCCACGGCTCCGTGTCCTTGACCAGCGGTCCTTGGTCGGGCCGCTCTTCGTGCTGGACGAAGACGACGAGGGCGGGGGGCGGCGCGTCGGGTTGCCGGCTGGCTGTTAGTATAGTGCGCGCCGTGGCGAGGATCTTGTCGGCGGCGGCGAGCACGCGGTCGGCGTGGGGGACTTTCGTCTCGGGGTGCGTCGCCAGGTCGTTTTGGATGTCGATGACGAAGAGGGCGGTGGGCGTGGCCATGGTGTGCTGATTTGTTCGAGCCTGGCGGGCTGATTTGTTTGGGCCTGGCGGGATGTGCCCGACTTCGGAGTTGTGGTTCTGAAATCAGAGCAGATGATTGATCCTCGTGGGCTTGGAAATTCGGCCCCCCGTGGGCTTGGAAATTCGACCGTGATGAGAATTACCGAGATGGACTGTGATCAACCTCGCAAGAGACGCGGGTGGAAGTTGACCAGTAAAATGACTCATCAAATCGCGGACAAACCAATCTCGCCATGCTGACCTCGAAGCGGGGCAAGCGCTTCCTCGGCTAGTTTATTGGTTGCGAGCCGAGCAGAGATGCCTTCATTGAGGTGCTAGCTGTATCTTTCCTCTCCTAGTTCTCACTCGACCCAAATTGCCGGCGACCAAGACTATAGGTTTTGACAAGATTAGAGTTGCAACCTCTTCACCTCGGTGTGAAGGACAAGGGCACACGCAAATAGCGCCGAGGCGTGATTACTGACTGGGTGGAGTCTCGGCGCAGCTCTGCAGCGAGGCAGGCGCGTCTCCTCCACACTTGCCACCCGTCGGGCGAGGAAGTGCCGAATCGGACAACCCCCGCATGTTCACCCCAACCCAACCCAACCTGCCAACGCGATGTGGCGTGCTGGCCGTCGGCGGCAGCTTCCCCTTGCGTTACACGACCTACGGTTCCACGGGTTTGCGCGGATCGGAAACACCACTCGGCCGCGGATCGAAACAAACGGTCTCCATCTCAGACTTGGACAACACTTGAAAGATAAAACGGCATTTGCACCCACGCACCGCGCTCGCCCTGATTGTCCATCCATCCAGACATTCCAAACCTACAACACACGGTTCACTGCTTCGAGTTCACTGCTTCGGGTTCACTGCTTCGGGTTCACTGCTTCGACATCCGCCCTCCCCTTTCCCTCTAATCACCTCATCGTCTCCCCGACAACAACCAACACCGGCTCCGCACCATGGCCTCCCCCGCGCGCGTGCCGCCCAAGGGCGTCTTCGTGCCGTCGCCGACCTTCTTCCAGCCGCCACCGGCCGACGGCTCACCGGCAGCGGTCGACGTGGCGGCGCAGGTGGCGCACAGCGTGTTCCTGGCGCGGGCAGGGATCACGGGGATCGTGCTGCTGGGGTCGACGGGTGAGGCGATCCATCTAACACGGCCCGAGCGCGTCGCGCTGGTGGCGGGCGTGCGCGAGGGCGTCGGTGCCGGCTACCCACTGATGGCCGGCGTGCTGACGAGCGGCGGGCTGGCCGACACGCTCGAGTGGCTGGCCGACGTCGCGGCCGCCGGCGCCGACTGGGGCCTCGTGCTGGCGCCGGGCTATTTTGGCGCCGCTGCGTCCCAGAGCAGCCTCGCCGCCTGGTACGCGCGCGTCGCCGACGCCAGTCCGATCCCGATTCTGGTGTATAATTATCCCGGGGTGACGAACCAGGTGCTCGTCCTGCCCGAGACGTACCCCACTCTGGCGGCGCATCCGAATATTGTCGGGTGCAAGATGTGAGTTCGAGGTTCCATCTTCTCTTTCCCCGTCGGTCGAGGATCTCCTGGGCAACGCAATGGGCTGACGGCGATGCGCAGGTCCCACGGCAACGTGTCGCATCACGTGCAGGTCTCGCTGGACCCGGCCATCGACCACGACCGGTTTCGCGTGTACAGCGGCTTCGGGCAGCAGCTGGGGCCGATTGTGCTGTTCGGCGCGGCGGGCGTCATCGACGGCATGGCCGCCTTCTTCCCCAAGACGGTGGTGCGGCTGATGGCGCTGGCGCTGGCGGCTGCCGACGAGAACAACACGGAGGCGTCGGGCTCTGCCGCCGAGATCCGCCGCCTGCAGTTCGTCGTCAGCCGTGCCGAGGAGTTCGTCGTGCGCTACGGCCTCATCGGTATCAAGGAGGCCGTGTTCCGCGTCACAGGCATCGGCGCCTTCGACACGGGCCGCCTGCCCATCGTCGGGAAGCTCCCAGACGGCGAGTGGGACAAGGCCAGGGGCTTGTTTCTGTCCGAGATTGAGAAGACGGAGGCGAGTCTGTAGGGGGCCGAGAGCTGGCAGAGGCTTTGTGAGGTGTGATTCGGGGAGGAAGCTGCCGCATGTCGGCGAGGACGGAAAAAGCTGCTGCATGTCGGCGAGGGGACGGATAAAGCCCCCTGTTTGGAGTGCTGTGTCAAGAAAGCAAAGATGAAAAAGGGTGAATAATCACTGGAAATTTCACCTAGTCTCGCATTTGGCCAATGACAGAGACCCTCCAATATGCATATAATGGCGAGACTACCTATTCAAGACTGTCAAGACCGACAAGGTGATCAGTGACAACATCCAAAACAACCCGCAGACATGCAAAGCACGCGCAACCCAATCTCGACCGATTCCGCTAGACTTCTCGACCGACTCCGCTAGACTTCTCGACCGACTCCGCTAGACTTCTCGACCGACTCCGCTAGACTTCCCGACCGACTCCGCTAGACTTCTCGACCGACTCCGCTAGACTACGTGGCCACCTTGCCCGCGCCCAGGTCGACCTGCATGGCCCTCAGCCGGCGCTGCATCCACTCGTAGCAGCCGACCTCGTCATACCTCTTCTCCTCGCCGGGCGCCACGCACGTGTCGAGCACGGCGCAGCTCTCGTCCAGGTTGAACCCGAAGAAGAAGGCCATGCTGAGCCGCTCGCGGCCGCTGCGGTTCTGCACGCGGTGCACCGTGCTCAGGAAGCGGTCGTTGGTGATGCGCTGCATGTAGTCGCCGAAGTTGACGACGAACGCTCCCGGGACCGGCGCAGCCCGCAGCCACTGGCCCTCGCGGCTCAGCACCTGCAGCCCGCCGGCGGCGTCCTGCCACAGGATCGTGAACAGCTGGAAGTCCGTGTGCGAGCCGATCGACACGTCGGACACCCCTTCCGCAGCAGACGGTCGCAGCGGCCGGTAGTAGTTGACGGCCATGGCGGCGTCGGGGTGCGTGAACTTGGCGTCGAAGGCGTGCTCGTCGAGGCCCAGCGCGAGCGCCATGCTGCGCACGAGCGCCCGGCCCAGCCCCAGCACGGCCTGCCAGCAGGGGATGAGGGCGGCACCGAGCTGGGGTGGCGCGGCGGTCCAGGGGAAGCCGTCGGCGTCGGAGTGCAGGAAGGCGGCCACTTTAGGCGGGATGTCGGCTGCACCGTCCACGGACGGGTCGTGAGCCGCGTGGTAGACCCACGAGAAGGACTCGCGGCGGTCGACGCTCTCGAAGGGGTTGATGTGCTGTGACTGCGGCGGCTTCCAGCCGACCTTGAACTGGTTGGCGCGCGAGTGCCGCGCGTTGGCGGGCTCCTTGAGCTCGGCCGGCTGCCGGAAGAAGTCGAGGCTGGCGCTGCAGGCCGCGTCGGTCACGGGTGCAGGGATGCCGTGGTTGGCGATGTAGAAGAAGCCCGTGCTGGTGGCGGCCGCGCGGATCTGGTCGGCGACGGCCTGGCGGTCGGCCTGCGCTGCGCTGAAGATGCCCGACACGTCGATGATGGGCAGCTCCGACGGCGCGGCATCGCGGAGCGGCGTGTTCAGGACGTCGCGCGTGACAATTCCGTTGCCCGACACGATGCGCAGCTGGGTCTTCCGTGTGGCCATTGCGCCGGTGGGATCCCTTTCTTGGTCTGTTGGTCTGTTTGAAGGTGTCACTCGACGGCCAATGGACAAAAGGATGGGGGGGAAGCGTCACTGTGACGTTTGCGGAGAAGCAACACTCTCCAAGTCTAGTGCTCAGTGCTCTCAGTTGCCTCTATTATGCATCCGAAGGCCAGATAAGACTTTCTACTCGTAACGTTAATATAAATTGGCTAGTAGCCAATATCTGATCTCTTATCTTCAACGGCTGCCCAGCGAGTTATGTCATGCTACGCTTGTACTCGGTCCATCGGCGACCTCCGCCGTGTTTACGGCCACCTCCGTCCCGCCACTATGGGTGACGAGGCAGAAGCGAAGCATGTTAATGAAGATATTGGGCATATTTGGGCATATTATTATGGCCAACTGGACCTGGTATTCGAGATGAATTGGGAATCAAAACGGTAGGAGATAACCTCTTCACCAGTCACAGGCAATGATCATTCTAGGCAATTATTATTGTAATTAATTAGTTACAAGCATGTCACCTCCTAGTTAATGGTCAGATATTTTCAATCATCCAATGCTCTCACTTTTTCCCCGCCCTTCCTTTTGGTCCGAACTAAAACAAACAAGAGTGCCTCCCTTGACTTGGATGACTGCATTGTGTGCTTTCCCTACCACATAATAGTCTTACCCGCCTATGGAAATACCGAAAACAGCCAAACGAGTTACAGGGGACAGTGACCGATCACCTTTCTTATCCAAAGGCAGGCCAAGGATTACTGTGCATAAATGCGATCGATTCTTCATCGAGACGTATAGGTGCCAGACCGAAAGGTTCATGGCTGGCAGTACTCGGTACGAAACGGCTAAACCTAGTTGTTATTCCCAGTAATCATACAGTATACAGTACTAGTACCCAGGTACCAAACAGTAGTCTCGTCCTCGCCCATCGGTTGCCCGATCAGTCCTAGCTCGGGTTAAGCGACAAGGTCCGATACTAAATTCGCGAATTAAAAGCAAAAGAAGGTGGCTCGTCCCAACGCAATGTTACCCTAGTTCAGCTCAATTTAAGCACACCTTCCGAGCTGCTGCCATTGAGAAGCTGGGCGTTTTACACTGCCCCGTCAGTGTCTTCATCTTCATCTGCCGTTTGACGAACAAGACGAATGGGGCCAGTCGTCAGATTGCATAGGTACATGTCTTGTCGAAAGCAGATAATGCATCACTTTTCATGTCATCACCTTTCATGTCATCACTTTCCATATCACTGCAGAACTGAGATAGACACAGAAATGAAGACAGCGTGCTTGTAAGCATGAGGCAAGTGGCATGATGCAAGTGTCAGTCAGCAAATGCTTTGCTCTGTTCTGCTGCTGCTGCTGCCCCCCGTCCCCATTCCCAGGAAACCCGAAAAAGCCGCGTCCCGTTCCCAACCCCGCGGGCGAACGCTGATAACCCAGCACAGTGGCACCCCCTGGTCTTCGCATCCCGGCCCCCGGCACTTCCCCGGCCGCCGGGATTGGCTAGCTGCGGGCCAAGCCTAGCCTCATTTGTCAACTCTGCGTATCGGCGGTATCAGGCCAGAGCATTAACCTAGCGTCGTCGAATCACACACCGAGCTTTGGGGGTGGTGGTTGCCGTGCTTGCCAGACTGGCGGACACCATACCCCATTCAACCGCAGCTGCAGATCGGATTGCGCCAGCACGAGACACGTCTTCAAAAGCTCGCCTCCCCCGCATCATGTCCCGAGCCCTCGGTTCCTCCCTCGAGCTAGACAACGACAGACGGACAGACAGATAGTCAGGCAGTCAGCCGAGCCGTCTTTTCCGAGAACAGCTCACCCCTGATTCCTGAAGGCAACAAAGGCAACCCGCACTCACGATGCTTGACGTTGCCCGCGCCGGCGACTTGCTAGGCTGGGTGCTGGGCTGGGTGCTGCCCACGTCGAGGGCAGGCACCCTGGCGCTGGGCACCACGGTGATGCTCGGCCTGGCTTTCCTTGTCAAGACGTTCCTCACCTGGCGGCGGCTGCGCCACGTGCCGGGGCCGTTCCTCAACTCCATCACGCCGCTGGTGCTCACGTACCACTGCCTCAAGAACGACGTGACCACGTACACGTACGAGCTGTCGCTCAAGTACGGGCCGCTGGTGCGCATCCAGCCCAACGTGGTCGTGCACTACGACCCCGACACGTTCCGCCGCGTGTGCTCCGTCAAGGCCAACTACAGCAAGGGGCTGTGGTTCGAGTTCTCGCGCTGGGACCTCAACCGCCCCTCGTGCATCGCCATGCGCGACAACGAGAGCCGCAAGATCCGCAAGACCAAGCTGCTGCCTGCTGCAAGTAATTCCCATTTTCATTACCCCCCCTGCCCCTACCCCTATCCCCCCTACCCCTACCCCTTGGAATCTGTCTACCTTGTGTCTGTCTACCTTGTGCTAATCATTGGCACCCACACACAGTGGCAAGGCCAGGGCCTGTCCATGGCCGAGTCGCGCGTCGACAGCCAGGTGCGCGCCTTTGTCGACCTGGTCGGCCGCAAGTACCTGTCGACGCCCGGCAGCGCGAAGCCCATGGAGTTTGGCCACCGCGCCCAGTTCTTCACGCTCGACGTGGTGACGAGCGTCACGTTTGGCGAGGCCTGGGGATTCCTGAGCCGCGACGGCGACGTCGAGAAGTACCTCGAGACCACCGAGGCCATGATCCCCATGTTCGGCATCTTCGGCTCGCTGCCTTGGCTCGTGCTTGCCGTCCACGCCTGGCCGCTGAGCCTGGCCATGCCCGGCGAGGGCGACAAGATTGGCTTTGGCCGGCTGATGAAGTGGGTCGCCTTTCAACATTGCTTGGTTACCTTCGCTGACCGCTGAGATGCGCAGATTTGCAAGCGATGCCGTCCAGAAACGGCTCCAGCCCGGAGACCCCAACACCGAGCACGACCTCATCCGCGCCTACCTCCGCAACGGCCTAGACCCCGAGGACGTGGTCCAGGAATGCATCACTCTCGTGTACGTATCCCGCAAAGCACCAAACATATCAAAAAAAAACCCCCCAGCTAACCCGGAGCGCCTCCCCCCCCCCCAGCGTCGCCGGCTCCGAGACCACGTCCGTGGCGCTGCGCATGGCAATGCTGTGCCTCCTAACAACGCCATCAGCATACCGCAAGCTGCAGGCCGAGATCGATGGCTTCTACGTGGACAAAAAGTCAGCCAGCGACAACGACGGCGTCATCAGCTACGCCGACGCCAAGACGCTGCCGTACGTGCAGGCCGTGATCCGCGAGGCGATGCGGCTGTGGCCGCCGTCGGCGGGACTGTTCAGCAAGCAGGTGCCCGACGACGGCGACACGGTGCACGGCTTCTTCCTGCCGCCCGGCACCGAGGTCGGCCAGTGCGTCATGGGCTGCGGCCGCGACCCGCGCCTGTGGGGCGCCGACGCCCACGTCTTCCGCCCCGAGCGCTGGTTCGAGGTTGGTCCCGAGCGGTTTGAAGAGATGCAAGCCGCCGTCGACCTCATCTTCAGCTCGGGCAAGTACGTGTGCCTGGGCAAGCAGGTCGCCTACATGGAGCTGATGAAGCTGTTCGTCGAGGTATGTGTCTGTTTGCTGTTTGTTTCCCCGAGTTTGGTGGTTTGCTGACTGCCGCGCACAGGTTTTCCGCCGCTACGATGTTGCCGCGCATAACAATGCCCAGCCGTTGAAGTTGAGGGACCCAGTGACGTGGCTGTCGACGGACTTCTTCATACGCTTCACTGAAAGAGAGAAGGCGTGACGTTGACGGTTATGTTGACGGTCATGTTGACGGTTTAAGTTGACGGTTATGTTGACGGTTTATGTTGACGGTTTATGATGCGATATTTGCTGGGGCATGGGAATAATCATGACGGAATTGGAAATTGATCAGTTTACCTCTTTGCCTTCATCCGCACTGCTCTTGAAGACTTGACACCCTTCAGTCAGGGGCGGCCAAAGTCCCCTGAATTGCCTGCATTCTCTTCCTTGCAGCCTCCTACATGTAAGTCCTGACCGCCTTTCCCGCCTTCACTGCAAGTGATGCATCGATACGAGATCTCAAGGTGGTGTGTGTGGACTGGTGGCAGCTGGGCGAGGTCATGCCCTTCAGGCCACGCTCTTGAGCCTCGACATCGCCATTCAGCTTCGGGGCTTCAGCTGCTTGCAAGGTCGGTGTGTCATTTTCCAATAGTTTCGGACGGCTCTCGGCACCGCACTGCCACAGCCGTGGCCGAAAGGGGTTGTGTGATAGCTCTCTTTGCAGCCGGCTCCCCCTCCGTGGATCGTGATTCGTCCGCTGTGCACCTCCACGCAAGCCTCTTTTTTACGCTCGTTCCGTCTTGGGATGTTCTGACAGAAGCTGCATCCAATTTCTGCAGCTCTACATTTCGGTACCTTCTTTTTGAAGCTCCATTGACCTCTACGTCGCGGCTACATACCGACCGCCACAGCTGGACATCGGATGATCGGACATGGCCGTCGAGACGCCTTCGCGAAGGATCTAGCTTCTCTTTGATGCACTGCCACTGGGATCTTTGCATCGTGCTGATGATGGTTATATTGATTGTCTTCGGCCCATGGACCCCGATGACTTTGGCAGACTTGATAGAACAACCCGTCCCACCGCATTGAAAACCAGCGCAACGAATCACCTACAACACCACAACTGTGGCAGTTCCGTCGCGATGAAACTCTTTCAAGCCTGGATTCCCCTCATTTCCCTCTCTCTATACCACCCTGCCCAAGTCTCTTCCGCATTCACCTCGCCCCAGATCGTCCTGGACGACTCAGAAACACACGGCCTCCCCATCAACGCCTCGCTGGTCGTCAGCGGCTGCTCGAGCCCGAGCGTACCCTGGACTCCCTGCCCATCTCTACCGTACTACGGTCCCACCATCAAGTGCGCCACGATCCCGGTCCCTCTCGACTACTCGGCCCCGTCCGGGCCCCATGTCAATATCGGCCTGGTGTGCCTGCCCGCGACGAACGCGCCGAAGCGCAAGGGGACCATCGTGTACCTCCCCGGCGGCCCAGGCAACACAGCCGCCGGCATAGTCATTGACGCCGAGACGGGCGCGAACCACAACCAGTACTTTGACCACTCGAAGGAGTTTTACGATATTGTCGGCATCGATCCCCGCGGCCTCGGCCGAAGGTACCGTGGCTTCCCCAATCCCCGATGGCGCTAATAGTCATCGACCAAGCCGTCGCCGGCGTAGCTAACCACTGGTGACACGCGCTGCAGCCATCCCATCAAGTGCCAGCCCGCCGACTGGAACTCGGACGTGACGTACTTCCCAGCCAACGTCGGCGAGTTCAACAAGCTGGTCGGCCACTACGCGGCCGTAGGGCCCAAGTGCGCAGCAGAGACGGGGCCGGCCGACCTGATCAGCACGACCAACACGCTCACCATCGTGCACGACATCGAGCACGTGCGCACGCTGCTCAACGAGCCGCAACTCACCCTCTACGGTGACTCGTACGGCACCTTCACGGCACTCACCTACCTGGAAGAGCACGCCGCCACCACGCGCGCGCTGATCCTCGACGCCGTCGTCGACCATACGGTCGACACCGCCGTGCGGCTCCCGCGCGCCGCCGCCGCCGTCGAAGCGGCCTTCGGAGCCTGGGTATCTTGGTGCGCCACATCGCCCGACTGCGCGTGGCGCAGCCCCGAGAAAGACATCGTCGCGCGCTTCGAGAAGCTGATCGCCGTCGCCAACACGTCGCCATTCCTCCCCGCGCCCGACTGCCTCGTGTCGCTCGCGTGCAAGTCGCCCGTCAGCGGCTACGACCTTCTACTATCCCTGCAAGGCACGCTGAGCGCGCGCGCCGGCAGCGACGCGTGGAAGGCGCTGGCTGCGCGGCTGAACGCGGCCGAGCACGCGCGGGTCGCCGACGCGGCGTTGGCGCTGCCGTGGGCGGTCGATGACGAAGACTCGGCGTTCACGACGCAGACGATGCTGTGCCACGATTTTGATCACGGCGGTGCGGGGACGATGTTTGCGGCCGTGGCGGCGCTGATAGCGCAGGCGGCGGCGGCGGCTCCGCACACGCGTGGCGCCGGCATCGAGTCGGTCGTGCAGACGGCGTGCGTGGGCTGGCCGTTCGGGACCACGTTTCCGCCTCGCCTGCTGCGCGCGCCGCCGCGCGGCCACGTGCCGCCTGTGATTTTTGTGAATGCGCAGATTGACGCCGGCACGCCGCTTGCCGGTGCCGAGAACGTGTTTCGCCAGTTCGGTGGGGATGCTAATGTTGTGTTCTTGACGCGCCAGGGCGTCGGGCATGGCACGTACCGCGACGGGAGTGGTGTTATCCATGGGTTGGTGGAGAATTTTCTCGTCAAGGATGTGTTGCCGGCGACGGGGGTCTACAAGAGCTAGAGAGGGTGTTGAGGATTGGCGCCGTTCCGATTACTGCATGTTGCTTAGTGGTAGTGCGGGTATATGGTTCCAGGGGCAAGTAGAAAATTGAGTCTGGTAGGGAGTTCTCTCAGCAGGGGAATGCCTTTAATACGTGTTTTTGGAGAAGGTATGGGCCTCGGGGTTTTAAGTCAGGGGTTCTAGTATCTTTGACCTCTCTCGGGGGAGCACCTTTAGGGTTACCCTGTGTTGGGCTCTTCAGATTTTAGAAAGTCCCCCGCTCAAAAGGATTCAGCGATTAGCTTGTAGGCCTAGCCCAGAGTTGTTAATAAGAGTATCGACACACAATTGACTTCAATACACACACTAGGTGACATTAACTACCTGCCCACAATCGTCAACCGATTATCGACCAATTACTCCATGCCCCACCTCCGAAGTGCACGGCCAGATCTTGCAGTCTTGCAAGTAACTCTTCTTCTTCAGCCTCTTCTTCAGCCTCTTCAGCCTCTTCTTCAGCCTCATCTTCGTCGTCCACCTCTTCAATTTAAGGCCCTGCTTAAGGCTCCGCGGGAACCTCGCCTCCCATTAGCATAGTCCCTAGGTCCATGAACCGCTTGTTAGGATTGAGAATTTTCCTTCGTTTTTGGGGCCTAATACGCTCCAGTTGAGCCTCCAGGGCTTCAATACGGTGCTGCTTGAGTACCAATTCGGTCTGAGGCTTCTCAACGGCCGCCACAGCTTTCTGGAACTTTCATCTAGTCCGGGGACTGCTTCCTTTGCTAAAATCCCTAATCTGACGCCCTGTAGTTGGTATACTAGGGACTCCAGAGAGGACAGGGGTTCAGGGGTCTTTGCCCTGTCTTGCTGAATCTCTGGGTGGTTCAGGGCTTTTTGTCTATTAACAGGCCAATTTCCGGTCGTCCGGAATGATGATTTAACGGTTCTTCCTGTCAATGCTTCTTCCCTGGCTACCTTGTAGCAGCGAATGAAGTTATCTTGTCAATAGGTGCTGCGTCGGTTAGACTAGCCAACTTGGCTAGCTCACGTCTATAGAGAGCTTTGATAGAGTTGAAAGACCCGGTATCAAGTGGCTGTAAGCCGTGAGAGGTATGAGCCGGCAGGAAGCAAAGATATATATTATTTAGGCCGCATATCGTCAAGAAGTCGTTCTATATATATATATATTTTGGGATTCCTAGATAAAAGAGCATACGGGACTTATCTCTTGCAGTTATGTAGCTACCGTGGCCATCAAGAGGAAGCGCCGAGCCTCATTTTCGTAGTCCAGGGCCTGTCGGTTTGTGGAATGAAAATATCCTCAAGCCAGCTGATCGCTATTTGGCTGTCAGTCCAGCCCTTTTCTGTAGTAACGAAGCGCCAGTTGCAGATTTTCTGCATTTCCTCTTCAAACCACGATATTTGAAGGCTTTTCCTTTAAAAATGAGAGCGTAACCCTCCACTGTTAAATCGTCGCCATGCACTGTAAGTACAAAGGCGCCCAAGCGTTACGGCCCACCGCCCAGGAAAATACCACGTTTTACAGCTAAAATTACCGCGTTCGCTGGCTGCCCCGCTCTAAGCGCTGGCAATGCAGTTGTACCGCAATTGCGCCTCGCCGCCGTCGCCAACGTCAACACATTTCCGAATGCGGTAATTCCATCTCAGGGCCGTAGATTCGCTCAAATCGTTCAAATCTACAATAAAAAGTGAAGCTGACTTCGTTGAATTCGCTTACATAACAGGGCCAAAAATGCAATAAAAAGCAGGCCTGCTTATAACTACTTACAACTGCATGCAACTGACAGCCTTACTGATCCATGCCTTCCGCCCAGGCAGTAGGTCGCGGGACCCTTCTACTTCGCGTAGGCCTTACAATACGACCTTCGGCTGCAAATGCAGTAGTGGTGCGCGACCTTCCCCGAAGGTGTTCGACTCCGTCAAACTCCCGGTACTACAAGTAATCGTCTTCATCAAGTAATGACCTCTCAAAGTAATTACTAATATGGATGGGATTCAACCTTCTGAAGCTTCAAAGTGCCTGCCCTGTGACGCTGAAGAAGCTCGTGAGCACAAGGGATTACTGCGCCCGGAACCGACCGGTACAGGGTTCGAGAGGCGCCCGGAGGTGGTCGCCGAGGGCATTTATCATCTTCCGGTATTGATATGCAACACGGTCCAGGGCGTCATAACAGATGTGATATAGAGCCTCACCAAGCCACTCCTTTCCTAGGTAAGCGAAGCGAATTCGTGTTATTTATTCATAAGCCTCTTCATCATAGGCTTCCTTCATGCCCTATACCATATTGAAGCTTAGTGGAAAGGTAAGGTTCGGTTGCGTTGTGGTAAAAGTGGTAAATTACCATGCGGCAGAATCTTAAATGTACTGGAGGGCGGGGTGGGTGGCCAGGGTTAGGGTTATATGTGGGGGATTACAGTGCATGGTGACGATTTAACAGTGGAGGGTTACGCTGTCTTAAAAATAATGCCCGGGTCGAGTGCGAGGCCCCCGGCACTGATGCATTCGATGATTGTGGACCAGCCTCGAGGTTGGTCGCTTTTTAGGTAGGCTTTCTTCGTCTCTGATGTCCCTAGGACTAAGAAATCAAGCCCTATATAGTATAAGTAATAGATAATACAACTAAGCATTATTTACTTACCAAAGCCTGCCATAATACCGGCCTTATCGACGTTGAAGGTAAGCTCAGGCCTGATCCAGTTGTATCATTTCTCCCTTATATTGAAGCACCAGTTAACGGCTTTGGGGGAAACCCGTTTAAATGAGCGGCTTCCATTCTCTTGCCTGCTTTGGCTCGAATGTCGGGGTTTCTAGCTTTGAAGCTAGAAATATAGTTTTTCCCTATAGGGTCTTTTTGTCCTGCTTCTTTATAGAGTCTTGATGCAATGTTAGATACTGTTGACTAACTCGGAGCAAAGCCGAGTCTTTCCTGCTTGACGATGCACTCAATGAGCCGCTTTTCTTGAGGCTCTGTGAGCCTGCGTTGCGTTTGGAGGATCTCTTTTTGGGGGGGACTCCGTTGAGTCGTCGGTTCAAAGTTGTACAAGAAACTCCATGCTTTTGAGCCGATTGACGAATAGAAATCTTATTATCTGTGACGTCTAGGTACGCATTGACCATATTATCGTCACTTCTTCAGACATTGTGGTAGTACAAGACGCAATTCACGCTCAAAGGTAGGGGGAGAAGAATGTTAAGAAGCTAATTTGGAGTTAATTTGGAGTTACTTTGGAAAGATGTAGCAAAAAAGTAACGCTTTTGGGCTGATAAATCAATACTAAAATTAAACTGTATGCAATTACATAACTAGCTCAATTCCCTACTTGCAAACAGCTTCACAATTGACTGCGTTATTGTTGTTCAAAAAGGTAGTGTTTTGGTGTAAAAGGGTGATCCACTGCTGGGTGATCCGTTGGGGGGTGGGGTATGGTACACTCCCAAACGACTGGGACAACTATAGCTCGCTAAAAACAACCCACATTCTTCTATACAAATACACAGTCAACCACAAACTCGAGTTCCTCCGTCCCACCTCCACAAAGTCATTTCTCAACCTCCTCAAGATCATACAAGAATGGATCGTCTTCCTCAGTCGTAACAAGAAAGGGGCAATCCTCATGATCTTCCTCGGAATAGGCAATTGCATTCCCTGGAGGGAAGGAATGTGCTCCTTGGCATATTGGTGACACTGATTGACAAAGTCAATCATGGCAAGGGTTGGAGCAGACGTAATCCAGTCGCTGGTATCACCCTGTGCCGTCCACTTCAACGTATACGGTGCTTCGTTCTCGTCGCCCTCTTCCTCTTCGGCCTCCTCCTCGTCCGTCTCCCTCTCGTCGGCGTTCTTGACAATACGAAACGCCAGCCGGAGGGCCATCCTTTCAATATCAAAAATTTCTCCCGCCGACTCGGCAGAAGGACGCTCGCTTATCAGTGAGCGGAAAGGCAACAGCCCTAAACAGCCCTATGAAGGTGTGAGAGCCGCCACGGTATGAAACCCGGGGCGGACAATTGATGTCAGCACCCTCACCTATCAAGACCTTCATGAGACCGATCTCTGTTGCAAGCTTCAACAGACGGAGCAGCATCTTGCCGCCGCCGGCCTTAGTACCGGTACAACGTTAGCTTAACGATCAGACAATAACAGAAACGGGGGGATCAGTTAGTTTACGTAGTCTTGTAATCTCGAACGCGGAGAGGCCTAGATGCTTTTTGTGGGTGTAGTAAATATCGACTTTGTCGGAAGGACCAGACTTGTCAAACGAGAGAGACGGAAGGAGAGTGCTGTATCCCAATGATGGCCCGTCTGTATGCTAGGCCTAGGCAGCTAAATCCGGCACGCCCAGGGTGGATATTAGCAGCTACCTACTCACAATTGGCGGGTCATTTTACTTCACCCCTTTCTTTTCAATTTGGAGGTCTTGAGGAACAATACAGTGCTTTAAGACCGCGGAGTGGGGACCAATGACTTCCTCCATCGATGCAACTCTGCTATCAACCCACCTCTCACGTCAACTCCGGGTGGTTCGGACTCATCTCAGCACCGCCTCTCCAAGAAAAAAACTGCCTGAATGTGCTGGGATAGGTAGCCGAGAATCTACACAGACTACAATCTACACAGACTACAATCTACACAGCCTACAACCTACACAGCCTACAACCTACACAGCCTACAACCTACACAGCCTATAGCTAGTATAAGTATTGTTGCCACACCCGCAGGCAGCGGGTATCTATTGTGTCTGGCTGGTGCAGCGGTACTCTACGACACATTATCGCGGCAAACTAAACATGCATCGCTTCTCTCTCCCGCGCTTCCGTGGCGAGTGGGCCGCCCAGGTGCGCGTCCCTGTTCTGGTCACCATCGCCGAGCGCGACGTCTTCTGGAAGGGCACCGCCGAGGCCGCGCGCGACTTTGCTTCTGCGTTTACTAGTAGTAAGACGGTCGAGTCGGCGCTCGTCAGGGGCGTGCCGCACAACCTCGAGATGAGTTATGGGCGCAGGCCTGGTACGGCCGCGGCTTCGGGTTCGCGCTCGAGTGCGCCGTCGAGTATGCGCTGCTGGCCTGATTCGAGGGGCTGGGGCTGTCTCTTTGCTCGCTCGCTTGCTTGGCCGGTGTCGGGATAGCTGGGCCGCAGCCAGGGGCTGCCAAGGACAATCGTCATAGGCACACCTTGGCCACCCGGTAGTTAAAGCCGTTTATTCCGGAGGCTTTCGTGTGTCGTTGCCCGTGGCCGCCTATGTCCCCCCTGGCCGCCTATGTCCCCCGCTGTGGCGCTACACGGCGGTGGCAGAGGTGATGGGCTGGAGGATGCGCGTCAGCATGGATGACTGCAGGTTGGGGTGCGTATAAGCCTCGGTAGGTCGTTGAGTCAGCACCCAATCGTCACGTCACGTCATCTAGCCGACCAGACCAGGCAGGGATCGGGCCATGTGTTGTGACATTGATGAGCCATTTTGAGATGCCGTCATGACCTTCATTGGCGGCCGCGGTTACATAGCACGACGCCCGACGCTCCTTGGCTTTCCAAGCCCGCCTAGGGTGGTATCAAGTGTTTCTCGGCGCTGCCTTTTGCTTACTGTGCAGTCTGCATCTCTAACAGATACCAAAGTGCCAGCATCCAATCGGTGGCTCTCGAGTTGTGCGCTTTGCCGTGTGATTGTCACCCTACAACACGTGGGGGTTTTGTCCGGCAACCTAGAGGAACAAGGGCGGAAAGCACGCCGCTGTCAGCGAAACGAGGCCGATTAGCCCGCCGTAAGCGAGGCTTTGTTGTCGCTAGTATTGCCAGCTTTAGCATGGTAGACAGGTATCAGATATCAGATATCAGATATCAGACTATATCATAGCCATAGTTCCGTGCCTCTTCCCACCACAACTGCACGACGCCAGCCATCAACCGCCTCTTTAGTTGAAGTTTAGGACATCCTGTCAATCAAAAACCCCCTTTCAAACCAACGAAATGGCCAGCCCCTCTGAGCAGGCCAGCCCCTCTGAGCAGACCCTCCTCGTCACCGGCGGCACCAGCTTCGTGGCGGGCCACATCATCAAGCAGGCCCTGGACAAGGGGTACCACGTGCGCACGACGGCACGGTCCGAGTCGTCGCTGGCCAAGTTGCGTGCCACCTTCGCCGCGCACGGCGACAAGCTGACCACTGCCGCCGTGGCCGACATCACCAAGCCCGGGCTGTACGCGGCGGCGTTCGCCAGCCCGACCAAGCCCGTCACGGGCGTGCTGAGCGTGGCGTCCCCCTTCGTGCTGCAGGTCGGCGACAACGTGCGCGACCTACTGCAGCCGGCCATCGGCGGCGGGCTGGCGGTGCTCGAGGCGACCCGGCGCTTCGGGCCGGCCGTGCGCCGCGTCGTCGAGACGTCGTCCTTCGCGTCCAACCTTGACCTCGCCCACGGCGCGCGCGCGGGGTACACGTACACGGCGGCCGACTGGAACCCCATGACGTACGAGCAGGCCGTGTCGGCACCGGCGGGCGCCGCCTACTGCGCGTCCAAGGCGCTGGCCGAGAAGGCCATGTGGGACTGGGTGGCCGCCGAGACACCATCCTTCTCGCTCGTCGCGCTCAACCCGGCGTGGGTGTTTGGGCCGCACGTCGATGCAGCTGCCGTCGCCGACCCGGCCAAGCTCAACACGTCCAGCGCCGCGCTGCACGCGCTGCTGGGCGCCGCCGCCGTGCCGCCGTTCGACCTTGGCGCGTTTGTGGACGTGCGCGCCTTGGCTGCTGCGCAGATTGCGGCGTTCGAGACCGACGCGGCTGCCGGCCGGCGCTTCATTGTGGCGTCGCATTTTGACTACCAGAGTGCGGTGGACGCGCTGCGCGCTGCACTTCCCGAGATCCGCGACCGTGTCCCTGAGGGCACTCCGGGGGATGTTCCTGTGTCGTATGCTGTCGATGGTAGCGAGGTCGAGGCGGTTCTCGGCGTCAAGTACATCCCGCTCGGCGAGACCATGAGGGACTCGTTTGCGCAGTTTCTCGAGGCAGAGAAGCATGCTCCTGTTGAGGCTGCTGCTTGAGGCTGCTGCTTGAGGGTGGGCGTGCTTGTGACTAGCATGGATCTTGTTTCGTGAACTGCGCTTTGGGAAAGATTCTGCATGTGAAATGACAATACAAGAGAAACGGCGCTTCTTTTCTGTGCACGGTATCTCCAAGTCGCGATTGCGTTTTATGTATTAGTTTGTCTCTCCAGACCCAGGCCCAGACCTTGCATCTCCATCCGTCGACAGAATTCTCACTCTATGCTCTACGTCGAACATGTCTCCAGCGCTCCTGTAACACGCGCTCCACGTCAGCCTCATTTCTCACACTTGGCCCATAACAGGACCAGGAGGGAGAACATAACAACAGCAAAGACCATACTCTTGCAGCCCAGATCTGTCCAGCGCATAGCCAGCCAGCAGTGCCAGGCGGGGATATATCCCCAGGCCCTAATCCAAGCGTACGATGTCAGCCCAGATGCTCGCCACGGATTGAACAGGTTTGGTATTAAGTAATAGTTACTTCTCCCCGTCGATAGCCTCTCCGTCCCGCATGCACTGCACGGAGAACTGCTGGGCCGGCTGCACTCCGCGGACGGTTGCGTAGTCGCGGCCGGGGCCGGCGCGGCAGTTGACATAGCTGCTGGTCCCGCTGACGCTGCACACCTTGTCTGCCTGGCGCGTGTCGCTGACGGCGGCGCTGCTGCCCGGTGCGAGCAGGGCCGCAAAGGTGATGGTAGGTGCGAGCTTCATCTTGAGAGGGTGGCTGGGATGAGGGTAAGAGTCGGTCGACAAGAGGCGTGTGCGAGGATGAGGGAAACGCAATGGGAACCAAGTTGTCGGGGGAGATGAAAGGAAGGGGGTATTTATTCCGTGGCTGTTACCTTGCTTGCCCCTGGCCAATGTGTAGTGTGACTGGTTCACATAGAAATATGCCTTAATAACCTTGCAAGTGAGAATTGCACGGCCATGTCTTGGGTAATCGTCTAGCCGCGATTGGAGGCCCCTGTGGCAAAGGCTGCGGTATTAGCCGGAAACACTTTCGGTTGTGCTCTTGGCTGCGGAATACCCGGCCCAACAGAGTTGCTGGATAGGTTTGACGGCTCGGGGGGCGATTCTGGGCTTCACAATGCTACCAAGTGCTACCAAGACTGTGTTTCCGGTACACAGTAACACCTGTGCCCGTTTGCTATGATGTGACGTCAATGAGATGATTATATTCCATCGCACTTATTAAACCTTTGACCCAGCGCTCTTTACCGAGGCAACGTCCTTTTCATTTTAGACATGCTGTGACACAGCGCTCTTTACCGAGACAATGTCCTTTTCAATTTAGACATGCTGTGTAGTCACAGCCACCTCACTCGTCGTCCTCGTCGTCCTCGTCGTCCTCGTCGTCCTCGTTATCCTCATCGCCTCGGAGTCGCTTGTTCTTCGCAGGGTCGGATTCATGGTGTTGGATTTAGTCAGTTGCACGGTTGGATAGGTTCGATTGTGTGTATTCTTGTGTGTTCCTTCAATTCCTGGCTCTCGCCCGTTCTTCTAGAAGTCTCTGTTGTGGCGCACCAGCCCCCCCCCCCTGCGGTGGATCGGCGCCACGACCGGGGTCAACCACGTGACTTGGCATGTCGCTAATCTGACACGGCGACCGAGCTTGCAGCCGTCCTCATCACCACGCTTTTCACAGCAGGTCCACACGAATCCTTCCGGGTACGACTCTTGATTTTCTCCTGTGTCTACCGGGCCACGGCAATTTTAATCGTAGTCGGCCAGGTATCGCAATCGTAGTCGGCTCCATGACCCCTGCGTGTTGATTGTCAGCTAAGCCCCTCGAGTAGAGGCAACGCAGGAGACGCAAACGAGAAGGAAATGTGGATATCGAATAACAGGGGAAAAAAATGAACGGCACTGTCAACGCACCATCGTGGTATTGGCACTCCTTGGCGGTGTTGTCTGCCTCGTCAAACGAGGTTTCGCCTGGACGCAGATGCTCCACCCGGATTTGACTTTCCGTTTGGTGATAAGGCATTTCGTGAGGACGCTCCACACACGCTAGCTCAAACAGAGCACACCGGCCTTTGCTAGTGTCTTGATTCCGCACGTACTAAAGCGCTAACAGTGGGACTTTGATTAAGCTAGTGAGGATCATTCTATTGCAATATCATCTCCAGGGGTCTGCGATTAGCGTTCACATGAGGAGGCAGCTGAGTGATAGAACTTCACGCAGTGGTTCTTACAGAATAAGAAGTCAGCCTGACCTAATCACAATCGGAGAGGTCTTTGGGTAGGTTTAAGGTGGTACAGGATGAAGAGGAGGCGGCCGACTCAGACGGTGCACAACCTAAGAGCCACCCCTAAAACTAGGATAAGACGGTTCAGTGGAGAGTGGCCTATGGGAATTATGACGGGACGAGACATTGCGGCGTTTGGGTGCAGGAAGGCGTACCAGAAACAGTAGGGTTTCTGGCGAGTAATTAATTATTCATTAGAGGTTGGACGGGATTTGGGCACGTTCGTAGTTGACGCTCGTGGCTAGAAGCCTCAAATTCCGTCCGAACCTCAACCCCTCTACAAACAGTTGCCACTGTTGAGCTGCACATGAACAATAGGAACCAAGTAGCAGCATAATAATGAATAACAGTGAGCGCATCTGAACAGTGGTTCTGGTGGTAGTTGACCCGTCAACCTTTAAAACCACCTTCAGCTATTCCTTGCAATTGCAGACCTTTTACACTCCCATATCGTCCTGCAACTTCTGCCTATCGACATTGGACTTTCACTTCACATCTACTTCTTTGGACACCACTTCACGACCAAAGGACTGAACATTGTATGCCTTTCTCCTCCAACATCCTCATTGTGGCTCAAAAAGGTGGGTGGCTGGCGAGATCATTCTTGCGTAGTGAATAACGAAGGTTACGGGGTTGACGGCGATTGAAGTCGATGCTGGGGAACTTTATGCGTATATCAATAGCGATATCGCGGTTCAGGACGCTCGGCCTGTCATTGTACGAGGCTACGAATGCCTTCTCTTCGTCGGTCCAGAACCGCCGGGGGCGGAAGACTTTATCGGGGTCCTTCTCCAGCTTGTGGTTATGAGCCGACTCTTTCAAGTCGAAGGTCCATTTCTGGTTGTCCTTGACCAAGGCCGTTGCAACAGCCTTGAACTCACAGTCACACTCCTTGGGGTAGTTTGTTTGTGAGAAGGCTTCTGAAGGTCGCGTTTTATTCTGTAGGCAGGAAATGTCGACCCTTGTAGCTCCGAAGTCCTTGACATGGTTGTTGGAGCGCATTTTCTTGATGAAAAAGCCGACTGAAATAGCACAGGCTTGAAGATCATTCATCAATTGATCGATAGTGTCATATTTGTGGCTCCAAAGCTTGTGGTCCGGCAGCGGGCGCGGGGCGCGATCAACCTGTTCATCGGGGTCGCTGAGGGTGAAGGGGTCGTCAAATGCACCCGGGGGGTCGCGCGCAGCCATTTTCTATCGCTAGTTAGCTACTGAGTTCTGTAGATTGAAGATGAAGCTGCGCGCATACTTGCGTGGCGATAAAAACCGCGTGGTTGTTGTTGTTATGCTCAATTGACGGTGTTGGTTGAATGTGGAAGGATTTTGTGGATTTGGCGATGGCTCCACTTGCAGGTAAAGATTTGGTCTTTTCCTCGTCGGAAAACTCTATCCATTTCGTATCGTGTCTGGTTTTTCCAATAGTCGTCGGTCTATATTCGGATTATTAAAGCATTAGGGGCTACGTAAAGTAAATATATTGACGGGGAGTGGGAAGAGACTATGCAGAGTCGTTTATATTGAACATTTCATTATGCAATCTCTTCATTAATCCGCGAGATTTGCCAGGTTTTTACCAAATATGTCTTGGCGGTCCCCGGATTAAACTATCACTTCCTGATCGACCACAAGCGTAATAAACAAGAGAGCGTATTTATACACTGTTAAATCGTTGTCGTGCACTGTAGGTACATCGGCGCCAAGGCCTTACATCTCGCCTCCCAGGAAATTACCACATTTTACAGCTAAAATTACCACTTTCGCTGGCTGCACCGCTCTAAGCACTGGCAACGCAATTGTCCCGTAATTGCACCTCGCAGCCGTCGCCAACGTCAACACATTTCCGAATGCGGTAATTCCAGCCTAGGGCCGTAGAATCGCTCAAATCGTTCCAATCTACAATAAAAATCTAAGCTGGCTTCGGTCAATTCGCTTACGTAACATGGCCAAAAATGCAATAAAAAACTGCAGCCTGCCACAACTGCTCACAACTGCATGCAACTGACAGCCTTACTGATCCATGCCTTCCGCCCGGGCACTCGGTCGCGGGACCCTTCCACTTCGTGTAAGCCTTACAACACGACCTTCAGCCACTGCAGAGGCTGCAGGGCCACGTGAAGCTCGTGATGTTGTGCCGCCCCGGCTAACACGCTGCGTGCCTTGGTGTTGAGCACTGCTTGTTGCCCTGCCAGCCCGGCTCCCTGTGCCCCGAGTGGTTGTGTCCCGAGTGGTTGTGCCCCGAGTGCTTGTTGCCCGGCCGTATTGAAGAGGGCAGAAGCGGCCCAATCGTTCAAATCCTCGATAAGATCACCGAGGCTATCATATTTGGTGTTGAAGAGCTTATGGCCGGCCGGCGGGTTCGAGAGTGGTGATGGCGGCGGTGCATTTTCATCGGGCGCCTCGCTGATATCGCCAAAGTCGCTCAGATCGCTTAGATCTTCAAAAAGCGGACTTTTTTATCACTAGTTAGTACTGCGCGACGAAGAAATGAAGCCATACCGATGCATCGATTGAATGCGGTGCCGACGATGTTTTTTGGTGGTTGTGGAAGGTCGGTTGTAGTGGAAAGGTAAGGTTAGGTTGCGTTATGGTAAAAGTGGTAAGTTACTACGCGGCAGAATCTTGGGAGTACTGGAGGACCACAGTGCACGACAACGATTTAACAGCGTATAAAAATGCTCTCATAAAAAAAGATTTAGACAAAGAAGCTCTCTCAAGCCTATTGTCTCATATGGTCTCTAATTCCGGGCACGAGTCGAACCGGGCTACTGAGGAAGATACAGCAGTGTTCCCCTCACACCATACCTGATTAATGAGCCGTGCAATGCTTTTGTAATTTCCTTCTAATGTCACAGTGGATACATACGGAAATAACTAAATAGGTGGACAGTGCTAGCGCCGTTGCCACTTTCAGTCTCGCTAAAACCTCATGTTCCCGCCGCGATGAGCCCCCAGGCCCAATTGGATGGGGGCTGTATTCGTCTACGAGATAATGGGTTTGCAGGACGGATATCCTCCCCCACAGAACATACCTGAGGATGTTAACGGCTCGGGCAGCGAGATGGGGGGGGAATCAGTCGACTGAGGAAAGAGGGAAACCTAACCTCTAAATGACTCTTTATTTGATTTCCCTCTTGCTTTTCCATGGTCAATGGCGACCTTTATGTGGGTGGGGGAACCTGGAAGCTCCGAATGATAGAGGGGGGCATTCATCACCATCGGCCAAAGCAGAATGTCCGAAGATAATTTACAATAATAGCTCTATAGGAGATAACTCTTTCCAATCTGTTACTTATCGTTCCCAAATTCCCTAATATCTCAGTCGAACTTCCATTCCAATATACAGGCCGTATCCGATAGCCGACTAATAATTCCAATCTTTCCTAACAAAACACCTCGTCCTAGCTCAAAGGGACAAATCAAGCTTAGCCAAGAGACCCAACACCCATCCACCAACGAACCAGAACAGACGGACCAATCCACATAACAAACCAGAATAAAATAGACCAACCCACGCAATAATAAGACCAAGACCGAACAGGCTCACCAGCGCAAGAGACAATCCTCCAGTACCAGCCGAGCATTATAAGTAACTCCTCATGATAGCAGTGAAGTCCCTTAACCCGAGCCTGCACAGCCCCGAAACCCAAGAGTTTTACCAAGTTCCGAGCATGCCGCGGCCGTTTATGCACGGCCGCCACGATACCACTCCTCCAGCTGGGAAGAAGGCTGTCGAGGCTGCTAGAGGGGTACCGGCATGTCACGATACCACTCCTCGCCCGGGGTGGGAGAGGGCTGTCGTTAACGGCGGCGGATCAGGCGGGGTTAGTGCAGCAGCAGCCAGGGTGGGCGACAATATATTGTTTGCTGACGAATCAATTATCGCATATTCGTCAATATTTGCTAACAAATCTGCGATATTCGTCGATGCTGAGTAATCAATTCCAATATCTGCTTAGTCATCCACATTCATCTCCCCTCCTTCAATATTTACAAGCCCTGACCTTATCCAATGCTTCAAACACTCAAGATATTCAACCGTATCTTCACCTAACTGCATTCTTTCCCAAGATATTGTGCGGCGAGCCCCTGAAAATACTCTCTCCGGCTCAGCACTCATTGCTGGAATAGACAAAATGTTGATTGCCAGTTGAGATAGTCTTGGCCAGCGTTGTTGTTGTTGTGCATTCAGCCACCACGATAATGCTGAAGATTGGATTGGAATTGCAGCTTCTGAGATATACTCCTCGAATTCGTCTTTCGCTTGCATCATTGGAAGGATATCAAGATTTTGAGCAATGAGATCAAATTGGTCGAGATTTTCATCAATTTGCATCGATGATATCGTCGGAGGTGTAATTACTGACTGGTCTTTGTACTCCTCCCAGAGTTTTTTGACTGAGCTGATTGCTGGCCGTATCCATTTCTTATCACAATTGCGTTTGAGATATAAGGTTCGTCGTGATGGATGAAAAATTACCGCTGCTGCATAAAACGGAGACTCCTCTGTCTTTGGGTAATATTTATCGAAAACAGCCCAGCTTTTCTGAATCCGAGAGGATAGGAAAGGGTTGGATTCGTGTAATGAAAAGCTATTTTTAAAGTGCTGAGCAAGAACATCCATAGTAAATAAAACCCGGTCAATTGTTGCTTGATCTCCTTCGGTCATTTTTGTTGCTCGATAGAATGGTTGTAGAAAGGCCAATATTAATCGCAGATGTTCCCAATCGTCTGGAGAAAGATAATCCTTTTGGAGAGGTTCATACCACGATTTGATATATGAATCAATTGCACCTTCTTTTTCAAGTGCAACTTAGATCATCAAATACCAACTGTTCCATCGTGTAGAATTATCCAAAGGTATCATTCGGCCAGCAAGTTGAATGAACTGATTTATTCGAGTCGGGGATCCTCGGATATGGGTGATGTTGTGGAGTTTGATAAGAGGACTAAGATCAAGAGAGATCTGAGCCTCCTCTGCTTCAGTATTTTCATCTTGATTATCCATCTTCTTGAATAGAAATGCCTGGACAGCAAGATTGATGATATGCCCATTACATCGTATTCGATTGTCCGATGATGACCAAGAAATTTTCTTCTCACTGAGATCTGCTTCGAAGATCCTGCAAAGATTGTCGTTTGTTGAAGCATTGTCGCTAATGATTGTCCCAATCTTCGATAGAATGTTATAATCTTGAAGGACGAATAAAAGCGCTTCGTATTGAGTTACTGCATGATGTGATGTGATAGGAGGAAGTCCGATAAGTGCCTTTTGGAGGGTTTCCGATTCGAAATCCACAAAATGAGCACAAACTGCTAGGAATAGTTTCTGATTCGGAGAAGTCCAGACATCAATAGAAAGGTGAATCTTTGAGCGAGATGATTGAAGTTTTTCCGAACGATATCTTTGTGAAAAAGCCAAGATTTTTTGATGTGTTCTTTGATTATAGAATGTGCTGAAACGACTTCGTTTGATACTAATTAATTAAGAGCTTTGCAGAGCGTATAGAATCGAGGGCTTTCGACGATCCGGAAAGGAAGATTGTCAACCACAATAAGCGAAACAATCGCCTGTGTAATAACTTCTTTATTTAGCGCTCGTTTGAAGATTTGAGCATCAAGTTCAGAAGTCTGGTTGATCGTCATTGCTTTCTCATATAGAGATTGCAATGTGGTGTTGCTGAGCTCGTCAACCTTTCTCGGTTGGTTAGGAGCTATGATTCCGTGCTTTGATTGAAGGTGTTGTCGGAAGTTCGTTGTGTTTTGAGCACTCCATGCTAAGCAATATTTGCAATAATACATACGGTTTTTGCCCTTTCGTGCTGTCTCTCCATCTTGAGGCGGTCGAGTATGTTCCAGAACTAGGCTTGGAGCTCGGCCTGTATCTCTGGAGGTTGAAGAATCCTCAGAAACGAAAGACATCTTCCTTTGGTCAGAAAATAATGAGAATGAGAAGGATTTGGCAGATTTTTGGTGGTTAGTTGCGTTGGGCATCGAAATATTCGTTGGTTGTGCCAATTGGCAATGCCAGCTGGCAAGTTGTGACCATACAGCTGTAAACTTGACTGTCAGCTAGCTGACTAAGCAACGAATATCGTCAATATTTGCGATATTCCGAATACGGATACATCCGCTGACAAATACACGAATATTGTTATTCGTCGCCCACCCTGGCAGCAGCTGCTGGACTGCCCACGGTGAAGGGGATGGCTGGCGGAGTTGGCGGAGTTGGCCCAGCGGCCGGGGAGGAGCCGACGGTCCAGGGCGGCCTTGTCTGGGCCGCGGGATTTCGTTGGCGACTGCCGCCAGTTCAGTTATCTGGACGGGAGAGGGCGGCTGTGCTGCCGCAGGCGGCTGACGAGCAGGCGGGTTTGTCACCAGTTGGCGAGCGGGCTGTCGAGGCTGGTTTGACGGACGAGGAGGAGCCGAGGGGCCCTGGTTGTTGTTCTGTGGCCGATTCTGTGGCATCGGGGCTGCCGGGCGGGGACGATTGGTGGCTCTAACGGCCTGCTCGCGCCGTTCCCTCTCTTGCTTGGCGCGTCTCTCCCTCCCCTCCTCCTCGCGTCTCTCCCTCCCCTCCTCCTCGTGTATCTCCCTCTCCTCCTCCTCGCGTCTCTCCCTCTCAACCTCCATCCTCTCTTCTTCTCGTTGACGACGACGTTGCTGCCTCTCGGCACGCCTCTGGTCTTCCTCCTGGGCCCTCCTCTCGGCGTACTGTTTCTCGTCCTCCATGGCCAATAACCTGCCCTGCTCCCACTGCTGGCGGCGGCGCTGGCGTTGCTCGTCAGCCCTGACCCTCTCCTGTTCTTGTTGGCGGATGAGTCGGTCCAGCACGGTGTGGTATTCCTCGTCTTGTTGACGGCGCCGATTCTCTTGCTCGGCCTACTTCCGGTCTTCGTATTCTTGCTGGCGGCGCCGTTGCTCATTCGCGGCGCGCTGACGGTTTTGCTCTTGCTGCTGGTGGCGCCATCGCTCTTTCTCGGCGCGCTGACGGTCTTCTTCCTTCCTCTCCTGACGCCGGCGTTGCTCTTCTTCGGCGTATTGTCTGGCTTCCTCCTCCCGGACCCGTTTTTGCTCCTCTTCCTCTTCCTTCTTCTTCCGTTTTTCGTCCTTCGCGGCCTGTTTCCTGGCCTTCTTTTCTTCCTTCCGGCGACGTTCTTCGAGGCGCCAGGGCTCCTTGCCCCAGTCATACCACATGTCGCGCAGGGGCTATCTGTGTATTAGCTGCCGCTTAGGCTTCTAGGGCTTGTCCGCTTCGCGCTTGACCGAGGTTCCTCCTCGCCGCTCTCAGACGGCGAGCCATTGCGATGGCCGTGCTCCTTGTCATGTCGCTTCTTCTGCTCGCGCAAGGCCTTCCAGTTGATGCCGAATATGTTGGCGACTGAGATAGTGATTGAGGTAAAGCGGATGGCGATAAAATGAAGAAACTGAATGACGTTCGTCGGGAAGAGGGGTGACTGTAGAAGGAAAGTTAGTACCGCAGGCTTGGGTATCGCAATAAAGTACTGAAGAGATGTCCAGCAAAGTTGGTAAGAAAAAAGTCGAATGTCGATTGGTGAAATATGTAGAAGGTTTGGGGGTGTGAAAGTTTCTGCAATTAATAGAGCTGTAATATAGAGGAGGGGCAGGTAAGTTGTTGGAAGGCCGACGGATTGACCAGCCGTATTGTTCAGGCACATTTACTGCTTTTCATACGGTAAGTTGTACCAAATTTCCATGAACACTGAACAGGGGGTTCATTCGGACGAAACTCCACTAGTCTCTTGCACGTGAACTTTTCTCAGAGAGTTCAGCAAATCAGGGGCCAGTAATACAACGCAGATGCAAATTTGGATGTAGGAAGTTCTATATAAGATGAGTAATTAAGCGGGCTGATGTGTTTAGTTGTGCTGCCTGTAATCTCTGGGGAATCGCGTCGGGAGCCCCTTAAACCTCAAAAATAATTTAGAGTGTGCCGCAATCATAATTAGAGATGTTAAAGCTGAGAATAAAAGTAAGAAATATGAGATGCAGTTCTAGTTGGCCGAACATGCTCTGGATTATGAGGGGCGTACACTGGGGTTTAAGTAATCTCATCAACTAGAGATGGGTGTTTGCCGACACTGACTTGATTGTAAGTTTTGCTGGCATTTTTTGAAGCGAACATCGTGCCGCCCTAGTCAAACCACAGTCCTGATTATCTAGCCCCGATTGACGGTAAAATCACGTACCTAGCCAAAGGAAAGGAAGAATCTAGTAGGTACATATTAACATTCGTGCAAAACACCATCTAGGGCAGGTTCCCCTCACAGCTAGCGCGACTTGGAGGCCATCCACGTGTCTAATTTGAAAGAGAGGCAGTTGAGTGGCAATGCTAAGTTCAGATAACCGACGACAGACGACAATGAGTTTTGCTACAGGTATTTTCGTAGTTGGGTAAGTGGCCTCTTTGTTCGAAGAGAAAGCTGTGTCGTTGGGATCCTCAACCAATGCGGCCCCTTTAACCGACCAACAAACAAAGGAAGATTCTATAGAAGCAAGTATATTAAACCCGAACCCTGCTACCCGCCGCGGAAGTCGGACCCGATTTCTAAGCTCTTTGTATACATTGTAAGCTAAGCGTCGAGAGCAACGTGACTTTTGTCGATCAACTATACATGGAGGTCGAGATCCTTATCTCGGTGCAGCCTCCGGGTTCAGGCAGAATTCCGCTCTGCCGTGTACGTAGCATGCGTATGCAGGAGGGCCAATGCTGAACTCTAGCCGGCATCCTGCCGCCGGCTGTCAGCTTTTCCCTAGTTGAGCTAGGTACCTAGGGGCTGATGGGCATGCGGGCCACTGCTGCAGCTACTGTTGCTGGTATCACTTGCATTCCCGTGGCGTCGTTGGTGCAGTCAATTGCCAAGAGACCAAGGTGAGGAAGTTCCGGCTGTCAGCTGAGATCATACGCTAGCAACACTCCTGCAGCTATGGAACGGACATTTGAGCACTCTATGGAATTGCTTCGACGGATAGAGAGTGAAATGAACGGACGCAGCATGAATACGGCCAATATATGCAACCGCGCCACCCACCGGCGCAATGAGGTGGGCGTGCCCAGAAACACATGCAGGATTACATCCATTCGTAAGCTTTGCAGATGGGGGCTACCGTGTCCCCGCGCGCGCATTTGAAGATAGGGTATCAAAATTCCATAGGGGTAATTATGTCCTAAGTGGGTTATCCGAAGCAGTGCCAAGCATATATTAACTGCATTGTCGCCTAGGTAGTTCATCGGGCAACCCATCCAGACATGATGCTGACCCCGATGTGTCTTTGCTGCCACCCCTATGGCTCTGACGTTTACCGCAATTCAGAGTTCCTACAGGCTACCTTTCCCAAACTCAGAAGGAAAGTCTGATTAATCATGGCTGGGCAACCCACGAACGTTGACAGGGGTTACTATCTTCATGGCGGCCCCGAGAGAGAGCCATCTCAAATCGGGGAGCCCCAAGAGGAACGCGAGGAGAGCCCAGACAACGTGATGCAAATCCCGAGAAACTTCCAAGCGGGAATTATTGTGAGGAGAACCAACCTCCCAACCGCGATGCCAACATTAGCTTACTCCGCCGCGGCAGGTCGACGACGATGACGACTGTGTCGACGAGGACGACTGTGTCGACGAGGGGCTGGGTGACACGAACTGGCTATACGTGGGCAAAAGCGACCCAGCTAGCTGCTAATCATCCATTTGCTAGCTGCTAATCATCCATTTGCTAGCTGCTAATCATCCACTTACACGATGCTGACAACTTTGAGACGAAGTAGCAGCGAGCCAAAATCTACCACACCAGGCGATGATCAACTCATCCAGGAGCATGGCAGGATGCACCATTCGTACAAGCCAGAGAGTGAATTCCCTGAGACTCAAGCAGCTAAACAGCTTAGACTAACAGGTGCTAATTACCTACCTACCAACCCTGACCAGAATAATTCTTCCCAAACGACAATGTGAGCTCGGCCCAAATCTAGGTAGCTAGCGCAGACATTAACATGATAACCGCAGGTAGAGCAAGGCCGTTTAGGCGAGTCTCGCCCATTTGTCAACGCGAAAGAACAGAGAACGCCTCTCACAAGCCACGCGAGCAGACCTGCAGCACACGATTGCGAAGCGACTCTTTGGCGGGCTGTCGGTGGCACCAATTGACAAGCCCAAGCGTGTGCTCGACCTGGAGACGGGCACAGGCATCTGGGCCGTCGAGTTTGCGACCGCGCACCCCAAAGCACACCCCGAAGCACACGTCACAAGCATAGACCTCAGCGCGATCCGCCTCGCCAAGTAAATTTGGGGGAGGAGTGTAGACCTGTCGTCCGATACCTCCCACAGCAGCCCGTGGCTGCGCGGCGCCGGCCTCAAGGCCCTCGGCGCCATGTAGCTCGCCAACCAACTCGGCGGGCTGCACGGCATGTCGATGCGCATTTTCACCCAGGCGCTCGGCATGGCTGTCGACGAGGTCGAGCGGTTCCTCGCGGACATAGCCAGGGAGCTGCAGGACCGTAACATACACTTTTACTATATCTTGTATGCTGGGTTAGTCTCTGTTTCCATGTCACGAGGTGTCGGGCGTTGTGTTTTACCCTTGTTTCCTCCTTTTCCTCTTCCTCTCTCGTACCCTTTAAACCAGCGTGTTCCCGCTAACAGCAACGCAGGATGAGTGTGTATGGACGGAAGCCGGAATAATGGGCATGTTGTTATCACAGGGACGACTACGACACCGAGAGGGATGTAGTTGCAATCTGCCGAGCTATTTCCGCTACTCGATCAACATCGGCACTAAACGCAATCGACTTTGTCTCTCTTTCTTCTCTTTCTTCTCTCTCTTTGAACACCGGTGAGTAAACGCAAACATGGTGGCCAGGAAAACGCCTAGGGGTCTTGAATACGCCATCACACAATGTCTGGCTCGATGGACCGAGGTTGTTTCCTTAAACTCCCGCGGGAAGTAAGAACAAGAGCGAGAGGCCGATACATAAACATCTCTCAAGGTTCATGGTTCGTTGCTGTCAAACCGTGCCGGGACCAGGATGCTAACTGTTGGTCCATTTCCTGAAACGTTGGATGGAGTGCGAAGCGAGAGGTGACGTCGACAATGACGGGACAAGTCCCCACATGGTCCTGGCGTCCGGAGAGCAGAACCACAGACGCGATGACGTCGACGCCGGAACAGGCAGAGCGAACAGCGAGGTGGCGCGAACGAGGATCCCATGTCGAAGCCCCGTTTCGCATGGGAACACACAGACATGCAACTGCGAAACAGCACTGCGACGAGGAACAACAGCTAGACCAAGGTACGTCGGTTGCCCATATATACACCAAACGAACGCGAGCTACATCCGCAGCCAGCATCGGTTTAAAACCCCTGGGTTCTCGCCAGTCTTCGCATGGCCAGGCCCATACGCCGCAGCTAGTCTCCCCATGGCCAGGCCGATACGCCGCAGCCTATCTCCCCTGTGTCTTCCCGCGAAAATATAAAGATACAAAACCCAACAAGTGGACCGTCGAGGGAAAGGGGCGAGTGCAGCGTAGGAGGGAGCACCCCCACGGCCGCGGCCGAGGCACAAGCGGCGGGCACCAAGCAAGCAACCCGGAACAGCACCGCGCCATCCTAAAGGAAGCAAGGCATGAATGCGAAGCCCTGGGCCTCGCCCCCGGGCCATTCTGGCCCAGAAAAGCAATGGGTGACTGACAGACAGACAGACAGACAGCATGCCACGCTTCTTTGTTTATCCAAAAACGAGAAGGAAGAAAAGAATAGAGAAATGCCACAAGCCCCGAGGAGACAAGCTTCTTCAAACAATGCCATCCCCTCCCTCAACAAAGCCCCATACATGCCAAAGCAATGCAATGCAATGCGCGCCTGCAAATGAAGAAAACAACGCGAGCAAAGGGGGCTGGCTGAGAGAGTGCATGCTGTGCTGTGCGAATGTTTTGCAAGTCCTGCCCTTTGGTTGTGTTGCGTTCATGAGAAAGGAGAAGCGAGGCTCTTCTGTATATGCAAAGCCGAGCCCACATGAGGGAAAGAAATGAAAGCATGATCGTTTTGTCGTTATAAATAAAAACAGGAATGATGAAAAAGCTGCAAGATTAAAATAGAGAGAATAAAAAGCTGCAATGCTGCATTGCCCGTCCGCCGCTGCCGCCACCGCCGCAGCCACAGCTCTGGCAACAGACCAGGTCTTCACGCAGGTCGGAGGCGGGAGCTTGTGGTTGGGGGTGACGTGCGGTGGATGGGGTGATCGGTAGGTTTGTACAGGATTCGGTTCGTTCATCGTGACCGCCTCATGGCTCGGCTCGCGCCTGAATCGTTGCGATCGGATCTCGGATGTCTCGGGGGTGTGTTGGGTTTCAGCGGGTTTTGGGATGGATGGGAGTGCTGAAGTAAGCCGGGTGGGCGGGGAAAAAAACAAATGTCATCATCATGCTGCCGTCGTCGCCACCGCTGCCGCTGCCGCTGCCGCTGCCGCAGTTGGGCGTGACGAAATGCGCGAGGCAAGGAAAGACCCTCAAGGAAGAGAGTGGCTTGCTTGCTCGCTCACCGCATGTCACTGAAGCTGTTGCGGCGGCCTGTCCTCCACTCATCTTCCTGCCGCTCGTCGTACGCCTGGCGCGGGGGCGTCATATTGGACGGCTTGGAGTTTGAGCCGAAGCCGGGCATGGACGACCACCGGTTGAGACGCTTCTGGGCCTTTGATGGCGTGTCGGCGGGTGCGGGCGACTGTGTGGGCGATGGTGGCGCGCTCTCGGGGGAGTTGTTGGCCCGGCTGGTGTTGGAGGACGAGCCCGTCGTGTTAGGCGAGTTGTAGATGTATTCGCCGTCCACGTAGATGGCGTTGGACACAAACGTCGAGCGGCGGTTGCGCCGGCGCGTGTACCTCTTCTCGAGCCGCAGGAGCTCGAGCTTGGCCTGGATGCGTTCGAAGATGTTGAGACCCATGGTTTCGACGGTGGGGTAGCTTGCGCTGCGAACTGGCGAAGCCGCAAGAGGTGCGACGTGAGGTCTGTTGTTTGGGGTGGCAGGAACCACACGGCGGTTCTGGGCAAGGAGGACTCCTGGCTACTTAAACCGCGAACTGAGTTGCAGCTTGCAGCAACGGGAATTCGTCAATCTCGTGGAAATGATGATCTCTGGGTGTGGCTGACGTCTAGCGTGGCCTAATTGGTTGCTGTCTCAGATTATTGGGACGGTATCTGCGTCTCGGGGGATCGACGCGCGTTTGCAGAGGGAATTGACTCCCGGGGATTCGACGAGAACAGAGCTGTGACTCTGCGGATGGAAAGATGCTCTGCAACGACAGAAAATGAGAGGACAAAAGCTACAGCTAAAGAATGACAGAGCCGGGTGCACGCATCCGCCCCTTTAGTTGTGGGAACCGAGGGGTTGTCCTGGGCGAGGTTGGGGGAGCGAAAAGGAGGGAGCTGGCGATGGGATGTGGGAGGAACGGGAGGCAGGTAAGGTTCCTGTCTCTGTCGGGATGCAACTTGGCCATCGCGCGGAACGAAGGACGAGCACGCACATCACAGCGCCTGGGCAGCTTGTCTTGGGGTGGAGCCCGCTCTGGCGGGGGAGCGCTCCAGTTGGCCAACGCCCTGCTCGCTGCGTGTATTCCCCACATCGCCTTCTTCGCTGGAGCGGCTGGCGGCCAGGATTCGGCTCTGGTTCTGCAGCGGTCTCTCCGCGAACGGGCCTGGTTTTGCTGCAGCCCAGACCTCTCCCCCTGTCCGTTTTGCTGATAAGGGCGCATTGACACCGGGGCGACAAGAGAAAAAAAGGCAAGGGCGTCTCATTAACGACGCCGGGGTGGCGCCGCTAGCGTGCTGTGCAGTGCGCTGGGGCAAGTCAGGCTTAGCGGCACAGGCTAAAGACGCAGGGGGAAAAGTTGCAGAGGGCGAAGAGCCCGCACTTTTGTTACTGTCCGGTTCAGAGACTTCTTCGCGTGCACTGCATGCATCCTGCAGATACTCTGGCTGTTCCGTTCCTTCTTCGAGGGGTGATGGGAGGGTAAAAGATGAATGAGGGGTTTTGGAACGCAATCGCGTGTTCTGCGCGTGTCAATTGCCGCCTTGTAGCTCCTTCCCGGTTGGGCGACGAGAGCCGACTTGCGCCATCCCACGGAACATGCAAGCCATCCACCATTTTCTGCAGTAATTCAGTGGGACCGTTCCGCAACAACGCTGGGGTGCTCAACGCCCGCTGGGTGCTCTTCCAGGCATCCCGCACGGATTCTCCCACGGATTCTCCAGCAATGCAAAAAGGGGGACCCAGAGGTTTAAAACTGGCGCGCATTCAGCCAATTTGGCTCGACGCAATCCCGACGATGGCTGTGTGCTGTTTCGCGGATCGCCGCACGGCGCGTCGTCGATTGGCCCAGCCGGGTTGCCGAGCCGTCTTTGACGTCGCACCGCTTCAGCCTCATCGATTGAGTGGCCTTAATTTGCAGATTCCATTTCTTTGTGCCGCCGTTAGTGCACGGCAAGGTGGTGTGGTGTGCCACGACACACCCGGGCCAGCATCCAATCCACCCTTGCTTCCACGTGTTTGCCCACCAAACGCCACCCTGATGCATACCTTGTGTCAACCTGCCTATACACCATCCCACGAGATATAGTTCTATAGGTGAACCTTGGTCAACCGCCAATAGGGCTAGATAAAAGCCGGGCAATAAAACGGGTGATAAGTAAGCGGCTAATCGTAGCTTAATACCTTACATAAGATATGGTTCGTGATTTTCCGCGCCTTCCCGTATCAGACCCTCAAACACCTTGTCAAAGCACCTCTCGAGATACCTCGTGTAGGTAATAAAATTCTCAGGCTTCAGGAACAGATTAGAAGGACTCTAACAATTGGTGTCGAGCAAAAGGTGTCAGGAAAATCAAGTCCCGCAGGGGGTTGTGGGATAGGCTGGAAGAGAGTTGCTTTCTATGTAAAGAGGAACCAGCAGGAGCTTAGGTATGATAGAGTAAGCAAAAGTGGCCGTAGCGGGAAGAGTCTAACAGGCCTGAAAGTCCCGAGGGGACCTGGGTCACGGAAGAGGCATGCGAGGAGCGCTAGAACTGCTAAGGGGGTATGAGGTCTACCAAGGCTCCGGGTACACTGGCCCGCGAGTAATGCATATAAAGACAGAGCCAGCCCGTGGAGACTTGGCTGCGGCCCAGAGATGAGTGCTACCGCATACATTCATCCGTTTGTGTCTGAAATAGGGGGCTTGGGTACTGATTAAAAGCCAGCAAGTTTTGCGATGGGGATCGTGTGGAAAGGAAAGAAAGGAAAGAAAGGAAAGAAAGGAAAGAAAGGAAAGTGAGAACCTCGCAACGAGGAAACGAACGACAGGGTATTTCTTGCTAGTTCAAGACCCAAACTAACGAGAACACGCGGTACACGCCTGTGCCACGAAGCTTTGTTGCCACTGCCACTGCCACTGCCACTCTCAACTCTTATCTACCAAGCCCTTTACAGCTAGTTGGTTGAGAACTCGGCTTGGATAGTATATAGAATCTGTTTAACAGAGGAAGTCACAGGAGAGAAGTCACAGAAAGAAACTTTATGATAGTTGGGCAAGCAGAGTCGGCTGGGTATCTGTCGCGGGTTCATTTACCGAGACACAAGCAACTACTAGTTGTAGTCTAATTATCTTATAACAAGATCATGGCTCCTAGCCATGCACCAAACTCCCCACCGCACATAACCCACCGCACCTATCCCCCACACCAACGCACATCTAGAGCCGAAACTCTCTCTACTCCTCATCCGAGCTGTCGTCAGAAAAATGCGAGACGGGCATATAGCCCGAGGCGGGAACGTAAGCCAGGGTGGGCACGGCATGCGAGGCGGGCACGGCATGCGAGGCGGGCACGGCAGGCGAGGCGGGCACGGCAGGCGAGGCGGGCACGGCAGGCGAGGCGGGCACTGCAGTCGAAGCGGGCTCGCCGTTGGAGCCCGAGGCAGGAGCAAAAGGCGGGGGCGGCACCACAATCGAGGCGGGCTTGTCGTCGGTCACGCCCTTCCGCTGGAGAATCTCGGCCCTCTTCTCGAGATACAGGCGGTAGGCCTTCTTCGGGATGTCGCTGTCCTTCTCGTAGAGCTGGAAGCGGGTCTCCTCCCACACCTTGAGCTGTTCTACGAAGCCCGCGTTGGGGAAGATGCAACTTCTAACGCCCAGGACCTGGTTGATCGCCTCGCGGTGCGTGATGCTGTGCTTTCTCATCAGGTAGGCGACGACGGCGGTGGTAGAGCGCGAGATGCCCATGCGGCAGTGGACCAGCACGCGCGGCTTGATGGTGTAGTCGAGCGCAACGGGCTGCAGGGTGGAATTGAAGTCGACGGCAAAGTTGTATTCGAGGCCCGTCTTTTCCTCCTCGTTCACAGCTAAGACCACTCCCGGGAAGCGCAGCAACACTCTCGGCACCGGGCCCTTGGCGAGCTGCTCGTCGATGAATTTGCAGATCCGCGGCAGCTGGGCGAGGAGGTTCTCCGTCGCTGTGTCCTTGCAGTCGACGAAGAGGTGGCGCTCGGAGGAGATAAGGCTCCGGAACTTGGAGTCGAAACGTGCCTTGTCGAGGTCGAGCAACGTCACCACCGACGTGATCTTGTGGCGCTGGAGGGCGCTGAGGTGGGCGGCCTCGACGCCCCCGAGGAAGAGGCCGGGCTTGATCTTCGAGACGCAGGCAGAGGTCATGGTGCAATTAGGTGTGTGTGTGTGCGCACGAGCCGGAACGAAAAGATATGCGTGTCAGGAAGAATGAGAATATACGCGTGCGAGGCGAAATGTGAATGTGAAGATTTGGTTTTCTGCGTGCCTGGTTTACGTGCGGTAGGTACGGCCGGAGTTTCCAGGTAGATAGGGTCAGGTTTTCAATTCCAAGGCAACGGACCTATTGAATCACGTGGAACAAAACGCGGGCAGAAATGTGTAATGGCACAGCGCCAAAAGTACTAAGATAAAGCTGATATTAAGATAAAGCTGATGGGATGAAGTAGAAAGATTGCCCGGCCTCCCTGTCTCCTTTGCTCCAAGCAAGACGCTTACTTGCCATGAAAGCATTTACCGTGCACCTGTCACCAAGTGCCAGCCTCGCTTTTGCCATACGAGATGTGATCTTCTTTAAATATCTGAGGCACCCACATTCGGTTTATTCCGTCGGATTGTTTTTCGAAGCCGGGGATTTTATAGTGAGGTGAGGTGAGAAATCAATATATATGGACAGAAAAGAACATCACGTAGCCGAATGTATAACCTCAACTAATCACGAAGGAACAAAATAACTAACGCTATCTGCCTACCCAATAGGAGAGCTTTTTAATCGCCAATACCCCTCTAGATAGCAACTAGATATAAACTAGAAGGTTGCTCAGATCAAAACCTGATTACGTAAGGATTGGCTACGTAAGGATTGGCTACGTAAGGATTGACTACGTAAGGATTGGTTTAGCATTAAAAATCTGTACTTCTGTGGGAAATATTATTTAATTTCCGCACGACTAGTAATGTAACTATCCAGTACATGCTCCCTGGAATGTAACTATCCAGTACATCCCCCTGGAATGTAACTATCCAGTACTTCCCCCCTGGACTAAATAGTGTACTGACGTTCACTTGCTGTATACGATATCTGCCCCCATTTTTCATCCATCTCCCCGATATCGAGATGGCGAAGCTTGCGTGTGGCCCTCGAATTTCAGCAGTCTCGGCCGCCTCGATACGTACATCTCGGACAGGGCACATATGTCTCGGTGTAAAAGTCATTACAGATTATTTATTCTGGTCATATTTAATCGGCGAGAATCTGCTCGGTACTCGCCGAGTCCGAGCCTATATTACCCCCGCTAATCTTGGTGCTGCTTGACGGGATGGGTCCTAGGTGGATAGCATCACCCCTCTCGGTAGCAAAAGACTTGCCGACCGAGATCTTGTTCCGCATAGTCGAGCGGTCCCGGCTGTGGTACTCGTACCCGGAGTGTTTGGGCGGAGTGCTCCCTTGGCGGGCGCTCATGAGCGCCTGGGGCGTGAACAGCGGCTTGAGGGCCGGTGCGCTGGCGCAGATGACCGCGATGTTGATTTCGATGACTGACCAGACGTTTACCAGGATGCTCTGCTGGAAGGGGTCCGTGGCGAGCGTGTATGTGTAGATGGTGTGCAGGCGCACGATGGCGACGACGGTGGCGAACGTGCCGATGCCGAAGATGCTCACAAGGGCAATCTTCTCGTGGCGGGGCCGGTTAATGCCCACCAAGGTCTTGATGGGCAGGGCGAAGATGATGATGTCGGTGATGATGTTGACGCCTGACGTGACTGCGTGCGGCGCGGTTAGTTTGACGCAGGAGGTGTCCACCGGGTACACTTACAGTAGAAGAATGCCGTGGTGTTGATGCACTTGCCGTCCACGCTACCCGTCAGGTCCCACATCTTCGCCAGGGGCTGGCACTGGGCCAGGGTCACGACGATGGATACGATGAAGAAGAGCGAGTGGAAAGCGATCATGGCCATGCACGCTCTGCGGAGGGCGGTCGTGACTGCAAAGCGGAGATACATGAGCAGGATGGAGAACTTGATGAAGTTGACGGCGCCGTAGTACGTGCACTGAATGGCAAGCGTGATCTGCTCGAGGTTCAGTCAGCAAACCCCCCCCCCTCCCCCCCCTCCACAAAAAAAAGAAAAAAAGAAATAAAAGAAAAAAAGAAAAAAAAAAAGAAAAAAGAAAAATAAATGAAACCGCTAGAGTCGGAATCTTGCGCAGGCCTACCCTGATCAGGTTGTACATGTTGTCCAGGCTGAGGGTCGACATGGCGTGCCCTATGCCGTTGTGCCTACCGAGGAGCACCTCGGCCAGGTAGCCGACGCAGAACACCAGGGCAACCAAGATGGTGGCATCATCGGCCCCAAACCTGCGAATGAGTGCCGCGCGAACAAACGTGCGGGTGGCGACGATGAGGACAGACAGGCTGGTGAAGACGGCCGTCGTTATCACCAGCTCGTTCTGCCGTCGCTGGTCGGCTGCGTATGTGTCGCTGCTGTTGCTCTCCATGGTGCCTGCGTCTGTACCCTGCAGTCCGAGAACGCTGGCCTCGAAAAAATGCTCTCAACCACAGCGGCGGGACTTGGGTTCCTTTTGGGCCCAGCGATCCCTCGACGCTCGGACGTCCGATGCGCGCCATGTGGCCCCTGGCGGCGGGTCCTGTTAGTTCCTGGTCACCACTAGTCACCACTAGTCGCTCGATTCATGTTCCAAAGCTCGGAACGCCCACTCGGGTAAGCATATCCATAATTTAGTGGCACGAGTGGCTACCGGTCAAGATGTGGGCAGATAATTATGCTCGCTAATCGGATCGCGGACCTCTTGGCGGGTCAGAGCGCTGGCCGTGGGGTGGATGGTCCATCTACCGAAATAAGTGAGCTGAAGCCAAGGTGTTCGAACCGAAGGGCCCACTTGCTCGATTGGTAGCTGGCGCGAGATGGCGGCGCGCGGCGCACTAAAGTAGGTGTGCTGCTTGACATGCAAGCTCTCCGGGGTGCTCTCGATGGGTCGCTATTGCTGATGACGGGTACCAGGTTACCGTGGTGTGGTGATCTGGAATTGCGAGATTGTGGGAAGTTTGGTGAGGTCGCCTGTTGTCGGACTTTCCACCCCTCTGATGGATGACCTGCCGAGCAGGTGCCCCGTGCCTTGGGAAATTTGATTCGTTGCACTATTCTAGCCGCATAGGCAGCCCCGTATTCTCGAGCCTAGTTTATATACGCGGGGTTCTTAGTTCTCTCGCCTATCCTTGGTCAAACCTTCACCTCACGCTATTGTAAGAAATTTTGTCTCCGCTTCCTCAAAGAATCTGAAGACGATGGACTCCGGGCGCCCTCCTGCCTGGCTCCCGGCTCTCAGCTGGAAACCGCCCAACCTATACAACCCGCCTGAGGTACCACCCGCCTGAGGTACCACCCGCCTGAGGTACCACCCGCATCCTGCCTACAAGAATGCCCTGGACGCCGACCAGCTCCCCCGTCGTCAGCAGCAGCATGGCGACGAGGAGGGGGTCTGAGCTTCTGGCTTCTTTGCTTTCCAAGTCCGCCTCCATCATCCTCCTGTCCTCGGCACAGTCGGCAAGCAAGACCAGAGCCCATCCGTACCCGCTGCCCTCTGTCTTGCCCCATGGACCGGCATCGTAAAGATCGTCCAGCTGAATACCGCGGCCCTAGTCCCCCCACGAGACCGCCGACGCCGCCGCCGTGCGCGGCTCATAGGCTGCACCTTCGCCGCCAGGGTCATGCGGCCGCCGCTCAGAGCTCCATACGGCGCAGCCTCAACCAATAGGTCGACTTCCCAAGCCTTGACAGCAGCGTACTCGGCCAGCCGCGGCTCCCACGACGGCACCGGCGACGGACCCGTTAACGCTCGCCCACGACCACGACGGCGCCCGGGCCGTGCCCGGCCTCCTGGCATCCGGCGTCACGGGATGCCACAGCAGCTGCGCCAGCCACGTGCCCGGCTCCGCCTGGTCCGCCAGCAGGCCGGCGGCGTACGCGGGTTCTCGCCGCGCGCCCTGCTCATGGCCGCCATGTGCTGCGCGAGCGCCGCCACGGCCCACAGCTTGTCGCCCTCGCGTCCGAGCGCGCGCCGGGTGTAGCCGGCCACGATGACGCCCACTGCCCCCACGTCGGCTGTTCGATCAGCGAGCCGGCCGGATAAATGGCGTCGACGAGCGACTGGACGCCGGGGATGGTGTGGTTGGTCAGCGCCGTGATGCTGCCGCCGCAGCCGCCAAACGAGTTGAGGCACGACCAGTACAGCTTGCGGCGCGCAAAGATCAGGATGCGTCGCGACAGCAGCGACTTCTGCAGCGTCCAGCCACGCGTCGTGATGGGCTCGGGCGGCGGCGTGTCGAGCTCCTCGACGAGGAAGACGCGGCCGATGGGCGCATGGCTGGCGGCTTGGACCTGAGGCGCATCTGCACGGGGCCGAGCGCGAGGCCGGCGTCTTTCCGTACCCGGAGGAACCCGTCCACCGCCCTCTCGGACGAGGCCGCGCACAGCGCGAAGGCCGCGCACAGCGTGACGGCCGCGCGCGCGCCCGTAGTAGCTCGCCATGCGCGTGATCTCTCTTGCCTTGTACGGGTTGTTGCCGCGGCCGTCGACGTCGTCCTGGTGAATGCACAGCGAGTCGACCCGCAGATAGCGGAAGCCTGTCGTCCGGGCCACCCACACGGCCTCCTAGAGCGTCCGCGGCAGCCTAGCTAGGTCGATGCTGCATTTGTAGTCGGCAGCCTTGCGGCTAGGAGCTTGGCCTACTGGTCGCCTCCCCAGCAGTAGGAGAGCGCCATGAAGCCGGCCTCGGACACGTCCCCATGAGAGCCCCGTCGTCGTCGGCCGTCTCGACCAGTCTCAGCCGGGGCGAGGCGGATGTGCCCACGTCAATCAGCCGCGTAGGAACGTCGCCAAAGCTCACCATCTCCCTGGGGAGGGCCTCCTCGGGTTCCCGATCTAGGGCCAAGTGTCCGATCTGGTCCGTCCTGCACCAGGCGTGGCGGTCCATGCACACCGAGAAGCAGTGCCTGGCAAACTGCATAGACTGTTGAGACGTGACGTCCAGCCCGTAGGGCCGCGACAGAACGTACTCTGACGCCGGATCTCCGGCAGCGGCGCAGGCGGGCAGCTCGCCGAGAACCGTCGAGCTCGTCCGAAGGTGCTCCGAGACGGCACCTGGGCAGACATGCCGGAAGCTCAGCACGCATCGTCCGTCTTGGTCGGGGCCCATGGAGGAGAGGCCCGAGACCTGGAACCGGCAGTGGGCTGCGATGGCGTCCATGACCTCGGGCGCCTCCCACCTCTCCGCCACGGCAGGAATGTAGCGCGCAGTCTTGGCGGCGATCCAGCGGTACAGCTCGCAGCCCGACCGGGCCGCGGCGACGGCTTGGGAAACGTTGTGGTCCAGGGCTGCCGCGTACCACAGGTCGTGGCCCCCCGAGGTGCCAAAGGGCCATCCGCAGTTGGAGCATACGTACCCGCCGCTGTCTGTGACGTTGCCCCCCTTTGTGCTGGTAGTCCCAGTAGATAAAGACGCGCTCCGTGACTTGAAGATCGAGGTGTGCCGTCTCGCAGTGGGTGCACGCGTGGGGGTTCTCGAACGTGAACGGCCTTGGCTCTGGCGGCCCACGATCCGGGTACCGCAGGCGCTCGCGAACACGCTGAAGGAACGTGATAGCTTAGAGGGACCCCATTGCAATTGCCCCTCGCTTGTCAACGGCCGCGATGTGGAGGAGTCGTCATAAGCCTGGCCAGGTAATTCGGGGATGGGAATTGTTAATTCAGCCTCTCTACACCACCTCCAGCTCGCAAGCTCGCCTACGGTGGCTCCGTTCAGCTGTATTCTATATTACCGTGAGGGTGCCGAAAGTTTCTCGCACAGCGAGCGATTGGCTAGTTTTTGTCCGTGTCGAAATGGACTCGAGGGACTGGTCGATCGGATGAACCTCGGACGGGTTAAGCCGTAAAAAATTCCGCTTTGCTGTGTCGTGGTTGTGTTAGGAAGGAGCAATTTCCCAATTAGTAGATATAACGCGTAAGTTGTATGAAGGAAAGTGCCGCAGGCTCCAAGCGCCGCAGGCCAAGAGCGTCGCAGGCACTAGGGGTCCTAGGGGGCTTGACCCCTAGAAATCCAACAATTAGACCATAAACATCGAAACATTAAATTATCCCGAGAATTTGTTTTGGTATTGAGGGGCTATCGCCGCGAGGCTCCCTTTGTTCTGCTTGTCAAGATGGACAAGTATGACGGCCCGGCTTGCTTCCCTAACAATGAGGCTATTCCGAGAAATGTGGTGCCGATCTTCCAGTCCTTGGCGGACTTTCAGAGCGGTAATGCGGCCTGCTCTCGCCGTCAGTTCCCTGTTACAAGTGCCTTGCGTGCGGTGGATTACCAGCGCCATGTTGACGCCGGCGAGGTGTTGGTTCCGGGTGTAGCCTAGATAGCAGAATCGATTTTTTTCTGCCTCAATACCATGTTGTTTACGTTGTGATGACTCGCCTGTGTTTTTTTACTTTTAACAGTTGACACAGTTGACACAGTTGAGTCATGGCTACGAGTTATGGCACAAAGCGGGGTTGTACTTACTAATTTCATGATAAAATGGCCCAGCCACCCCTTCCCTCGAGCGAAGCGAGGACAGCCCGCGGCAGGCGCCGCCGGAGGCATCCGTTCACCTGACCCCTTCCTGACTAGTCAGGTAGCTTATTTTTATCTACCAGGCATGTCCTTGGCAGAACATCTTTGCGTCAGATCTGTGTACATGACAGCTTAGGTTCTGCTTCTCCAGAGAGGGGCGGCGTGCATGAAGCGGAGAAGGTGAACATGTCACCACCTCTTCTCGGACAAAGGTTGGGCATTTATCAGACGCGGCGCGGTAATATTAACGGCGCGTCCTGTTCAGTCGCAACCAATACCCAAGGTATCTTGACATGCGGCCTAGAGACGAATTATACTGACGGCAGCGAGGGGACGTACGAGAAAGTGCATGGGAACGAAACAGTTGCGCGATCAACGGTCTCTGCGAAGCATAGGCTCACAGACGAAAACAGTGAAGCAGGTAGGTCCGGTCCGCACGCCGCAGGCAGTCAAGAGAACTCTAGTTCTTCATTCCATCTTCTCAGCTAATTACTAGCAATTACCGTCAGACATCATCGCTCTCTCGTGGCAAACTCATGGCATCCAAGCGACACACAGGCACCATAGCGTGCTTCAAGCAGGCGGGAGAGCCTTGTAGCCCGACACCCAGCCCGAGTTGCCCCAAGCGAACTCGGTGACAGCGGTGCCGTCGGTGCCGTTCTGCAGATAGACGCGCAGGATGTCGAGCGGGATGGCCGCGACGTTGGACGCGGGGATGGTCGGCTGGCTGAACCCGCCGTCGTACCAGCCGCCGTTGCCGTCCCACGCCTTCTCCTTGATGTAGTTGTCCGCCGCGCCGTAGTACAGCCGGATCCCCAGCCCGCTGCCGCTGTCGCCCCACGACGTGACGCCCAGCGCCGTGCGCACCACCTTGCTAGAGAAGCTCAGCCCGCCCGTGTACCAGCCGCTACCGTCCCAGCCGCGCTCAACGACGTTCAGGTTGGTGCCCTGGAAGTAGACACTGACCGCCAGGGAAGCGGCGTTGGCCCAGTCGGTTAGTTGCTGGCTAACACACAACTAGTGACAATTCAAGGCTGGATGCACAACACGTACCGGATATGGATCGACGAGGTGCCCCAGCTGGTGGCGGCGATCTGGGTGCCGGGCAGCGCAGCGCCCAGGTTGCTGCCCTGAGACCAACCCTTGCCATTGCTGTCCCCTGTTGTTTTGGACGGCACCCGGTCGATTAGATGGCATTTTAGGCGTAGATGGACGGGAAGACAGAAGTCACGAGAGCAAACATACAGACGTATTCCTGGATGGTGTTGTTGGCGATCTGGGCATAGACACGCAGCACGGCGCGGCCGCCGAGGAACACGGCAGAGACGCCCGAGTAGGGGGCCACGTCGAAGCCGGCGCTGCTGAGGTTGCCGTTGTACCAGCCCTTGCCGGCGTCGTACGCGTGCTCCTTGAGCTTGTTGTCGGCGCCGATGTAGTACACGCGGATGTTCTCGAGCCCCAGCGACGTGGCCGCTACCGGCGTGCCGATCTTGCCGACGGCGATGGTGTTGTTGGCCTTGCCACCGCCCCACCCGCCCTCGTACTGCACCTCACGGATGCCGCCGTCGACGGCCGTCTCGTAGACGCGAATGTGGGCGTCCTTGCGCACGGCTGCCAGACCAGTGCGGATGAGGATTTCAGTGACGGCCGACATGATGAATGGTTGGTTGGCTGGCTGGCTGGCTGGTTGTGCAAATGGACTTGGATAGCGAAAGGCGTTTTCTGTGCGTTTTCTGTGCGATTTCCTTGGTTTGATGATACAAGACGGACCAGGCGAGAGAAGAAGAGAAGGAGGCTCTATTTATGTATGTTTGGCCGTCTCGGGCGTCAACTCGCCAAGTGTGCGTACTGTCTCGAGGTGAGCAAGGCCTTCCTGTCTTTTTTCCTCTTCCTGCAGCCATGTACTTCTTTCCCCGCTTCTAAGCATCTGTTTGCGTGACACTTCGTTGTCGCTCACGACTCCGGTGTTCAGTTCGGGACCTCTTCGCACATCAACTTGACACAATTCGTGATCCGCCTTCGGAAACACGTAACAAGACGACAGACTTCAGGCCGCAAACCCAGCCAACCACAGGCTACCGGCAGCACATAATTGGGGGAGGCATCTTCGTCCATCGGGAAGAGCGAGGGACGCACCCGGCCTCATCGAGAACGACTCAGCCAGCCTCCTCCGAGCGCTGTCAATAAGTTATGTAACTGAAACTAGGTGATGGGTCAGTTCCGCGCTCGTGACACCCAACCCCGCTGACGCAACTGCCTGGGGTCAATGTTTATGATGATGCCTTACAGCTAACTTTTCGGGCTCCGGACTCCGGGTCGACGGCGTGTAACCGCCGGGCGGACACGCGATTGGCTGACCCCGCTCGGAATTTTCGGAGACGGCCCAAACAAGGGCGCGACAGGCCCTTCGGGAAAATGAGCGGGGTACAGCTGCTTGTCTTACCACGGGGATCAACTGTACAGGTGCCAGGAAGCAAGGGGCGGAAGGGGTGGCCGAGCGCAAAGCCCAAGGGAGTGGAGGTCCCGGGGCTCTCCGGCCTCGGCCGCGCAACCTGTCGGGTAGAACGGTCTAGACTGTAAACGTAGCGACACTATGAGTTGAGATAATGACGTGCAGTCGCCACGGGATTCTAACCCTCGAAGATTTCCGTGCAGCGGACACCCTGTCGGAGAAGGACCGGGGAACCTTCTGAAGAGCCCGGAGGGGACGAGAGGGCAACACGACATCGTATAGGCCGAGTAGGCCAGAATGAGAGACCTGCGAGACGGACAGGGTTCACCAAGGTTGACGGTACAGGTGAGACACTCGAAATTTATGGCCTGTTCTTCTCGGACCGGGCGACTGCGCCATCCAAAAATTGAACACGGAAACTATGAGCACCAGGCAGGTACCTACCCAGTTCCCTAGCGCTGCCCTCATGACATGCACCGTGATAAGGTTAGATCATGTACAAAACTCAGAGCGACAAGTGCCGTCCACCCTTCTATTCAATACAGCTTCCATACATACGTATGCAAATCCTCGCAAAAGCTATCTATATGCCTATGTGGGCCGTCCAAATGCATTGCTGGGGGTATATATTCATGATGAGTAGCAAATCACGGCTGCTGGCAGGTGCCTAGATTTATTAGAGGGGATGTGAAGGACTTTCCATGTCGCCGCATCAGGGCCCTTATCAGATAATGTTTATTGTCGGTAGTCAGCTGGCATGGCTGCCTTAGTTTCTTCCCTATCCCAACGGCAAGTCAGGCTTGCTGGGTGCCAGGAGACTGCTGGCGTCCAAGCTCCGAAACTGGCACTCCGAAACTGGCACGCTGTTTTTGTTTTCCTGCCTGCCAGTTGTCAACTCCCTGTGTGCGCGGCAGACGGCATTGAGTCTAGCCAGCAGCCATCAACAAAGGGCTGCCATGCAAAGCGATATTCCACATGCAGGTACCTGATCGCCGCCTTTGTCATTGGCGACGGTGGCTAGCAATATACTAAGGACAACGCACAAGCTAGAGTCGACTGAGTTAATCACTTCCTCTCCAATCCTTTGTTGAATATAGTGGTGTTTGATATTTTACCTTAACTGATCCCAGAGAGAGCGACCGTGAAGGTAAAACTCGATTAGCTGTGAATGCAAGCTCCATATCTGTCCCAAGCATTGATGCAACAACACTCTCAGTCATTGAATGCAACAACACTCCCAGTCATGATCTACGATTTGGCTACTCCCTTTTACATACGACTATAGGCACTGGAAAACTCGGGAACCCGTCCGCTCTCCCCTGGATAACCCAGCGACCGCGATCTTAGTTGTCAGAGTTAGCGACAGTTTTATTTACCAGAGTCGTAGACCTACTACTAATCAGATATACCCAATCAAGTCACTATTACCTACCAACAACTCAGTCCCATCCACAACTTACGTAAGCTAGATAAATAAATAATATATCTCTCTATTTATAATATATACTCTCTACTATATAGCTGTAAGAGAAGGCAGGTACGCCTGATCAAGGTGGTCACAATGAAGGCAATAGGAAGGTGAGCAATGACTGGTATTGGCGTAACACTTCAACCTGGCCCTCGCAAAGGAAGGTGGGCGAGGGTCACTGTTTATATATAGCATGTGTTCAATCTGGCACGTGCCTGTGGAGGCTTGGTGCCACAGTGTGGCGTCAGGGGGCTTGGCCAGCTGGTGGTAGCTGGGCCAGTTGGTGACAGGTGGTAGGCGCGCACAGGGTGCGCGTGTGCAGGTGCTTGGGGTGCTCTTTCCTTACAAATAGATATTATAGTGTCTTCGACCTACGATTCCCTTTTACCGGGCATTTTTTTCCTTGTTCTAGTGAAAATTTAGTACGTGTTAGATCGAAAAGGGCTTAGTTACGGGGCTTAGTTACGGGGCTTAGTTACGGCTGAAGGGAAGACCGTTATCTAGCGCGGTACCTGACAAGTTATCTCAGTAAACTCGGACGTTTTTTTCCAGGCAAGGGGGGGGGGGTTGGAAGTGGCTTCACCACCACTCGGTCAGGTATCAATTGAATGGCCCACTTCGTGGGCCGGATGGGCGGCTGGACAAAAGTCCACCCATTCTATGTGTAAATTTGTCCCGCTAGCCCAATTGAGTATTAAGATTCCAGGACCCACATTTTTGCGCAGAACGCCTGGAAAAGACGTTTGAGAGCAGTGTCCGATTATTGGCCTAACGCGTCGCCCTGTCATACAAATCGGGGGTGTCCAAAGAATTGAACTGCGAATAGCTTCATCAGCACAACCACTATTGTAAAATATGTCTGAGGATGTTCAGAATGAGGGCATCACTGTAGGCTTGGTTTGAGCGAGATAACTTGAAAATTGCCTATTTTGGTACGACTAGACCTTCAAAAGTTAACGCGTCACGCTTTTCATCCGACTTGGTGACCCCATGCCAAAAAAAACAACCAAAATAGCTGTGCCTGTAAAAGTTTAATGCCGAGAATCCTCTGCTTCCTGAAAACCTCAGTGTGTAATTTTCTTTCTTTCAATGTACTTTTTGCTCGTATACCAGCCTCGAACGCTCTAAAATGGCCTCTCCAGGCGATCTAGAGCTCATCAAAGCGACGATATGCTCCACTACTGGCCACGAAAATGCCCGCGAAGGTCAGGTAATGCGGTCGCTCAATTGGTCTTCGAAAATGCCGACACGATGCTCGCGCGGCGACGGGTTACGGCAAAAGCGCAGTTTTGCAATATGCCTCGTGTCGGCTAGGCAAGTATCCTCTTCCAGCCATCTTTGTAGTGCGATGAATGTAGGCACGCGCATGCGAATGCTTCCCTATAACCCAAAGTCGGTTCGACCGAGGAGATACGGGGTTTTGAGGTGCCTCAGCTTTCGTAAAGGCTGTAGGGGGGACGAGGGGGGGGGGAAGGGTCTAAACTTGAGATCACAGTCGCGATAATAGCAAGAAGCATAGCGACAACAGCGTCGACTCCCGGTCGTCTTCAGCGCTACCGGTGCGCCTCTACAGCTCCACAGCTATTCTTCAGGATCAGGGGATTGTAGAGCAGTTGTTAGAATACAAATAACTTCAATTTCAAGGTCAATACCAGCTCAGGGTGGGCGAAATATTATCGCTGGGGCAACGATAAATATCGCTTATCGCCGATAATCGTGCGATATCGTCGATAAATATCGATAACATTGATAATGCTTAGTCAGCTATCAATCTATCTCCGCCTCAACCTCCACAACTCGTTCTCGAATACATCCTGGCTCCCCCGTAAGCCCTGACCTAATCCAATGCTTCAAGCATTCAAGCATTTCCACTGTACTTTCTCCTAGTCGCATTCTTTCCCACGTTATCGTACGACGAGCCCCAGAAAAGACCCTTTCCGGCTCAGCACTCATTGCCGGGATTGATAGGATGTTGATTGCCAATTGAGATAGCTTCGGCCAGCGTCTTCGTTGATCTATACGGAGCCACCAATAGAGAGATGATCCTTCGATTTGACGAGGTGGCTCTGACAAGTACTCTTCAAGTTCATCTTTGCTTGGTGGCCTTGGAAAGTTCTCAAGACCTCGCATTAAGGTATCCAAATCATCATTCGGATTCGGATTCTGATCTTGGCTCCTCTCCTTCTCAATCAGAAGAGCTGACTGTGGTTTATTTTCTGCTCCTTTGAAGTTGATCCAGAGCGTTTTGACCGCTTGGATTGCTGGCTTGACCCATTTTTTCTCCCAATTATACTTGAGATATTCAGTCTTCCTCGAAGGATGGAAAAGAATCGCAGCAGCATAATACGGAGTATCTTCCGTTTTGGCATAGTATTTGTCGAAAGTCTGCCAGCTCTTTTGGATTCGTTGAGAGATAAAGGGATTAGATTTGAAGGTTTCCTGGCTCCTCCTATAATGCTGAACCAACGCATCTATAACAAGAAGAACTCGGTCGATTGTTGCATGATCTCCCTCAGTAGTTTTTGTTGCTGAATAAAACGGCTTAAGGAAGGATTGGATAAATCGAAGAATCTCCCAATCTTGCGGAGAAAGAAAGTCAGACTTCAGCTCTTCGTACCAAGCTTTCGAATAGGTATCAAGGGCTGATTCCTTTTCCAGTGCAACTCTTAACATCTCGTACCAGCTATTCCACCTTGTGCTATTATCGAGAGGAATATTCCGGCCGGCAAGAGTT